TCTTCATATGTGTAATTATATTAAGTTTTATTCACCGTTGTAAAGAATATGGATTTAATTGCGGAATCATCTATTTTAAACATAAAAGTACTTATTTTTTCACTACTTGCAATTTCTGCTTTTGGTAGGCTAGATGTCTATTCAAGGTGAAGAATATGATTTATTTCTTCTCTAACTTAGATGTTATTCTTTGCTTTATTAAGTAATTATTCAACTGAATCTTGTCTTGCCGTAACGCTGAGTACTAACAAAATAGCAAACATTGATAAAGTTTTCATTAAAAATAATATTAATAATTTTGGATTTGATTTTCAGATTTTTAGATGGAGCAAATCTTATTTATTTAATTAATTTTTTTATTTCTTAATTTATTTAATAATTATGTTTAAAATTTGTTCTTCACAACAACCATAAATTTTGAGAAAACCTTTGTTGATGATATGAGCCCATTTAAGATTAAAAATATTGGAATTGTCTATTTTACAAGTATACATTAACTTTCTTACTATTTATACTCATTCAATACTGAATCATTCAAAACCAAATTCGACTGAAATTTATCAAAATTGATTTATGAACATTATTTTTATTCATGTATTTATCCTTTCAATGCTATATGAAACTGTAAATTTTTATAATTATCTTTCATTCTGGAAATTTTTAATTTAATGTATTTAATTTAGGAGAAATGCTCCCACTAATTATTTGCTATTGTAGATGAATAAATCGTTTTAAATAGTTCATTAAAGGAAACTGTCTTGGAATTACAAAAAAATATAAATTATATCAAAAGTAGCAAAATGGTATGAAAAGTTAGATATATGTCATTTTTCCATCACGAGATTTAGCGTATATTTATTAAATCACCAAAATATTTTAAATTTCTTTTTCACAAGATTACATTCATACTTATAAGTATTTTTAGAACTCTATATTTGTTAAGTGCTGAGAAATAGTATTGTTTTTCTATTTATTTTTGTATGCTACAGTTTAAAAGAGAAAATTAATTGTTAAAGTAAAATAATGCGATAAATTCCCTAAGATATTTTTAAACATATTCTAATTAATTAATAGCAATATCAAGACTAAAAATAAGAAAACTCATAAACTACACTCCATGAATTTATTAAATCCAATTACAGTTTGGTTAAATTTTATAGGAATAATAATCAATCAAAAAATTAATTATTTACATGATTTCTCCTCCATACATTGTTGATAAATTTAAAATAGAAATAATTTGAAAAATAATATTGTTGAAATTCATCAACCTATTTTTTAATGCAATTATTAAAGCTAATAGATATTCCTAATTTATAAAATTTACTTATTTAAACATTTTTGTTTACTTATATATGCTTATTTATATCAGATGGTAGATGTTTATTTTTTATATTAGAAAACTAGTTTTAATTCATAAATATATTTCTTTGAGCGCAATTTATCCTAAGCCTAAGAATTCATATATTATTTGATCCAGTTAAAATGTTCATCATCAAGTGAGAATAAAAAATGAATTTATCTGTTGTGCTGGATGCTAAATTATTATTTAATGAAGTATTTAAATTACCTTCTTAAATTAATGCAAGTCAATTTCTACTTCATTGAAATATGATTATACCTTTAAGAATTCAAACTATAAACTCAATCTTAGCATTTTCCTTAGTAGCTAATTTTTATAATCTATGAACAGATAGAGTGAGCTCCATCATGATGAAGAGTGTATTTCAGGCCTATTTCTTGAATTAGCCTTGATTTCTAATGATGGTACCATAATTTAAACACTTCCTAAAACACAATGAAATTTTCAAATCTGACATAATTAACTCGAAAAGCAAAACTGACGAATATTCAGTTAAAAATTAGAGATGCTAATGCTGTAATGAGGTTAAATTCAAAAAATATTACAACCTAAAAGATCAAACTCTGTTATCACTATAGAATATTTGTTTCAAGAAATTACAAATACATTACACCGAAACAAATTTTAAGATGTTAAAATAGGGCAGTTGTTTGAAAATGCAATTACAAAACTGTTATCCGAAACCTTACTTTCGGTTAGATGTAGGTTGGGGTTATGACTAATCCAAATAAAGTATGGATGATTAACGTCACAAAACAACTACGATTATAGAATACAAAGCTTAAAATATTTCATAAACAGCAACCTTATTATGAATTAACCAAAAAATATTATGGTAAAATAAGTGTTCAATTCTCATTAAAAAATTTGCATGAAATTAATATGTTATGAATTGTTTAGAAAGAAGAATTTTAAGTTAGATAATTTTCATTTTAGAAATTATTTTGGTTATCTCAATAGTTAATAACTCACAACAAATCTGTTTCAAGGTCTAAATTACAGCGTTTGGTCAATTTTTAAATCAGGAAATTATTTGTGGCTGCTCCTTTTGTAATCATTGAGGAATGAAATTAGCATGATTTCTGCAAATTCAAGCAAAATCTAAAATTATATATTATGAACTTTAAGTGCAATTTAGAGCAGAGCATGATATTATTTTTTAGACGAGATCCTTTGGACCAAATTATTTTAGTCCTTAACTAAAAAAGGATCAAACAAAATCGAGATGCAAACATAAAAACATACCATAATTGGAATTTTAGTGCATTAGGAAAAATGGTGTTATCATATTGAATAAAACAATTAATGGTCAAATTTATGAAATCCATTTAATAGAATTACTTAAATTGATTTTTATAAGTTATGAAAAATGAAATATACTTATCATCTTGGAATGAACTTAGGTGCATAAGAACCGATTGTAAAATAATACTGAATGAAACAAATCGGCTGCAATATTCCAAATTATTAAATTCTTAAAACCCTTCTTTCCTTTCAAGCAGTGCACAATTGGGGATGAGAGGGTGTATTTTCTATAATAGTAGTCTTTCTCAAAAATGCTTCCTAATTTCTTATGCTAATTTGAGATATGCTAGTTTACGCAAAAGCAAATTACTTTTATTCTTTGATTGACATAAAAAAATTATAATTACTTTAAAGAATACCTGATCCAAATGCTTCTTTATGAAAATTTCCATGTCTTTTAAATTCCGTTTTCTAATACCGAGAATAGTCATTTTATTATTCTCATCAGAAATTTTAGAAAGTTTTTCATTCTAAAAAATTATCATCAAAAAAATGCTAATTTTCTCAACTTATGACATCTTTCAGAAACAAATTTTTAGAACAATTTGCTCAAGAATATTATGAAATTTAGAATTATTGTCAAAATCTATAAAGTAGAAAAAATAGTTATTATTTATAACTCTTCAAGCATAAATGCCTATTAGAATCTGGAAATTTACAAGAATTGAAAAATCTATATTAATTAGTAAGTAAATGAGCTCCATAGATATTTATAAAATATCATGTATTAAAATAAGCACTATGAAATTTTTAAATTACCTCACCTCTAAGAATACTAATCTAACATTACTTTTATTCCTAAATGTCCAGAATATATTAATTCATAGAAATCTTAATTATAAGTTGGATTAGAGCTTCCTAATTTTACTATGATGCCTAAAAAATAAAAATAGCTGATGAGGAAAAAGACTCCTCCTAAGAAGTACATAGATGAATTCCCAGCCTATTATTTAGACTTATTACCACTACCTCCATTTCTTTAAGAGAAAGAATAACTAAATTATTTGATTTTGCAAGAAAAAGGCGTGAGACCTAAAAAAATAGAAATAAATTAATTACCTTCATTAAGGCAACTTAAAGAAACACCAAAATCAAAGATATCTTCCAAAACAACTTCTAAGCCTAAAAGCAAGCCTATTATCAAATCTTTAGACTTATAAGCTTTAGGATAAAATTAGTAACAAAAGGAATCAGAACAATAAATTAATAAATAAAGAGTTTAAACCGAGTTGAAAAAGAATTAACAGAAAAAACCATCATCTTCATAATTAAAAAGATTGATTAAAATAGTGTATCAATTAAAAATTTGGTTATCTTTTTATAAATTGCTTATTGAAACGTTAACTGCTAAATCTGAAGTAATTTTAAAGCAATAAAGAGAGGAATTTACTTAAAATCTTACAGGAGCGTTAAGATAATTATCAGATTGGACTGATGCAGGTTTAGATGACTTACTACTTGAAATCATCAATTTAAAAGATCCTTTATATATTAAAGTAGGAGAAGAAAAACAAAACCAATAGAAAAAAAAGAATATCGAAAATCTATTAGTCCTATGCATGAAAAAACTACAATCGATAAACATGGGTGAATTTTTCACAAAATAGCTTGCTTTAATTTTGAATAACTTAATTTAACCTTACTAGTTTCCTCCTGTATAATATTACTTTAAATTTGAAATTGTCAGATTAAAAACTACTGCTTCTGGGAGTCTTGGGTAAATAGAAAAGAATCAATAAAGAATGATACTAATGCTATTCTTAATTATAAGATAGATATTATTTGCCTAGATCTTAAGAGCTTGGTAATTTCATCCTAATTAAACAGATAATGATAAATAATTGATTTTAATTTAAGCAAACTCAATAATTCTTGTTTCAGTCGTACATGAAATCATTATTAAATGGATAGAAAGAAATGTACCAAAGAAACGAGGTCTTGATTTAGAATTGTTGCATCAATAATTTTAATTTCTTGAAAAGCCATTAACATAGGATAAGGAGAAGATGGAAAAATAAGGAAAAATCTATTAAGATAATGAATTAATAGAAGGAATATTAGGAAGCAATTAAATTATGAAGTACTTGTAAAATAGTAAAGGAGAATTTGAAAAGTGGGTGATATAGTTCGAGTAGGATATTATAGACTTTTGCGATAAGATTTATGATCATCTAAAAAAAGAATTTGTGGATCAACCTAGGCAAAGAGATCGAATATGCAAAATGATGTCAATCCATTATTTAGCATCATTAATTAGAAAATATTGATAATATATAATCACATACTTTTAGATAAATCAGTTGCGCAAGATTTTCTTTTGCTAGACATATATTTTTAAACACTTTTCTTTCTTTGGACAATTTGCTAACTTAATCGTTTATTAACTAAATAATCAAAAGAAGAATTGACAGTTTTCTAAGGAGTAATATTAGTGTGAAATCGTTTGTCTTTGAGTTTGTTTTATTTTTCTATAGTTTTGGTATTGCTAATTTTGGTTGACTGTTGAGTACATATTTCAATTTGTTTGTAATAATTTAGTTATTCCTTCAAGAGCTTAACTTTTTAATACAGTTCCTCATTCTCTTTTTTTAGTTTCTAAGAACTAGATATCGCATGAATAGTACATTTAAAGTTTTTTTTGTATTCTGCAATAATTCATCTCTGTCTTACTCTAACTATTTGATTTAATTTTTCATTTCATCGTACTTTTAATTCATGAGGTAAGATTCCTGATGTGATATATAAGTAAATTTTACTCTGATATGCACTCTGACTTCAGATTCGTATTTCTACAATTGTTTTTCTAATTCCTTATAATCCTTTTTAATTTTGTTATGTTAAATATGTTCGATGATTATGGTAAGTTGTTGAATTAAATTTTGCGATTTGACAAAGTTTTAAAAGGATTCTATATCACTGTGATCTGCTACTAGATGGTATATTTTAATTAACAATTAAGACACTGACATATTTATATTAATATATAGTAAATGCAATCATTTCAATCTGGATTTGAGTTTGGCTTAATAATCAAGGTTGTCCTTCTGCACTTTTTCAAGTTGTTATGACTTTTCTAGAACTTTCATTCTTAATCTTTCTATTTCCTTATCCTATAATTCACATTTGCTTTATAATTCGTTTATAGTAATATTGTTGATTTTGACTTCCTCCGCAAATTTCTAATATTGTTTATGTTAGAGAGCTAAGTGTCTATAATTGTCAGCTTATCTTGATAAATCATTGATCAAACTTTCATTTTGCTACTTCAGCAAGTTGATTTCCTATTCTTTGATTTGAATGACTTCTTGAATCTTCTCATCTTCTCTCTCTTAACAATTAGAATTGTTATTCATCATCATTTCAACAGTTTGTAATTCTTAATCCTTTTAAGCAATAACATTATTTAATCTATTACATTCCCCTTCTAACATATTAGTCTTGCATTCTAAATCTCTGAAGTGGTATTGATAGAATTGTTTCAATTCATTCAATTATTTATCCAAATTCTGATTGTCACTTTTGAATTAATGATTCTACTCCTTCTATTAAAGTAATTCCTATTATAAAAATTGAATCAGCTTAGCTTTTGATTCTTGAATCTCCTTCAATTCCATTTCCTTATTTTTCTACTCATATTCTAGATTGATTTGCAATCTCTTAATCAATTCCTGATCTCTTTATTATTAAGTCTGAAGTAAACATATTTATTCAGATTATTTCCCAGTTAATTAAATCAAATCATCAACTCTTTATTACAATTAGGTTTTATGTTCTTAGTAAGTACAACTCACATGCTTAAAATCACTTTCCAATTCTTTGACTCTAATGCTTAGACTTGAAGCTTGCATAGTTTTGTTATCAGCCAATTCCTTCAATTTTTTGACAGTTGATAGCAAATCAAGATTCTAATCTTTTTGGATCTGAAGCTTAGATTTCAGTTCATTTAGATATTATTCCTAAGAATTTATAATTGTCTATTATTTCATCAAAGTAAATTCTTAGTCTTTTGATTGGAGGTCAAATTAGGAAATAGCCTATTCCAACTTTTCTTCTAGGGCATTATTAATCTACTTCACTTGAATCACCTCATCTTCCTATTAAATTACATAGAACTATTACCAAAACTTAGACTAAATTCTAATTGTTATTTTCAACGCTAGAAATTTTGGACAGGCATTATTACAACTTTGCTATTTCCTATTTGTATTACATTGTTTCTTATCTTAAACTTTATCTGTGGTTAATCTCCTATTGTTCCAATTGAAACTTTAAGGTGGCCACATCTTATTTCCAATTTATATCTAATTGTCTTAAGGCATCTGAATGTGTCTTCTCTAGAGCTTCATTTTTATGTTAGAGTAACTCTAATTGATTCTAAGAGATATTTATCGAATTGATACTTTTAGATCTTGATTCTCAGCAAGAACCTTTTGATTTTCCATAGTCATTGAAATTGAAGGCTATTATTTAAGGCGATCTTTCAATTTTTGATTCTCTCCTTACAATCTGTCTATTTCTTTGAGGAATGTCTCGATTTCTGAAATTGACTTGCATGATTTCTCAGGGTTTCTCTCTACTGAATTATAAGATTATAGTGGTTATCTAATGTTCATTTTGTTAACGGATAAAATTAATTAATATTAAATTAAAAATTTTATTCACATATATATACAAATTAAAGGTGGGGGGTGACCAATGCTCTATCACATTCCAACTCTGCTAATTATTTGAATGTTATCCTACTCTCCTATTTACTTAACTTTATACCCGCAACATTTTGCCTTTATGGAATTCTATTTCAGAATATAATTTAATTTTATACTGCTGCCAATTTATTTCTTATCAACTCGTCCTTAAAAGTCTTTCTATGAGCAAAAAGAATTGTCTTTGCAGATGAATACTTTATCCCAGCCTTTTGGGCTGCCTAATAAAGAGTTTAAACCAAAAACTTTACATCTTGGATTTTATAGCTTTCAAATAAAAAGAGCTGGAGGAACAATAACTTTGCCTCAGAGCTAATATAAGTGTAATTTCTTGGCTTTTGCTCAAGTTTTCTCTTTTTTGTAAAGTGGCGATGCTTTATAAAGGTGAATTAAGTCTAGTCAACTGAGGCCATGACGTAATCAATTTACAATGAAATTAATAAAAAAATTATTTGTTTAAAATTATGAAAAGTCAATTTTATTAATAATCATCAATTTTTTTTATTCATAACTATTACTAAGATGAGTAGAGGATAACATTTATTGCAATTTTATTAAGATAATATAGGATTTATTTTGCATTTAATTCAATATTTTAAATTAACTAATTCTATTTTAATTTCTGAAATTCTTAATCTATTTCTTCATTAAACTAAAAAGTATTCATTTTAATTTAAAATATTTATAGTATTCAGATATTACTCTCTCTTTTGTTTAAATTAAATGAAGGAAAATATATAAAAAAAATTTTCTAAAGAATTCAATATTAATTATCAATATATTTATTATTTAATTAATAAATTATGAAATAAAATGTTTAATGCTTTTTATCACAACCGAATCATTAATTATTTTTTTATTTTAAAGCTTTTTCTTTCCTCTCTATTTCTTTTAAACATATTTCTAACAAATAAATTTAAAACAAATAACCTTTTAACTTTAAGCTATTTTCATCATTGGGATCTATTATTAAAGCCCTTTCAATCACTTTTTGTGCTTACTTTGGCTCGCCTTACTTTCTTAAACAATTGCCTAAAATACAGTTTAGACTTACTTAATCCTCTTAGACAAAAAATTCGATTTTTATCAATATTAAGTGCTTTTTCATAGCATTCTTATGCTTCTTTATATTTCGTTAATAATCTTAGGCTTTCTCCTAAAGTTTCAGTAAAATATATACCTTTTCCGGTTAAAGACATAGAATCATTTTCATTTAAGTCTAATGACTTATTATAATAATGAATTGAATCTTCATATCTTCCTAAACATCTTAGACTTTCAGCTAAGAAATAAACAAAAAATACACCTTTTCCTAATAAAGATAATGAGTGATTTTAATTCAGCTTTAAGGCTTGATCATAAAATTCTATTGATTTTTGATACTCTCCCTATGCGCTTAGAATGTCACCTAATTTAATTTAACACACTAACCTCTTCCTCTTAAATTCATAAAGAAAATCGGGTCATCGCTTTATGATTCTCCATTAGCCTTATTTAAGGATTCCTAATAGTATTCATCTGCTTCTTTGAATTTTTTTTGCATTCTTAAGCATTCTCCTATAAAAATATTAATAATGAGACCTTTTCCATACAGCGATAAGCAATTTTTATTTAGTTTTAAAGCTTTATCCAAAGTTTCTAATGACTCTGGAAATTTATGCATTAATCTTAAGCAATTTGCTTTGCCATTTAATGATGGAATATCATTTGGGTATTTTTCAAGAGCCTTCTCATACAATTTTAAAGCCTCTTCATATTTTCTATCCTTTTTTAAATTATCAGCTATGGATTATTAATGTAAATTACCAGAAATACAGAATTCAAGAACTTCGTTTTTATCGAAAGGTTCAGGTGCTGTTAAGTTGGGTGTTTATTTTTCATCTAACTAGTCTTAAATCGATTTATTAGATTCATCTTCATTGTTTTAAATATACAGTGGATTTTCTGAGGTCCTAGTTTAAAATATGCCACTAATTAAAGAAGGGTCTTCTGTTTGAAAGTCAACATCTTGTTTTTCACCTTAATTTGAATCATCAAAATCCATAGGTATTGTATTTTGTTCCAACTCAAATAAGCATAAACCTAAAATTTAGTACAGTTTTTAAAAAAAAATACCTTTTCCAAATAATGAATCTACATTTTTCTAATCGATCTCTAAAGCTAAATCATATTATTAAATAGCTTCTTTATATAACTCTTAATGCCTTAAACATTCACCTAAAATATAATTTTATAAAACCTAATCCTACAAGAGATAATAAATTTTTTTCATCCATTTACAATACCCTCTCATACAAAGGTTTTGATTGTAAATAATCCTCAAGCATTCTTAGACATTCACCTAGAAATTTTATGATTCTCTTACCTTTTCCAACTAATGATGGGATATCATTTAATTCAATTTCCAACGCTTTGTCATAATATGGAATTGCCACTAAGAATTCTTTTAGCAATCTGTGGCAATCACCTAAGCTTCTCCAACAAATTAGGTTTTTTTGGTCTATATCTGTAGCTTACTTATAAATAACGATCGATTCTTTATACTTTTCTTATTTTTTTAATATGTCAGCTAAAAATTTGAATTACTTATTAAACCTGTTTAAATATAATAATGAATGGATCTTTTTTCTTCTTCGGTTAATTAAATGGAGGGTTTTTCATTATTTTAGTTACTTGATTAAGCATTATCATAGATCGTATCTATTTTATTATCTTCATCACTTTAGTTAATTTCAATTGTTTCATTTTTAACATTTACCAATTCAATCAATTTTTTTATTTCTTCGATGTATATATTACTAATATTCTATATTTTCTTCTTAATCTGGTCAGATTTCTTATCGAATTTTAAAATATTATCAAGCAATTTGTGTTTTTAATTACTTTGCGAAAGATTGAGGTCTACAGAATGTTATGCCATAATAACGGCCTATAGTTGTTTAATAGGTTCTGTCACAGAATTACATAATGAAGATAAGTAATCCTCTAATTCTTAATATTTCTAAACCTGATCTTGGATATAGAGTTCAGCTTCTTAAGAGTTTACTAGTTGATGATTTTTGTGATTTTCAAATTCTACACATTTATCACAAATGAATCTAAATTCAGAACAACTTTCAGCTAGGCAAATGGATTTTACTACGCTTAGGTGATGCCCTAACTAGCAATATAGTTCGATCCATTATGATTGCTACGACATAAATTTTAAATATGAAATCTGTTAATAAAAGAATGATGTTATAGAATATATTTATTTTTGAGGATTTGACTTTGAATTATTTGTTTATTAAATAAAATTTATTCAATGTAAAATAATAACATTATGTGCGCATACCACCCAGAATCACCTGCACGTTATATATGTCAAGGTGAGAGTTGCTTCGAAAAAAGAATATTTTGCCATGCATGCTTGAAAAACAACAAACATATGCATAGTGTTAATAGAAATGAATTAATAGAGGAATTACCATAAATTTTGGAGGGTTCACGTTAGGATTGTGATCACCTTTTAGAATTTATTGAAGAAACCTTTAAAGAAATCATTTTATTTAAAGATTATTTAATTAGGGCTATTAGAAAGAAATATCACATTTAAATAGAGTTATTTAATGAAATTAATATTGAATCTAAATGCTAAGCATTAGATAATTTAATCAAATTCAAAGAAGATTCAAAAATTATTTAATAAGTATTGGATCAACCATTTAAGACAGTTTTATCACATATTAAAGATGGAATAACAGATGTTTGTTTAGAATAAGTAACTTACCTAGGATAGATGACTGAATAAGAGCGACAGTAATTTCAAAATCATATCACCGAAAGTAATTTATTTATTGAAATATTAGGTTAGAATTTATTTTAATCCAACCGTTTGGAGGAAGCTTTAGAAAAGGTAGAGAGAGCACTAATTATAAATCCGAGAGATCTAGACGCTCTTATTTAAAAAGGTTTTCTTATTTTAAATGTTAGGCAATATATTAATGAGACTTCAAAGATTAAAGGAAGCTCAATAGCAATTTATTTAAGCTCTTAAAATTGATGAGTTGCATGTTACATCCAGGTTTGCATTAGGTATATATTTTTATAACTTTCCAGGTTCTTATTATATACGTACCAATTAAAGAAGACAGGCACTGCAATAGTATTTTAAAATAATAGATATTAATCCTGGTAATCAATAAGCAATAATTTAAATTGATTAATTGCTAGAAGAAACTTATTGAATATGAATTTATTATATTCTTCATTTATATTAATTTTAACTAAATTTAAATAATTAATTAGAGAAATTCTCTATAGAGTATTGCATAATATAATCTTTTAGTAATCAATCAATGTATATTTGAATAAGGTTTATGAATTTTAAAGAATTTGCACTTTATCAAAAGCATAAAATAGAAATATAATAATAATAGATTCTAATTAATTTTATATATATTATAAATTAAAATCAAATCTGATTGGATGAATCAATTTCGATAAGAAGATAATTAAAAATAAGAGATCTAAGATGATAATCTAATGTTTTAATATAATTTTTATTAAATAGAAGGCAAATACCAAACTATAGCAGGTTTCTACCTATAGCAAATATAAACAGAATCATGAAGAAAGCACTCCCTGAAAATGCGAAGATCGCTAAAGATGCCAAAGAAACAGTATAAGAATGTGTTTCAGAGTAAGGAATAATTTGATAAATAGATTCATATCATTCATAACATCAGAAGCTTGTGAAAAATGCAAGAATGAGAAAAGGAAGACAATAAATGGAGAAGACTTATTGTATGCCATTAACACATTGGGTTTTGAAAGTTATGTTGATATATTAAAACTCTATTTAAATAAATATAGAGAGGTACAAAATGCATATCATTGGATAGGCAGTTAAGGCGGTAGAGGGCACAACAGGAGCAACTAATTAAAAAAGGAAAAGGCAAAATTCATCTGATGATGATGACGAGGATGATGAAGAAGATGAAGAAGATAACGATGATGATGATCAATCCTGAACAATTATTTAGATATAATGTTAATAAGTTTATTTATTCATTTCTCATAGTCTTTTTAATTAAATAACAATATTCAGGGTTTAACATTTTTTATTATTAAATTTTCTATAGAATTGTCGGTGTTTTTAATCATATATAGTATGCTGTCCAAACAATCTCTCAAGATGGTATAGAAGTCCAAATCATTAATTTTCAGTGACATTCTGCTTAGCTATAAATTATAGTAGTCATCTTTGTAATTGGTCAGGTAGTGTTTCTTTATTTATTGATGCAATTATTGTAGTGAATTTCTGATTTCATTACTAATAATTTATAAATTCTAGCATTTAAGATAATTAAGTGAAGTTTGGATTTGATTCTTTTCATATTTCAGTTATTCATTATCTTTAATTATAAGTTAACATTGCTCCTCCAACTTTTCCATTTGAGGTTAGAGGTTGTTAAATTATGTAAGCTGTTTCATTAGACTTTTGTTTTACAAATCCAATTGTGTAATTTTATTTTGCTATTCTCTAATGATGCCATCTTTCTATAATAATATAGTTAAGAGTTGTTTTTTTTCTCTTTAAATTTATTCGAGTATTAGTGCATAACTATGGGTTTAAGTTAATTTCTTATCTTGTTGTTGATGCTTGATTTCTGGCTTAGTGAAAGTAGTTTAAGATTTTTTTAATAGATCGTCGATCTTGGAATTGACTTCAGTCAGACGGGAATTGCTTTGAGGAGTTTGGATAGTGGTCAGAGGATTGGATCTAAATGATAAGTTGGTTAAATGAGTAGAGGTAGATCTGGAAAACTTCATTTAGAGGTTGTTATAATTTGTATTTTAATTTATACTTGAATTAAAAGAGGATGAGCGATAGTGTTGATATATTAGTTTATATAAATAAATAGGTGATTAAATATATAAATAATGAATTTCACAATAAATGAAATACGGAAATCGGGGACTCATGTAAATTAATTTATTATGACAGACAGAAGAAGAACTCAATCAACTAACATTGGATGAGAACATGGGGGAGTTGAGAAGAGCACAATACATTCTTTAGAGAGGTCATCCAATTTAAAAATATGCAGTATGATAGATAGTAATTAGATTTACTCAAACATCCACAGGCTATTTAAAGTGAGTGGATTTAGTTTATTATTTCCCATAATTAACGAGGATTTGGTGAAGTAAGACGAAGACACAATTGCAATAGCCACAAAGGAATTTTTGTTGATTGCAAGGTAGATGAAAGAGAAGGAGTAACAGATATTGCTTAATCAAACATTTCATTTTATGAAGAATTACAATTTGAAATTGGCAGAAGGATGGTTTGAGTTATTTGAGATGTTGTATTGTTGCGACATTCACAATTCAATTAAATTGATAAATGAGTTAACCGATATTGAGGCTGACACACATTGGCGTTAGAGAGGAGCTCGACTGCTACAGTATATACCATAGATCGAGAGAATACAATTACTTTGTATGGACAAGGATCCTCAGGTAAGGTTTGAGATTGTGAAGACAATATAGATTGTTTACTGTAGTTTTACTCCTGAGAAGTTTAGTACTTATTTGCAGATGAAGGTATATAAATAATATAACAATGAAGATTTTTGAGTTGATTTATGATTATGAAGTACAAGTAAGGATGGCAGCAATTGAGATGTTTTTTATGGTTTAATCTCATTTATAAGATAGGGAAAAAATGATTACAAAATAATTCTTTGAATTCCTAAGTTCCCAGAATGTATAAATTATAACAATAATGTCAAGAATATGTGGGAAAGTATTAATGGAAATCATGGATGTAAAACCTGATATTTAAAAATTTCTAAAAGTGTTCATTTCATTTGCTGAAAGCACAAATGAGGAATATCGAATTAACTTTGCCTACAATTTTCCTGCCATTCTTCAAATCCTAAAGGGAGAATGCTATGATTAACTAAAAGAAACTTATTTACGATTGTTACAATTTGATACATCGACTCAAGTTAAGAACTTACTCCTGGCAAGCATCCCAGATGTGATCTCTACCTTGAAAATTCATAAGACTCAATCAATGATACCTTTGATTCGTAAAATGCTAGATCATCCAATAATATAATACAATCTATATTCAATAATCTATGCTCTTTGGCCAAGCTATGATTAACAGGAACAATTGATTCTATCAGTAATAATACATTAAAATGACATAGAAAATGTTGGTGAATGATATACTCATAGACTTAGTGAAATAGGTTAATTGTAAGCCCAGTGTTGTACTGCTAGAGTAATTACTAAAGTAAAATTGCATAATATATACAGAGACTTCACGAGTTCTTCCAATAATGCGATGCTTACCTGTTATTGTTGACTCCTCTTTTGAATTTATTGTCGGCAGATTCCTTAAATATTAGAAACTTGGCAGTTCAGAACATAGCTTATCTTGCATATCATGATCAGTAAAGAATATCTATAATTCATAGATCCATAAACAGTCAAATGATTAACTTGTGTATGAATAGTAACAAGTTCAGAATGCGTATCTGTTACATAGAATTCATATCTTAAACTATTGATCTATGTTCTAAGAGATATTTCCATCTAAATAATTTTATCAACATATTGGCACTCAGTCAAGATAAGATCTTCGAAGTTCGTATTAAACTCAGTCGTATCATGAAAAAGATATAAACGATCATTTTAGATAATGATGAGACTGCGTGCATTGCTTATGATTAAGCTATTAAACGGCTTTCACGTGATCCAATCATCAATGATGTAATTAGTAATTTCAATTGAGTGTAGATTCTTAAGTAGAATGAATCATTGTAATTTTCCTTTGGAGATGATTTGCTAAAAGAATAAAAAGAACATTTGTGTTTTGCTAGGATTTCAGCTGATGATATTGATGCTACTGAAAAAAATGAACACACTGGATCCATTTCACCATTTATTATTAAGTCTAAGAATGGATATGGACATAGTCGAAAACGATCATCAATCACTCGTCAACCCATCAATAGATCTTAACCAAATGCTTCCTTTACTTAAAAACTTACTCAAATTTAAACTAAATACAATCCTATCAAAATTTCTGAAGACATGAGTCGTAGAACCTCTGTTCCTCCTGTTCCTGGTCGAAAATTACAACTCGCTTTAAAACCAACCAATACTCAATTCAAACCCAAATTAAACTAATAACGATTGAGAAAATGAATAATTATATTATTATTAAATGGACTCTGCACCCAAAAAGAAAAAGTCTGTCTCTTCTAAATAAGACAAATCCTAAGCAGGTAGTGTCAAATCCAAGAAGTAATAACCTCCTGGTGAAATACTGGAATAATAACGTATACTACAATTCAAATGTTAGACTCATAACATGATATTCAAATTGATGATCATCCCCAATAGCCTGATCCCTTTATTTCTCAACCTCCTTAACAACTAGTCAAAGTTTGCATTCATCACAATCTCCCATTCCAGTTTTTCTGTGAAGCATGCGAAGATCCTATTTGTTAACAATGTACCATCTTAGGTCCTCATAACACCTAATTACATAGAATTAATAGGTTAAGTGATTCTTTCAAATTGCGATGTGCTAAAATTGAAGAATCCATAAAAGCCAATTTATTAGGGAAAAGAGAATAGCTGTTAGCATAAATTCATAGAGTAAATTTGACTATCTATTTTTTAGATAGAATATAGAATTGAAGAGATTAAGTATGTCAAAACTATCGTTGAAAGAGATGCAAGAGCAGAATTTGGTGGAGTCTTAGAAAGATTAAAATAGAGTGAAGGATAAAAATTGGCAATCCTAAGTCATGAGATATCTGAATTATAAAGGTATTAATTTATAGTCATTTGTAGAGACTTGGATAAAATAAATGAAGTAGGATCGTAATTTTATGATCTCAAGGAGATTCCTGATCCTTGTCCTTTCCTTTTGAAATCAAGAAACATCTATGATTAGATTGAATATATGGTTGCCAAACCATTTAAGGTTTAAATAGAGGTCTATCCATATGATTTGCCAAGAGAATTAACTGAATTGAGATTGCAATTACAGAAAGCATCTGCTTAATAATAATTGATCGAATTCAAAAATGAAATTATTTGGAAGCTATTGAGTGAAAAGTAGATCGATGAAGAGGCTATTAAGTAATTAGTTATTCATATAAGTTTGATAGATAGGAATTGGAGAGATAAGCAAGTGAAGAAATAAGTGAGTGGAGTAAATTAGTTGATAAATTCTCATAAGAATTGAGAAAACAATAATTAGTATGCTATTATTGTGGATGCAAAATGGAAAAACAATATGTTAATTCAATCTGTGCATAAAACAGACAAGAATAAGATTGTAAAAATATTTAAGAGTTTAGATGATAAAGTATTTTGTAATGAACAACCCCCATAAAACCATAATGGAACTAGTAGACATTACTTTGCAGATCCAATTTTATGAATCTATATTATATCTATTGATTTTTAATATTCATACCAATTAATAATAATATCAATTAAGCCAATGTTGTTAGTATACTGATATATCATTTATTCTATAAAATACAATATTTATTTGATTAAGTTTATATAAACAATCATATAAAATTAATATTATGAACATTTATACTATAGTAGAATTAATTAAACTCTCCGAATAACGAGGTGTCGAATTACTTATTGATGCCTTGATAGTTGGGATAGAAATGGGGAGAAGGAACATTGAGAATCAAACGCAAATTCAAAAAATTGTTGAATTACTAACATTATTGAAACGAAAGATAGATTTAAACATCTACTCTCCTTTTCTAAGGGATGAGATATTTGATAGAGTGCTCAATAAGAAAGAGAAAGTATCATAAACTATCTATTCATAAGTTAGAAGATATTCTATATGGTATTCAACTAGAGTTCCAAAGATAATCGAAGATTAAACAACAAAATAATATTTGTGAAATTTGCAGTCAACCTGTTAATAGTCAAATGGAGAAATTCAATGCTCAATGCAATCATCAATTTCATTAGTAGTGTGTGACTCCTCTGTTAACTCATGTTATGGAAAATTAAAATAGCTTCAGATGTCCTTTGTGTGGTCATACTACTTTACAACAGGATTTGGAAAACAAAATAAAAGACAATATAACTTTTAAAAAATCTTGTTGTCCTACTCCGTAATGCGGCAAACGATTCTCATATGTTGGATAAGAAATTTATAGATGCACTGATTGTGGCAAGAGATATTGCTTAAAATGTCAATCACAAAGTCATGCAATTAATCAACAGAATCATACTGTCAAGGCTGTCAAATTTGAAATGGGTGATAATTATAAGGAATGTCCAAAATGCAAATTATGGGTAAAATAAATGAATGCAGAAAGAATATTGAATTGTCAATAATGTAAATACAAATTTTGTTTTGGTTGTGGTGATAGAGATGGTGCATGTTCTTGCAATAAAGTTAACGGAGCCTTTTATAATAGCTATATGTGGATAAAAAAGAAGATAATAGGATGATATGATAATGCATATATAATTGTATTTATTGAACTTCTTTTTAATTAATCAATTTTTAATAATAAATGAGTTTTTAAGGTTTTTTAGTGAAGAAAACAATTTAACAGTTTCCAATTCGATAGAGACCTGTATATTACGAGGACTACACAGATTAAAACCTAGTACTCTTCATTAATAAGAAATTGGCTGATTTAAGATGTATTGTTTAGAAATAGTAGTTAAAAGTGGCAGCAACGATCTATCGGCAAAGCGCATCATGAATTTAAAGATTAAGATTCCTAAGGATAAAAATACTGATGGTCCAAAGATGAAGAGGAAGGCTTCTCTTAAATAAAAAACCGTCTCTGAAGATGAGTCAGAAAAGAAAACTAAGTACAAATTCCGATCTCCATAAGCAAAACCTGAAGTAAAACTTGCTTCATAACTAAATGATGAATTGCTTAAATAACATTAAATCTCATAGTTATTCCAAGAGTACAAACTAGCAAATTTGAAGGCAAATCTAGTGAGATTGAAATCAAAGAAAAATTATGAATTGAACGAATTGAATCATATAGAATTGGAAGATGATGAACAAGTCAAGTTCTTTCTGTAGGAGATATGCAAGAATCATCCTGAAATTGAAGTTAGTCAATTACTACAAGTAGATGTTGAAAAGAAGTAAATAAAAATGGAGAGTCAGAAATAAACATTGCAAGAATTAATTGAGAAGCGTATTAAGTAAGAACAAAATGAAAATTTGGTCAAGATGGAACAACAATACTAAAAGAACTTAGTAAACATATACAAAGAAACCAGATATGATTAATTTGAACCCGAATTCAAAAAGCAAGGATAAATCAATATTTGTAAAATCAAGAAACAGAAAGAGACTTAAGACAAAATGTTCTCGGAGATCTTCAAAGTCAAACATCCCACATCTGAACACAATTAAAAACAACATTATTTTCGTAGACAATATGTTACCCCCACTAAAAAACATCAAGCTGCCAAATCATAATAATTCTAAAACAATATCTTTCTTTCTTAACCAGATACTATTTAAATTACTCCTCAAACCTCAATCATCAATGAATTCAAAGTAAGTCCCCTCACTACCTCCGTTGGAACTTACAGTGATATCAAGTCTCCTCTGAATTCTTATAGGAAAAATGATTTCAGTTTAAAGTTGAAAACCATTATGGACAAATGTGACATCATTGAAGTCGAATAAGCCAAACATAATGAAATCATTAAGAAAAAAATGAATAAGATGGGAAAAGAGATGTATCATCATTTCGAAACTGCCAGAAACAGATACCAAAATCAAGAAATGGAAATTGATGTCAATGAAGGTTTTGAACGCTTCTTATAAGAAAATCAATTTAAAAGGAAATTGATACAATATCAGGTGAATTAAGTTCAAAATCTCCATGAAGTTCTAAGTTAAAGGGCTAAAAGAGAAATGACCAATAATTTTATGGGTACAGATTTAGACAAAAGACAATTAATTTGATTTAAGAAATAAAATTATTTTATAATAATAATAATAAATATAAGTTAAAATGTCTGAATAAAGTTCAGATGATAGTGATGAATCACCAAAGTTAATCTAACCCAATAGACAAAGAAAGCATCTATCAGAGATTGACGTTCTTATTGCTACCTTATAAATAGAACCAAAACAAAGGAGTTGGCAATAATTGAAGTTTCTTTGTGATACTTTTGAATAAAATGTCCATTACTTTTCTTAATTACGTAATAAACTTACAACTTCAATTCTTATTAAACTAATGGCTACTATTTCACTAGAATAATTTACGTCATTTAATGTCGTTTTTAATTAAGGGGAAACTGGGAGAAAAATGTATATCATATTGAAAGGGGAAGTGGCAGTTCTTATAAAGACAGATGATCAAAATGAGGTAATTCAAAAGGAGGATCATAGACGAAGAAGTAAGTTATTGTAATAATTAGGGGCAACCAAAACATTTGATGAATTGATATTGCATAAGTTTTCTAACTATCGAATTGTAGCTTATAAGAAACAATATGACTACTTTGGAGAAATAGCAATTGAGTAGAGGATTCCTCGCACAGCTACAGTGATTGCCAAAGAGCCTTGTGTTTTTGCAATAATCACATTTGATGCTTATTAATCTTTACTGAGCGAATTATAGGCTGACAATTTGTAATTGAGATAGGTCGTGATAGCAAGAATGTATCCATTTAATTTGTTAAATGAATAACAGTTTTAACAGATTTTACACAATTATGAGGAACTAAATATACAAGGTGGTTGTTTGTTATATAGAGAACAATAGAATGCAGATGCGATATATTTGGTAATTAAGGGAGAAGTGTTAGTGCAGATTAAGGAATTAGTTGATAATGCTGCTGCTTAGGTTCAAGAATAGAAATATTTTGTGAATTTCTAAAAGTAACAGAGAATCAAAAATATCGGTCTATTTGGGACAGGATAAATAGTGGGAGATTATGAATTGTATTTACAAAAGAAATACAAGCATAAGCTGATAAGGAGGACCATAGCAATAGTTAAAAGTGACTCTAGAATTATCAGGATTCCCTTGAAATAATTTGTAGACGTAATAGAACATGGGCTATCAGCAAAATGGCTATTACGTTATGTAAATGAGAAGTATGAATAGAAGGAGCAGTTACCAATATTATAATTAAAGGATGAGTAGGAGAATAGGAAAGTGTAATCGTTCATATCACCTCAATTCAAAAAAATGATTCTTCGATTGAAGAAACATCATGATCGCAATAAAATTTCGAGTGATCGATATTAATAGATCATTTACAAACAGAATGTGGAGGATGGGAATAATGAGTAATAGTTTACTGGATTAAAGAAGGAAATAAATTATTAGGATAAATCATTGCTAAAGTATTTAGCTAAGGATCAGATTTTACATAAGAGGAAGAGCAATACTCTGACTAATTTTAGTATTGACAAGTTCGCCTCGACTTTAAAATCTAGGGTTAGATTCACTAAATTATTAACATAAATAGATGAGGAGACAAGTTGTTACAGATTTCATTCTACTCCAACTAAAACGAATGGGTTCTTATCTAAATAGACTCAAACTCTTACTAATATTCAATCTCCATAATATAAATTCAACTAAACATTCAGAATGAATTGACTATTATTTATTTATCAATTTATGTATAAAAAATAATCAGCTAGACCTGATTCATCGAAACATAATAAATTAGTGATCGCTGTAAACTAATTGATAGAACAATAAGAACAACCCGAACAAATGGTAATATGAACACTTATCATTGTAAGTTACTAAAAAAGATCACTAACCTATGGTCAAACAAACAGAGTTCTGAACATGATCAGAATATCCAATATTAACGATGCCTTTACATCTTACAATTAGAACCAGACGATAGATCATAAAGTCAAGCCAAATAAGTTTAAGCCTATTTTGAGAAGCATTTCCATTACATAGGGTATTAACTTACACATATGCAAGATAAATACGAGGATAACTATCACCAGAACTTTATTTAAAGTTATTCAAGAATCTCTTATTTGAGAGAGTGAACTAATTTGAATTAGTCTTCAATTATGGTGAAAAGGGAAGGAAGATGTATTTTATTTTGGAAGGTGAAGTAGGTATCTTATTACCTTAAGAAAATGAATCATAAACTGAACGTAAATTAGATCGTAATTAAATTACTAATAATGTAAGTGTCAGCAATCAAACGATTTGATGAGTTATTATTGCACAATTACAGCAATCATAAATTAGTTGCCATAAAAAAGAAATCAGATCATTTTGGTGAAATTGCTATTGAATAAAGAGTCCCTAGAACAGCTACAGTAGTTGCCAAAACAGAATGTATATTTGCCACATTATCTTATGATGCATATCAGAGTGTTCTTGGATTATTGCAAGAACAAATCATGAAAAGGAAATTCGAAATCATTCGATCAATTCCTCCATTTAAAAATTGGGTACACACCTCCTAATATGTGTTTTTACATAATTGCGAAGAACACACCTTTGAAACAAATAACATCATTTACAAAAGATTCAATAAATGTGATTCCGTTTATTTGATCATAGAAGGAGAAATCCTAGTGCAGAAATGGGAATAGTATCGACTAGACTCAGAAGAGAATGAAGTATTCTTACCGTAAGGTGAAAAAATGACTACATTGGGTAGGTATTCAAATGGCCAAGTAGTAGGGGATTATGAAGTGTATTTAACCAAAATGCAATAGAATTAAGTCAAGAGATCCTCTTAAGCCAAATGTATGGTTAAAACTTCAGTTCTACGAGTTCCCATTCAATAGTACATAGAGAATATGCGTAATAACCAAACTGAGGAATGGCTATAATAGTATTACGAAGACAAGTTCAGCAAGAAATGGATTAATTATGAAAGTGTAACATCACTTCAGAAAAGTGCATCAGTTCCAATTAAGAATTAATATATACTCCCAAATGCAAATTAGAAAAGCACTCATATTTTGCGTAAAATTTCTTAACCTTGTACTTCAAAATTTATTGAATGCTCTTCTAACTATAATGATAATTAGGTTGTTACGTATTCATAAGATTTATTAAACCTTATGAAGTAGAATAGGAAATATAGAGACAATTCTCAAAATTAAAAAAATAATCACTCTGTTCACTCTTCCTATAATATTATTTAGAATCTAAAAAATAAAATTTTGAACTATTAAGATAGGTTTTAATTGGAAAGCAGAAGTGGAGTACAATCTTAGAGCATATTCGATAGAAAGAGATGCCAATCTCGTATAGACGTTGATAGTTTTTAAACATAATTCCTTTTGAAGCCGAGTACTTGTTCTTAAAAGAAACGAACAAAATTTAAGAGCATGCATAAGTTCGAATATTTGTCTAAAGTGATTAAAATGGGATCTTGATTACTTTATATAATTTTATCTTCATTTATAAACTTCAATGATACATTCAGAGGAAGAGAGTGTCAATAGTTTCACACCTGGATCGTAATATACATTCGTTATAAGTAGGCAAGACTAAAACCTTGAAGAGCATAAAAATAAGGACTCTAAAAAATATGCCATAATTGATTAATCTATTCGTGTTCAATTACTACGCCGTATACTTTCAAAACAGGCAACAATTAAGGATGCTGCTAAAGAGTTTGGTGTTAATTTTTCAACTGCTAAGGCAATTTTGCAAACCTATAGGAAGGAAGGAAGAATAGGAAAGAAAAAAACAAGAGAAAGAAATAAAAACAGATAAGAATCAGGTGAAAATAGTTCTCCCAGAAAGATTTAATCGATGTATAACTTAGAATAGCCTCAATAAATGAGAACAAACTCTCCACAATAGAAACCACAAGCACCAGCCATTTAACCTATATTCTCAGTGATGAGCTCTCCAAATCTAGACAATCCTTAAGCATAAATAGCATTGGCTCTTTGTTAAAGGGAACTAGCTCAATAAAAACTAATTAATTTCTAATTAATGATGATGATTCAAGTAACTTAGAATCTTTATTAATTTAGAACTTCAAAAATATTTCGCAATTATAAGTCAAGGAAGAACCAAATATAATTAATTGAATTAATAATATATATATATATTATTTATCTATCTATCGTATTATATATACAACATTAATCATTACTATTATTATGGAGCCCTTTCAGCTGATTGTAATTCTTCTAAAGAAATAGATAAAATCAATAAATACCCATTGGCATTTTCTTAACAAAAAACAACATAGCCACAGTAATTGCAATCATGAAGAAATATTAATTTTGGTAGATCTATGACAAACTCAATTCATCTTCTTTCTATTGAGATATATGATATACAGTTTTACTTCAAAGTAATCTTTCCTTTGAATGATCTCAAATAACATTTAATCTCTTGTTTGTATTCTTTGTTACTTGGTTTATTATTATGATTTAGGTTTTTATCTTAAGATTGGGTGAATTTTTGAAACTGCAACATTTGTACCTTTATTGCTGGTATAAACATCAATAAATGCGGATTCATAAACAAAATATCTTGAATGTACTTCTAGGAAGTATCTTCCATTTGGAATATTGTAGCTAGGATTAATGTTTAGAGAGATACAATGCAAAGATTCCATTCTTTTAGGTGTGTGTTTCATATTGTCCATAATTGAGTGTTACTTTGAGAATGGGATCATCTTATACAAACTCTCTTTGTAATTCTTGTATATATATTGAAGAAGATGGTACATTAAAGAACCTTGCCTTCGATTTTGGATTATGAAGCAAAAGCAATCATTGGAAAAGCAACGAGTAACAGGAGATGAAAAATGGCCATTTAATATATAATATTTATTTGTTATAATTTGAAAATGGAACAAGGAATTGAATAATTAGGATTTAGTAATCGAAATAGATAAGTGGGATAGATAGTGAGTAGTGGAAAGAAGAAGAGTAAGAGTAATGATGAGGGATAGAAGATAATAAGATTGGATAAATTGAGATAGTAAATTGTGAGTTTGGAAATTGAAGCTAAGAAGCCTAAGTTGAAATTGAAGAAACTAAATAGTGAAAACATGTTATTGATTGAGAAACAACAGTTGGAGGATGACATAAAAGAAATAAGTTAGAGATTAGAGAAAATGAAATAGATTAAGATAGTGAGTAAATAGTAATAGTGTGATTTGTTATAGGATAAATAAGTATGAATAATTGAAATTGTATAAATAGGATTTCGAGTAAAGGTGGAATAACATTTAGAAGGAGGATGAAATTTAAAGTTTTTAGGAAAGAATGCAAAGTACTTTATTGTTGATAATATTCTTTATTTGATACTAGCTCTACTCAACGAGGAGTAGGAACCAAGTAATCATGATATTGAGATCTTGACCAAAGAAGTTGAAGAACTATTGTGTTTCAAAATAGATGATAAACCAATTAAGTACGATCTATTCACTATAGAAGAAGAATAATAAGATTAATCTTTTACTTGATTTATATAATAATAATAATAATAATAATAATAATAATATATACAGATATGAAATGTTAGACAGTTGAAATTGACGATGATGATACTCTACTTGAAAATAGAGATGGATCCATTATACAGCGTACCAATTGCTGCTTACAACTCTAGTCGAACCGTATTCAAATGATGCCCAAATACACATCACTCAGAGAAATGTGGAAAGCGAAGATGAAGGTTCCCAGGCTGACTCTCTGGATGAATAGATCGGATAGGCGATTCCCTCTCTTGTTAATTCCATTCTTGAGATGATGCTCAAACAGCAACTCACAATTCTCATTATCGTAATCCTTCATGCCATTTTAAATACAATCTTTACATTCTTGGGTGTTTGTTTTAGACAAGATACAATAAATAAATTACAAGGCTTATTGGATTCCCAAGAGCGAGCCGAGTAACTCTATTGGTTTCTAACAGTAATTGACATCGTTAGTTGCCTCATCTTCTATTATTTGGCTATTTCAGCCTATAGAACTAAATCCTATTTGATGTATCAATTATTGCTCAAATGGGTTTATTATTGTTTCTTCATCCAAGTGTTCTTGGCCTACATCAATAAGTACAATTATCACATTATTAGATTGAACATTTTATTGGTATTTCTGAAGATCCTGACATACATCTACTCAAAGTTTGTGGCCCAATTAATCAAAGGAATTGTGAATCTCCCTCGACAGAGAGCAGATTGAATGATAAATTGAAGAATGATGTCGATTCATAATTAATTATTATCTACTTTATGTTAGATATGATAATCTTCTATCTAGACCGTCCTCTCTCTCTTAATTTAATATTATAAATGAGTTTGAGTGTTCATTAATATACTAAGATACGATTAGTCTTCCGCCAAGACATACTTAGTATTCAAACTTAAGTTTATATTAAATATTATTAAAATTTTAAAATGTTGCTATTCTCGTACCAATTACAAAATTAACACAAAATTCAAGAAATTGCGCTCACCCCAAAACAAAAGGCAAATATTAAAAGGATTATAAGCTATTAAATAAATAATGAAGATGGATGACAAAAGATTCAAGTTGCTACTAGGAGTCCATTATTTAGGGTCAACAAGTAAGCAATCACAATCATTCATAGACTACTTTGCCTCCTCCACTAAAGCATCAACCATAAAAAGATGTGTCCAGACTCAAACATCCACCTAGGATTGTACCCAAAATGACTATTCTATACAATCTCCTTAAATTACTAAGGTACTTATTCTCACATCATCCTTCTAGAAAGTCAAGACAACAGCTGATAGTACTCAAAATACATACGAAGATGACTTTTACTGTCATGAGAATCTAAAAATAGAGGAATCTATACAATTGCCTATCACTTTCACCAATCGAAACAGCGGCATTCCAAATTAAAAATAGTTCTATTACATTAACCCACTCTACATTTAAGAATTCAAAGAAAAAGAGTATAACTATAAAACTAGAGCCCTAATACTGAATCGAATCCTTGACAATTGCATTAACATGAACAATCCTTACTTTCACAAAGCCATTTACCTATTTGATCTATTTCTAAGTAAACTCAAATGCAAGACCATCTCCAATCAATAGTAATTACGATTTCTGTCTTTGGCTATAATATTTGTGATAACTAAAATGAATGCAGAAAGTTCTAATGTCAACCTTTTACTCTCCTAATCATCACTCAACATGAACAAACAATAACTACTATAGTATGAAAGACTCATCCTTAAAGTATTGGATTGGCATACGAACCCACTAACATTACAAGACATATTTTATGAAGTTATTTTGCGATTTCAGGTAGCCTTTCCAAACTTGAATGCATACATGTCTAATGAAAAATTAAATCTTAAAATCTAAATTAATGAAAGTGACATGAAAGTTATCAATCAAATCCTGAATGTCATCGTGTTGGATCACAATTACCTTAGTCATGACTTTGATGATCTTTCATTTTCCATCTTGTATGTGATGTACCAAAAGGAACTCAAAGAAAATGAATTCGAAGATTTTCTGAAAAATCATGAGAAGTCAAAGTCACAAATCCTAACATCAATTAAATTTGTATCCAAATTTATTAGAGTTGTTTAATAATTGGTATATTATAATATTTAAATTTAGAATGAGAAATAGTTAGACATAAATTCATTAGAAATACTCAAGCTAGTTTGTGATTGATTTTTATTTATGTGTTATATTCTTGTTCATTATTCTTTAAATTTTTAATGTCATTCACTTCTCTCATATAGATTTAAAATCATATTAGACAATATCAATTGCTTTATTCTAAGCTATTTGAATGTGAGATAACTTAATACACACAATGGAATCCAAATAGATAACAAGTAAACTGGTCTTAATAAATAATTTATAACAGATTGTTAAAATATAACCATAAATTAATCAAAAATTATCTGAAGTTATAAAAAGTGAAGTGAAGAAGTGGATCATTACAAATATTGGACAGGATGGCTATATATATTGATGAAATCTATTTAATTGTATATATTAGGAGTGGAGAATTTAGAAAAAAATTTCAATCATTTACTAGTTTAACTACTTTAGCTGGAGTATTGGTGGTTAATTTTGTGGTCGCCATTTTTCCCTTAATCCATTTACCTCTGAAGGTAGCTCCATTAGATTTAATGATTTATCCATTGCCATGTTAAAGACCAGCCTTCCAAAGTCCCAAGTACTTTTAACCATTAGGCCATGTTATCACACCATACCCTTCTCTCAAATCATTCACGTATTGACCATCATATTTTCTTCCATCTGGCCATTCGAAAACCCCTTTCCCTTATTTAACTCCGTTTCTCCATTCTCCCGTATAGGTTCTCCCATCAGAGAACGCAAAAGTTCCAAATCCAGACATAAGATCATTTTCGAATCTTCCCTCATAAACAGCTCCATCAGGATATATCAATTTACCAAAACCACTTTTAAACCCTTCTTGAAAACTTCCTAGCCTTGGAATACAGATCAAATTTTACCCTCATAAATCCAACCGCCATCATATGTTTATATTCCTTGCCCATTAGGTAAATCACTTTTCCATTCACCATCGTAATATGACCCATCAGAAAACGTATATTTTCCTTTCCCCTTTACTTATCCATCAACCCAAGTACCTGAAAATAGATCTCCATTTGAATGTTGAAATGTTCCAGATCCATTTGGCTTATTTTCATACCAATCTCCTATATAGAATGAATTTTCAGATAAAATATACTTACCAAAACCATGAATCATTCCATCTTTCCATTAACCTTCATAAAATGCTCCATTTTAAAGTTCAATACAAGGCAATTTCTGCTACTAATTTGTTTAGACTAATTATTGATCTTTTTTTTATAACGGTATGAAACATAATCCATTCATCTCTACAGATATTGCTATTGGGTTGCTTGTGGGTCTACTAAGATCTGAAACTGAACTAGCATCATCTTTAACTTCCTTATTTATATTTATAGTAATATCGGCATTGCAAAATTATTTTTAATTGGTCTCTTGCTCTTGATCCTTTCTTGGAGGCAATCTTTTAACTGTCTACTATATTTAGAGAGTATTCTATTTCACTTATGAAGTTTCGGCTATAACCAAATCATTGTGAGAACTCTTTTGATTGATGATTGAAGAACTATGTTTTTGAGCTGTTGATCGAGATAATTTAAATTGAAATTTTCTAAGGTTATAATAGATGATACTTTCGAATTACATAGCCTCTGAAATTAGCTTATATTTTAATCACTCCTTTCATTTCTTATTTGCTTAACTTCTTCCCAACTTTTTATTTACTCTTCGTTGTTTTTGTAGTCAAGATCTCTTAGGTCTTATTTGGAACAGAATCATTGCACTGTTAACAATTTCCCATTTGCGTGGTTCAATTATTAATATTTATGTTTATAGTCATCTAAGCCACAAAATTACGATTTTCTTTTGTAAAATCTTTTATTCTAAAATCATCAAACCCTCTATATTAATAAATCTCAATGCCCCGTCTCCCCCTCACATCACTTTTGCTAGTAAAACCATAGTATCGATGAATAGGATGGTATAAATAGTTAGATCTATTTATTATAATCGTATACAGTGAAGAACAATGATGAAAAGATATACTAAAAAGATTGATTTATAAATTTAAATAAGACAGACTACACAATAATCAAAGAAATATTTAGATGTTCACTCGATTGAGTCCTTATGGATGAATAAATAATGTTTATAATTTAGAATCATTCTTATTATTTACAGATTATTGTGATTTATTTAGATAATCTATTTTAGAGTACAATATATGGCTTGGATGTAGTTGGATTAATCTAATTCTGCATTTCCTAGAGATCTTAAAATAGAACAGTATATACATTTGGAGTCAATCAGAAATAATGATTAAATGTCATTTTATTATTAAATTTTAACTGTTAAGCCATGAATAATTGCTATGCATAGAATTTAAGTCTGAGTTAATTACGTCAATTGCCACAAGAACGTATGCATGTTAAAATGTATAAAAATGAAGAGTACTTTAAATATTGATTAAATAAGAATAACATTGACACCTCAGAGTAATCGTAGTTAATTGAATGAAGTAAAGTGCTACTCATATATATCAAGGCTATCGAGAATCTTGAAATGCAATGGCAATCTATACGGAAATAACATCTAGACCAACGTTCTTGTAGTCGAAGTCCTGCCAAAAACAACCTTATGAATCAATTGCTCAAAAATAAGGATAAATAATAGTAATGCATTTTGAAGAAGGTTGTACCTTTATCAACCATTAACTTAGCCAGAATCTAAGATTAGCAGCAACAATAATAAATTCAATGCAATCCTTAACAATAAGCACAACGCAATCATCTTAAAGTAGTTCATGTCATATCTATTTAGGATTCCTCTCATTTCCAATACATTGCCAATAAATACTGTAATATCTACAGAAGACCTAGTCCAGAATAATAATACGTAGTGAATTCCCTCAGAGATAATGAATAACTGAGTTATTCCATTGGCAGAAATCAGATCCAATAACATCAATACCAAAGAAATAATCTCAAAGTCTTGGATGAAAGAGTAAGAGTCAATTCCCAAGACAAATACACAGCCCAAGCTCTATCCAACAGTAATATACTCAAGAAGGATGGACCCTAACGCAAAAGAGTTTCCCAATATTTCAAAGATGAGGAGAATAAGATGACATCTGTCAAATCTGTTGCTATGTAAAATTAAAGAATTCTTCCAAAAAAACGACCCTGAAGTAATGCAAAGTGGTTATTGATAAACTATGTATGATACCTTATATATATAAAATTGTTGTAAAATAACAATGGATTCCTCTCATCTCATTTGTTATTCAATTGCTTACATGCTATCATAATTCAAATTAGGTTAATCTATCGAATTTATGATATCTTCGAATTTTGGTAATTCATAAAATACTTAAATTCTTTAATTATAAATTATTTTATGCTGCATTAATTAATAATTAATGATTTTCTAATAATTATTTATAGATTAGTATAATTTAATTATTTTTCTGTATGTTTGGAAAAGTAATTTAAATAATTAATAAATGTAAGTGGAAAAACCATTTTATAGAATGGTTGAACTTTTGTCTAATGGATAGTAATTAAACCTATCTATAATGTGATTAATAAAATATTTAAGGATTGTATCTGATATTTAAAAAAGTGAAAATATATGATTTTCCATTAAATTATACGTAGTTAGTATGAATATTAATATTGTCCATGATTCCTCTACAAATGTAGTTTTCGTGATAATGGATTTAAAAATCTGGAAACATTATTGTAGAGGATAATTGTATTTAATTTATGATGGGTAATAATGGTGTTTTGAAAGCGCATAGGGTTTTTTGAGAAAATTAATTAATATGGGAAAATTGTGGAACTTAATTAAATCTCAGCTTCTTATACTTATAATGAGTTTGCTTTTAATGCTTCAGTGCATATTTGGTTCTGAAGAATACTACTATTTGTTTGTGGTGTTAGTATTATAAATTACTCGTATGGCTTGGAAGTATTATGGTGCATAGTAATTTTAAATGGTACTAATCATTTAATATTTGGGATACATGACAGTTCTGTATTTGTGTAGTAATACGGATGTTTTATCATGCATGTGTGTAATGTAAATAGGATAGACTTTATTTTTTGAGAATGAATTCAAGAATAGAAGGCTAATTATATTGTTTTCGGTAGGGGCAGATCTTCTTGTGCTTCTTTTGTTCAAGAATAGAAATACTAGTCAAATTTATTTACCTTGCATATCCATAGCCATAAAGACATTGTCATAGTTGATCAATTACCCTTAAGTAAATGAACACCCTAACATCAATAAGGAAAATTTGATCGTGGAGAGTAATCATCAATCTATTTATAAAATGACAAAGGATCGCAATTGTCATTCTGAGAGTATGCCTACAACTCCAAAAACTGATCTTTATTAGGTGGAATTGCTGAGCTTTTTTCCTTAAGGGATTGCGCTGGTTGCATTAAATGATGATATTTAGTTTTGTAATGAGAATATGAAAAAGATATTTGTTTAAGGAGAAAATCAGCAATCAATTCTGTAAGCAATATACAATTTGGAAGAACAATAGATTGTGGAATAGGCAGAAAAATAATCAATGGAACAACCACCCAAATAATCGATGAGTTCGTTTTCAACATTTCAACCTGTACCTATACCGAAGACTTTATTTATAAATGTAGCAAGGTCTCAAAATAAGTAATCAGGAACAGTAATTCAAAAGTAATTGAAAGAAATGCCATTGCCAAGAGCCAAAACATAATCGAAAAAGGAGACTATTAAAATAGAAGACACATTTATTTCTGATAGTTGTGTAAGTGATCATCACTATTATGTAGGTGATTGAGTAAGAGATTCAATGTATGAAGAAGTAGATTCAAAGAAAGGAAGTTTAGAATTTGATGAAGACTACTCATGTGCAAGAACACATAGTTGTGTTGGGGTATATACGATCGGAGAAACAAAAGAGAAGATAAATAGAGATTAAGTTGTATTCTACGTTTATGAATGATTGTCCTTACATTCTCATAGTTGCACGAGATATTACTCATAGAGATTACATTCGATCATTAAAGAATTACTGTAATTAGAAATCCAAGATGCTGACTTTTGTGAGTCATGAATTCAGAACACCCTTGAATTGTATTATCGATTAACTGAATGAGAGTTTGAGAGAGGATTGCAGAAATGCATCAGAAACTATCTTCTGTGAAAAAGATAAGGAGAGTCAAAAGTCAGTGAGAATTGCCTTGCATACAGCCAAATAACTGTTGAATCTTTCTGATGATCTCCTTGATTTGGCATAGATTAGAGCAGACAAATTTAAGGCTGTGAAACAAAAGTTTAATTTAAAGAATATGTTGAAGAGTTGTCTTGAGTTATTCTCTGCCACTGCTGAAAAATAATAAATAGTCTTGACTTTGAATTACAATGCACATGTTCCGAAAATCATTGAATAGGATTCTAACAGGATCAAATAAATAATTACGAATTTAATCGGAAATGCATTCAAATTCACTGCAAAAGGAAATATTACTTTAGAAGTAACCTAAGGGTAAGATAGAAAGAGAATCACTATTTCTGTGGCAGACACTGGTATTGGAATCTCTGATGAAGATAAACTCAAATTATTTAAAGCTTTTGCTAAAAGTAATAGTGAGGAGAGTAAGAAGATGAATATATAAGGTGTGGGTTTGGGGTTATTGATAAGCAATTAAATATTATAAAATCTTAATGGAGATACTTAAAATGGATTAAAGGTTCACTCTTAATTATATAAGGGGTCTACATTTTATTTTACAATTTAAATTTGTGATGTACAAGAAAGCTTTTCACTTCATGAAATGGAAGAACGCAATCAAGAGAGTGAAAATTCCGAAGAGAACTCTTTGGTTGTTCCAGATGATGATTATCCTCAAAAGTTGAAAGTGATTACAAAAAAGATAAATATCAAGGCGTCAACTAAGGTTTCAATTGCAGATCCAAAGATACTGATTGTGGATGATGTGCAATTAAATGTAGAGATGATTGCACGCATGATAAAAGATACGGCTGTAGATTGGGCCTTGAATGGATATCAAGCCATACAGAAATGCAAGGAAAGAATCGAACACAATTAAGAGTTGTATAAGGTTATACTTATGGATTTGGAGATGCCAATTATGAATGGATTCTAAGTGTCAAAGGCTATCTTATCTTTGTGTGCTGATTTGGGAGCGTCTACAACGATTATTGGGTGTTCGGCTTATGACTCAGAAGAGTAGATGCAGGAATGTTTGAAGGTGGGGATGACGGAGTATTTACATAAGCCTGTGAAATAGAAGGCGCTTTAACAAATCTTATATAAGTATCTATGAATTATATATGCTTATTACTTATATTCTTTTTAGTTTTCTCAAATATAAATATTTTTGCCCGGAATTTTATATAATTTAAAAATAATAAATGGACCCACATCAAATATGTAAGTAATTGCAAGAAGAGTATTTTAAAGAGAACGACGCTGTAAACAATTTGATTTCTAAAAGAGCTGAGAAATCGTGTGTCTGAGATGGAGGCCAAGAATGCTGAATATCAGGATTAGATTGAAGGATTGAAATAAACGATTGAAGAGAAGGATGCCAAAATCAAACAATTAGAGGACACATTGGCTAATATACAAAATAAGCCAATCAAAAAAACCATTTAAAAGAAGAAAGATAAGAAGTCAACTAAAAAGTGATATAATAATTTACTTAAATAATGAAACACAGACCTTAATCAGCTATCGTTAAGCTCAAATCAGAGCCTTCAGATCCTCGTTCTTCTTTTTCTCACTTAATGGTGTCTCCCAAACTCATCAGACCTCCACAGACTCCTCAACAATTTCACTTGGATCAGGAAACTCTCTACATGAACAACCTGCATTAGAAGTAGGAGACGAATGAAATCAAATTCCAGAATCTCAAACTCAGAACTCTTGTCTAACAATTACAGGTTTCTTCAATAATAGTATCTCTTGTAGGCACGTATTTCTCAAATTGAAAGAGTAGATCGACATCAATTCTAAGTGGACCCATTGGGAATGTCTACTAACAATGCAGAAGGCAGCATAGTTCCCATGCTCAAAGCCAAAATTAAACAATAAGCTCAAACAATCGAAGAATTGACTGCAGATCTACGTACTTAATGTAAATCAGTAAAACTCACCTAAATACTGGAATTGCAGAAACAGATCAAGAATCAATAAGATGAAATCATCAAACTGAGATAGTTTTAATAAATTGCTCTCAAAATCACAGATCAAGAGTAATCAATTAGTGTCATTTTATTCAAAGCTTGTTCAATGACCCTGACATTGCTGAGCGCCTTGAAAATTACCTCAAAACCATAGATGCACAATAAATTCGCATCGATCAATTGTTTAAGCAGAATAAGAAACTCAGTTAAGAACATTAAGACTTATTAGATAAAACTAACAAACTCTAAGAAGAATGCAAATAAATTGGTTTAGATAGGACACAACTCAAGAAGAAACTAGATGAACAGCTCATTACTGAAACTGAATAATATTAACAAAAGAAAAGAGAGTTTCTTGAAAATAAATTACAGTAACATTTATAATCTATTTAATAGGAGTGTACTCAAATAAGTTGATGCCTTGAAAGGAGAACTCTCCCTCTATGAGAATAAATATAAACAATCTACTAAGTTACAATAGGATCAAGAGAGAGAATTCAAATAAACAATTATGAAAGCTCAAAAAAATAAATAACATTTAGAAGAACTCATCCAAAAGAAAGAACAATTAATGTATATTTCATCATAATGCAGTTAGTTAGGACTTACAAGATAGAGTGGCAATCTAAGATTTACTCAAACAAAAATCAGCTAATGAAGAACCAGTGGTTAAATTTGTCTAACCTCCAAAAACCTATCGTGATCAAAACTTCCAATTCCCTGAACCATCTATCCCATAACATAAACCTACCGATATCATTAATACCATTCCTATCGACTAAGAACGGCTTCAACAATTATTGGAAGATCTCAAATACAAAGTGATATCTCTATGTTTAACTCGTCAAAGACTGCTTCATATCTTCAATTATATAGAGTTCATGTAATTAAAGGATTCAGTCCATTATTTCATGGGATCTCCCTTCAATTATCTAGAAAAAGATGCTCTCATTTTAAGTCGATATTTCTTTAGTGAAGACAAAGGAAGTGGATATAAAATATAATGGGAAGACACACAAAGCATTAGTGATTTAATCTAAATGATTATCCCTAAAAAGGAAAACACTTAATTTAATTTCAAGACCATTGTTAATAGGAATCATCTTATTAAACAATTGAATCAACAAATCAAAAATGTCAAATTGCAGGATGCTAAATACAATATAGACGATTACATCATTTACATAAAGAGAAATACTAATATGAATGATGAGTAAATCACATTTCTTAGATTAATTAATCAAATCTACTTAGGAGATGTTACCAATATTGACCAAGGTTTCTTGCGTATCTACCTAAAGGAAGAATGCGAGATGCTATCCCAACTCTATAATTTATAAAAGATAGACTTTGTAATCTATAGATACATACCCAAATTGTAAATAAAACAAGAAGATAAAGAATTTGAGGAGTTCAACATCACCTAAAAAACTTCAGAGCAAAAATTTGATGAGTCTTCAGCACAATTTTCATGTAATTCCATTTATAATCTATTTTAGAATTCAGAGTAAGTGATTCCTACTTGAAAACATCAGAAAGTAGAAAACCCACTTCAGCAAGAGACTCTCTCACTTATAGTCAATCGTAAATCGAGAGTGTCCCTTTATTAAAGAGACCAAGTGATTAGCTGAACCGAGTTTCTAATAATTCTATTAAAAAGGAGGAAGAAGAATTCGTTGAATTTGGAATATCTGACTAATTGATGCTCTAGCCACCCTAACTATTGAAAAATAAGGAACCAATTTAAGAAACTGAAGAAGAGTATTAAGAAATCTATTAAGAAGAATTATGATGATATATATATTATTTATAAATTAACATTCTAGGAGCAACAACAATACTCAAAAAGATATTATAGATTCCTTTTCCAATGTTAAAAAATGAATGAAGCAAAGAACAGAACCTAATGCTTTAACATAGAATATCACATTATTGTGATATTAATGGACTCAATAGATTTCAAAGATGCATTAAAAATTTAAAATTATTACACAGCATTAAAACATCATTTTTACTCTTATATTTAGAATTACAAACTCTAATCCTACAAAAAATCTTTCAGCATTACTACTATTCAAATTAGAAAAATAAATAATTTAATCAACACTAACTTTTATTGAATTATTAGTTCTTTAATTAATATCCCTTATCATAATAACTATTTATTGATAGAAAACATTTTAAGGAAATCCTAAGTAAATTAGTCATTATGGATCTGGATAAAAGTTATTTTATTCAAATTATTAATAATTAATTATATAATTCATACTCGATAGAGAATATACTCATGCTGAATGAAGCGAGAATGGCTTTGTCTATTTTGGAGGACTATTCCCATTTGGTTTAGCAGCATCAGATAGACTTCCCATTGCAACAAAAATTTAACTTCTTCTCTAAAGACGCCTAACAAGTTTATTTTATCTAATCTCTTAAATTGAGAGTCTATTTCTTGGATTAGAATTCAACATTCCTGTTAAGAGAGCCTGACAATCTGGAGAGCGCTAATAATTATCCCAAGGACGTGGAATTTATGCAGTGAGCAATTAATGAAATACAACTCCCAAACTATAAATATCCACCTTATAATCATAATTATTAGTAGTAATTATTTCAGGAGCCACGTAATTTCTAGTACCACACTTCTAAAAGAGATAAGCACCATCTGGTCTGTAAAAATCTGCAAGTCCAAAATCTGCAATTACTGGATCCTCAAAATTCCTAAATAAAATATTATTGGGTTTTAGATCTCTATGAATTATATTTTTGGTGTGAATGTACTCAAGTCCATTCAGTAATTTCAATAACAAACTAATTGCCTTATCTTCTTTCAGAATCTTTTCTTGGCTTATCTCCATCTGCGTCTCGAAAAGCTCCTCGACCAAAAATACACATTGATCACTCTCATAACATTCTTTTATGGTCAGAACATTTGGATGATCCATCAATCTTAATATCTAGATCTCTTTCCTAATTGCACTTTTGTCACGAGGATCAAGCAACAACTATTTCTCAAACATTTTGACGGCAAATTGCTGTTCATTTTAAACATTCTTTACTTTGTAAACCTTTAATATATTATGTATTGAATACCTTTCCAAAACTCCCACTTCCTATCTATTTCAAAACTCTATACTAATTGGCAAAATCCTTCTGAATTCCATAAAGTTTCAGTATTTATTTCAATTAAGAAGTTAGACCAAAGATGAGCAATTCTTTGTTTTACTATTGTATTTTCACTCCTCTCCCCATACAGACATGATCATTAAATTCGATATATGCATTGGCTATATTTATCGAATTCAAGATTTCAGTCTCTTCTTCAAAATGGCTCAACGTTAAAATTGTGTTTATTAACTACAATTAGCATCTAACAAAGTTATTTGTCCTAACTTTGAGAAATGCAATTTGTTTCTTGAGTGTTATTCCAGTTTCAACCTCATAAAACTATGAGTCAAAAAAGTTATCCATTTATTATTTTAATAAAATTCTGATAAAACGTATTTGATTTTAAATATATAATATCATTAATATGCTTTCAATTTAAATTGTTTGTGGTTCATTCAATAAATAAGCAAAAATAAATTTAATAAATAATAAATATTTATAATGTAAAAACATAGTATTTAATGTTTAATTTGCAGTAAACATTTTAGAACACTTCTTTTAAATTACTTTAATTTACCTTCTATAGTTATTGATTTATTTATGCAAACCAGTCATTGGCCTTTTACTTTTCAATCTGTAATCATGATAAATTATTCGAATTTATTATTGAGAAGAATTAATTAAAATCGTTATTTGAATGAATGAAAATGTATGAATATATATATTAGATTTGAACAATAACGAAAAATTCTATTAGAATTCAATATAATCATCTTTTATATCAAATATTCTTAATATTTAGTGAACTAACTATATTAGAAAGGAATTTTGGATACTATTTCATCCTAATAGGAATAAGGTATTAATCAATAATCAAAATAATCAAAGCTTATAAATATTGAAAATTATTATCAAATAAATTAAAGAGTAACTTACTTTATAAAACAAAAAAAATTATTTTACGCTGGTTTTTAAAATTTCTAACCGATTAAATTGATTCCCTCTTTTTTTGAAGCCTTCCTTAATGATGAATTCTATAAATATAGACTCAAATATTAGCCCATATTGATAAAGCGGCAATTAGAATTCAAAAAAAGCATTTAAATGGACTTTTGTGCTGGGAATTCTCATCCATATTTTGTCAAAATATAGGAAAGAGGATGAAGTTGAAGAGATGAAGGGGGCAATCACAATAGAAAGTTGACTTATTTTAATTTTATATAATTATTTTAAATACTAATACAATGCTCAAAATTAGTCTCTTAATTTGCAATCCAAATACTCTATGACTAATATGGGTTTATCAACTTTGAATGTCTTTTTATTTGTAGGAGAAATGTTGCTATTCCAAGAATCATCCAAACTAAATGTTTCGATTTCTTCTGGTTATGGACTTGGTAGAGGTCTAATATTAGAATCTAAATGATACCTGGTTTTAATGTGTTGGGGAGTATCTGCATTTGGGAAGTTAGAATGGGTTTAAAGTTTGAGGTGATAGAGGCCTTGCATGAAAGGGCGTGATAAAAAGTTATAGAAAATAAATAATACATTTTAAAACTAATAAATCATATAATTTAAATTGCTTTGAAATATAAAAATTGTATAATTGTATTTTCTAGAAGGTAGAAATATATTAGATGTACTGAAATTAATGAAGAATGGAAATTTAAATAATTAAATATAAAATAGTGTAAATCAGAACCATTATATATATTCCAATCAGTTTTTATGTGAATAATTCTACATTTTTTGGAATATGTTGAATGTAATGCATTTTTTCTTTATTCATAAATTAAAAGTTTATTATAAATGAATTATCAATTGTCACAGGTTGAAAATGAACAAAGTGACATATATATTGAATCATAAATTGATGAATATAAAAAACACTTTCAAATGGATTGCTATGCTCTGGAAGATAAGGTGCAATTTTACAACTTAAACATGAATGAACCACTAGACATGAAATCTCCTTCCGAAACTGTATATTTAATAATGAATCCTAGATTCAAGAGTTCATATTCACTGAAGAGAAATTGGAAGTATAAGGAAAAGGATTATTTAATACTTCGTTAAATTAACATAAATTAATCAATATTAAGCTACTTGATTTATCTAAATGCAAACTCCATTAAATACCAGAAGATGTGAAGTAAAATAAATAAATAAATAAATATGTAGATAAATGATCAATTTGTAAAAAGTGTATTTGAGTTATAATATGTTGATAACATTGCCTCATTTTTTGGAATCCTTAACATTCTTAGAGGTGCTAGATTTATCTTACAATTAAATACAAATTTACAATGTCCATCTGAAACGTTTAATGTAATTAAATCTTGCAAGCAATTAAATTAAGTAACCATATTTTGGGAATTTGAATGTGCTTTGTATTTAGATGAATCCAATCACATAACTGCCTCATCAATTTCATAATGCCTTGAGAAATTTGAATCAATTAGAATTTGATTGGTTTAAGTATTGCAAACCTCCTTTGCCATTGAAACTAAACTTTAAGAAATACCCTTGGGTTTAAGAGAAATTAATAAATTCGCTCTCGAAATAACCTTTGAGTTTCTAGGAATTCATCTAGTTGTTAAGTCAGAATTAATAGAACTTTAGTACTACTGATTACAAGGAGAGAAACTTGTTTTGTTAAGCAGGCATCAATGATGAAATAGGAGTTTTGTATTGCTTAAATTAGATCATACCTTAGGATATCAACAAAACTGATTTCGATAATTATACGCCTTTGTCAGTTTGTTATGCCGAAGGCAAAATGAGGTTAGTTTTCATAATAATAAAGATCAGTGAGCATATTAAAGGCTTTTGGCGGTAGATTTTCATTGAATAGCATTCATTGCATGAGTCAAAGAGCTGATGTGTAGAATTTAAAGTTTCTTTTAGGAATAAAGGAACATGTTCACTTTTCATTAAGAGCTTCTAACAGTTTACATCCAATCAACCAGGAGTCCTTAGTGATGTTAAGAAATATTGATGGAAATACTCCAATGCATTAATTAATGATGAATTTCGATAAGCATGAATTTAGTTCAGAATTTGCCTTGATTCTATTGATGTTTGGAGCAGATCCAAATGCTGAAAATTATGAAGGTTTCACTCCTTTGGAGATGGCTATCAAGAAATAATAAGTCAAAGGACTTAAATTTGGGAATGATTTCAATATGTCAAATAATGTAGAATATTTGAATAAAAGATTTTTTGATTTTTCGCATTAATCAACTATCACAGGTAATGGTATGTGCCATACAGCTGCAACGGTTGGAAATCTTGAAATCTTAGAGTTTCTGATTTCAATTAATGCTGACTACTTCTCTATTAGTAAATCAAACAAATTACCAAGAGGTTTGGCTATTCAAAGTTTAGTAGCTTTGAAGAATATTCGAAAGTTAGAGAAAAGATATATTTTAAATAATGTGATTCGAGAGAAATCTCTCCTAGAATAATAAGAAAAGTATTATTTAAAAGATTAATTAGAAATGTATATTAAATGAGGCATTAAATTGAAAAAAATATGGTTTAAAGGCATCATAACATGATCTAAAAATTTGTAGACTAAGTGGAGATTGATGATTCATAATCAATGGAAAGCTATAATGATTTTAGTCTTCAAGTTGGAAGTGAATGTTCAGTGAGAGAGACAGTTGCTGAATCTACTCCCATATTTAAGAAATAATAAAATCTCTAAAAAGAAGCTTTTTCTTCTGTGCAATAGAACGTTTAGTAATTATTAAACATTGAATTTTCTGATCATTATCCTGACATTTTAAAATTGTTAAGAAATGGTAACATTGACACAGCAATAAAAAAATTGGAGAATATATTGCAATACGAATTAATCTGTGTATCAGAAAGATTCAAATATAAAAATCAATTATCTTTGCTAAAATTAAAATTCAAACAAAAAAATGTTGAATTAAAATCAAGAATTGGTTAGGATGTATAATTACTATTAAATGAATATTAATTTAAGTAATTAAAAACAGACCTTAGAAGTAAATCATATCTGTATCATTAGATAAGTACTTCAAAAATGTTTAGAGCATATTAAATAACTAAAATGAAATGGAAATTTCTAAAGCATTAAACATAGTCTCCAGACAACAAATTATATGCTCATCATTCAACTTAAATCGGGATCTATAAGTTTAAGATCTGTCTCTGATATCTGATCTTAGAAACAAACTGAGTGCAAACCTAGTTTATGATATAAATAACTATGCAACTCACTTATTTTCTTCATAAAGTTAACTATATCTGTGGCTTTATAGTTGCTTTTCAAAAAAAGAAAAAATCTTAGTCAAAACTAGCTTTTTTAATCTATAAAATTATGAATATCTTTAATAGATGAAATTTAAAAAGAAGAGAGTTATCGTTGGAAAACCAGATGATTTGGCAATTGATAAAGACATTTCGGATTTAAATTCTGTTCCAATCAACTAAATCATCAGTAATAATAATCTGTTTTGTAACACTAAAAGAAATTGAAGCTACAATTATTTTATATTAATTATAAAGCTATTAATCATTTCAAAATCAGATCATTAACTGAATTTTAGTTAATATTTAGAAAAAATGCTATTTATATTTAATTTACAATATATCATACCTTTGAATATCCACTGTAAGGATGACTCCAAAATGCCATACCAGGTATAGTGTTTCTAACTAGAATTATTATAAAAAATTCATCGATCAAGGTTTCTATATTTTAAGAATATTAAAAATCTAACCGTTCACTCTAAAAAATTAACAACTTAAATTAGGATAAAAAGCAATCTATCTTCAAACCAATTCAAATTTGATTTATAGCCCTATAAATTGGCCTAAAATTTTGATGCTATTATAGAGGTTTAAGATGACATATGGGTTAAAAAGTTAAAACAGTTAATTTTAAATGTCTCGATAACACAAAATTACAGAAAAGTCAAATTTGAATTCATGTTATTTCTATTAAAGTTCGAATATAGTTAAATGATATTGTAATTCTCTCAATGATACGATATGATATGATAATGAAGTGAATTTATTTACTTTTTGATTATAAAATAAATAATGAATATTATTTGACAGAGGTTTAAAAATATTAAATCTCCATTCTTAATTGAGTTTAAGTACCAATAAAATTTACTGAAATTAGGTTAAATCAATGATGACGATTTGGAGGTTATAGATATACCCATTTTTATAAATATCTAGTAATTTTGTATTAACATCAAATAATATGCTGATTATAAATTACGTCAGCATATCAAATAGTAGGTTGCTGGAATGTAAATCTTCTTAATTGGGTAATAAAAAAAGAATATATTGTTAGAATATCATTCCCTGTTTCAGAAGTGGCAATTTTAAACTTTGGGTTGATAATTGATTATAATGATATTTTGGGCTGATAAACTACAATTATTTTAATAATAATGATTAAGAGATTCAAGAAACTCTTTTAGGGTTAAAGTGAGTTCCAGTCATTTCTTACAAAATCTAGTCTCACAAAGGATAACTTTGTTTACAAACAAGAAGATGTGGAAATTTTAATACCGTACCTAACAGAAGATTAAAATATAATCGAATTTTTTTAGGTGTATTAAGAAGAAACCTGCTAACTTTATACAATAAAAATGAAAATGCTTATAACTATTCATCAGATGCTCAACATCAGCGATGAATTTGCCACATATTTCACTAAAATTAATTTTGCCTATTTTAATAAGTATGAATGATTGAATTATCGCAGGCCTTCCTATAAACCAGAAACATTTGTATTTAAGCAGGTAACAAATGAAGTCTGGTTGCTGGAAAACCTTTAGATTCCATTTCTGCAGTATTTGTAGAAATTGGCATTGAATGTACAAGAGATCAAAAGTTATAGAAATCACCATTTCAGAAAACCTATTCATTAATCAAAGTATAAAAGGTCTTATGTTATTTAAGTCTTGTAGTAGAATGCTTTAAATTGCAAAACCTAGTCAATTAAGGTTTATCTCTTGTGCCGTAACTGAAAACATCGCTATCAAATTTCCCTCATGATTTTCTTTTAAAGAAATTGGCTAGCAATCTCTATTGTGAATTGAGGCAATTTTAAAGACAGTTGATTAATTCTCTCTCTGCTTTATTGGATACCAACTCTAGGGCCTCAAATATTGAGATATTTGAGTTCTTCAGAGAAGTAAGATCTCTCTCTCACAATTCACATAGGTGCAAATTATAGAGAAGAAGACCATGTCATATTACATGTTACACAAGTTGTTTGATCCAGGAAGAAAGCTGATGCCTCCTTTGTAATTGAAAATCGATCTAAAAAGTGCTAAGCATCTTGAATAGTAAGCTTTAAATGAGCAATTAAAGATTAATTAGCAAAAGCAAATGAGAAGTCAACGGAATTCAAGATCGAATAGTTTAGATCAGCAATAACGAGTTTCTTAAGGTTTTATTAGTTAAAGGGAACGGCGCTTCATGATGTACAGTAGAACAAAGAAACAAGACACGATTTAGGAAGACATTGAAATGCCAACTGAGGAATAATAGCCATCAGAGAAGAAAAAGATAACGTAAATGATGGATAATTAAGTCAATGACATTCCTAAATAGTTTGATAATTTGGAAAATGATAATATTGACATCCAAAAGAAGGAGAGCAGTGATGAGAGTGAAATCAATGAGAGAAATAGTTAGAAGGAAACTAATGACATTGTTAAGAATTAAGAAAGTACTAGTCAAGCAGATTAAGATGAAAATTAATATATTTGATTAATAATAAACTTGCTTTTATTTATAATTTTTAATGAGTGCAGTAGAAGAAATTGAAAGATGTTTAGCATAGGCAATTCAATAGAGAACTGCAACAGAAATCATAGCGACTATGGGTACGAAAGTACTGACACTTTAGAATTTTTAATAATTGATAAAAAAAAACAACAAGAACATTATCAATAAAGAAGTCGAGGAATATTATTATAAAATATTAACAGATTTTGATAGTAGGGTAGGAATTACTTATGAAATATTTGAGAAGATGGTTGAGAATTTACCTAAACCAAAAAGACGTTAAGATGTTGTTATGAGTTTAATTGAAGGAATATAATCTAAAAAGGTACCTTTGGAAAGAATTTTCAAATTCTTTGATTATGATGGAGATGGAAAAATGCCATTAAACGAAATGAAAGAGCTTTTGGAGTATTTATACCCAGAGATTACTGAAGAAGATATCATGATATTGATGAAAAATAATAATGAAGTCTAATTCTCATTCGAAAATATTAAGACCCTATTATCATTTGAATAAAATATGAATGCTGAAATTGTTATAGTAAAGGATGAGAATGAAACTAGTGATAGTGATGATGACGATGAGTATTATGATGAATTTGGAATGTTTAAAGGAAATCAAGAAGAATACTTTGATGAATACTGCATCAGTGAAGATTCACCATTTTATGAACCTTTTATGAACTTCAAAAGTCAATACTATAAATTGAAAGAAAATAAAACTATTTTTGTAGATCCAGATTTCAAACCGGATGAAACAAGTCTAGGAAATGTGGGAGACAATTTTGCATGGAAAAGACTAACTGAAATTTGGAAGAATGTTTAAATCTTTTAAAAGGATTTATATCACTCAAATAGCGAATTAGGAGTACATTCCTTAGTTTCTCCAAGAGACATTAAATAAGGATCACTTGGAGATTGTTATTTTCTATCTTCTTTGGGATCAATTGCTAGTAAATAGTATAATTTATATATTAATTCTTAGTCCTGATAAGATTTTTGAATTGTTTTAGACTCCTATTCTAAATCCTTATAATTTTTATGGTGTTTGGCTTTGCATTTAGGGAATTTGGAAATTGATTACTCTAGATGATTATGTACCTGTCTATAATGATCAACCAGCGTTTAGTGGAAGTGATACATAGGAAATGTGGGTTATTTTACTAGAAAAAGCATGGGCTAAAATATTTGGAAATTATGGGAATATTATAAGTGGTGATCCGAGAGAAGTCATAGCAAGCATTACTGGAGGACCAACTTGGTGTATCAGTAGTGATGAAAGCACTTTTATTGATAAGTTGAAATAGATAATGAATTCATATCAAAATTATATCGTATGTGCAGGAACGTATTCTGATAAACCAGAATCGGAGACCTTTGGATTAGTGCGAAACCATGCTTACTCAGTGTTGAACTTTAGAACTATAAAATTGCCAAGCAAGGAAGAAGTTTAACTAATTTAATTGAAAAATCCATATGGAAATGATCAAGAATGGAATGGAGACTGGAGTGATAAAAGTCCACTTTGGACTCAAGAATTAAAAGATAATGTGTTATAATCTTAAGAAGAGGATGGCATATTCTTTATGTGTATTGAAGATTTCAGAAAGCATTTTGAAAATGTATTTATAGGGTTCTGTAATCCTTATTTTAAATTTTCATAAATCACAATTTAGTGCTAGAAGAAGAAATCGGCATATATTTTATTAAATATTAAAAAGGATGGAGAATATTATTTCTCAGCATATTAGAAGTCATAAAGAATGTTTAGACAATAATCAAAAGATTTATAAATATAATATGACTATTCAGAAATGCGCTTGATATTATCTAAAATGAACAAGAATAATTCCATTCAACCTTTAACATACAAGACTGAAACAGATATGAGTTTCAATATCTATGGAAGATTGTAGAAAGGATAGTATATACTGTAACTTAAAGTATATTGGATAATGGAGGGATGGGATTAAAGTGATGTTCCTTTAGTTTCATATGGAGAAGACACAACTGAAATGAAATTTTGTTAGAAAATATCAAATTTCCAACAAGCCTCTATTTTATTTGAAGCAAAGGAAAAAAGAGCTGAAGCCAAACCACTTAATCCTTCCCATCCTGAGCTTGTTGCTTTGAAGAATAAGTCATAAGCATATAAGTAATCTGCATATTTATTAATTAGTTATCCTTATCTTTATTACTAAAATATATCAAAAGAGAAGACTTTTAGTTTTGAGATGGTGTTTGAAGGGGATATCAAATTAAAGAAACCTCATAGTGGTAATCAAGTGGATATTGAACTTAAGCCAGGTTAAGATAAATTGATTGTCTATAAATTTATGACCAAAGGAGCAAAAATGAAATATCAAATACACAAGTTCAAATGTAGAAGTGCATCATGAATTTATTTTAAAATAAATATCGATATGAATATCAAACTTATTAAGTTATCAGATTAAAATTATGTTGATATTTATTTTTAATGAAATAATTGTCTTAACCTTCTTAATTGTTTAAAGCAAAACAAAAAAGTGAACCCTCACTCTTACCTAATATAGATATTCTAAAAGAAAATGTTAAATCAAGTTTTGCCCTCGGACATCTAAGAGGTTTACTAACTTATAAGCAGCGAGAATAACCCAAAACTGATATACAAGTAAGACGAGATCAAACATTTGGGAAGGCGAACAAAAAGTCAAAGAATAAAAGGCTAACCTTTTTAAAATTCGGGTTTAGAACCCATGAAAAAAAGAATAATTACTATCTCCAACCTCTGATTAAGAAGGTGAAGGATGCATTTGGAGAAGTTGCCAATGACGGTTCAATGGGAGTTGTGGATTTATGGAGCGATAGAAATGTAAATAGATTAATGGATGCAATTTAAATGACAAGAGATAATTTAATAGTGAGGAAATTGGGTAAAGAACTGAATGAGGCCGAGCATTTCCTACTGATAAGGATGGAAGAGAAGAAAATGAGAGACAGGATCTTCATGGAATCATTAAAATTGTAATTCCAAGAGACTGACACATTCTCACTTAAGTTTTAGTTATCAGATAAAGACAAGAAGATTGTACAGAGAGTTGCTCAACCTACAATATCAAGTAATCTGAGATACAATAATCCGAATGAGAACATTTAGACGATAGTGGAAAGTATTGATCAACTGCATCAGGAGAATTTGGAAATTTATACTGATCTGTACAAATAGATTAAATCGATTCAGAAGCACATAAAGTGATTGAATTGTGGTTCAAAGAGCATTCAAATCCTATGACTTATATATCTGTCTAATTTACGTTATTTTTATATTAAGACTATATAATGAAGGATGAAACAAAGAATAAGCAATTTTGATTGATAATATTAAATAAAAGATAATTTGCTTATTTCTTACATCAGAGGAATGTATATATGCAAATCAACCTTATTTATACATTCAGATTATATGAAAGTCAAGAAGAGAGTAGTCGATTTAGATAGATGTTTTAATTTTTATAGATTCTGCCATGTTCTCGTTTTATTTAGTATAATTGTTACTTTAGATCAGTCTTGTAATTGACTATCTTTTTTGCATTCTCTTCACAAAACTATTTGGCATCTTGAAGTCTAACTTCAAATTGTTCCTTTAGACCTTCTTCTGGCTCTGTTTTGAATACTCTTTTCTCGAATTATAAAATTGCTTCATTTTTAGGGTTTCAATTATTTAAATGCTGCATCTCGATATCTCTGTTCATTTAATTGTTGTTTAAATGAGGTCTCAGCCTTCTTTATTTTATCCTGCATAGATGGTCACTTCTTCTCCAGCATATGTTCTCGAATAACAACCCAATCGTCACTAATTTTATAAGGTTGCGATTTAGTTTTGAGTTCCCATCCAACTCCATTCGGTTCTAATTCCTAACTGGATTAGATTCTCTTATATCTCTTTAACAATTGTTACATGTATTATTTTAATTAATGTGGAGCCAACTTATCGTTCATTTAAAAGAGCAGTCGTGTTTCCTTGATCTCTTGATTAGATCTATTCATCCTCTTCATTGAATTTATGCTGTTGGTCAAACAAATTTACAATAATCGGGTGATTCTGAGTCCTACTGTATTTTAATCAGTTCTTCTTTAATTTCTATGTATTTGTGGCCTGTTTGCTATAGAGTGACATTGAGTTCTGAAGGATTATCTATTTTTTGAGTAAGGCTTAAATTTCGTGATTGCATTATTTATCCTCATTTTTGATTCTCGAAAAACTAGAGACAATGACCTCACAGTTGTGACTGACCTCATTGATAATATTGGAAAATTAAGAATTTACAAAGCGAATGCGAAATGTGTCAGAGTGTTCTTAAAATTTAGCTTCTAATGACTTCTAAGGTCTTAGCTTTTCTTGACTGCAATCTCTTGAGTCCTTCCTTTTATGATGTTACATTATTCAATATTCCATTCTTTAAGTTTTTTAAATGACCTTAAAAGAAATTCAAACCCTTTTTCCTTAAAATACTCAGCATCTTAAGATTATTATTACATTTAATTAATATGATAATATATTTACTTGGTTTCTAGAATGGTTATTTTATTAAGTGCTATGAAGATGTTTAAACATGTTATTGAGATTTAGATATTTGATAATGTATATTAAATTCAAATTTCTTATTTAATTTTGAATCTATCTTTAATAAACTGAGTCTCTTTCTCTAGATTGGCTGCTAATCTGTTGGATGTTTCAACAATCTATTCAATTTTTACAGTTAATAAATTTACTCGATGATATGTGAGGTCTGTCTCTTCTATCATTTTTTTGTAATTAGCTAATTTAGATTCTTTGTCTTTCAAGATGGCCACTCTTAAATCGAGCTCCATTTGCATCTTACGAATTTGTGCATCGAATGCTTAGAAATCTGTTTTTTCCTTTTGATATTCTTGGAGGAGTTCATCTCGTTCTCTTTTCATGTTCTCGATGGCTTTAATGTCATAGGGAGAAGACTCATACCATTTTGAAGGTTCTAAAAAGCTAATTCATCTTCCATAGGAAAAAACAAAAATTAAATTAAACAAAAATTAGAGTAAAGTCATTATAATAATAATTCTTAGTAATTCCTATCTAATCTCTGGGACCAATCACTATTATTTTGGAAGGCTTAGGATATTTGTTTGGCCTTCAAAATGCCTTTTTGTGCTAATTCTGAATTGCATTCCAAAGCCTGCATAATCCCCCAGTTCATGAGTATTTGCGCTGCCTTTAGGGTTTCCTATCTCCCACATTAAAAGGCATTGTGGAAGTACTTCTACGCTTGTTTGTAATCGTTGGTGTTGGCATACAAGATTCCGAGCAAATTGTATATGGGTGACGATTGGGGTTTCAATTCTTAGTTAGTACCATAATATTCGTTATTGTTTTTGGATTGTTGGATTTGAAGAGATTGTTCAGCAAATTAAAATGCGGCATCATAATCCTTACGGAGATATGCTAATTCAGCTAAGATGAAATATGTATCAGCAATACGTTCATCCTCTTCAGGGAGATAATCTCGATATATAGCTAAGCTTTCATAACACAATTTACTGGCAGCATCGGGATTTTCTTAAATTATTGCAGATAATTACTCATCCATCCATTCAGTCTAGACAGCAATGTCAGAACATACGCAATGTCAAGACGCCAATTAAGTTATTCGTAATGCAATAATGCATCATAATAGTATTGTTGAGATTTCTAAAAGTTTTTTGAAATGAAACAAGCTTTACCTGTTTCTATTAAAAGTTTACCCTTAAAAGTTGGTTCATTGATTGTAAACTTAGTTAAACAATTTTCATAATACAAAATTGCATGTTAGTAATTACCTTGTGCTTTCATGGCATTTCCTAAGATATATAGACAACGCAATGCCAAAACGATGTATTTGTGCGTGAATTCTTTCTTGTTGACATTCTTGATGAAGAGGAGTCTGATTTGCTCAAATAATGCCTTGAGAGCTATGACAACACTGGGGGAATTGTCGCAATTCAAACTTCGTTCTACAGAGTCAAGGTTAGTATTGATGTAATCAATATTCCAAGGTTCTTCATCACTATAGAAGGATTGATGAGAAAATTCAGATTCGCTATGAGATTGTTAATGCTAATTTAATTAAGTCAGCGTATTGAGGGGCCCTTAGATCTTCTTAGAAAAAGATTGATCAAGCAAAGCAGCGTTCTCTCGCTCAGGATTAGTGATGAGTCCATCAAGTTCAGTTCTGCCTGTGATGGGAACTAATTGTTTTTCGTCTCGAGACATTCTGTCTATCTATTTTGACATTGTGAGGCCTTACTTCACTACTAAGTGTCTTCAGCTCTACGATATGTCCTGATAATACTTTTTCCCTTATCTTGAGTAATACATCCTTCAATTGTTCGTCTCTCAACAAGGTCTCTCTATCTACTCTTTCGAATATACGAGACATTCAATAATTAAATTTAATATCTATAAATTTGTATTTTCATCACTCCTTCCTTTTCCCCTATCCAAATTTCGTAATCTTGAAAAACCCCCAAACCACCACCATCACTATTTGAGCCACCCATCCAAGATCACTCATCGCTTTCAACACCCTATCCCATTTCAATAATCCAATCGGAGTGGCAGTTGAATTCACAGCCAACTGCCCATAAACAGCGCAAATGATTTTCTGCATCGGAATGGGAATACTTAAACATAATAATGAGTTTTTACAATTTAAATTTATCCTTCGCTCTATAAACCTATTTGGTGATCTCATTGAAAATTGCCCATTCAATGAAAAACACATAGTACGCAATAAAGAACCCATGCCTACATACTATAATATAATACCAGTAAGCACTCAAAACAAAAGTGAGGAGCAGAGCTGATTTGTGTTACTTGTATCTATCATAAAAACAAGTTTGCAACCATGCCTAAACACTTGAATTCCAATGCTTTGTTCTTTTTATAGGTGAAAATTCGATCTCAAATTTGTAATCAGCCAAACGATAATTAGAAAACTCTATTGATAGTATTTATATCGTACCTTATCCATCAAATGTAATTCCTCCTGCATCCATTGAAGCCTAAGAGAAGTTAAATGCAAGGAAGTATTTGAACCTCTCGCAACAAGAAATCAATTGGCAAATTAGATGACGAGTCAAAAGTGAATGCTCTTCCCATTACTGAGTACCGAAGTAGGCGAAACTGAACTTAGGTCTAATAAGTTGATCAGCTAATTATAATTGCTTAACTAGGTACCTGCCACAAAGAGAATAGCCTTAAAAAGGGATAGGTAAGCCATTTTAAAACTGTAACTCATGTTGGCATAGACTCCCTTGAGATTGATGAAATCAATGTAGGCTGTGAAGGGAACTGTGCCAACGATGATGTTTGGAAAGTAGAACACATAACTGATATAATCGAGAAATGTGAAGGATAATCGATCTTAAGCAGCAACTCCCACGTATACGAATCGACATGTCAACATCATCTGCACTACGTTAAATCCCATCTTCCAAGACGAGTCTGCGTTCTACTGATAGTTTGCCATTAACCATGATGCGGTCGTAATGTAAGTAGCCTAAAATGAGAAAGCTGATAGATGCTATGGGGATGAATGGTCTCCTCAGTAATCTCATAAAATATATGACAAGTGTCTATGCCACAACCAACTCTATCCATTGAGCTCCCAAGTACAACATAAAGAAGAGTCCCCAAAAAAATGTATAGGATTTTCGAATAATGGGACTTTTCAAGTAGCGTAGGATAATTCCCAATGGGAAAATAAGCAACTTCGAACATACACTCAAATCATTACGAAATGGACAAGCAACTTAAATTGGTCAGTCTGGACTCCGACTACATTTAGTCGATTTATGTGCATAGCAATCTCGTCAAATAATTCAACTATGGTCATAATTAATTATTTTATATTCAAAAAACTGAAACTTTCCTTCTATTGTTTTCTCCATCAATCAATCATCTTCTCCTCTGGAATCCAACTTTTGTTACCTCTTCGTAAAAGATCAAACGAAAACTCAGTGCTTAAAATTTATAATTGATCTGGTGAATCATAAAATCGTCTTTAATTAGAAAATAACTTACATAATTAGTCGAATTGCTATTTATTATAATGAAAACATAATTTACTCACATACCTATCCTTCATAAAGATAAGGAAATAAATGATAATGCTCAGACACTTATGCTACGAAATAAGAACATCAGTATTTGGCCTAATGATATCCCTTAAAAATTACTTAATCTCGATCTAAGTGGAAATCGATTTTCAACCATTCCTCATCAAATCAATTTAATATGTCAACTCTAAAAACTTGTATTGCGAGACAACAAAATAGACACTCTTGAAACATCTGTGAATCTGCCCTAACTCTTCTACTTAGACCTTAGTTATAATTACATAAGTAATCCTCATTTGACTATTAAGGAAAGGTATCTTCCAGTCTTACTACTTTGAATTCCTTGCATCACTTGAATCTGAACTCCAATCTGATTGATGAAATCCCTCGTCAACTCTTTGACTTATAATTGTACTTCCTGGGCATTGCCAAGAATGCTTTTGTTATGATTCCATAAGAGATTTGTAAGGTCCTTAAAAATTTAGAACACTTCGAATTGGACTGGTTGGATTACTGTAATTTCTCATACTTTATGGATGAAAAATCATGTACTAAATTACTGACTGTTTTTGCTGAAGATTGCACATTCTAATAATTTTATGAATTCTTTATGACACCCTAATTCTCCTACAATTTAGAAAAACTATTTACCCATCACTCTTTGGGAATACTGAGATTGACTTTTGAATTTCAATAAGAAATTTCTATGAAGAGTTTGCTCTATGTAGTGTCCTAACCTGGAACCAAAGAGAACATTAAATTTGTAACTTATCTCCTAGATCTCCTAAATTAATATGATTCAGGATTATTAAATGTCATATACATTCTAAGTTTAAGAATTAATTCAACTTTTATTACGTAAATACTATAAAACTATGCAATTAATTTGCATTACCCAATTAAATTTGATTTAATTTGTAATCAAAAGATTCTAATTCTAAAGAATCAAACACCATACACTACAATCTTACAATACAGCAGCAATATCGATGTAGTAATGGAATCCTGGGCTCTAAAAGGCTTTGATCCATAAATTAAGTACCAAGGAGAGAATTGCCTACATGTAGCTATCAAATAAAATACCTATGAAGGTGTTTAATGGGCAATACAGCATTGTAATGTCGATTAAAGGGAGAGCATTCATAAGAATTCTCCTCTGCATACTATCTTTCAGAAACAACAATCTGTAGATATGTTTTATCAATTGGAAAATTATAGACCTAATCCTTTTATAGTCAACCGCTATAACAAAATTCCACGTTTCTATTAGACCTAAATGATTTAGTTAAGATTTGTAAAGTTGTATTTAAAATACGAACTTCGCTATTTAAAATTTCACTTCTTAACTTACAACTCAAACAATTTTCATGGGATGATCACCTCAGGAAGTAGATCTAATGCTAGATAAGATTGTGAATTTTCAGCTATTAATACGACTGACATGAGCATATTAAGTGGAGAATAATTATTAGAATAATTATTGAGTGAGGTTTTAAAGATATTGAGATCCTCAAAATCCCTTCCCTTAATTATAGACAAGATCAATCTACTGATAAATAGTTTCTTGGATTTATAAGCAAGGATGTATTTACAATCCATATTGTAACTTTTAATTTGTAAAGCTAAATATGGATGGATGTACAAATCTGCAATTCTGCCTTAGATCATCACTGAAATCAATATGCTATTCAAACATAAATTCTATTTAGAAAAAAGGATATTCTGTGTTTAAGATTTTAAGTTAATAATTGAAAATAGAAAATTAATAATTAACCAGGTCAAATTAGAATCATAGAATCCTGAATAAGATCATCTGAATAATTTGTCCCAAAGACTTAAGTCCAATATCTCCAATGTAATTGATCCTTAAATGTAGACAAGATTCCACGAATAATATGTTTTCAATTACATCAATATTGTTTATCTAGGCAAAAATATGAAAAAGCATGCATAAAATGATATCAACATCTTGAACCAATACGAAAATTTATAGTTCAAGGATATGTTTCTTGAAGAGCAAATAGACATCCCAGATAGTCCAAGAACCGCTATCATCGATAAAATGAAGTATGCTCCAGTGGTGAATGCGAAATTCAAAGATTTTTCAAATCTGAGATCAAAGTCACAAATGGATATATGAATTATTCACACTCATAATTAATAACTAACATCTAAATTTAAAAAACAGCAAGATCTCTGATTTCGTACTTCTACGATATGATATTTAGTTATTCTAATAATTATAATTTTATTTCCTCTCTAACATAGGATTATGGACCATAGTCTTCCGCCTTAAACTCTATTATGGAGTTTTTCAATATCGTATTGATGCAAACTATTCATTCTCTGACTCAATTAGTTCGCTTTTTTTGGAGACAAAAGTTAAGAACTTTGGCTTTGGCTTACTAAAGTGTTGCTTATGAATCTGCCCATGATCCTAGTTGAAGACTCCATGATTTATAGCCTTAGAGGCGGTTAGTCTATGGGAAGGATTTTAGAAAGAAAACTTTATAGGAAATCCAAAGCCTCCCTGCTAGAATTGGCTACACTCAAATCAAACAAGCCTTGCTTATTAAGTTGGACTCTTTTATTGTAATTTTCCGATTCAAATGGTATTTATCCAGTCAGCATCTAAAAGAGCAGAACACCAATACTAAAAAAATCCACTTTGAAATCAAATAGTTTATTCTGCAGCAATTCAGGAAAAGATCCTATGAATATCTAAGCATAATATTCTCTGGTTTTATGTCTCTATGCATCACACAAAGGCCATTCATATATTCTAAAGAAATAAGCAATTAACAAATTAAGTGAAATGCTCTTTTTTCATTCACCTTCGATTTTTTAATTTCTTATCGCAGATTGCCACCCAATAGTAATTCAAATATAAATTGAAGGATTCATAAATATGAACCAAGTCAGGATGATCCACCTGTTGAGCTATTTCTAATTCCTTTGTCAAAGTAATCTTATCACTTGGTAAATGCAAATAAGATTTTTCAAAGTCTTAATAGCAAACTCAATTATTTTTAACTCTGTAAACCAAACTTGTATAGTTAATACATACCTTTCCATAGACACCCTATCCAATTAGTTTGAGAATAGAGTATTTTTGAGTGATATTCGATTGAATGCACTGCGTTTTTAGTATTTCAATAACTCTTCTATCTTATCATATATTTCAAGATAATTTTATCCAAAACCTAATCTGCAACCCTCCCATAAGAGATTATGCTTGACCATATCACAAACTTTCCATTTCTATTAAAGTCTACATTTATTTATTACATGATTCCTAAATTTATATAGATTTTGTCCTTTCAGGATTAAAGTAAATTCCCTATAGACGCCAGATTTAGAGGAAATATGAAAACTACCTGAGTCTGTTGACTAAGTACTTTGATTCCTTAGAGTGATTCGATTTTCTAGAGTAGAAAGTTACTTAGCATTTTAGGATTACCATTGTGGATCATTTATTAAAATATAGCAAATTACAATATCAAACCAACAAATAAATAAATGTAATAATTAATTAATGAATTTTTTTATTATAAGTACAATTGCACTTTGTTTATACATAATGCTTGATATCGAATTAAACGATTAAATGTGGGAAGTTAATACTGCACTTACCGTGTATTTGCAAGAACACTAATTTCCAGGGGAAAAGGAAGTGTTTCTATTTTTTTCATATTCTCTTTATGCTCTACCAGGAATAGCCCTTATAGCGTTTTTGTTCTGCGATAATAAAATGGGTGCTTTGCTGTATGTTTGCCTGATATAAACAATTTTTGCTGAGAATCAAATTCTTAAAAATATATATCGCCAAGCACGCCCCTACTTTATTGAAAGTGCAATCCAGCCTTATGAGTGCAACAAAGAATTTGGTAAACCTTCTGGCCATGCAATGTCATCATCAGCAATGTATTTTCTTTTACCTTTAATAATATTCCCTGCCATTTTAAGTGACAAATCTAAGTAATTCAATGTTATGAAATAGCCACAAGTATTTAAGAGTAATTGTAATTGCAATAGTGACCATGTGGACATTCATGACAGGATTTTCAAGAGTCTTTATGGGTGTTCATTCATTCGGATAAATCTTACTTGGTTGGGTCTATTCTGCCTATTCGATTTTCATTTATATGCGTTATTTTCATAATCCGATTACTCATTACATTAAATAATGCTTACAACCAGGATCCTTTGGAGTATCAAGCAATGTTGTATAAGCAGTCGGATTATTTGCACTTTTATGGACTGGCTTATCAATTCTACTCTTTGAATTCAATAACAAAGTATTAGGAGAAGAGGATGAAGTGGATGATTGGCTGGATGCATTGTATTAGAAATGTGCAAACTAAAAAACTCATTACAAGTTCAACAGTCCATAAGTGTTACATAATATTAGTTTCAGTCTAAGCTTGTACATTTGGCTACCATTCAGTTTCATCCTAGGTGTTAAGTTAAGCAAAGGCATTTACAATGAAAATCAGTTCAGTGTCTACTACAAGTTACTTACTTTTTCGCAAAAGGTTAGCAGAGTACTGATTTTCATTTTGTTAATCTCAACGTTGATTCCCATAATTTTAAGCTAATTCGAAAATTCCTATGGATATGCATTTGGAAAAGTAATTTAATATGTTCATTTTATCAAAGATTCTTCCTTTATCCTTTTTATTGGGATTGCATATCACTTACATCTACTCGAAGCTCTTAAATTACTTCAAGCTTACAGTGGAGGGAGATTTTATATAAATGTCATCGCAATTGGTTTCAGCTCCTGAAGGATACAAAGCTAGTGAATTAGGGTAAATCAATTTTTGAATAGTTTTAGAATTATTATTTGAAAAATCATTGAAATCAAAATAAATAAACAATAATATTAATATTTAATATATGCAATATATAAAAAATCAATTACCTCTGATCATTTCGGGTAATAATTTATTTCCATTTAGTAATTAAAAGCTTAGATATCTTTGGATAATCCATTACTTTGAACATTAACAAACAAAAAGCATATAAAACAGCATTTGGTGGCATTTCATCAATCTGTCTCATCTTCATTTTGATCACTATATTTCAATCCAATATTGTTGATTTCTTCAAAAAAACAGATGTTGTTTTCTCTACCAAAACTGAATTTGACCCAGACCCTGCTTAAATTAAAATGAATATCTAAAATTACATGGTAGCATTTTCAATTGAATAAATCAATTTCGTCACCAACCCGATGTTCAATATAACAATCGAATAAAGGTAATGAATTCATTCCATATTGAATTAGAAATTATTCGAGAGACTAATTCGGCAAACAAATTAAATAAATCCAGTACCTACAATTAGAGCCATGCACATTAGATCATTTTGAATTTCTGTTGAATTAACCTGACTCTGATTTCGAATCGCAATACAATCAACTTGAATTATATGATTGGCTTTGTCCTTAGTAAAATTTGTTATATTTTTAGGAAGGACTTTTAATTCACTTTAGAAGGGACCTATACTAGCACAATATTTGATTTTATCAGAGTTGTGGTCAGTGATTGTGATGATTCCAAAAAGGGGTATAATAATTGGAACCCTAAATGTGCCACATAATCTGAAAAAACTCTACATCTAAATGAATAAGGATAATTTAAATTGTAGATCTACTAAGTGAACTCTGTTGTCAATCCCAAAGCTCCTGAACAATATTATTAATCCTATCTTGATGGAGAAATGTATTTTACTTTCGTTCCTTAGAAGTTATCAAGGCAAACAAATCTGTATTATAGAAAATATTAGTTTTAAAATGATGGCTCATTAATGCCATTTTTTTAGTATTTACATATGGTTGATTATTTAGGTCAATAAATAAAAATGAATTGATTGTCAGATAGAGTGTGGATTACAGAGATTTAACAGAACTGGGAAGAGATACAGATCAAAATTATGCAATTGTTTATCTCAGGAGGAGTCAGTTCTCAGAATACGTTAATAGAAGATATATGAAAATAGATGAACTATTGGCATTTCTAGGAGGATTTTTATAAATAATGATAACTGGCTTTGGAATATTTATAATGTATTATAATAAATTGTAATGTAAGTAATCGTTTATGATTATATATTTTAGTGTAAATAGAATTATCTAATAAATTTTATAATTTCTCTAGAGGATTTAATAAAACTAACACCTTTAGAAAATCGGCGAAGTATAGTGTTAATGGATCAATAAAAAATGATACCAAAATTGGTATTAAACAGCCCCCAGAAGTAAAAAAAGATGTCACATTGATGAATGATAAGGAAGAAATCAGTATTACTCAATAAATCTTAAATTTGTTTGAAAAATCTACTAAATTAAAATTGACTCCCAAATCATTAATAAATTATCTATCCTTTGGATACTTATTGAATGATTAAGACACAAAGATCTTTAACAAAGCAATGTAACTATTCATTCTTATTTATTTAGGGTCAGGGTAGACTAAAGTTTGGATATTTAAGAAATACTATATTAGTTGTAGGAAGTAAATAAATTAAAAACGTTGATGCTTAAGAGACAGTAAATTATACTCTTTAATTTCACTTAAAAACCAAATTTGACATTGGAAGAGGAAGAATAACTCCCTAGTAGATTGTTGATTGAACAGTAGTTAATAGAGGATGACAAGGAAGAATTCAATAAAGACTAGATAATAAATGATCTATACAAGGCATGGCAAGATATAGGTTCTGATAATGGTTAAAATGTTTGCCAATAAGAATTGAATTAGAAACTAAATCAAGAATTAGGCGTTGAAATTCAAAAAGTGTTCCATGATTATGTTAAGGCACAAAAAGATTTGAATATGTAAAAATAAGAAGATCAACAACCACTTAAACAGTAAATAGAATGAAAAATGATAATCTAAGAATAGAATCATGATATATTGATTAAATTAATATGATCTATTTTGAAAATTTGAGAAATTGAATGAATCTATAATAATGAATTTCATCACCCTTCTGAGTCAGGATAAATTTAACTGATTTTAATGCTTCTGCGAGGAGTGAAACGTTTTCTTTGAAATACATTTTTAAGTTCTACTATTTTTGATATTGATAGGCCAGGTTTACGAGGTGGATTCCTAGTGGTTTTAAGTGATCGTTCTCTTTGTTGAAGTTTCTAGTATTTCATAATATATTCAAATGGGAAGTACATATAATAAATGAGTTTATTCATGTAATTGAATTTTCTTATTGATTTGCTTCGTAATTCTTATAATACCTTATTGATGTTGTGACTTACCATGTAAAGATCATAATTCTTTACAATTTCAAATTAATCTAATCCCTACTCTGATTTAAACTACAAATACAGCATTTCAATATCTAAAATAGAGTTAATATTATCCAGCTATTCATTTGAAGCTGACTTTCTCATTTTTAAAAAAAGCTGTTCAATTTACAATTGCATCATTTCATTAAATTCAGCTTACTAAGTTTGTTCGACATCTAATTAAGATTTTTGAGGTTATTATTATTACTGCGATTAGTATTTACTCAAGTAATTCTTCTTATACATTGATAATTTGGCTGTTGTGTACTTATTGAAAGTAGGTGGTTTAAGATCAAAGTCATTTTGATTTTACACTCTTTTAACTTAGAGATTGTAATCATAGGAGGTTTGTGAATCCAAGATGCCTTATTTCCGCCTTTGATTATTGGAATGGACCATGCTTTGCGTTGGACTCAATGGTTAGAGTGGAAGGTTATTGGAGGAGTAAAAGTTATCCGTAACTAACATGGAATCTGACTTTCTCAAAAGAATCTTTTAAGTAGGTTCATGAGTTTGACGTGGAGAAACGCATTCATCAGATTTCATAGGATTTTCATCGGCTTCTTAATCAAATATTAATTATTATTGCAATTGCGACTTAATTAATTTCTGCTTTTCGTTTTGAAAATAGAGTGTAAATTATTCTATAATGTCTAAATCAGGTAATGTCTGAAAGAGATCTTTAGTTCGTTTTTAGGATCTTTTCCATTTATTTCTTTCTTATGGTTTGGAGTATAGATGCCGCTTAACAACAACTTCTCGATCAATAGTAATTTTGAGTTAAGGACATCCTATAAGATTGTGGTCACCTTGTTTACATGCTGCACAATAGACTCCGTAAGGTAACTATTTCTTTTGAATACTCAATTAGATATTGTCTTTGAGTTGACAATAATGCTAATAGTCTTTTGGGAAATTGTTTAAGACTGACAAAAAATCACTCTAATAATTAATAAAAGGGTATACTTTACTGAGAATCAGAAGACTAACATAACCAATGGCTTAATAGACTTGAGTGTTTTGATTTTCAGATACGAAATCTTAGACTTAGAGGAATTGGCCCTAACTTTGAATTCCTTAGAGTGAATAACGATGTCTATTTAGGTATTGTAATTGGCCTTGTTCAACAAAACAGAGATGTGGTTGTTTAATATTACCAAGAGTAAAGATGGAGAATGTATTTTAGGGTAGTATGATAGTTCTAGCAATGTGACAAGATAGAGCATTCTAAAATTCTAGGCTAAAATTACTGGATAAAAAGGAGCAATGACTAAAAAATACACTATTTGATTATTGCCTTAATTCCTACTTCAACTCCTTCTGATAGTTCAGCCAATAATTATTCCTCTTATTGTAGATCTATTTCAGCTTCTTCCTTCCATCTGAAATTGAGATATTCTCGAATTCTAAAATGCTATAAATTATGATTACCTATATTGGAGTCCATAGGGAATTCTGCGTTTATGCATGTATCTGTTGATGACTCTTATTTTCTTGATTCTCTCCACCATATTTTAATTGATTTCCTTGATTATGATACCAATTGTATTGACACTGTAACTGAACCATAAGCATGCTCCCATTATGAAGAAGATTGCCACTATTTTCTCATTTGAACTTTTAGGTACATTATCTCCATATCCGATTGTCAACATGGTAACAATTGCGAAATAGAATGCCTCCAAGTATTGAACTTGCCATGATTGTTAATCTAATTATTTGTATTTGATCCAAGATTCGTCACTCAAATTTGAATTGAAATACCATATACATGAGAACATATGCAAAATGTACATTAGAGTAAGAATTAATTTGAATAGACTGATTATTCCTTTCTATGATTTACTAAAGTATTGTGATTCTTCACTCTTTTGAATGACTTCACTAATATGTTTGAATTGCATCAGCGAAGTAAGCAAGATAATCAGATAATAATTAGATATTTATTCTTCATCTTTAATACAGTAATACAATAGAGGTGCTATTGTTAATACATCTATAAATAAAACCCTAAAGATTTATCTGGCGTACTATCTCGAATCTATCCAATACAGCATGTCCTTTTACATAACATATTGTATTTAATCTAATTATGACATCAAAAAGCAATAAAGATGAGAGTAGAGAAGTGAGTGCCAAAATCTAATCAAACAAAATGCCTGGAACATAAGCAATCTCAAGTGGTATTAATACTAATAATATCAATCTAATTAAGGTTATGAAGTAATCCCACATTAATTTGTTGGGACTCTCAGGATGGAACTAAGGGATTTTTGATAATTTCTCATATGCATACTTCCTCGCCATTTAATACTTCTCCTTTATGGATTAATAGACTGGATTCTCAGGGTTCACTAATGTTTGTTACCGAAAAAGTCGGGACACATTTCTAATTTGAAATATTGGACTTGCAAATTTCATTTAAGTAAGCATAACCTGACTATTATGGCATTGTTTTATTTACTTATCAGACCCCTGATCATCTATCAATTATAAATGACTCTCGTTGATATTTTGCAATTTTTGTCTATGACTGCGTATTTTCTAAACAAATTGCTTCACAAAGAAGAATGCCATCAAACTCACACCAGTGCGTTAAGCTCGTTTAGTCCATTCTGGAAGTAAGGCCTAATTAGAATATTAATCAACCTCATTTGTTCTAAGAGTGTCCAATTATGACTTAATTACTAAATTTGGACTATTGAATGTCCCTCTGAAACCAGTATTCAAGTACTCTTGATCATAGTCTAATTCATTTATGGCCTATAACTCTTGTATTGGCGTAAAATTGTTCTGTTGGTACAAGAGATTTGATTAATTCATTTTAGTTTTAATATATTGTAATACATTTACTCTTTCGATGGTAAATTGATTCAGAATTCAGATTAATGATTTTACAACTATATTAGATTAAAATGATTTAATGATCAAATTATTAAATCAAGCAAATCCTTCTCTTCTGTCTCTCATTTAAGGGAAGTATTCATTGAAATCTATTTTAAAATCATCCAAATGATGAAATTAAATATGAATTTATTCAATAAATTTGATGATTGAGTTTTTCTTTTCTAGTTATTATTATTTAATTAATGTAACAAGATAAATAATATGAAAACATATACTACTAGCCCAAAGGAATTATAATGCATACACGCCAATCTGTTAAACCCTTCCTTTTACCAAAAACAGAAGCCAGCACACACCGCTTTTCCTAATTAGATTATTTTACAGAACCCACAGCCAGTATAGTAGATCCTCAAGGACCTCAAACTGACCGAACGCATGTCAGAAACAATAGATAACTTGTCAAAAATAATAAGGTTGTTACTATCGAACCTGAATCTAACATATTAAACGAGGAGAAGAATAAATTACAAACCAAGTTTAATTTATTAGACTCTTTTACTTTGAGACATTCACAACATCATTTATAAGGGAGGAATGATATCAAATAAGAATTTTTCTAGAGAAAGTTTAGCCAATAAAAACTAGGTTTCAAACTACAACAACTAGACGAAGAATACGAATCTAATGTAATTTTAAGAAGAAATCAGTTCTTTTATACTTCTTTAAGAATAAAAGATCGATACTCACCTTTGATTCTTCAAATTAGAATCAAATAAGGTGATCCGAACACAAGAATGCGAATATTTGCTTCTCCTAAATTCATCCAACCTAATCGATTTAACGCTACTGTTGAAGTCAGTGGAAGATAATTAAAATTTGCCTCTAATTCTGAAATCTTTCAAGAAGAAACCCTATACGTTGCAATTTTGGCCCTAAATGAACTATCAATTGGCATAAACATTGAATTTGGAAGACCTGCTACTAAAAGGGTTGTGTAGAGAGAAAGAAAAGAAAAATCTATCCACGAATTTCCTCCTGATTTAGAACTTTAAATAGAAGAAATTATGATGCGAAGAAGACTTCGATATGCTAATTAATAAAATTATGTTGAATTAAATAAATGCTCTTAGATGTCCCGTAGAATTTAAGAAAAACCTCAAACTCCAAAACAAGTAGAGGTAAAGCAAAAAATTAGAAGGATGAAAACGGAGCAAAGTCTAAAAAGAGTAGCTTAGTTATAAGTTCACGATATAGCCAGATAAATTCATAGAAAATAGTTAGAGATGTAAAGAGAAATTAAACATCGAGAGTATGTTTAAAAGACCTGGTTTAAAATTGTTTGTTTAATCAATATTTTAGCTCCTGGTATCAATGAATTTATAGAAAATCAAAGATAATTAGTTGCTAAAAATATGAAAAAACAAATCTCTTTAGTCTAGCTCTTAAATAAAATTAAGAAAAGAGTAGAAAGATTTGGGCCCAATTGTAAATTAAGAACGATCTTATAAGGAAAATGGTAATATTCATTCATTTTTTAATAGTTGCTTACAATTAATTGCAAATAATTCAAGAATCATTGCAAAAAAAAGAGCATAAAAGATAATTACACAAATGTTGTAAAACAACATTACTTGCTTTATTACTGAGAGCAAAGGCACTCATGTTGTCAATTTAAGTAATGCGAAAAACCATATGAAGTAAAGAAATGCGTGAATCGATTAGTGAAGCACAAAATCAGTAGAATTGAGTTTATGAGCAATCTCAAACTATACCTGAGTGTCTAGTACAAGCAACTTTACCAAATAGCTCTTAGATACAGTAAGCAAAGCGATTCATCCAAAAACAAAAGAGATCCTATACATTTTCTATTATATGATGCGTAAAATTTTGAGTAATTTAATAGTTCTTTTCTGCATCAAATGACAAAGAAATTATTGAGTCATGTATTTGAAAAGTGGAATAAAAACTTTATCACTTTTAGAAATGCAACCAAAGAGGAAAGAGAAAAAAAAGGTAAAAAGGGAGTGGCCCTATTTTGGTAACCCCCAAAACTATTTGAATTACCTTAGGATATAGTGGTTAGACTATTCTTATTTGAAGAGCTTGAGAAACGAGGACTAATAACTGGAGAATACAAAGAATGAAATTCATGAAACTAATAATTATGAATCCAAGCATTAAATTGTATAATAATTAAAATTTCTTTCTGAATTTTTAAATCTTAAATTATGAGTTATTGATTAAATTGAAAAAAAATGAGTCTTTATACATAATTAATCAAATTTAGGTTGCAAAATATTCTCTTTATATTTTTCTCTAAAATCCATCAGCTTCCATAGTGTAAGCAATTAGATAATTAGATTAAGGTTTTAATGTTATTTAATATTAATTTCCTCTCTCAGGTTTTTTTAATTTTAATCCTTGCATAACTGACAATATACCTTTTATTTCTATATTTTCATTACCAGTATTTTGATAATATTCGTAACCAATTCTAACATAAAAATAAATTGAGTACCCATATTCTACATGGAATTCAGAAATGATATCAAGATTTGAAAATCCACTTTTTTGGATCTCAGGGTTTCGTTTTGCTAAATAAAAAAGAATTTTTTTCATGAAAAATTGATCTTTATCAATCTGTGTAAGGTTCACTTCTTTCGGTCCATAAGCGCTAATTACAAACTCACCCTCACTCATATATTGCCACTTCACCTTCACTTATAAAACGTATTGACCTTACTCAAAGTAATCCCCTACAAACACTTATTGCTCCTTCTCATACTTTGCTTTTTTAAATATATAACCTTAATTAATCTATTAAGCAACTATCATTCTAATTGGCGAATACTTATAATTTGATTCTTAATCTTGATAGTGTCTTAAGGACTTTTATTGAGCCATGAAATAGTATTCACCTGGGGTATCATTGTTAAATATGAAATATATAGATTCATTCGATTTATTAACTATGGTTTGAGCAGTATTAAAATAATCTTTCTTAAAATATCCCACATCGATTGTATTAAAATACCGAATAAAATCTTGATAAGACATGTAGAAAACTCCATCATTAGACCTTTGCTAAATTCTTAATTTCTTTTTTAATTTTTCAGTCCATGAAGGACTATCATCACTCCATTCACCTCTCCATACTTTTTGGCCCCAAGGATTTCTCAATTTGATTAAAGTGACTTCCCCTTTAATTGGATGAAGAATAGTTTGTAATTTCAAAATGGAATAAGCATGATCATAGATTAAGCCCATAATTTCTTAATTAGTAGTAGTACTAGAAATAGTCCCTGTTGTCATCAAACATTAATTGTTAACAAGCTTAATAAATCGTTCTTTAAATTTGGGTGAATCAGTTTTTATTGTCTCAGCTGGGCAGCCTGTTAAACTGCGAATGACTTCCCCAGGGTCTCCAGATATTATATTTGAATATGATCCAAATGATTTTGCCCATGCTTTTTCCAACAGTAAAACCCAGATTTCTTCCTATTTACTTGATGAAAAAGCAGGTTCATTTCCCTTGACAGGAATATAATCATCAAGTATTATGGCTTTCCACATACCATCGATGCAAAGTCTAACTGAAAATATGCCAGATGGATTTGCTTTTTGAGTTATAAACAAGTTAAGCAAAAAGTCAGGCCTATTTTAATTATATATTTCTATTACCATCTAGAGACTAACGAACTAGCAACGGACAAAAAATAACAATCTCCTAAAGACCCTTGAAAAATATCTTTTGGACTGATCCATTTTCCTAAGCCAAATCTTGATGATGTTTTATTTTAAACAAAAATTTCATATGAAGGCCAAATGTCCCTTAATCGTTTCCAATTATATTCTGTTAATTTTGAACCTAAACTCTAAGCATTTGCTGGGAATTCTAAATCTGTAAAAAATTCATTTGTTCTAATTGACTTATTAAATATTTAGAGAAAAGTTTAAATATTTACGATTTTACAATTTGGAATTACAAAACTCTCGAAATTTATTTCAAGATTCAATTTGGCTTCTTAAGTTGGGTCTTCATACTAATTTTATTCTGGAAGTACGGAAATCCTGGATTGAGGTGGTTATTATTATTATTACTACTACTTTTATTACAATTATTTCTATTATGCTTATAATTGTAGTTGCTATTGTAAATGTAATTATTCCCTTTACTATTCATAGTCCTATGCTTTGATTTTTGTTCGAGTCTAATTAAGCAATTATTTTTGAGGACTCTAATGTACATAAAGTGGTCTAATATCTTTCTGTTTTTATGGAGAACGATGAGATAGACTTCTCATATTTTTTTATTATTAACTTGCTATTAACTTTGGGTTATTATAATTATTTTATTCCATTGATTTACTATCTTTTATCCAAGATTTTAGAGTCTAAAGTGTGATCGAAATGGGAGAATATTAATTTTTAAACAGTGAATATTCATACTCAGATATCGTTGGGAAGGAGTACTATTCCAAAAAAGTTTTAAACTCTCTTTCATTTAGAACATTATCCTTATCCTTATCAAAATCTTTAAAAACTGTTTCAATATCTTACTCTTTGGATTGTATATTTTTAGCAATCAGAATAAATATTTCATTTAAACTTCTATTTTTTTGTTAAGGCTTGATTGATTCCGCAGTTTTCTTGTGGGGTTAGAGCAATAATTAGTATAATATCTTTAAGGTTAGTGTTGGCGAGGAGAATTAAGTTAAAGTAGAATAATAAAACTTTTCAGCTTCTTTTTGAGGTATTTTGTTATCTAGAAGTGTGATACCCAAAACGAATTCCTATTAATCAATAATTCCATGATTATTGACTTTAAAGTAACTCTTTAGGTTTATTCTTTCCGACAAGTTCAAGAGTATTTTGAGTATTTCATTGGAATAATTCAACATCATGTAAATTTAATAAAGTAAATAGAATTAGACAACTACTTTATTAAATACATAAAAGTAATTATAATAGTGTTCATTTTGATTAATAGAACTGATGAAAAGAATTTATTAAAGTAAGTTGATTTAGTCTATTTAAAAGTAATACAATAACTAGATATATTTGGTCAAACAATTGCCCTTAATATCAATAAACAATCTAGCTACAAAACATTTTTTGGTGGAATTTCATCAATCTTGATTATTGCCATATTGATTGCTTTCTTTTTTTCAAATGTTGTGGATTTCCTGAATCAAACTGATATTATATTTTCACTAGAAACAAAATTCTCTGTAAACCCAGATGCTATGATTTTATCTTAAGAAAATTACATGGCAGCATTTTCAATTGAACAAGAAGGATATGCGATCAATCCATACTTCAATATTTCGATAGAATAAAGGTATTATACTACATAGATTCAGATAATATGTTCGAGATGAGAGTGGAAAGTAAATCAAATCTATTAGTTCTGTTCCTTTGGAACCTTGCACATTATCACACTTTAATGTTTTATTAAAGGAATCAAATTTAAATTTTGAAGAGCAATACAATAGCCTTGATCTATCAAATTGGTTATGCCCTAAGTAATTGTATTGAATAAAGTTAGGAAGGATTTTTAATTCAAACTAAGTGGCACATATTCTAGTTAAGAATTTAACTTCATTAAAATAGTTATAAAGGAATGTGAATAGGGAAACGAGAATGAATCTGGGTGGAATCCTGTTTGTGCTTCAGAATAAGCAAAATAACAATCTTTAGAAATTAATGGATAATTTAAGCTATAAATTTACTAAGTCAATTCAATTATAAATCCAAGTTAATCAAAAGCCTATGTGAGAGCCTATCTGGACGATGAAATGTACTTTACATTTATTCCAAAAAAGATGTCCAGATAAGCCAACTTATTTTATAGAAAATACAAGCTTTAGAATGATATATCCCTCTTGCCTATTTAGTATTTAATTTAGTTCAATATTGAGGAATATCTAATAAGAGGAACTGATTGTCAGACAAAACGCTGATTATCGAGATTTAACAGAAATCGGAAGAGATACTGACGATAAATACGCTGTAATCTATTTAAGGAGAAGCTAATTTACTGAGATTGTTAAGAGAAGATTTACTTCTATAGGGGAATTACTATCTTACTTAGGGGGGTTTCTTCAAATCATGATAACTGGACTTGGCTTATTCATTATATACTACAATAAAATTTAGAGTAATAATTACTAATAATTGAAGTGCAAATAGAATTATCAAATAAACTTTATAACTTTAAGATCAACGCTGGTGATAATAGCAAAATTGCGAAGAGAGTAATAAAGTTAAGTTAGATATCTAATGTAAAGGTGCAATAATAGTGTGTGGATGATTCATAGAATATGAATATAAACGATAGCCTTATAGATGAGAAATAGAAGAAGAATTATCTGAAGAGTGCAATCATAAAATAGTTTCATGAAGTAAACAAGATTAGTTTATCGTTGAAATTAATCTTGAATTAAGTTACTTTTGGATTAATGTTCAATAATAATGATTCTCTATTTTTGAACAAAGCTATGTACGCATTATTTGTATTCTTATATTTTAGTAATTAAGTAAATCATGACCTAAACATACATCACATACTTTATAAGATTTAGGAAATACAAAAATTGAAGTAAGTTCTGTTGAGACGAGCTCAGATTATTTTATTTAATTTTACACCAAAACCTTTGATTACACTGGATGAAGAATACCAATTACCAAATCGAATGGACTTTGAGGAGAACCTTAACGATTTGATAAGTTCTAAACTCACAGACTAAACTGATAACAATTTGTTCTCAAATCTATATCAAGTACTATTTCATTATCATAGTCATTAAGGCTTATTTGGAAATAAAGAAGGAGCTCGAGGAATAATCGATGCCTTTTTGTTAGTTTTCAGTGAATGCTTAATTGGCTTCAGAGTTAGGACCATAAATGTAGGAGATATTCAAAAGATAGGAAATGATTGAAAATTAGGAAAAAGCGGCATTTTCAGTTATTTTAAAGTCTGTAAGTGAATGAATTGAGTAAAAGTATTATTTGGTTATAACATATTATTATTCACTTTTTATGTGAATTAATATATATAATGGATTCAAAGAATTAATGGAATTAAAAATCATCAGTACAAGAGTTTGGGATTCAGAAATCAACTTTAGCTAAACCAGTGCACCAACAAGTAAAACCAACCCAGTAGGTGCCTCCTAAGAATGAACTAGAGTAGAATCAGCTTGTGCGTCGTGTGACGAAACGAAACATTGCTATAAAAAAGTCAATGGCTACAGATGAAGGAACAATCTATGAGACATTTGAGCCGTTGATGAAGCCACAGACTCTTTAAGATATAGCATTTATAGTAAAATGCTTTTAATCGCATTTTGTGTTTTCTTCCATGAATGAAACTTAATTGTAAGATTGATAATTAATTGAAGAATACAATTAGCAAAGAGCATGTTCTATTGCAGACTGGTGATTGGATAAACTATCATAAAGTAAAGGGACGGAGCTAGTTCTTTTTTTGTGTTGGAAAAGGGAAAGATAAATGTGTTGGTGGATGGACTCTCTAGAAAATAACTCACTCAAGGCAATGGATTTGGTGAATTGGCACTATTGTACAATGCTCCAAGATCAGCAACTTGTGTGGCTATGGAAGAGTGCTTTTTGTGGGGAATAGACAGACACACCTTTAGAAAAAGTGTTGAAAACGTCATGAGGAGTGAACAGGAGAAGAATAGATAGCTCTTAGAATAAGTTAAGTTTTTCAGTAATCTATTAAATTGAATCATTAGATTAATTGACCAAGGATTAAAAAGACGCAATTTCAGGAGTGTTGATTCTGTAAAAGTTTAATCAAAACGAAGTTATTGTCAATGAGGGGGATCAAGCTAGTTCATTCTATATAATAGTCGAAGGCAAATGCGGAGTCTTTAACAAGGAAGACGTTTAGATTGCAACTCTGAATTCTAAGGATTCATTCGGTGAATCTGCATTGAAACACGACAATCAAATTAGAATGATGACTATCAAAGCCATCGAAAAAGATACTAAAGTGGTGGCTTTGGGAAAAGATATGATTACCTAAATTCTAGGTGATAAAGTGCAATATATCATCTATAAGAATATTTGTAAATGGGCATTGAATAGATCGAAATTATTTGGAAAAGTTCCTGGAGGCATTTAAGATAAATTACTTGAAGGGGTTATTTATAGGAAATATGTTCCAGGATAAAAAATAATAAATAAAGGGGATAAAGTTGGATTCTTGTATATAGCTTTAGAAGGCAATGTGTTGGATGAACAGAAAAAGGCCATCACCAATAATATTGTAAATGAAGAATCTTTGTATGATGAAGTTGCCAACTCCAAGCATTTATTATCCTTTACTATGGAAACAGAAGGACATGTTGCTGTGATAGATTATGACAAATATCGTAATACGCATGGAAGTGTTGAAAAACTATCAGAAAATGATTAAAGTAATGCTAACTCAAAAGAATTCTAATAATCCAATGATTTAGTCAAATCATTTTAATTGAAAGAGCTGATTTTCCTTAATAAGCTCGGATCAGGGTAGTTTGGATCGGTGTATCTTTGCAAGAACAAAAACTTGGATACACTATTTGCACTCAAGTATGTGACTAGAGCTCATATCCAATAATATGGGATATAAAAACATGTCTAATAGGAAAAAGCTGTATTGGAAATAATGAATCACCAATTCATACTTAAGTTTTACCGTTCATTCAAGGATGGAGAAAATATCTACTTTCTTACAGAGTATATTCCAGGCGAAGAGTTGTTTGATGCAATCAGAGAAATAGGCTTGTTAGGTAAATATGATTCTCAATTTTACACTGCACAAATGATTCTTCAGATGGAATATTTACACTCTGTCCATTAAATTGTATATAGAGATATTAAACCTGAAAATATTATGGTTGATCAACATGGTTATCTAAAATTGATTGATATGGGAACTGCAAAATGTCTGAAAAATGTTTGTAATTATTATTCATCTATTACTTAGCTCCTCCTAAAACATTCACTATTATAGGAACTCCTCATTATATGGCTCCAGAAGTTATTTCTGGTAAGGGTTATGGATACTTTGCCGATTTGTGGAGTGTAGGATGTTGTCTCTATGAATTTATATGCGGAGGTTTACCTTTTGGAGAAGATCAAGATGATCCTTTCGAAATCTACAAAGAAATTGTTAAGAATCCCATTCATTATCCACAATATATGACTGATAAGACAGCCACGACAATCATTGAATAATTGATGAATAAGATTCCTGAATGCAGATTGGGAGGATCTTATTCCTCTCTCAAAAACAATTAATGGTTCTCGGACTTTGATTGGGTATTTATTAATCAATTATAATTGTTTAGAATAAATTGATGTCATAACAACTTTAGCCTCCATTGATTCCAAAAAAAGAAAAATTAATGAATGAAACATAAATTTAAGAATAAATAAAAAAGAACATTTTGGTTATAGATTAGATCTAAAAAGATACTATGGGATCCAAAAAGGTCTTTGCATAACCAAAAGATACCGAATGGGATTCAGTATTTTGATTATAAATTCTATATAGAAAATAAATTATGATCGTTATTATTATCTATATTATAAATATAGCCAAAATATTTAATTAAGTAACTTATGATTATATTATAAAAAAGTGATTATTTATTTCAATAAGATGGTGATACATTTAATCAATCTCGTAGTAGAAATTGAGAGTCTAATTATTTAATAGCACGAAATAGATTTGACTTAAAGATGAAATGAAAAAAGTAATATTTTCTGACACTGACTAAAATAATAATTACTAATAAAATTATAATTTTACCATATAAAATTTAATAAAGAAAGTTCATCTTTTTTTTATTATAATATGTTAAATATATAATTTTTGTATATATTTATTTTTGATATTAAATATATGAAATAATAACCAGAACTAGAGATTCCTACTCTATAATAATAGGATAAGTATTTGGAGAAGAAACGACAAGGACAGGGTTTGGATAAGAATTTCAAATTATTTAACGACTTTCTTAAATTACGAGAAGCAGGCTTCTCAAAAGTTACTATCATGTTACTTGTTTCCTTTTTTCATTAAGCTTTGAGTTATATTGCTTAGTAAGGCTCATTATTATATTATGATATAAGCACCTTGCAGATTTACACTATTCAACAGAGAGTACTTTGTTAAATCAAATTCTAAGTGCATGTCAATATGTAGACATCCTCAGTTTATTGCGAATTGACACAAATTTTTCGTATTTCTTCTTTACGATAGCACTAATCTTCACAATTGGTCTGACTCTCCTCTATTTAATAATATTTATTTTGGGACAAGAGTATAAGCCAAGAAAAAAGTTTATTGGGAAAGTATTTAATTTAACATTATGAAATAGTTATTTGTGTTTCTTTGTGATATTTATATTTGGCTAATGTTCTTTCCATGTATGGTGACATGTTTTGAATTTTGTATTTGTAACTAAGAATAGGAATGTAATTTTGATATAGTCAGAATCATCCTAACTTTATTGGCTATTTTTGGATTAATTTGTGGTTTACTTAATATTATAGTATTAACTGCTTTGTTTCATAACAATTGGGAAGATAAAAAGGATTGTTTTAATGGCGAAAATGTAATCTATTTAAGTAGTTATCAGTTCAGTCGCTTTATAATGGCATTCTTTGTAGTTTTTAGGTATAGTCACTTATTATTTTGAAGCACCAAAGCATACACTTTCATATGGCTATTTATGATAGTTTCCTTTTTGCTTTATACATTCTTTTTAATAAACATACTAGTCGGAAGTGGTTTCTTAGCTTTTGGGACTAAATATACTAGAACATTATTTATCATAATGCTGATATTTTTGGTTAGCGTAACTTTTTCAACAATTGTTGATGAACTACATCGAAGTTAGAATTCTGATAAAAGTATTGAAAATTTCAGCGTTTACTTTGCTTTCACTTTGATCTTTCTCTTGTTGACAGTTGGATATAATTTGAGACATACTCAAAGTCTAACTATTTAATTTGATATCCATTCTCTCAGTCCTGATGCGTTATAGAAATAAATATATACAACTCTTGCCTTTTTAGAAGTCTCACTCAGCGACATTTCGATTGACACTTATTTCAAGGGAATTCTGTAAAGACATTTGGATTTCGAATGTCAACATCCTGAGATTAAGGGTGAAGCGAGATGTTTCTGTAAGAAGAAAAGAGTCTTTGATTCTAAGAAGCGAAAGGAAGTTAGAGTTGAAGAATGGTTTACAATGAAAGCTATAATTATGAAATTTCTGATGAAGAGTTGGATTGAAACTTATCTTAGCGATAGACCTAATGATGTAGGCATTCAAATACTCTATGCAAGGTATGATATTTGACTAAATTAGGTTTATGTTCAGTAAATTCCATAACCATCAAATTGCATTGCATATCCTATCAGATCTAGAAAAGCGATTCACTTTTGTATTGGATAGATACAAATCGTATTAATTGAAATGGAAAATAATAAAATTCATAAAGCATAAGAATAGTGATAGTTATAAAGGGAAATTGGAGATTGAAAATGCCTTATTTGTAGAAGAACAAATTGATTCAATAAAAAACAATATCACAAACATTCTGAAGTAGAACTGTGTATTTTGGAACAATCTTCAATAAACAACTATTGATATGAGTGAGATGGATAATCTGTTGTAGATGCAATTCAAAAAAATAGAAGAGACTAAACATTTATGGATAACAATTACCAATTATTTGGAGTTTAAAAAGAAGTGGAAATTTTATTATGCTTGGTTCACTCTCTATGTTTTGAATAAGAAAATTAAAAATAGAATACTTGACAACTTTTAGGGGTTCTAGGTTAATGAGAATGATATCTTCTCAGAAGAACTGCAAGAACATAATGACGATGTAAATAGTGTCAAATCTGGATTCTTAGATAATGAGAAAATAGAGATAAAAAGTAGGAAAATAATATTTGATAAAAAAGCATGTATTATATAAGCAAGTGATGACATTCAATCATCAATTCTCAAGGTTAATAAACAATTTACTCGTATATTTGGTTATTCAAGTGAAGAAGTAGTAAGGATGTAAGTATTATTGTTAATTTAGGTTTCCAATAAATAATTTGATGCCTGATGTGTATAGTAAAGTGCATCCTCAGATTCTAAATGATTACAAACAGACGGGTAAGAGTAACTCTCTCTATTCTCAAAGAAAGATTTATTGTCTTCACAAATCTGGCTTTATGTTTACTGCCTGGAAATTCCTAAAACTTTATGTTGATTTGAATGGCCTATCATAATTCGTTATTATGGTGAGACCAACTGATTTCGATAATGAGAAGAAGCATGATTACATCATACTTAATAATGATTGGGAGATAAATGGAATGACCAACAATGTGCTCTCAGGACTTAATCTCGATCCTCGTCTGTTTAAGAAGGCCTCCTCTGATTTCGTACTCTTCAACGTTCTGTTATTTGCACCCAAACTTATTCAATATTCAAGGATAGCTCCTTTGATAAACGAGGAAAGAGATCTGCCCATCTTTGGTATGATGAAGAATCCTAAGAAACCAGTTCAGAAGAAGATTCACAATTAAATTGTCCTTGAAAATCAATTATCCAATTCGAGCAAACCCAAAATCAATGTAAATATGCTTGGCTCGTCTTCACTTAAATAATCATTTGGGAAACCCATTCAAGGCATGTATTCAGATCTCGATTTTGGATCCAAAGTGTTATTGCCCTAACAATCCATCGATTAATAGATACCATAATAATTGGTGATCCAAAATGAAAGAGACAAATTCTTATAACATCAAATGAGTTCTATTAGTGATAAGAATGAATTTGAAGATTTCAATAAATAGATAGGTTAATTTGATAAGATCTAAAATCTGAATTAAGAAATGGAACGAAGAGCTGAAGAGTAGATTAATCAACTCAAAGAATCATAATTCTAAAACAATTACTAGAAAATTCAAACTATGGGCAAATAAGATAAGGATGCTTACAGTGAGGATAATGCAAGCAGAGATGAAATGATTGAAAAAATCAAAGGCATTAAAATTTTAGAAGGCAAAATCAATGGGGGAGAATAAATTCAATTTAGAATGAAAATTCCAGAAAACATGGATAAAATCATCGAATATTATTCATCTTAAAAATCTAAAATGTACTAATTAAAAAAATAATAAGATGAAGTATGATATCAATTATTACAATTATTTTAGCACGTTAAATAGGAAGAAATGGTAGATCAAGGGAAGAAGAAAGATAAAGACAAGTTATTTGTCAAATAAGGCACACAACATAGAGAATTTAGAAAAAAGGCTAGATTGATGTTCTAAAAAGCAGCAGAAATGAAACGATGTTAAGATGATGTGTAAATATACTAATCATATGATATAGAAATTTCTATGAATTATTGGTTGAGATCTATTAGAAACTAATATAAGAACAAAAATCTCGTACTTTTAAAGTAAATTGTACAATTTAATTCATTAAAATTAAAGATGAAAGAGTTGGTATAATCAAGATTATATCAATAAATGAAATAATGAAGATTAAAAGAGTGGCCAGAGAAAGGGATGGCAATCGCAAACAATCCTTCTTTCTAAAGAATCTTTAACCTTCTAGAGATTTAGTAGTAAAAGGATCAAAATTGTCTGCTACAAACATTTAAAACCAATTTGAAAACTCAAAATTTGTCTCTATGGCAAGTGAAAGCGATACGAAACAATAAGCAAGTCCTTTGGAAGTTAAAAATAATTAAAAGAATCCTCTTCTAAAAGATAAATCTTTTAAGGGAAATTTAGGTTATCAGATGAATGTTCCAGTTCAAGAAATGGATGATGATAAGGATCTATTGATTGATAGTAAGGCTTTTAATAAGATGATTAATTGGGATACCTTTTAGTAGCAATTCAAGATGCAATAAGGAGCACTTAACTTTTCACTTAATGCTGGAGATAATATATTCAGGAAAGAAGACAATAATAGACCTCGTAAATTCTTGATTAAAATTGCGTATCTAACTTGGTTTTTGAGAATAATGTTTGTTGCCATCATTACTTTAAACCTTTTAACTTACTTCCTCAAACCCTTCTTAGAATTCAACCCAATGATTTCTTAGGCCAATAGAATCTTAGCCTTATCATAAATGCAAACAACTATGATTGAAACCTATGATACTCTCTTAGATCTATTAATATATTAAGATGAATCCGATTATAATGATATGGGTATGTCAGACAAATTGACCTATTATAATTATCAATTATCAAAAGTTTAGGAGAGTTACGATTATATTAAACTGCAGATTAAGGATTTAGATCAACTACAGACCTTTCTTGATGATGATATATTTTACTCTAGTGCCATATCAGATGAATCTATTCTTGGCTAAGCCAATACAACTCTTACTTTAGACAGCAAAGACTTCTTCACTAAGTTTATTATGCTAGAACATCAAATATCCATGATGAATGCTTCTTCACTAGAGATCATAAGTCCCTCACACCCACTTGTTAAATTTATTCGTTATGTGACTATACCGTAATTATACAATCAACTAAATAATGCTGTTATGGATTTATAGTCTATGGTGTTGGAGAAATCCAATTCCATATCTGATTTTGTTATAATAATTCTCAGCATCGAAGGATCATTATTAGCGAGTGGTTTTTTTGGATTGTTGATTATTATCTTTTGGATTAGTCAAACTTACAAGGCGGTTTTGAAAATCTTCATCCTTATATAAAAGAATGATTTGAATAAGATCGTCAAACAATAAAAGTTCATTGAACATCAATTCAAGTACATCATTGCAAAAGACCAAGAAATAGCTGGAATTTAACCCAAAGGTGTTTATCAAAGAGTAAACTCTATCTCATCTAAACAAAATTTTTAATTGCAATAAAACTTCCTCTTAATCAACGAGGAGGAGGATTAGAATATGAATAAGAAAAAAGAGAAAAATATCATAGATCGATAATTACTAAAATCTTTGACTCTTAAATTATATGCAACATATATCCTATTAGTGCTTTTACAGGCAGGGACTTCCTTTGCCTTCTTCTTTTCACTAAAATAGGCAAGTAGCAACATAAGCCAACTGATTTAAATAGGTCAAGTTTCAATATCTGACTTTTCTAACAATTAACTTCTTTTAGTCTCTGTTAAAGAGCGATACTACAATGAGGATAATTATGAATCAAACTATCTTCCAAAAGTGAAGGCTTTACTTGAAATTTAAATTGAAAGCATCAAACAAACCCCTTAAATCGATAATCCTGGGTATGGGAACTACTATGATGGATTCCAAGCAATATATTTTGATAATCTTTGCGATTATCTTTTTAATCAATCTTGTAAATTAATTATATATTCTCTAGAATTAAATTCAACTGAATAGAATGATTGTGGATAATTAGTAAATGGCAAACTTAAAGCTGGTATAGTAGCATTTAATTAATACTTCCTCTCAAATGTGCAAGACTATGTTCTATTAAATGCTGATAGATTCGGATTTATCAATAGTAAAATAATTTGGAATCTGAATTCCTGTGTGGACTATGTCAAAACTGCCTTTAAATATTTGCTTACTGAATGGGCTCAAGTATTATATCATTATTAAATTACACTAGGATTTAAATTAGCTTATCGATTCTAATATCACTCTGATTTTGGTTTTGCTTATAGTCATGTAATTGTTTTAATTAATCGTATTTTTGGCAATTGCTGAAATGTATTTGGTAGACCAACTCAATAAGGCATTTTCATTTTATCGATTAGTTTATAAGTCCTATATGCCAAATGATATCATTCAAAAAGAGAAAATCATTAGAGCCTAATTAATACGTTATAATATAATAAAGAAATGACTTTTATATATATAATTACAATATTAAATTCTCTTAACTAAAATTAGATTTTCAGTATTAAATAGATTGATAATTGTTTATATATCAAAATGACAATTCAATGGAGGGTCCTTCTAACTTCTTTTAATGGGACTATTAGATTTGTTATCCCATAAGTTTAAGTTCACGTCCTTAATTCCATAATTAAACACGGCATTCTAATTATGAGTCTATTTGATTGGTTTCCAATCTCAATAAATGTTTTAATTCCTAAAAGTCCAACTCCAGATCCACTTCTACGATGCTTTATTGAATCTTGTCAAGTTCCTCCTAAGTATACTATCCTTTTAATGTGATTGTCATGTAATTAGACAGATGATTATTTTTTAAGAAGTTGATAAGTTCAGATTCTATTGTGACTATGTCTAAATGATCATATTAAATAATTTTGTAGACTTCCTCTAAAGTTTTATAGGTTTCAACTTTATAATCAATAATAGAATCCTATTACTTTACAAGTGCGCTTTGACTTAGATATTAGATCTAGTATTAAAAATAACATGATACATGCTGTTTTTCTTCATCTATTAATTTATATAAATTGCCAAAAAGTGATTTAACTGCCTCATCTTTACATAATTGTTATATTTTGCCAAGTATGGCTAAGAAATCTGCTTTTAAAAGTCTAAATTTTCTAACAATTCCTCCCAATAATTTATTTTCCTAATTTACAAACAATTTATTTATAACAATCTTGGAATTTCTCACATTGTCAAGTAGTGCTCCTTATAACCAAGGATGAGAAAACAATTGCTCATAGTCAATTCTTGTTTTTTTATTTGAATCCAGCATCTTACTTAATAAGTCTTTTCCAAAATCGGATAATTATATCACTTTATCATCAAAATTTATCTATTTCTATGAAAAAATATACTTTAAAATTTTATAATTCTTTGATTAAATCTATTAAGCTCCTAACTTTAGAACTAAAATGATATTTACGATATATCATATAGTAAAGTATAACACCTAATGACCAGATATCACATTTATAATCATATTCTTCCTAACTTCATATTTGTAATTTAATTACTTTAGAACTTCTGGAGCCATTGTTGCTGGTGTTCCACAATAAGAGGTTAGGACATCATTTTAATTGTAATACTTGGCAAATCCAAAGTCTGCAATCTTCACAACCTAATTTTCATCAATCAAAATGTTATCAATTTTTAAGTCTCTGTGAACTATTCCCTTTTAGTAAATGTATTTCATCCCTTTTAATATTTCAATAAATATGGGTTTAATTTCTTCTTCTTTGAGATTATTATTTTTAAGTAAATTATTTAAATCTCCATTCTTACAAAACTCAAACACGCAATAAATTTTTTCATCTTCTCTAAACTCTTCGATCAAAGCCACTACGTTTTCGTTCTAAATATTTTATAAATGATACTCCATTATCGTTCTTAATATTCTTATAAATTTGGATTTCTTATTCAAAATATTGCAGCTACTTCTGCGAACTCTCTGAACCATCGAATTCTATCGTAATTACCTTTATCGCGAATTATTAATTTTAGCTATTCTCAGCTAAATAAACTTTTGCGAATGAGCCTGACCCAATAATCTATAAGAATTGATAATCCCTTTTTTTCATAATAAACCTATTCATAAAATTAATTGCGAATTAAAATTTATAAACTTATTTATTTCATTTTGGAGCCTGCTTAATTAATTCATTTAATGGAATGTTTTTCTTATTGAGTATCATTTGTAGCACTCCTTCCTTGTTTCTATTTTTGAAGAATGGCAATTGGAGAGCTTGCTCAGCTGTCAATCTTGTTTTCGAATTCTTGTCTAAGACTTTCTCAATAAATTCTGAGAATTATTTAGAGAATTTAATAGGCAACCGTGGTGGGTCATTAGCAGTAATTGAATACATGGCTTTCAATGGAGGCACTCTTAAATAAGGTGGTTCACCTTGGGCCAATTCAATTGCAATGATTCCCACACTCCAGATATCTACTTTTTCATCATAATCTTATTTCAATATCAACTCAGGAGACATCCAAGCAGGAGTACCTACAACGGATTTGCGATGCTGCCTCTCTGCTGTCAGCTGAGTTGCAAATCCAAAGTCAGCAATCTTGATTTCCCCTTTCTTATTCATCAGAATATTGTCACTCTTCAAATCTCTATGGATCTTTTTCTTTTTGTGCATGTAATCGAGACCTGATAGAATCTCCCCACATATGTAAGCAATTTCAGGTTCCTTCATTTATTTAAAGTTCTAATATATTATTTCCGTCAAACATCCACCATCTAAATATTCTACAACCATGAATAAACATGATTGGTATATAAATGAGTCATAATATTTGACAATATTTTAATTTGCACACATTTTCATTAATGCTATTTCCACTTTGATTCTCTGCATATCGTTACCTATTTTCATCACTCTTACTGCGACTTCATCATTTGTATTTCTATGTATTGCCTTATAGACTTTACACATGGCCCCCTTCCCCAACTATTCTGTAAACTTATACAATATGGATGGATCTTATTCTATGAATTTAATATCCATCACTTGTTAAATGAATTCGTCATTTGTTGGTAATGTCAACTTGGTTTGTCTATAGACTCCATCCTCATAATTTGATATGATTTATATCATCACTTAAGGGTTTTACTCAATATCCGCTTTTTAGAGATCAGCTTTCTAGAGCTTTTCAATCCACTCAGGGGGAAGACCCTTGAGACCCAGTTATGCAGTTGGATCTATTTCGATATGAATTTTGTGTTGCAAATTAAAAGGTGCACTCATTATAGGTTCATTGATCAAATCAAGAATTGCCTCTGGAAGTTCTGATGGTTAAACTGAACTAGGTAGATTCTTAGTCTCCACTGTTTTGTTTTTGTCTGAAATTAATTATGTGGAATTCAACCTATTTCAAGTTTGAGCCCGTTCAAATCTGCCCATTCTTTAGGAACACCCAACAATTTCCCAGTTACTGGATCTCTAGTGATTTGTATATGACTTTAGAAATTCGAAATCTGACCATTAGGAGCATTTGAATTCTTTTCCTTAGAACTGTTCTATCCCATAATTCTATATTATTAAAATAAATTAATTTGTGATATATAATCTGCTACTTCAACTAGTAATTAAATAATGAGTAAGTTCTCTTAATCTAAATGCATAGTATTATGACTTCAACAATATCAGTCAAGAATTACAACGATGATCTTTAAATCATATCAGGACTAACATAATGGAAATACTAAATGCAGAATATATCTCATTAAAGTTTAGGAATTAATGTTTTGCATCCTTTATAATAATAATATTTTTAATATTTATAAATTATTTAGTATTAGTTTCTATTAGAAGTAAGAGCATTTCAACTCATATGAATATCAAGTAATTATCGTACTTATTCTGCTTTAAAAACATTTAAAGTTGATAATTGATTGATTTGAAATTTGTACAAATCCTCTATTTAGTATCACTCTGTTTGTCTTAATATACAAACCTCATCTCATTCTAATACGTATTAGCGTATAAATACCTATGAGTTAATAAAACCACTAATCAATTTTACAATTATTATATTTCAATATTGATTTATCTCTGAACAAAATAAAATTCTATTTTGGGATTTTAATTAAAAAATTTTTTTTTTTAAATTTTGAGTGACTGAAAATTTACTAACAAATAAGGATTCATAATCTATATAATTCTTTTGTTTGATTTAATTCTTGCATATATTTCCATATTTCCTATAGTTTTCAACACTTCTCCATATCCTGTGTGATTTTCATATAAAGTTCATTTAATATATATATGATTATTATATAAAATTATAAAATAGATTAGGTGTTGATGTCTATAAAAATTAAGTTATTATTTTTCATAAAAAATGAATATAAATTTAACAAAGAAATTTTCACTATCAAATCTTTATAATAACTTTTTTATGGTAATATTAAATTGACTTCATAATTCTTTACATTGATGTTACAACTATCTTATTAACTTTAACTCATCACTCTTTAAATATATTTATATCAAACTTTAATAGTCAAACTAAGATTTTGATTAAATCTGACTCTATTTTGAGAATAGTTTTACAAGGATTGAACTTGGATATCTGGTAATTAATTATAATTCTTTGATTCCAATTATTTCAACTAATATTCTTTGTTAGGATGCTTGTTTGGGAGTTTGGCATATTTATTGACTCTGGATTTGGAGTCTATTGAAAGGGCGGATTTTTGTATAAAGTTGTGATTAATTTATAAAATTAACAATAACCAAGAATGAGCACTCCAAACCATATTTGTCTTATCTTCAGTTACGTCTATGACAAGATAAGCAAGATTCATCCTAACAATGTCACAGAGAGTTTGCGTTCGATTTAGAATAACCTGGAGCAAATTCTTGAATAAATGGATGAAGTGACTTAGAATCTTACCTATTCAAATTTAAGGATATTATTTGATTGGGCAAAGGATTGCTAATCACTGTTGAATAACAATGTATTCTACAATTAAGATTACTCTGAGTTGATGTATAAAATCAACTAAAATTTACTTGAACTATTTTAATAACTACATAATGCTATTGACAGAAACTTTGTGATACCACAATCAACGATGTGTATTACTAATGAATTAGGCAATATCATCACACACGAAGATAATTTTTTTGAAATAATGGGATCCTCAAATTTAGTGAATTTTGCTTAGTTTATCGATGTATATGCCATACCTAACTTTACTTTAAGTTCAGAGAACATCGACAATGCCTAAGCAACATTCTATAAACTCAATTACCATGCTTTAGAAAGAGTGTTTACATCAGACAATACTTTAATTTAAATAAAATAAAATGTATCTTAGCAAAGGGAATAATTCTTCTAGAGATTCCAATTGAATATCTCAATTGGAAATTTTGAATTCACTAAATATGATGATTAGAATTAATTTTTTTTTTATGACCCCCTATATGCTTTGAATGAAGACAATATCAAGAAGTTACTTATAGTTTAATTTGTGGCACTAAACTATTAACAATCAATATAATTAGATGAATTTGTTCAGTCTGCTAAATTTGCTGATTGCATTGAAAGATTTTATTAGAAATTAATCAGTGCAGTATAAGATGAATGATTATTATTAATTCAAAATTTATTTTTTTTAATTAAAAAATATTGAGTCAAAATTGAACATCGTCATTATGAACTCAGATAGCGCAGATATATATCAAGAATTAAATCTGATAAATTTGTACATCAAAGAATTCTAATATTCATGTAGTAAAATCTTCATAAATTGTTAACAATATTAATAAACTTCAGAAAATACTCTACCCAATTTGTAATCATTATGAATACAGCAAATTTATCTTAACTAGAGAATATTTGAAGATTTAATATCACCAATCTAATCAAAGAAGGCATAATTCAGTTTCTCAATATTTTAATGAATATAACTAATATTTAGTATATAATTACAATTTACAATCTTTTTAAGACTTTTGACTGAATTAAACAAGTTACATAGATAATTAAGAGAGTCTAGCCAAATTTTTCAGATTATTATAGAGTCAATCTAAATTTAAAAATTTTAAAAACATATGTTGACATTTTTTAATCATAAAATCAATAATAAGTTCATTAACTAAACTTATTAATATATTAAATACTTAAAATAGATTATCATTATTTAATTTGATCTTATGAGAATAAATTTATTTTCTTAATTGTAATAATATAAATTGAATTTATTATTAGTAATGTTGAATTAGAGTGACGCATAATTCTATCATAAGATAATGACTTGCTTATTGATTTTGTCTTTAATTAAACAAAATTAATTGAGAAAGCATCTTTCGACTCTTTAAATAAAAAAATTGACAAAACAGTATAATTAGTGATTTTTAAGAATAACAAGTATTGATAACAAAGTACAAATAATTATTTAAGAATAATTAATCATTATTTAATAAACCTTTATACTCTGCGTATCTTTGTGATTACAAAACATTTGATTGAATAAGGGGATGTGTGTGGTCTTTTATGTTTTTTAAGAGCATCAATTGCAAAACTTTATTATCTGACGATAACTTGATCATAATTGTTATGTGGGTAGTAGATCTTATAACATTTCATTTTTTCAAATTTGTTAAAAATGACATCATTTATAAAATATCCTTGATTCTAAATTTTCATGTACAATTACATCAGGAGAAGTAATGGCTTAGAATTAGGATAGCTAAGCTAAATTACTCTATTTAGTTCCAGTTCTTTGACTCTTTTATACGTTTTTGTTCTCATCTGATTAGGTATTGGCACTGTTGGTCTTCTTGCCATTATCTTTTGTTTGACTAGACAATCCCTATGATTTTTTTTATCTTGAATTGGAGGATGGATTATTAGAGACATCTTTAGAATATGAGTTTGTATATGTATGGGATCTATTCGTAAGTTATCGTTGAGATAATTTCAAATTGCCATAAGAGTACTACTATTGAATGAAGTCTTGTTTAATCATATCCTGTTTATTAGCTGTCTAAGGTAGACCTTCTTTTTAAAATTGGAATGTCAATTTGTTTGGACCACTCCTATTGGTAGTCGATAAGAACTGTTATTTTTGATTAACTATTTCATTCTTCTACCCCTCTTGTAATTGCATTAGAATCTCCTTTTCATCCTTATCCAGTGTTGAATAATTTTGACTTTAAGGGTTGCCAACAAATCCAGCAGTTCGATGAGATGTTTTATTTGAATTGTGACGCAATCGCCTTATTGATTGATCCAAAACAGGAGGGGTTACTTCTTCGTATTATTCTTGTTCATAATTTAATTATTCCAAGCTGTCAACATTGACATTACTATTGGAAATCTATTGATCTTGACTTGGTTTTTGAAATGGCATTGAATTGCTTATATAACTGACAGAATAAGTTTAATCTAATTGAATAACGAGACATACTTTCAGAATAAGGCAATTGCGATGCTTCAGGAAGATCTTCAGACATGATTTCCTGGGTTTGCTTATTAATCACCTATTTGGCCTTGTCTTGATTTTGAGTGAGATTTTTCATTGTTAGATATTTCTTGTTCTTTCTTTTACAAGGTTGCCGAACTTATTTTAAACTATATAAGTATTTCTCAATAACATTTTGTCTTTATGGGAAGTATTAAATGTGTTTACATTCAACAACATAATGTCCTTTGATTTTACAATAATAGCAATCGAATAGATGCTAATTGTAGTTTGAATTATCTTTCATCATACAGAAAACTTCATTATCTTAAGGATAATTGGAGATTATGTCCAAGAATTCTGATCTTTTGAGTTTCAAGAGAGTGGTGACTCCACAACTGTATATGCTAATGTTTGAAGGCACTCCAGAGATAAAAGAGTACTATCCAAAGGCTTACCCTTCCTGTAAGCGAGTGACCGACCTTTTATTATTGGCAAGAGACGATCCTTAGAACTGCACTTTGACTTCTCCTTTGAGAATGTAATACAATCCCAAATCCTCAATTTAGTGTTCCTAATAATATACTAATTGCTTACAATGATGATATTGTCTTCTGGATTGAAGGTCACTTACTCTATGGCATACAACAATTGTTATTTGAATTGAGGTGAGAATTTATTCATGAGTTCTATTTTATCGATCATTCTTGTTCTCAAAGACAGATCAATCTCATCCTATAAGGCAGGACTCAACTTCTTAGTTAATTGATCTTTCGTTCTCCCTATATCTTCCTATACAATAAAATAAACTATTACATCAATTCTAAACTCTAAATAAGAGTAACATCTCCTCAAGAGATCGTAATCTTTGCATTTCTCTTTCAACATCTCTACGAATCCTTTCAACAATTTTTGTTTCTCCTCTTGAATCTCCAATTCAGGTTTGAGCCAGACAAATAGGAGTATGAGTGTGTAGACATAACATAAATAAGAGATCAACATAAAGGCTGAAACTATGATAGAATTCTATTCTGTGATCTCCAGAGCTCATATTAATTCATCAAATATTACAATTAATTGAATTCTAAGTAATCAGTGAGATTGAATACGTTATGTAAAATCCTAGAGAGTATTCCTCATCATTGAACACTCTTATTATACTAATAAATATACCTTTCAAAAAGCAAGTGCACAACACTATGAATGAAATCCATAATTATACAATAAATATTATATAATGAGTCGATTTGTAGACGTTTTCAAACGTTTCCCAAGATCTTATCAAGTCTGAAACAATTAACATAGATGTTAGGATAATAAGAATCACATCCTTATCGAATTCAAGAAATACAATGGCTACCATCACTATAAGGCGAAATGAATCTAAATATATTTTATTCCAGTCCTTGAAATTGGAGATCAATTTTCCTCGAATAATTTTATATGGCCCTCTTAAATAATACAAATCCTATAAAAGAGTCAACATCTTAATCCCAAAGACTATTTACTGAACAATCCTAGGTCCCTCAAATAGATTGATTAAAGGTATTAAAGTAATTGAAAGTAAATTAGAAAATATTACGGATAAAAACACATACATTGTGAAATAGTAATATCTCAATGGAGAAACTAAAAGTATTTAAATTAAATACCATCATTTTATTCTTATGTTACTAGTGGATCATTGTATTTTGAATAGTGAATAGAGTTCAACAACTTCTATTTTATTTAATTTACGATAATCCTTACTCTCCCTTGCGTAGACTTCCTATTGTGTTCAGATAGCAAATGGGATTAAAAATGAGATTAGGAAGAAATGTACGAACTATCATTGGATATCAAAACTATTTTCTTTGAATCTGATTTTTGAAGCAATTGGTCCGAACTCTTGTGAGAAGCAATGTTTGTTATTGTGGGAACCTTATAATCATCGCTACTTTAGATGTCTATTGGTTGTTAAGGACAAGTCTGTACAAAGACAGGTTTAATCTAACAAATCTAGGACAAAGAAGAGTGTTCTTCCTCCTCCTGAATGGATTCACTATTCTTGTACTATAGAGTCTAGCTAATCCTGTGTTTCGGGTTATAATCCACAACTTCCGGGTCTTTTATTTGCTAGAGTAACTATTTTCTAATTAACATTTAATAAAAATAGTACCCATGCAATAATTGTCTCTCAATAACATCCCTCAAAATTTATTCCCCTTGCCCATTGTGAAATCCCACTATGAGATTCAACATCTCCAAGAACTCAGGAATGAACAAGAAAATCAAATTTGGCAAGATCACTCCAAATTACTCAAAGAAAAAACTCCCAATCGCAGAGATTACTCCATGTTATAGAAGAATAAAAGACAATCGACAGTTACTCACGATGTCAAAAATAGTGTTCGAAAGATTTCTGAATACCAGAGTCATTCATAAGATCAAATACTCAATTCTCAACATTCTATTCATAACAACACAATTGATTGCTCTATTAATTATAAATAACTAAATAAGCATATAATAACTGAGTAGCAATTCCAAATAAAATAAAATCAAATCTAACAAATGATCAGAGAAAAACTCTACACCTCCTATTGCAATTCAATGAAAAAGCATTCCAAATTAAACGGCGTCTTATTATAAAAAATTAGTGAATTGGCCCCCTTCATATCTCAAGATAAAAATATGCATCAACCCCAAATTAAAAGAATGAATCAATTCTTGAAATTTAGATCTTAGTCAATCCCTCTAAATCCAAACATTGAATCCGTCTAAAATAGTATCTAAAGAATACAATCCTTACCCAGAAATCAAGATAACACTAGATAGAGAACCGCAAACAAATAATCCACTCAAAGTCAAGTCATCTGTCAAAATAAGGATGCAGACAGAATTATTCGAAAATTAAACAGAAAAACTCAAAGGCTCTTAAAAGAATCATATCCTGAAATCGATCCAACTCCCATTGTAGATTATCAAAAGCAAATCCTCAACCGTATTGAACTCAGAAACTCTACAAAAAAGAAACTTATAGATAGCTTCTAAGAAATTATTGATAAATATTGAAAATATTAAACATTTATTCTTTAAATATAAAATATACTTATTTCAGAGATCCTTTGTATCCTATCTTTAATTCACATATCAAACACGAAATAAGAATTATTTAATATAATTGGTCAGCTTAAATGAAACATTTAAATCAATTATCCAATTACTTAAACTACCATCAAATTAATAGATAAAATTATTCATTTTTAACCAATGCTCATATTCAATAAATACTTAATTTGGCAATTTAATTCTTTAAATGTATAAAATAATTTATTAATAATTCGTGTTTCAATAGCATTCAAAAGAATTATAATCGCATTTATGAAATAAGTTCTAATAATATATATAATAATTAATAAGTGAAAATTCTCAGTATTTAATCATTAATTATTTCTTATTTTAATTCAGTTATGATTCGTATAATTCTACACTCTTTAATTCACATCTACTTATAACTACATCAACTAATTAAATTTAAATCTATTTTAGAATTTTCAACTGATATAATCATATAAGTTTAATAACATTATTTTTTAATCAACAAATGATAAGAATTTGCAAACTATTCTAAATTTAATCAATTAATAGGAATGTATAATACTTAAAAATTCCATTATATTTTATAATTTAATGGAAAGTACTTAGTATTTATATATTTATAGATTTCATTTATAAAAATGTTGATCCTTAAAAATGCTTTCATTAAAATTAAATATATATTTATATATGAATAAATGCAAATAAAGCAAATTATTCAATAATGTAATCTGATAATCAATTTTTTTGTGTATTTTCATTAATAAAAATAACCCCTCAAATTATAAATGAGCTAAGAGAAGTTCAGAAGATATAAGTTAAATGTGTTTTAAGTACAGAAACTCAAAGTGAAATCTGAAGATAGGGTTATTGTAAACACATCGACAAATTTCAAAGCACTCTCTCCATAGCAATCTCCTAAAATTAAATAAATTGTCAATCGTACCCAATTAGAGCTCGAAAGATCGAAATCCTCATATAGAATGGAAAATATTATAATACAAATCAAAAAGAATGTATCCAAGAATAATATCAGCATACCCAATACCGCTAAAGACTTCTTTAAGGAGAGTCCTTTCTCTATTGTGGAAAAGAAGTAAGAGATTAATGTGCAGTTCTTGAGATAATGTAAGGCTAATAACGCCAGAGCTTGTCTCTAATTATTAGAACCTACTATTGTTCATTAAGTTTGTAAGTTAATGGGATTAATTTATAGTAAATATTTCGCCCTTGATACCAATAAATGCAGATTTAAAGGCCAATATCAATTGTTAGGATGGCAATCAAAATTCTGCTCTACATATTGCTGTGAAAAATGGGAATATATAATTAGTTCAAGCATTAATTTACAAATAAATTAACTTGGAGATAGAAAATTCAGAAAAGATGACTTCATTAATACTGGCTAGTTATCAGTAAAATTATATATTTTAATTTTTAAAGTGGAAATGTGGAGTTATTTTAGATCTTAATTAACTCAGGAGCCCAAGTTAATCATTAAGACATCTATGGTAACACATCACTACATTATGCATGTAAATTCAATAGCAAGGAAATTGTAGCCATTATACTTAAACTTCCGAATCTCATATTTAAGCCAAATCATGATCAGAGGTATCCTGACTACTATGTTCAAGATACTGAGATATTGTAATTATTTACTTAATTTTAATTGGAACATTCAAAATAAAGTAATTTAACCTACAATTAAATATAGAATAAAAAACAAAAGAGATCAAGATACAGAATATATAAATGGAAGACTAGTGTCGATCAAATCAATTTTAGAATAATAAATGTAAGTTGCAAAACTGTCCTCTACATAATTTGTCTCCTGATACAAAGCAAAGAGTTCTTCAACTTAGCAAAAATATTAAGTAAGAGTAAAAAGGAATTATCAATACTCCTTCTACTATAGATTCGATGAAGTAGTCCAAAAAAGAAGAAAAAGTCTATCCCCAACAGTTTCGTGTATTGGGTTTGATAGGCAAAGGAAGTTTCGGAAAGGTGTATCTGGTTCAAAAGAACAAAAAGTATTATGCAATGAAGGTACTTCTTAAGAATATGATCTTCGGTAATAAATCAATTATATTGAAGAACAAAACATTTGTAGATATGCAATAACCGAGAGAAATGTCTTATCTGTGACATCCCACCCCTTCATAGTCAAATTAAGATATGCATTTTAGACGGGAGACAAATTATTTATGATTCTGGACTATTATCCTGGTGGTGATCTGGGGATGGTTCTTAATAAAATTAAGAGATTTCCTGAGGAACTTGTAAAACTGTATGCTTGTGAAATAATTTTGGCTTTGGAGGATCTTCATAAAAGAAATATAATATTTCGTGACTTGAAACCTGACAATATCTTACTGGATGCAGAAGGACATGTGTTGTTAACTGATTTTGGATTGTCTAAGGAGGGAATTCCTTTATCAAATCAAGGAGCAAAATCCTTTTGTGGTTCTGTTGCCTATTTGGCTCCGGAAATGATTAAGAGATAGGGTCATGGAAAAGCTGTGGATTGGTATTTACTAGGAGTGGTGATGTATGAATTGCTGTCAGGGTTGCCACCTTATTATACGAATGATAGAGAGGCGTTATTCTATAATATAGAAAATGCCAGTCTAAAAATACCTTAATTCATTTCAATTGAATGCAGAAACTTACTAAGATCAGTAAAAGTCTGTTGATTACTTTTAGTTATTGGAGAGAAATCCAAGTCGACGTTTGGGATCAGGATAGGGAGACTCAATGGAAATCAGGGGTCATCCTTACTTTGTGGATATAGATTGGGAACGAGTTTTAAAGAGACAACTTTAAATGCCAAAACCAGATTACAGTCTGAAGTTAAGACCAATAGGAGAATAGAATATTTTTGATTTACAAAGCTCAGTGGAATTCGAGTAATCTAATGTGAATGGATGGTCGTATGTTCAAACAGAATGAAATGCATTTGATTCTATTGATTAACTAAATAATTCAATATTATGATGGCTGTTTATCAGATTTGGCACCAAAGAATTTGAGACACAATTACTCAATGTCTTCCAATGTCACTCTGCCTGTTCCCTTTCCTATTGTCATTAAATATATTAGATACTGTCCAAGATTCTGGAATATGAAGCGATATCTGTGGGTGTTGGATTGAATCCTTTATTCATGGCTCTGTAGCAATCACTTAACATATATCCAACTTCAAAAGAATCAATATTTCCATCGGAGTTGCCATCATACAGTGCAAGGATTCTCTGAGCCAATTGTTTGCATTATTCTGGGTCCAAAACTCCTCCGAAATTTACAGCATCTGTGATTTGGTAATGTGAATATTTGATTTACTTATTTGGGTCCATGAAAAACTGTTAATTAATTATTGCTTATAAATACTCAAATTCAAATAGTTTAGTATGGAATTCAATCATTATGTTTAGGCATATATTTTTAGACCATCTCCTTCTGCCAATATAACACATTGTTCACCACATTTATTGGAATATCATACACTTCAGGTAATCCTTCATGCAGTTCTGTCTTCTTGAGATTGTGGAGTCTTGTATATTTGTCTAGGTTGATCTCATTCTTCAATACCTTCAACATTTTCATATGAATCCAATTTGTTGCAGAAACAGTAATTCAGAGCTGCATAACCAGTTATCACTGTAAAAATAGTGGCTACAAAGAAACTCGGAATTGCCAAAGCCCAATACTTCTAAGGGAAATAATGAATTCCCAATGACTTTTGATGAGTAAGAAGGAATCAATTACATGAAATGCTGATTCTGGCAAGAATACCCATGCCAAATAGACTACAAACACTATGTAGGAAGAGATCCATCCAATGAATCCATAGATTTCTATGCTTTTCATAATATAAAAAAAAATAATATAAATGAATCAGAGTAATTTAAACAGTATTTATTTATTTTGTATTCTTTTCTTAATCTCGCAAGGCATGAACCTCTCGATTTTCTACAATATTTATTCCTTATCTAAATGCTTTATTTTTTTTACACCATTTATTTTTATGTTATTATTTTTAATCCTTACGTAATGGTTCCCTAATATTTTATGAATTTTTATTATTTTTTTCTCTTCCTCGCAATTCAAAAATTAACCATTAAAACGTAATCGTCGATCTGCTATTTATTTTCTACACTCATAAAGAGTTCTATTCATCCACATCCTCTTTTTTGCTCTGTACCTTTGCAAACATTCTTTGCGAATAAAATTTTTATCAATTAATTTTTCTTCTCCTTGAGATATTACAACTAGGCTGTCTAATTTAGATTCTTAAACAGTTGATTAGGTTTCGTTTGAAATGAGAAAACTATTAAGAACATTCATTTTCTGCATAAGTAATTACTACTATTGTAACACTAAATTTAATACAGACTATTTCCCTAAGAATTTTATTAACTCGTTTTTCAGCTCCTAACTGATCTATCCTTAATCATCCACGAATTGAGGATAGTTGTATAGATATTGCATTTGTTTTTCTAATTAATGTATTAGAAAAAACTAGGATTATTCGATCATTTTGAATCCCAAAAACAATGTTCTCAGAATAAAAATGCAATGGACCCCCTTTACTTTTAATTAAATTATTTTTATACTATCTTATTCTCAATTATATTAGCCATAATGATGAGACCTTCATTTTATATATAAAAATATATATTCATTATTCAATTTCCCTCTTATGGCCACATCCTCCGCAATACTTATGTCCCAATTGCATCTTGTTCCCACATTAAGTGCAAAATTTTAATTGACTTTTCAACTGAATATCAGTCTCCTTTAGTATCTTTTTCATCTGAGGCTATTAACCGATAATGGCTGGCAAAACAGGCTCCATTTTTTTTAGTTTCGGCAAATTCGCCTTAATTTTGAACTTCAATTCTTGGGTCGATATTATTAATTCTTACTAAATGATTCCTTACTCATTAATTTCTCGCAAATAGGAACGTGACGTTGAGCAGCCTTTGGATTAAATTTACGTAAACAGTGAGGACACTCAGTATCCGACAAAGCAGTCGCCCTTGTTTAACAATCCATGAATCCTAACATAATCACCCACTTATCATACCGAATCCTGTATAGATGGCCTTCTTCAGTTCTGGAAGTTGTCTCTTCTAAACCTCAGCTGTCTTCATCAAACTCTAAGCTCGAAAGGATTGCTTCGTTTGATCAATATTCTCGTTCTAATTGGTCGTCGACGCAGTGCTTAACTATGTAGTTCTTTTCAGTTCTTATTGCTATTTTTTTTTGGGAGGCTTGGGCTTAGCCTTGATTTCCTTGCACTTCGGTATATGTCTCTCAGCAACATCTTCAAATACTTCTTTGAATTGTTACATCTGTCAAAACTACGTTAACAATGTTCACAAAACACATAATGTGAATTCTCTGCTAATTCTGGAGTCTTTACGGTTCTCTCCTCACCACCTTCATTTTGAACCTCATTAATTCATTCAATGTACTACCTCTTTTTCCTTTTTATTGCAATGAATCATTTCTTAGAATTACTTATGTTATTCTCTCCAATTATTAACTGTTTTATTTTTCACTTGTTTCTCCTTAGCTTCCAACATCTACTAAAGTTCAGCTTTCTTTTATTATTTACGTTTTATTAGCTTATCCCTTTCCTTTTATTTTTATTAAGCCTTCTCGCACACCTACCTATGCTTTTCAATCCTCTCCGTATGAAATTTTCGGGAACAAATCTCACATTGCTCCAATTCCCCTTCTCCACTCCCTTACTGCTCCTATTCCAAGTTCATAAATTCATTATTCTCGTCTAAACACTCTGAATGCTCAAATTATTCCTCATCATATTCATCCATTAATTATTATATAATACTTTATATATCTATAAAACTAATAAAAATAAATAATTCATATATTTTTGATACATCCCTTTCATTACAGAAATTCAATCTTACATTAAGACTTAATTCTCTAAATTTTTATTAATTTTAAGTTACAAATCTATATGTTTTCTCGATAAACAGACATTAAAAATTTCGAATTAGTTTATAATAACTATTTCAGATTATTTTGTAAAATTTATATTTTATAATTTGTTTACTACTTAACTTTTAGAATAATGTCAATGAAGAAATCAAAATTTTCAAGCTATCAAAAAATTTAATCAGAAAATAGGTACATCCAATTATGATATCAAAGGTAGTCAGTGTCTAAATTAATCAGAGTTTCAAGCATGACCAATTTATCCAACACCAGTAAAATGCTGATACTATGAAATATTAGGCACAGTTGTCAAATTGTCCATTAAAGAATTGCTCGAGAAACAAAAGAAAGGCGAAATCACAAAGCTCTCCCAATAAAAAGAAAATTTCATCTCCAAAATAGCTCCAATCAAAATATAGACCTAAAACTCAAAAAATAGTTCCCCCCGTTATAGGATTAAGCTACTCTCAAGTCCTCTAAGCACAAATCGAACCACCTTATCTAAATCATCCTAAGTTTCCCCTCTAAGACAAAATAGAACTCTAGTACCTAAAGACTTCATTTGCTTATCATAACCCCAAATACAAATCAGCTAAATAGAAAAATTAGAGGAATTTGTATCTATCTCCAATAACTCTCCAACAAGAATAGATAACATGGAGGATTATTCGCCTAGTATTAGAACCAAAAATATTGAAATGGAACAAGAAAAAATATTAAAGGAAGATATTAAGCCTCCTAAGAAAACCAAAAAAGAATTAAAAGGCTGTTTATTAAGAGCCTTGAGAAAACTCAAAGAAATGAATATAAATACAAAAATGATGCTCCAAAAATAAATCTTCTCAAAGAAACCATATCAAAAACCAAATTCGTAAGAGTTCATCCATGCTGTCAAATTAAATTAATTAGATAAGGTAAAGTAATACATTGAGAAGAACAAATATATTATTTTTGATTTTGATTACTTCAATATGACAGCTCTACATTGGTCAAGTAAAAAGGGATTCTATGAAATGACAGAATTCCTTATTAAAAATCATGCGGATGTTGATGCTATTGATATTTTGAATAGAACTCCTCTCTTTTTGGCAATTCAAGAAAATAATATTCCTATAATAGAAGTAGGGCTATATAATAATTTAATTTTAGTTATTATTGAGAAATAAAGCGTATCCATGGTCAACATCCGTAACTGATTTAGGAGAAGCTGTTGGAAATAATAGAAGAGTTAGAAAAATATTAACTTAAATTCGTAGAGTAAATTTTATCATTATTTGCTAGGTTGATATAATTAATATGTGGGGAGAAAAAAAGTTAAAGGAAGAGTTGTTTTGAATTATTAATATTGTATTAAGCATTTTATAATTTCGAATTGAACATAAAGAAATTGTTTTTTCAGTTGATATTTTTATAACTTTAAATTAAATTAGTGAAACAATATTTTTAACAACCGTTCAAGCCTAAGTAAAATTTTATATTATTCAGATGATTAGGAATAAATGCTGAACTTGGTTCATTATTGAATATTCTTGATTTAAATAATATAGTTATATTCTAAATAATTTTATTCTCAGCTAAGATATTTTATTAACTAATTTATAGAAAACTTTATTGATTTTCTGATCATCATCTAAAATAAGTGGTTAATTAGAGTCAACTCGATTATTAAATAGTGATTTCTATTATCAACTTTGACTTTGTAATAAGTTTACATATATAATTATATCTAACTCTAGATAAATACTCTAAATTTACAACTTATATAATCTAAAATAAATAATTATAATTCTTTAGTCTGAGAAATAATAATTAAAAGATAAATATTGAGTAGTCTATTTTAATTTTATAACATGATTTTAAGTTTTGATGTACTAGTCTTAAATATCATTTAAATTTAGGGCACACTTTAATGCTTGTTTTCTTTATGAAAAATTTTTTGATTGTCTTTTTCACTTAAGGATTATTACTAATTTCTTTTCTTCAAAATTTGGAGAGAAATTCTAAGCAGTTCTCATTAATTTAAAACAATTAACGTATTCTAATTATTAAATATATATTTGAATAAAAAGAAAAACTCTTATTTAATGAGATTTTAAGTCATTCGATGAAAAAATGGGGAAAATAGTATTTGCCATATCCCCCAGATTTCTCTAAATCTAGTGAATACTTCAAAATTATATTTTATTTTAGAAAAATTAATTGACTAAATTAATACATTTAATTAAAAAAAAATTGAGTATAAAATATTTTGAAAAATTTACTTAATTATGTGATTCAAAATTGAATAAAAATATCCAAAAAACTCTTTAATCACGCTAAACATCTATGATAATTCTTAGAGATGATCTCTGTCCAAATATGATTAAGTTAAAATGGCTCTATGCTGTCTCTAAGTGCTGCTTATGCAAAGGCTTAACTGAATCTATCAATTATTCGTTCTAGCGAAGAAGATAGATTTGGCTGGGAACAAGCAAAAAAATAAATTGAATCTCGAAATCTTTTTTCTATATTGCAAAATATATCGACTTCGTCATTTTGTTAGTAATTTATAAACCTAGACGGTTTCCCGTCAGTATAAAACAGTATCACGGTCCTATTTATGTAATTAAATAATTACTGTGTAAATTCAGAATGTTAAAGAACTAATTCTCTTGCAGCTGATAATGCAGGACCAAATAATGTAAACCAACTTCCTTCATATTATATAAGTTCTATTTATTTATCAATATCTACAGCTTAACAGTTGATGACTATTTTAGCAGTTGCACCGAATAGAATCACACTTACTTTTGCATTTTTCTTTTACTTTATTTATTCAAATTATTCTGCCATACAAATTTTAACTTACAACCAATGCTAGTGCATAGAGGTGGAATTATCTAAAATAAATATATAATGAAATGAATTATTCTATTAATTCATTGAGATATCATGTTTTTATGAGAAGACAATTTCTTACTGAAATTGACTTTATAAATCTTTCGAAATTAATTCCCCAACTCCTCCATTCCAAATTTACATCATTTTTTATATATTTTCATCAACTAATTTCTGCGATTCGAGTTCTTTAAAGATCCAGTCATTGTGAATCTTTTTGACTTCACTCCATGACTTTAACCTATTAGTTTCAAATATTTTAATTTCAGCTTCATCAATTATTTCCTCACAAGTATAAGGTGAAGGATAAGAATTTATCAAAACTCTATTCATGCCTACAAATTGATATTCATATTACCTCTCTGCTAATGGCCATTTAAGCATTTATGTTTATGATTATCGATTTTATAATCAGGGCTGTCGCATTTTCTATTACACATTGGACAAGATTAATCACATCCTATCATATCATTCTGTAGACTATCCAAAATATTTTAAACATTGAATTTTTCAATCTATGGTTATACTTTCTATATTTTCAAAGCCTCAATTTCCATTATAAAAGATCCCAAAAATGCATCTACTTTGTAACCTATATGTATTATTTTATTTATACTTAAATTTTTCACTCCTGGAATACCAAATCTTTTAATACTTTGATTATCAATAATATCAGAGTTTTAAAAATAGTTTAGATTTTCAGCCTATTCTCCCAATTTAAAATTAAAAATAGCCTAAATAATTTCCTCAGTTTCTTAATCTAAATTGTTATAACCAAAATAATCTAACTGATTTTAATCTTTATTTTCACTGCTATTTTTAAATTATTATTATAATTCCAAAGAGTTTTTGAGTATTGCATCTAATATTTCATTGATTGAGCATTCATTCTCAAAAATTGTCATTATTTCATCTTTAAACTTCTAAATCTCCAAATATACATATTATTCTATAAATTCTTTTTGCCTATAAACGTATGACATAATTTATTCATCTAAATCTTGTTTCATTGAATTAATTCTTTCCTGACATAATAATAACTTTTAGTCAAGCATTTAAATTATTTCTTAAGATGTTTTAGATTGTTTCATAAGATATTATTAAGTATTTGGTTAAATTTTTCTATATTGTTAATTAATTAGGTTCTGATAAATGCATTAAGCCAATAATTTTCCATTTCGTATACATACTTCTTTATGGTTTTACAAAATTATATCATCAAAAAACTCTTTCATTTCTTTTAGTTTTAAATCTAATGTTTATTTTTCTTGGTCTTATATTGCCCACTTCTTATAGCAAATAAATCTCCATATAAGAAATATCGAATAATAATACAATTTTCTTTCTAAAAGTTAGCTTATTTATAAGCCAAAAAAGGCAAACTATTTATTATACTGATTCAATAAGTCTTTTACTTTTCTCATTATCCTAGAGATTAATTAAAAATTAATTTAAGTCATATCCTCTTCTTTAGATATTGAAGAAGCAATTGTTGAATCAGTATGTATATTCTAAGACATTATTTCCTTCTTAATTAATTGGTATATGCCCCAACTAAGTCTATCCCATCCTCCACTTTTTTTCATAATATTAATAAATTCATCAGGAAATTCTTTTCTAAATGTATGTTCATCCATTAATTTTGTCTCCTTTGAGATTATGAATTCAATAAAGTTATAATACCTAGAACCGGGATCTAACTTATTTTTATATTCACATTTCTCTGAAATTATAAAATAATTATTTAGATCTTCTTAAAGTTAATTCGATACTTTTTCACTTTATTCAATAAAATCAGGAAAATACTCCCTAAAAAATTTCAAATTGTAATTCTGAAACTACAAACATTTCATGTTTAGAGAACTCAATTTGAATGTTTATACAATATTTTTTAGTAATTTGAAAATTTAAGCTTCAATTAGATAATTGCACTAATTAGGACGAGACTTCAACATATCTTCTAAAGACTGGTATAAATTTTAATCAAAATTGATTTATAATTCCTTAACAAAATGTATAAAGTTTAAAATAATTTATTCAAACTAATCCTTTTCTTTAATAAGTAATAATTATTTAGTAAAATGTTCAAATTTGTTTTGTAAATGAGATATAAATTTAGGTTTCTCTATTATTTACTAAATATTATTTATTTCTATATATTCTTTAGGATTGATTATACAATCTTTGGAGATATTTTCAAATCTTTATTTGATTGGATTTGAAAAAATATTTAAATAATCTATAGGACTATCTTTGTTCAAATAAACAAAAGAGTATTTTTCAAATTCTTCTTAAAATAATTAATAGGAAAGTCTTTCTCTATATATTTCCTCACCATTGTCAGGATTACTTTTATTGATTTTTTAGCTAAAAATATACTTAATTTAATCTTTTTGATCTAAATTATAAATATATGACTTTGAAAATAGACATATGCTTTCAATTAGTTACTCTTAAAATTAATCGTAAATAGATTCTATTTAATCAGATGATTTATGAATGATATCCATCCAAAATTGCTTAAAATAATTTTCTCTGCTTTCTTTATCAGTTTTGTATCGATTTAATTTCTATTCATCATTCAAAATTTCTTTAAGGGCTTTATTAACTTTTTCCTCAATTAATTAATACTACAATTGAATCTAATATTTAGAAATTTCCTATTAGATTACCAAAGTGCCTTCAACTAAGTGGCTGGATATTAATTCTTAGGCATGATCTTTAACTTTCTCTAAAATTTTTTTAGAAACATCATAGGTTTATAAAGACAATTCTGAAAAAATATCCTCTTTGATTTAATTTGTGCTTCCCTTAAAATTATCTTCAATTGAGATTTTAATATTTTGTAAATTTGTTGTTGACAAATTTTATTATTTTTTTATTTCATATTGTATGTCATATATTAATGAGGATACTTATTCTGAAAACTATTTATCTCTTTTCTTTATTATTTCATTCAAAATTTTGTTTAGTCTCTCGTAATCCTTTTACTACTTTAATTCTACAAATTCAACAACATCAGGAAATCTAGATATAATCTACCAACATTCTTCGAATTTCTTAGTAAAATGTTCCCAAGTTATAAATTATTACATTTCTTTAATAAAAGTCTTACCTCTACGAATATATCTTAAAATTAAGTTAATTCCCATTGAATAGGCATCCTTAGAATAAACTTCAATAATTCTTTCTTAAGTCCATTCTTTTGAATGAGTTGAGCAACTTAAATTATTCCATTTATCTGGAACAGATGCCATTCCTAATATTTCAATATCTTCTTCTCGAAATCCTGAGATTTCATAAACGTCCCTTTACCATTTTTTTTCTTCTTTTAATTTTTCAACTATGTCTTCAATTTAGTTATGAAGTTTTTTTTTATCAGATGTTTGACTATTTTAATTGAAGCACCAAATAAATTGAATATTCGAAGATAATTTTTAATGTTCTACTAAAGTGAATAAGCACATCTCAATAAGGTTGTGAAATTGAGAATTTATTTCACCTTTAACATTGAATATTATGATATCACTAATTGAAACTATAAACAATGCAAGTCTTTTATCAAATACTTAATCTTATTAATTTGGATTTTATAAACCTTCAGAATCTAACAATAATATATAATCATATAAATTATCAAATTATTCCTTATTTGATATCTTGAGCAATTATAAATACATCCCTTTCGTACATCTACCTACACTTGTTAAAAAATGACAGCCAAACATTTTATTTAATAAAGTTGACTTTCCTGAGCTCTAAGGCCCTAAAATGCTAATTATTAGTATTTTATTTTATTCTTTATGTGTAATTAATTTTTAACCTAATTACTTCAAAAATTTAAAATTAATGGTAAGATCATCACCGTTGAGAAACTCAAAGGGTTCTCCTCTCTATAGTAATTGTACTATTATGTCGATATAATCTAAGTCAAAATGAGGATATCCATTAATAATTTCTCTCCAAAATAGTTCTATACTAACATTTTATAATTTTTAATTATTTTAAAGTATTTTGATTTATTGGTCTGTCTCTTCTTTTTTATTTCCATTTAGTTTAGCATTTTCTTGTACTTTTTTGATTGAGGCATCGTTCTCAATTTATAAAATATTATTAAATTTGGCTATTTTATCAACTGTCATTAGATAACCTATGTAATAATTATCTAATTTAAAAAGAAAACTAAATATTGAGAGTAAATTTGAAGTTTAAACCGTTAAACCTCTTTATTATGATTCAAATTATAAGATACATTCAATTATTTAATACTATTGCTTTTTAAGTTAGTCTAAATTAATATTAATTTCATCCATTTCTTTTAGCTTAGCTTCAATCCCATTTATCAAATTTGTTTTGTTCATCTCATCTTAACACTCAGATAATTGCCTTAAATAATTGATTGATCTTTGTTTATCCTATAAATTTTGTTAATTTGATTTTATTTCTTTGTCACATTCAGATCTTTACATATGTAATGCTTCAATTTTCCATTCCAAAAATCTTAAAGGAAAAGCATTTTCATTGTAAAAGCCTTCTGGATTTGATTTAATTATATTTAATTCAATTTCTAAATTATCTATTAACTCTTGAATTTGTAGTATTTTAAAGGTATTAATTTCAAAGTTCGTACACACTTAAAGAAATGACTTTTTTAAATCTTATTCTTTAACAAGTTCATTTTCCTTTCCAATCATCTCTAAAATAGTATTTCTTATTTTGGCTATTTCTCCTTACTAAGGTTGATTATCCATTTATTATAGGTTTTCAATTTGACAAATTTTAATTTTCGAAGCTTTAATTTAATTAATTTACTCCATTTTAATTTCTAATTTTTTAGAATCTCTAATTACAAAACAAATCATAGGCTTACAATCCAATAGAGATAGAATATTATTAACTCTATCAATATTTTCTTTCAATTCTTATTCAGATCTCATTTGAATTATCCAACATTTAAACAATGGAAGTATTAATTAGAATAACTCATCTTAAAATGAACCATGAGCATCTGCAATAAAAAAATTTCTGCTTCGGTTAAAAGCAAAGTCAAATGTGCAATCAATTGTATTTTTGTTGATCAACGATGAATCGCAGATCTCAAATTTATCATCTTTGTAAAATAACTTATTAATTAAGTAAGTTTTCCCAATTTTTTCTTAAATTTAAGTAAGGGAAAAATTTATAATAGTGAAATCTTGTTCCAAAAGATAATAAATATTTTCATTCAATCTGAACAAATCTAAATCTTTAGTAGCATTTTAAATTTGTGGGTGTTTATAAATTAGAGGAATTGAATTGTTTTTTGAATGTAATTTAATTAGTATTGCTTATAACTCTGAATCAGCATTATTATATAATATTTAAAATAAGGATTTCATATTTAAAGAATCCAAATGGTCGAATTTTCTATCCTAATTAATTAAATCTAGTAAATGCTATGAGGGTTCCCCTCTTTTAATAATATTAAAATAAAATGGTATTAGATTTTTAAATTTTTTATGATCTTTTCTATCGCTTAACCAGTCATTAATAATTTATTTAGAAATTTCAGGATTTTCTTAGATCAGGGTTAAATTAAATTCATTAAGTTTGATCTATAAACTTTGGGGATATTTTTCAATTAGATTAATTTAAGAGATCCATTTTGAAATTGACAATGGATTATTTTAGGAATTCTCATTCATATATCTTAGCATAAATTTTAAATGCAAAAGGTTTTCCTGCAAAATATTATCACCCTACAGATTGATCTTCTTAAATAATTCATTTTTAATTTCGAATAGGTCGACTTTATGCTAGAAAATCAAGTTTAATTCCAAAATCATTTATTCTGTATAAGCAGTTGTAGAAACAAATAAGAAAAACAAAATTTCTTGATTTTTACTACCATATAATTATTCCAACTGATAGAACTTTAACTAACCAATGTCATTCCAAATTTGAGATAAGTATTAATGATTATTCAATTGTGTTTGTATACTTTCAAATTTATATTATTAATATTACACTTACTTAAACTGTTACTTATATTTAGAATAATTCTCATTAAAGTTGTCATCCTTAAAATTAGAAAAAAAAACAATTTTATGAATCAAATATTTAAAGATAAAATCTTTTTATTCCTTTGCTAAACTTTCCAATCCTCTCTCCATACATTTCCTTTTATTAGCTGCTTTCTTTAACTTATACTCATACATATCGTTTAAAAATTTCTACAATTCAAATTTCTCTGAATGTTTTATCCAAAAGTAAATCACTAATTTGAAATATAAAATATCAACTAAATTACTAAAATTTTCAGTCATATTAAAAAATCTAATGATCTTAGTTTTATCTTGATTATTATATTCAATATTTGGATAATTTTTAATGTATTCTAATAGTTTTTGGTGATAATCGTCTATTTCAATTGATAGAAGATCAAATAAATCCAAATTTTATGTATTTTAACTTAAAATTTGGTCCAGTTCTTCCTTCATCTTATCTTTTTATTGTATCAATTAAAGGTTTTTAATTACTTGTTGATATGCATCGTTATCTTTTTCCTTAAAATTATCAACATAAAGTTCAAATTCGTATAGTTATAATTCTAAGCATGACCCAACAAATTAATGAATTTCATCATTCAAATAAAAAATTTTAAGTAAAAGTTCCAAACTCTTCATATAAGAATATCGGATTGTACTTTTCTATTACTCAATTAAATCAAAAATCAGTCCAACATTCTGTCCTAACTTCTCAAGTGTTTTTTTATGATCTTTAATTGTTACTGGTATCTAATTTTTTTAGCAAAATTCGGGGTTTGTGATTCTTTAAATAATTAAATCAAATTATTATTCTTTTAACGCTTCGTTATATATCTATACTAAGTCTTCTTCAGGTTATTCATGATTGTGATTTGGAGTTGATATAATGTTAAAATATGTCAAATTTAAGAAAGATCTTCCTTAGAATTTTTAATGTAAATCATTTACATATTATACTCTTCTATCTTCATCAAATTTTTCAAGTAGCTCTTTCAACTCTTTTTCAATCTACTCATCATTATCAAATACATTATTCTCTATGTCTTAGATTATTTCATTAAGAGAGTTTTGAATAAATTCAATAGAATTTTCACCATCTTAATCCATTAATTAATTAATAGAAAATGAAATTTTATTATTAATTATATTATAAACGATGCACAAACTTAGTTTATTGAATAAATAAAAATAAATCCTATCTTTTATAATTATTAAATAATATTTTATTAAATTTAGTTATTGTAATGATGCAATACATATGCATTCTTGAAATGGTTTGATTTAATGCAATCTTTCTATTATAAATCTATCTCTCTTTAACTAAAAAATGAGTCATATTTTTGACTCTCTTGTAAGCTCAAGATGTGTTTACAGGATTTGAGTTTGAGTTTGATTGTCATCTCATTTAATTGAAATTGATTTTTGTTCTATATTATTAGTGTGATTAATTTCAATACTTTTAACATGGCCAGAATTACAAAAATGAACTTTTTGAATTCTGCTAGGCCATTGATTAGGTTAAGTTTAATTTACTTAGATTTTCCTCCTTAATATATTATTTCATTTTTGTGAATTCCCTTAGATAGAAAAATCAATTCTAGAATAAATTTATTTGATATCAAAGTTTCTTTAAATCTTCATTTGATCTAAGATATTTTAAACAGTAGGGATTGTAATTTTTCTGTATTAATTATTCTATAAGAATTAAATCGATAAGATTAAGTCAGCATTCCATTTATAGTGTATTAATTCTTAATTAATGAAGGCTAATTTATTATTTAATGTCAATTTTCATCTCTACTTTGAGAATTTGTTAAGTTTAGTCTTATGGAAGACTCTTTATTAGTTAAATTATCTTATCAAATTTAAGAATTGATTATTATTATATTATTAATATGAAATTACTGTAAGAAGCTTATTTGAGTTTAGAGACACATAAATAGAGGGGGTTTTAGAAAATCTTATTGGCTCAGTAGGTAAATGATGAGTTGGCTATAAATATAGGGCAACTCTAAGGACTGGGACTGCCTGATATTTGCATAATTTGTAAAAGGCAACCATTAGGGATGTTTAAATCAGGGTTTGATTAGTGGTCAAGTTTCCATTGCGTATTAGGGATTTGCCCAACATCTTAAGCAGAGGTTTCGGCTTATATACAATCTTTAATAATGAATTAAGAAAAGGACACTTTTTCCAAAATTTTTGGAAGTGATGTCATAATATTTAAAGTATTTTAATTTGTAATGATTTTTAGATTACTTATATTACATATGATATATTTTCAAAGATCCTCTTGGTATGCCAATTCGAATAGCCAAGCGAAGGTCTATCGTAATTTAAAAATTATGGAATTCAATAAAATAAATAATGCATTCAATTAACTAAAAGTCATTGGGAAGGAGCTCACATAAGTGGAATTTTAAGGGTATTGGATGCCAATTTCAAAATGCCTAGCATTGGTAGATTCTATAATTAGACTAGTATAAATAATCCAAAAACATTATAAAATCTGATTGCAAAATTGCTTTAAAAGATGTCAGGTCTAGATACCTAATTTTAGGAGCTAAATAAAATAAAATCTAAATCTGAGTTTTCCTCCTCTAAATGATATAATTTTCTATCTTAATTGGCCATTGAGTATCGTCTTCCATTATTTGCATAACACATGTCAATTGGATCTGTTGTTAGAACAATTCAATAACTTAGATGATAACATTATCTTCAGATTGATCAAATCCTTAATACATTACAAAATGAAGTAATAAAATATTTTATACAATAGAAATTATAATAAGAGTTTGTTAGAATTGATAAAATTGTAGGAATCCAATAATTGGTTCAACCTTCCAAAATACATAATGGCAAATGTTTTTATAAAATAAACTAATTACGAGAAGGCTTTCATTTTATTAAAGGATCTAATAGTCGAATGTTATGAGAATTAAACAATTTGGATAACTTTGGTATGTAAAAAATATGATAATATTTTAGTCTAAAATATTTCGAAAACAGAAGTTATTTCAAATTAGTCTGTTATTCATAAACAAAGCTATTGCCTTGCCATTAAAATAGACAGCAAAATAAATATGGAATGAAATGAGTATTGTCAATTATAGATTATTGACTCAAAATAAAAATTTACAACAGCCTTAATAGATGGATTAGATTTTTAAAATTGTGCATCCTTTGGCAGCAGATAAAATTGAAAGCTACGTACAACTATGTGGATATCCAAGCATAGAAAATTTGCTAGTTAGACCAAGATTGAGCAATAAGCGAGATTAGAAAGTATTGTCTTATTCAATCGTCCTTAGCATACAATAGAAATGATGTCGAAGCATATCTCAAGACCAGAGTTCAAAGTTAATTAACAAACATATGATACTTTAATGCATAATGACTTCTTAGATATCGAAAGTGAGTTATCCTACATTCTCAACGAAGTTATTAAGATTTAACATGTTGTGGGATATTAAAAATTAAAGTCTTATATCAATTAGTATTTTTACACTACAGCAAAGGTAGTCTAAAAATAAATTGATTAAATCTATGATCCAAGTGAATTCTAAATTGCCTTTAAAAATCAAAGAAATTTGAATTTAAATGTTAGTTAGATTAGCAATACAAATGTATGAGTTTTATTCTAATAAACCAAGAAAAGTATGTGCAATCCAAGATTACAAGATGACATAGAGGACTGTGATTCTGATGAAGAGTAACCTGAGTTTTTGAAAAAACAAAAAGTCAATAAGTCTTTCGATTTTACAAACATAGGTCCTCGAATGTATTAAACTCCTTAACATAATAATAAGGCTGCAAAATCGCCATTAAAATTTACAAGCATGAAAAAGAAATAATAACAAATTAAGAAAGCAAACACAATAATAATAGAAAATGCTTTTGAAAGTGTTGAATCAGAAAGGTAAAACAAATAATTCATAACCATTGTAAACAGAGTTAATATCTAACAGAATGAAATGATCTCTTAGGCACCTAAATCAGGATAAGATGTCCAACCATAGAAATCTTTTATATATGGTTTGGTCTCTTACTTGAATTATAATTTAAATCAATAGGAATAAGTGTTGATGAATGAATAATTGAAAAGGAGGAAGGAACAAGTGAATAGTTCACTATAAGGAATGGTGGAAACCATTAACCGAATATAAACTGAATTAGATTAATTGTTTTACCTCTCTCAAGATTCAAATAAATAATAGAATAATTTATAAAACTTACAATTAAATTCGACAAATAACTAATAGCCAGTAAACACATCGTCTCAGTTGTTCAAGTCAAATTTAAAGAAGGCTTTGCAAACTAAACAACATTTGGGTGGATAAATAGAATTAAAGGACTTTTACATAGTACAACCTTTAAACGAAGAAGAACAAGACAAAGAGAAAACCTATATCGCTTTTATTAAGGCTGAATCAATGTTTTTGTATAAATGTGCTCGTCTGGCATAGAGGTTGAAGAGGAACGATTTATGCTTCTCTATCCTATAGCGACTGAATAGCAGAATTATATCTGTGTAAATTACTGCACTGTTCTTTAATATAGTAAAAGACAATAACAAATTATTGATTAGACAGTAATTATTTGTATAAATTTATTTTTAGAATCTAAAAGATGTTGGCTGACTTTTAGGATTGTGGAATCAGCCAGGTTGGATTTGTGCCATTATGGTTAGAAATGAGAATAGTAAAGATGACAAAGTAATATGGTGCTAATCAAATACTTGCTTTATTATCTTCATCAGAGAGTGACTTCACTTTTTATTTAATTAAAAAGATCATTCTAACAACTGACAATTTAATTTGATTATTTAAAACTTAATTATGAAATTAATGATGTATTCAAATCATTTGTCACCCAATATTTTAACTAAAAATTAATAAAATAATACTATGACTATCATGGTAATATTTAGATTCAAAAGAGAAGTGCATATGTCTATTCAAGATTTTTTGAGCATTCATATTGAATTTACTATTAACATACTTTAAACTCCAGTTTATAGAGAGTGTTTTTATGTCTTCTTTAATTTTTCTATTATTTTTTATTAATTTATAGTTTATGAAAACAAAAAAATTCTGAAAGAACATATCCAAGAGTCCTTGAAATCAAAATACAATTTTTTGGGCTTTTCATTATGGATTACATTTACTTTTAAAATAAGTTAATACAACGTTAATATATTTTTGATCGGGCTCACCTCTTAAAATTTTTAAATTCTTTACTCCAATCTCTTTTAAATATAAACTTGTAATTTTATTTCATCAAAAGTAATTGAAAACTCTACTCACATTATTAATTATAAATGAATTCCTTATTAGAGTAACCATTTCAATATCGATAACTCAGATCTTAATCACTCAGTCCTTACAACGACTGCAATCTCATTAAACAACTCAAGAGGTAACTCCATTACCCACCTTAAAAAATGATGTAATTGGCATCCTATGAGTATATGCAGAATCCAGAATAGGATGAAACAAATGTGATCAGCTCAGGTAAACTTGGTTTTCAATAGAATATAGACTCCATATAACATTATCAGAGGATGATTAAGGAAAGAAAAAACTCATTGATTGTTGACTCAGACCTAAATACATTAAAGCAAGAAGCCGCATAAAGTGCAGATATAAATTAACTTAAATAAATTGTACCCAAACTTGTAGTAGTTAAAAAATTGAATTAGAAGTTATATAGAAAAAAGAAGAAAAAGATAAATCCAGTCAACCCCCAGGATTGTAACGATGACGACATTCTCCACCAAACCATTGTTGTACAACCAAATAATTCGATCACATAAGCGTAGCAAAAGAAGGAGGATATGTCCATTTTACCATAAATAAAGAAATAAAAATTGCAAATTGAAGAATAGCCAATCAAGAGATCAGCAAGATATGAACAATTAATGGTATTAAAATAGTAATTTAGAAAAAATCTATCGATGATTAATTTGTAGAACTATAATCATTAATCAAGAAGATGTAGAAGTCACCAATCAACAGGAAAGATAAAAAAGTTACTTTTCTTCTCTGAAATTCATTGATTTCCAATTGAATCATAATATTTTGTACTTATGTGTTTAGGTTATAGATAATTATTTGTTTATTTAAAACTAGTTGTCATATAAATTCAAGATCTAAAAATATATTTTCATATTTATCAATAGTTTTATATCTTTGCATAAATTTATTTAAGATCTGTATAATTGGAGAGCCAATGTTACAATCAAAAATAATCAATTTCAATTAAATGTAATTAACATTAATATATTTTATTCACTTTTATGAAATTAAACACAAGCACATCGAGTGCTCCATTCATACCCCAAAGACCAGTTAGTTAGAATTCCTCATTCGTTTAAGGTAGAATGTAAACACCTCCAAGAGTAGCAAGGTTTGCGGATACATCACCGCATGCGTCTTTCGAATTCGAAGATTTGAATTCACTATCACTTGAGGAAATTAATAGAGAATTAGATTAGAATAGTATGTTTATTTTTAAGTAGTTAATGAGGTGATCATGTTGCTTAATAGGAGAAAAAGTTTAATTTTAAATAAGAAGAGAAGACTCAAGGAGGAATTTTCAAACAAAATTGCAGAACTAAAACGTTATCAATAAGAGGATTACATTCAGGATTTACAAAGAATAGAAGATCCATTGATATAATCACTCATGCAATAGAAAAGCTTACCTAAAATGCAAAAGTTGTTAGGGAGTGTAATGAGAGATCAACAAGATCGTAAAGTTATGGAATTGAGTAAATCATAGGAATTTTGGTAACACAATAAGAATGTTGAAACAGAAATTGACAATCTACTCAAAAAGTTGAAGTATTTTGATAATGAACTCGAAAAGGACAATAATGAAATCTATGAAATTTGTAGATAATTAGATACAATTGATGATAGCATTAGAGACTTACTTATTACTAAGGTTGATGACAATGTCTAGAGGGCAGAGCCTTTATTTGCAAATAAATAGCGGTAGTAATCAATCCTCAATGGGAAATTGAATCAAAGATTAAAATTGAAGGATGAAAAAATGAATTTAATATATAAAATTATAGAAGAATTGCAAAGATTGAGAGGATTAAGGTAAGAGAGGATCAATAAACTAAATGTTGTATTTGGAGATGAAGAAAATATATAAAATTAGAATTACTAAGGATTGCAAAATGTTTAAGGTTCATAATAGAATTTAGACTAACCTCAGCCATCAAAATTATAGGCTTATATGGACTTTATGGAATAATTTGATAATATTGCATTGATGAGGGAGCAAATATCTAAGTTAGAGTAAGCTGAACAGGGGTTATTAAATGATTTGGATAAATTGTATAGAGAGAGTGACCAAGTTTTCAGTGAATTAATTAGGAGAATCTCAGAGGAAGCCAAAACATTTAACGAATGGACTGAAAATCTGAAAAGAAGAATTAGATATATAAAAGCAAATGAATATTTCTTCTCACAAACCAATTTGCCTGAACAGTCAAATGGATTAGGCAATTCTTTGCAATTGGATTTGAAAGAAGTAAGCAGAAAATTTAAAGAAAATATGAACTATCTGAAACCATTAATTGAAGAAGATGCCACAATCAGAGCAGGCTTAGAAAAAACAGGAAGTACTATTTAATAATTTAAGAATATGATTTTGTATCTATTTATTTGTTATATTATTTATTAGGGCTATTTAAAATGAGAAGGAGAGAAGAAGAGAGTTGCTTTAAATTTTAGAGAATTGTGCTAGATTAAGATAAGAGGAAGATATGTACTTTAACAGACGTTATTAATAGGAAAACTGAATAATTGAGGAATATAGAATTGGAAATAAATAAGAAATTACAGTAGAAACGCAACTTAGAGGAAGATTTAGATGGTGTTCTAGGAGATGCTGATTTGAATACTTTCAAAAAGATCGGTATTAAAATATTAAACGTAAATTAGAATCTTTATTACATGATTTCGATTAAGAGTTGGTTCATTTGAATAATTAAAAAAGAAAAATAATAAAAGAAATTGAAGAAATTAATTAATCTGTTATCAATCTATTAGCAAGAATAAAAAGTGATTATGATGATATACTAAGAGAAATACTGCCAAAAGATTGGACTAATACCTATGATTTGAAGAAAATCACTGATTTAAAAAGAATGAAGAATTACTTAAAAAAAACTTTCAAACGCTTTGGTATAATGTCAGATTGAATACATTATTATTATTATTATTATAGTAATCATTTATTCATACCCAATTATGATTGGGTTCTCCTTAGCTTTTACACAACATCTTGATATTCAGATTATTAATTGATAAACTTATTTAGTAATTCATTCCTTAATAATCTTCCTTTGATGTTTCCTTAAAACAGTTCCTATTTCGTAGAAAATGATACTATTGATATTTTATTATGACTATTTGTTGTGAGTAATTATTATTAAGATCTATTAATGCTTAGACTGTTTTATTATTGAGTCATTTATTTTTCTGGAGTCTGTCTCAACTTAAAAAATCTAGGATTTGCCAACTTAGCAAATCGAAAGTGCTTGGTACTTGTTTAATTGAGCTAGTATTATGATTACAGTGATTATTCAACTGGTTGTTCTGGAAATATTCTCTACAATGTCTTTTTCATCTATATACTTTTTTGTGTCTATTTAACATCGTTTATTCTCTTCGCCACAAACTTCTTATTAATTTACGGTACAATCTAATTCAAAAAATAAACTCCTTCAAATACTAAGACTGATCCTTCATCGCTGATACACAGAGCCTGGGACTTTCTAGTTTAGTAGAAATTAACACATTCAAAATCCCCTAACAATTGTCCAGGTGTATAAATGTTGAGAGATTTTGTATTGGTTTCCGTTGTTTCTCGCAACTCAAAGATCCCACTCATGACTAAAAACACTTGTGATGCCTTTTAATTTTAGCTATACAATATATCTTAGCAACAAAGGTGTTAGATAAAGCTGTTGAGGTAGAATTACCGAACTGTGGTAAATGGCAAAGTCTTAAACAAGTGGAATGCATATATCTGTTAGAGTAAACCATTTATTTTGGAAATCTCACATGTTAACATATTGATTTTAAAGTCCAACTTGGAAATGACGGCTGCTTTACATACTGATTTGGTCTTAACCATCAGGTTTGGGCTTGCTTCCTAAATATGGAATACATATCTGCATAACAATCATTCCCAAATACTATCAAATTCGACCCAAAATGTTTTGTACACAGCAATTCCTATTCATTAGACTAGACACTGATTTCACCAGTTAATAATATTATTAATTATTCTTGATTCTCTCTTCCTCTCAAGTAGAGAATTTGATTTTTTTTTAATTATTCGAATTTCATGAGCTAACATACAAAACCAATTCATACTTAGCAACATTCCCATAAATAATCTAAGGATGAGTTTCCTTTAAAATATAAATGTGATCGCATGAAGCTCATCAAACGTTAATTGTCTTCATTTGTTCTTCTTAGTTCCTCCATCTTTAGAACCCTTATACAAGCCATTATGATATTTTGATTTCTAGTAATGTGCTAATCCAGCCTTCTGATGTCTTCCTCGTTTATATCTGTCATAGTTGCTTAGTTTTGCATTAAAATTTTCAATATAAAAAACATTATAAAATTAAGCAAATTGTTAGGCAAAATGCTGTTTGGCTGACCTTCTTGATCTTAATATTTTTACTATTACTAAGTTGAAATTGGATTTTTTATAATATTTTAGATATTTGGGAAATACAGCCTTAAAATTTGTTATCTTTTGAATATTAATTACTGATGGAATTAAAAACACAATGAATATTTTATAGAAAATGCTGAAATTGAATTAGATTGGTAAAAGCAAGTCAGATTAATATAAATCATGCACGATTAATTAATCTAAATTGATAATATTTTCTAGAATTTCAATTAGATAATCGAATAGAATTTGTATTTTCAATTATTTAATACAACTTAAAAATAGTTTGCATTATCTGTTAAACTATGAAGATCATCTCAAGATTTTGGTTAATTCTAGTTCTTGCTAATATACATCTAATTAGGTCATTTTTAATTGAAATCAATAATTTTATGATATTATCTTTTTTAGCACAAAATTCACTTAAATTAACTAATCATTTACTTAAGAAATGTGAAAACTAAAATTATCAGTTATGATAATTGTATTATTAATATGAACTAAAATTCAGATTAATGCAGGTTGATCAAATAAATTGAGAACCTCTCTCTGATGCGTTAACCTCATTTTATTTTTACCAAAAAAGAGAACAAAATTTCAATAAATAAAATTGACTTAAACAAACTTTTACTAGAACTCTTTCAAGATGATTGAATTACTTGAAAAATATGTATTTATAATTTGATTGTAAAACAAATAAATTGATATTATTCAACAACACCCTCCCAACCATTTCCTATTACCCCCTTAATTTAGTAATGTAATTTAGTTTTAAACATTATTACCCTTCCAAATTCCACAATTCTAGATGTCTAATATATTATTAAACCTTGTTGAGCAAATCGATTTAGTTGCTTTTTAATTTTTGGATTATCTCTTTAGTAATAATAAAAAAAGTATCATCAACATGGTATCCTGTTTTTGCACTTGTCTCAATAAACAAAATATTTTATTCCATAGCCAATTACTATCCTTCCTCTGTTGTCACTTATCTCATAGACTCTAAATCTGTTTTATTGCCAACCAAAATAATAATCGCCGTCTAACTTCCTTGATCCTTAACTTCTTGAATCCATAGTTAAGCATTGTTAAAGGACTCTCTCCTAAGAAATTGTAATAAGTCATTTACTTTATTACATCATAAACAACTAAAACTCCAGCAGCTGGTCGATAAAATGATATTGGAATACTTTTATATCGTAATGACCACAAATCATCCCAAACTTGTAATTTTATTTAAAGATCATCAACTTTTATAAATTTTGTTCCAAATTCCTCCCCTAATAAATCTTTTTATTCCTAACCGAATCTTTTCCCTAATAATTAAAGCATAATCGAGGTTTTACCAACCCCTTTTTATATATATAATCCTACCTGGGTCTCCTACCATGATATATTTAAAAAGATAATCGTAAGTCATCATCAGAATATATTAAATTATTTACTATTAAAAATAATATAATTTAACATATATTAATCAAATAGAAATAAAATTTTTATATAATTTTTTTTTGATTAATTTATTAATAATTAGAAACCTTTCGCATTTTTGTTATCATTACATGTTAATATTTTTCTCAAAAATTCTCTATTGAAAGTAAGATTCTGATAAATTAAAGGGTCTTTACAACACCTTAACTCCAAGATATAACATTCTAACCATTGGATTTCTAAATTTATGATACTGTTTGTTGTAATCAATTCACAAAATTCAGTAATAATTAGTCAAATCAAATCATGTTTTATGCTCACATCACCAAAATATATATATGCATTTTTTTCAATTAAAAATGTGAGAGACATTTCATTATTTAAGGATATTTCTAATTACTTTTAAGGATGATTATTTATAGATAATGAGTAGGAAATTTCTAGTCTAATATAACTAATTTTTGTGGACTTAATAAATCTTAAATGGATTATGTAAAACATATGGAGATCTCTATAGTTATTGAACTCTTATTATTGAAAATATAATAACTATATTTTCATCAACTCAAAAGAGATTAAAAAAATATTTTAATTTAATACACAAATAATCCATAACTAATTAATAAATTAAGTTAGGAAAGATTTGCTACTTAATTTAAATGAATGCGTTTAGATAAGAACAGTAATTCTGTTGAGAATATTCAATTCAAATAAATTATTTATAGAATCAATGTTGAAAAACTGAATAAATCGATTTATTGATTAATTAGAAAATTTATGAATAATTTATGTTTCGATGATATTCTTTCTAAGAGGATAAAATTCGGAAAGGTCTAGATTTAAACATTTTTAATCATCAGCTTATTAGATATCATTGATGGATCTGAATTCATGTTTTTGCAATTAATGAACGCAATAATTTATAAAGAGTGGTCTCTAAGTTTAGGATAATTGATAGTTTTAACAACAATTTTTAATTTGGGTTAGTTTATTGGGGCTATGTTTTATGGATAATTTTCTGATTAAACAGGGCGTAAATCAATGATAATTTCCTCATGTTTACTTTAAGTATAAAATATTAGTATTATTGTTCATAGCAACGTTCCTTACGGCATTTGTCTAGGACTTACCATAGTTACTAATATTACGGTTTCTATTTGGATTTTTATTTGGCATAACATCACCTGTATCCTCAATATTAATGGCAGAAGTAACTCCTCTTCATATTCGAGGATAATTTATTGTCACTTTATAGATGATGTGTATAGTTGGTAGAATGTGGGTATTGTTATTGGCCATCTTGTTTTTGGATTCCATAGCCTCAGGAAATTGGAGAGCTCTTGCGATTACAAATAGTGTTCAGTCAATTATTTGTCTGATCGGCAGTATTATATACCTACATGAATCACCCCGATTTCTTATATCTCAAGGGAAAATCAAGGAAGGAGTAGAAGGAATTAACTTCATGGGTAGGATGAATGATAAAGACTATGTGGATTTGTCAGATGAGGAAGTATAATCCCTTTAATAATGGAGAAAGATTATATTTGAATAATAATATGAAAAGAAGAGTTTTAAAGACTTGTTTAATTAAGAGAATTTGCCGATAACTTGGAGGGCATACTCATTAAGTATCATAGCCATGTTGATGTAATCTGGACTTTATATCATAATACCGTTTTTATTTGATGAAGAGGAAAAAACATTGTTGGATTTATTCTATACTGTATTAATTGAAATTCCTGCTGTTTTATTAGTAGTCTGTTTGATAGACAGAATTGGCAGATTGCCAATTATACTTATAGGAACAGTAACATCTGCGATTGCAATTTTTATAATTTGGTATTGGAAAGCCCGATTTCTATTGTTAGGTTTAGTAACCTTCAAATTTTTTAATCGAATGATTTTTATCTCATTCACTCCACTTGTTTTAGAGTCGTATTCAACAGTATATAGATCTTTGGGAACAGGAACAACAATTGCCTTTGGTAGCGCAACAGGGTTCATTTCTCCAGCTATAATACTACATTTATATGAAAAAGATAATTATAGTCCTTTTCTAGTTTCATTCTTTATTTTAATTATTATGACAATCATTTTTGCAACGTACCCTAGAGATTTAACAAGAAAACCACTTGATATTAAATTTGAAAAGGAAGATTGAATAAAGTAATATTTCATTTAAATATGTGTTTAATTTGCATTTTCATTTTTCTTATTAGATTATTGATAAACATTGATAGTTCTTAAATAATCAAATAATAATTTAATTTGACGTAGAAATTGAGTATAAAACAATTTTAATTAAATGTTGATTTTTCTAATTTCCAAAAAAGGATTCAATAAATAATAATGGAAAAAGAGTAAACCTAAATCTAAAACCTAGAAAGAGATTAGTTCAATTAAGAATGAGTTTAAGTTGATTGATAACAGCAGACAAATTAAATAATTGAGTACTTAATAATATCATTAGAAGGAATGACCATTTTAGATAGTTTTGATTATGAATTCCAAAAACTCCTATTCAGATAAGACTGTTTTTTGCTACAAATTGTTTTTGCGTAGAATATTTGACCAATTCTTATCACTTATTCTATTACCTCCAAAGATTCTTCTCATTTCAATCATTGACAATGCATTATCTTTATCTACATCCAATTAAGCGAAGACCATTTTCAACTTCTCTACTGTCAATAATTTCTTCTTGTCTTGACAAGCTAATAAGAACTCTGTATTATAGGATTATTCAAATACCTGTATAATCTAGATAACCATTCCCATTTGAATCTATTTTCTAAACCAGTTTCTCAATGTCTTTATCCTCCAATTTAGTACTTGTTTAATATTTTTTATATCCTCTATCTATAATCAAATAAGTACCTTCAATTAGTTCTTAGGTGGAAATCTTACCATCTCTATTAGTGTCAAATTCTTAAAATATCTAGAAGATCTCTCTCTTTTGGTCTTAAGTTAGAGTCATTTATACTATTTACATTATAATGGCTTCCACTAAGACCTCACATTTCTAAAATTTGCGAAGATTGGTCAATGCAGGATTCATTTTCACTGCTTACTTTTTTTATTTTGCCCTTACAATCCATCTATCCTTTAGAGCATCAGATGCAGAGGGTCTTTGATTTTATGAAAAGTTTAGTAGTTTTTGTACGAATTCTCTGGCCTCAGGGATTTTATCCCAATCAAATGTATCCTCCAATTTGACAATGCCTCTCATGATTGAATTTTTAATCGATTATGTCATAATGCCATCAAAAGGCATTGCTCCAGAAAGCAGAAAATGCAACAATACTCCAGCTGACCATATATCAGTTTTGAAACTATAAAATCCGTTTATCATCTCGGGAGATTGATAGTGTTGATCTCCAATTGCTAATTGGATGGGATGTTGAATTCTTTTGGCTGCTCCGAATTCCAAAAACGTAATTGTAAGCTAATCATCGCAAAAAAGGGCGTTATGATCTTAAAATTAATAATTTTCACAATGTAATACTTAGAAAACGATAAATGATATTTTTTGAATGTAAATATACAAAGGTACTTAACACTTACTCTATAATGACGGCAGCCATTTGTTCTGGGTTTCCTCCCTTGTTTATCATCTTGCTTAAGAGATTGCCACCTACGTAGTCCTCATAAATGATGTAGTAGTACTCAGTTTCATTGAAATATTCCATCATCTTGGCAATATTTGGATGATCCTTGCTTTTACATTAAATTTACTAAGTATTGCATGGTGTGTATGTTATTCAAGATCAAAACTGGCTCATCCGATTTTGGATCTGTGGACTTTCTTATAGTTTTAACTAACTTTCGAGAATCAGTTTTTTTGCAATAGCACCACTGATAAATTCCGTATTCAGTAGTCAGAAATGGGTTGGGATCAATAATATTGTATTCATCCTTAAATAGGTTCTTATTCAGTTGAAAGCAATCTCCCTGATCAAAAGGCATTTCTGCATAAATAGGGTCTGCTGACATATAGACTCGAATATATACTCTCCAACAATTAATTTTTGGGGATGATTACTTTTAATTTAGAGGTAGCTCTTTTCTGCACTTCCTCCTAGTGTTTCCTTGCAAAACAAGAACCCATAAGTTTAAAATAAATTAAAAATTATGTCTTAATATCAACCATAACGAATCAATATATCTCGAACACAGCCTTAATAAGACAGCTTATTGCTAGAAGATGATTATCAACAACTCAAGAGTCCCCAATTTGCCTCAGAGTAAAAGTAAGCATATTCATCAAATTCACAGCACTCTCCCAAAAAGTACTTACAGAACACCAGATGCCAGAGTCAACCAATTTGATGGGGCATCAAATGAAGAAATCTATAAGAAAAAGTAAATAGTACTCTATTCTAGAATAAATGAATTGCAGAGATAAAACGATGATCTCAGATAAAAGTACTTATAGGTCTCCGGTGAAAATTAAGTTATAATCCAAGAGCAACGAGAGGAAATAGAATAATACTTAAATGAGGTTAATTTATTGAAGGAGCAATTGATGCAAAAGGAAATTGAGATTTAATAGCTTAATAGTCTAAATCAATCCTTAAAATAAGAGGTTAGCGATTCAGAGGGTAGTATTATAATGTAATAAACAAGAGGGATTTGATAAATTGGAACAAGATTATAAAAAAAAACTTAAAATCGGAGATGACTCTCAAAAAATATTCTCAGAGGTCTAGTTATTGAGTGAAGAAAATCAGAAATTGCAAGAAGCACTTCAAGATAAAGATAGACTATATAATCAATGCAAATAATAACTATAAAGTATTCAGATCGATTTGAATTAATTGTAATAGGATAGTTAGTACAATCAAGAATTATTGAATCAAAAAGATAGGGAAATTCATGAACTAAATTAATAGATTGAAAGGAATAAGGAACTCTAAAGAAAATAATAGGATTTTTCAAACAAAGTAGTATTTTTATCTAATCTATAGCAAGATCTCTTGAATAAGGAAGTTTAAAAGTTGAATCAATAAGTGAAACTATTGTAAAAGGAAAATCAAGATTTGAAGAATGAAAAACAATTAGTCACTTTAGAACTTCAAGAAAATCGAGCCAATCCTGAATATATGGGCAAAATCAATCTTTTGGGATAGGTATATCAATTCTATAATATCAGGAAGTCGAAAGACTAAATAATACCTTAGCCTTAAAGAGTAGAGAATTAAATGATTATAAAGCTCAGATTACTAGAATGCAGAAGGAAATCTAAAATTTAAGAATGAATGAATTTAAATTACAAGACATGAATATGAATTTGGATAGCTTAATTAATCAATACAATAAGTTGAAAGATGACAATTAAATTCTCAAATAATAAATTGCATAAAAATAAGTGAAAATCAATTCAGATTTGGATAAGAAAATTTAAATACTTCAACAAGAATGTGAAAAGCTCTCAACCTAACTCAATTCTAGTAAGAAAGAGAATGATTATTTAAGAGAACAACTAAATGATTCATCTTAATTGGAAGATACAAATAGGTTATTAAAATAATAAGTAGACAAGTTTTAAATGTAAACTAAGTAGCTTGAAAGTGAAAGATAGAGTCTATTACAGGAATATTAATTACTATCAAATAGTTATAATAGTTAGAAGTATAATTATTCTTAGTTGCTACAAGAATAATAAGAAAATAACAATTCAGTATTGTATAATAATTAAAAAATAGGTTCTCCAATTAAAAAATGAAATCTAAAGGTTACAGAAAATGAAGCCAGAGACAGTAGAGAAAAGTTATAATAATTGCAATCACTAGGATATAATCATTTAATACTAAAAAGATTTGGAAGCAGCTAATAAATAAATCCCTTTATTGAAATAAACAATTTAAAAGTTGAAAAATGAACTAGACATAACAAAAGAGTTCATTCCGCAAAATCCTTAATAATAATCATAATAACCATTTATTTAATCGGATTAAAAGTTAATAGATAAATTATAAAACTATGAAATAAGGTTTCCTCAATTAGTAGAGGAAATCGAGAGACTTAATTAGATACTGACAGAGAGGAATGAACAAATCTTGATATACAAAAAGAGCTCCTTTTAAGCTGATTAAGTGTTGGAAAAGGTAAGTGCATATGAAGCAGAAATAGAGAGATTAAGATAGACAATATTTTTAAAATAATAAACGATAGACTCATTGTAGTAATAGAAAGAGAATCCTGGGGTTTAAGATTTAATTTTTAAGTTGCAGGATGAAAACAGAAGGTTAACAAGTTTAGTAGGTGTAAGAAATAACGAAATAGCTGAACTTAAATTTAAAGTATCAGAATATGAGTAGAAACAAAAATTATTGAGTGAATCTAATTCTGGAAAATATGAATTGTAGAACATGGTATTAAATTAAGAGATTGATTAATTGAACTAGAAATTGTTGGAGGCAAAGAATGAGATTAGTTTGTTGAAATTGACAAAGAATGATAAATTCAATGAAGAAAGAGTATAAGAATTTATAAATGCTTTTAGGGGAAAGTGTTAACGTAAGAATTAGAGAAGTAGATGAGGATAAATAAGGAGAATGAAAAAGAATTATTGAATTTAAGATCAAAATTTGCAGAAGTTGTAGATGCAGAAAGAAAATTGATTGATTGCAAATGTCTCTTAGTTTTATTGTATAATGAAATAGAACGATTGAATTAAGAAAAAGAAAATGATAATTTTTTATTTTGAATTTATATTAATTTATTTAACAGCTATGGAAAACAATAGATTTTATTCAAATCAATCATGTCAGAAAGAATTAGAGTAACAACTAAAGGATTCATTTCTAGAAATTAAACTCTTAAAATAAGAGAACAAATATTTGTAATTTCGCTTTTTTTAATTATCATATAGATCATCTACTTTTGAAGATTTTAAATTAAAACAAGAGGAAACTAGAAAATTGCAATCCTTAGTAGTTGAATTAGAATAAAGAGTGTTAACTTTGGAGGAAGAAAATGCTAAATTGGATGCTGAAATAGGATACCTGTAAAAATTGAAAATATATATTTAATTAGAAGAGGATTTTCATAAAGCAAAGAAGTTTAGGTAAATTAGAAAGCTAGTTATACATAATTGGAGCAAGAGTTATCTGATTTGTAGGTTTACTTAAGAAAGTATATATAATTATAGGAGTTGTAAGTTATTTAATATATAGTTATAGCCTAATTGAACAAGTGCCTAATATTAATATGTAATTATGTTGGAAGGAAATTAATCAGATATTTAAAAATCAATTCAATACTAACTAGTAAATTTAGAATTTACAAGATGAGTTAAAACTGATTGAGACTACTTATAAAGAACTTGTTCATTCTAAAGATAATAATTTGACACCTTTATAAGAGATGGCTAAATGTATTAATACATTATAAAATTCAGAGCAAAGCATAAGAGAATCAAGAGTAGAAATAGAGAGAATAAGAAAAGAAGTTCAATTAAAATAGATGGATTTAAAATAATCAGACACAAAATTAAGTGAGTTACAAAATGAGTTTACATACATCAGTAAAATTGAGACTAGAAAAAACAATGTTTAAATGGAGGCTGAAAAACAACTAATTGACTTTAGAAGGGGGATCTCGACTACAAAAAATTCTAATCATAATGTTTCATTAATGAGAGACACTTTCAAAGAAAGAGATACTTATTAAGAAATGATACCTGAGAGATTAAGGGATTAATCGGATGTACTTCCAATCACTTCCTCAATAAAGAGAATACAAAGACCCTATATAGAGATCAATGATAGATTTGATGATTATCAAGATGCAGCGAAGACTCCAATTGAAAAAACCATTGATTAAACCAGAAAGAAGTTAAGTAGACAATTAAGTTAAGCAAGTAGTCTTCGTGATTAAAAATATATTTGATCATTATAAACTTTTAATTCATGAAGGAAGTTTTTATAGATATAGCCATAAGGACGCAGGATTGAAGGATAAGTTCTATTGTAATTGTTGTTATTGGAGTTGTTATTGCTGCATATACTACTATGATTATTCTTGGGTTGGAAGTCTCAATTAAACATTGTTGGGTATAGAGAATTGCTCCAATTTGATAGGATTCTAGGGGATTAGGAATAAATGCATACACTTTCTTGTTCAGGCATCGAATTTGAACTTTGGTTAGGAAGGGCACCTGAAATATGAATAATTTTTCTTATTCTCTCAGGATTAACCAGTTACTCAGGTTCTTTAAGTTCTTTTTTCTTCTTTTTTTCTGGGATTTTAGCATTATACTCTTCTTCTAATTATTCTTAATCGATTTGATCATCTTCCCTTTTGTATTTTAATAAGGAATTGTAAGCTCTATGGTATGCTCCTTGGAGTTCATCCTATGATGTAAGTGAGAACAATTACTAGATTTTCAATTTTTGTGAATCCTTTGGGCACATCATTGATGTCCATGATGACTTGTACGCAATCGTTGTTAAGAGGATCAAGGAATTCTTGGATTTTTTTCATATTCTATTGAGATTTTGCTTCGTTGCTCTTACAATCGATGTATAGAATGATGAGTTTCTACTCTATCTTTTGAATTCCTTGTAATGCATTGCTAGTAGAAAGAACGTGTTGTAGAGTTTGGATTAAATTGTCGGGCTAAGGTAAAATAGATGATTCAGTAAATTACCTCTGTAAATTTGATTTTGGCAGAATTTACGTACAACGAGATGCAAGCACTGAACTTGAGAAGCAAGAAGATGGGATGCTTGACCTTGTGGCGAATGTTGGGAGCCGTGAAATAGTTGATGAGTCCATCTATAGAATTTTTAATGACTTCTGAATTCTGGGGTTTGATGATCAGAAACTATTTCTCCAAATTGTTGGGCAAGAAGGGGTCGAAATATGATTACAGTTTTTGGATCTATGTATTAGTTATGTCGAATTACCTTCTGTTTCACAATATCTCTGGCGGATTTGCGGGAGTCCACAAATATTGGAGGGGAGATACGAGAGTCTAAGATCTGAGGGAATTCAAATTTGCTCTGACACAAATATAGAGTGATCACTATGTGGAATCGTTAATGCTGATCCTATATTTAAACTTTTTACATCATGGTTATAGGAGGTAGTATTAAACTTAAGGCCCGAGAAGATACACTTCCCGTTCTCCATGTCCACCTTGAGGTTTCCTTTGGCTCCCACTTCCAGCAGATGATGAGTTTTCATCGGAGTTATGATTGGCTTCACAATTTGCAGTTTACACTTGCTAATAATTTGATGGTTACATAAATGTTGTTCGGAGGGGCTAGACGCTCATTCGTCAACGGGTCTGTAATCTATTTGGAGTTGTAACATATAAAAAAATACTTCCATTTCCAGACCGATATCTGGAAGGTTCCAACTCTTATGCCAATTCCAACCCAAATTGTCAGTGTATATGAAAGGCCTGCTCTGGTCGATCTTGATGTTGATTAGGGGATCTATAGTCCCATTCTCTGATGGAATCTTAAGGGAAATTTATGGACTCAAATTCCAAGAAGTCTGAGTATCCTTTACGATTCTTTTGACGTCGTAATTGCACGGAACCCATTCCCAGATGTTCTTATCTTGGTCTTATTTCATCATTTATTTTTTATAAAATTTTTACAACAATTATCAAATACTGTCATGCTTATATTGTATTATAATCTATAAAGGACTTTAATATTTATTATAAAGAATAGAATGGAGAGGTACAATATTCATTAAATATTTCCCAGTTAACAAATCAATCCAGTTGAGCAATCCTTACTCAATAATTCTTAGGCTTTCCATCCCCAAGTCAATTTATCTTCAATCTTAGATGAAATGGTCAAGAAAGGAATAGGGAATTAGGATATTGATATATTTGTTGAATAGTAATTAATTCCAGTTGATATTTTAGTGTGACTAAAAATTTTGAGACATTTTGGGAAATGTTAATAATCATCAATTTTGATGAATCCTCCCAAAATGGCAAGTATCATCTAAATTATTATTATAAGTCATCCCTTTATCCTCACTGAAATACTCAGGATGAAGTCCGAAGAGATCTTTAATCATCTCTTTCAATTCAATCAGATTGAGTATATGGATTCCATGAATTTCCTATTCCAAACTCTTGATAGAGACTGTTTAGATGAGACTGTTGCTGGTTATTTTTCAAAAGTCATTTGTAGTTTTATGCAAGTTAGGGGGGCAGACGTATTTCTATTAAATTATAAAAGCTTTGGAAATATTTATAAACAAATGGAAAATATATTTATGAGGATCTGATGAAGAATCTTCACATTAATCATATTGCTGATGTTGTTTATAATCTAATAGCATTTTTTAACAAGGGCGATCAAGGTTAGAATTATAATTAAGAAAGACTCACTTTGTTAAATAGAACTATTGAAATTCTATTAAATAAAGGTTACGATTTATAAATCGTTGAAAATGTATGCAACATCCTGATAGACTTATTGAGAAACCTAACAGATTGGGAATTCAAATAGATGATGCTTGATAAGCTGTACATTCCTGATTCCTTCTTTAATTTGATAGTAATTTTTAGAGTGATCCAATTAGTTTCTCACAAAGTCGCATCTCTTGGCCGACCTTCTAATATAGCTACTCTACGAATCTCAATAATTTACATTCCTCGCCTAATAGACTTAGCCACATTTTTAATTTGACTATCAACAATATGAGGTCATTGGCAGGAAATTCAGTCAAGCCCTTACGATGGAACTTAATTTAAGTATGCATTTAAAATAAATGATTAGATAGCTTCACTACATCCTATGGAATCTAATCGGAAATTTTTGGTTAAACAAAGATCAAACTCATCCAATTCTACCTTAATATTATCTAAAGCAATAATTTGACTCTGATAAACTACTTCAATCATTAGGATATTTTTAAAAATCTAATGTAGTTTATTTTATAGTATGAATTCAACAATTAACTTTAAAATTATTTTATGCACATCATTTATTGCATCTTTTGCAATAATAACTTAGAATATGTATAATAATAATTGATCTATGAATTGAACATATTAGGATTCTTGAGCTACCTTAATTAACAATATTATAAACAAGTAGGTTCGATAAGAAAACCTATCACAAAAGGCTACTAGGGTATGGCCAACAAATTGTCCTTATTTTTCAAAGATGTAATATATACAGAGGAGTGGAATCAATACATTCAAAATCATCAATAAATTTTTAATATTGAGAATAATTATTTCTTTGGCATTATACCACCAAAAGAAGAGAAAAAAGAAGAGAATATTGAACAAGGAGGTTTGATGTAAGATTCACATTTAAATTAGAAAACCTGAATAAATAGAGAAGGAAGAAGAATCTCCCCAATAGGATACAGAAGACAATTTTTCTATTTAATTAAAAGAGGATTAAGATATGAAATTAACCATCTCTTTAGTTCAATAAGAAGTGATGTTGGCGGAGAATAATTTTTAAGATCAGTCTAATTTGGGAGAGGTGTTTGGAGAGTAGATTCTCAATTAAAATGCAAAATAAAAATAAAATATGTCAAAGAGTTAATAACTTGTAATTCCTAAAATTTTTGATTTTGGTACTAAATTTCAAAGGTAGTCGCCTACTTCTATTGAGAGTAACAATAAAAATAAGAGATCTAAATCCTAAGAGAAAGTTTAAAAAGGCTAGATAGTTTCTATTACTTCAAGCTTTATATTGCCTAGAAGAGTAGAAACAAATAAGAGTCAAGAGATCATTAATTGATTGTTTTAAGACATTTTATAAGAATGATCATTCACAATGGAAATTGTAATTTAAGAAATAATCAATATATATTATAAAACCATTCAAGTACGTTAGTCTTAAATTATCCCAATATACAGTTAATTATAAATAAGAATGTATATTCGTTTCTCTCATACTATTGCAACATGATTTCCTTATTCAAAAAATCCTTCACAAAGAAACCATTCTTATGCATCCATTTGATTATTGTTAGAGCAAATCTATCAGCAAAAGTATTGCTTTATTCTGAAGATTCAATGGAACTCATAGCTTTACTGATCGTTTCCTATTTAGAACTGGAATATTGATTCAGTCTTTGAGACAACTAATATAATTGTGTACGCACCGAAATATCACTTAATTCTTGATTATCATTCATAAAATAATGGAGTAAGAATTATATTACTTGGAATGGATTTCCACAGTTATCTTGCAATATTCTAAATAACAAATATTCTTTCCATCTGAAGATACCACTCTTAGATTACTATAGTATAGCTTACATCTACATTAACTCCAAGAGCCCTGTATATCTTAAGCAATTCATTCTAACAATGTCCACTCAGGTTTTCATTATAAATAACAAAATATTTCATAGGGATTCCATTTTGAATACTATTCAACATACACAATGATTTGTAATCGATGTAGTATTTGTAGATTAGGTAGTTGTCTAATTTTGGATTGCTTTATTTTATTGAGTTAATCATTTCCAAACTTAAATGATCAATACTGTTATCTTGATCATCTTCTAACTCTTGTGACGGTTGTATTACTTTAAATTTTGGATAGATATTTTGGACCACCAATTTTGGTAATTATACATCATATTCCTTTTAGTACTCCACTAACTACTGAATTTATTTAATTTGCTTTAAATTTTATCTAATCAATTCCTATCTTTTGGAACTGCTGTCTCCATACACCACCACATCTTATTTACAACATTAGAGAATCATCTGCTATTTAAATTTCTGTAGTTATTTGATTCTCTTGCTTATTCGTATGCTTTCCTTAATCTTTGGCAATTGTTTAATCAGTGTCTCTTTAGAGTCTGCACATACCAAAGTCGGCGGATTCCAACCCAATTAACAGGCATTCAAAATTTCAATTCCATCGAAAAATGAAATCACTTTTATTGGTTTCTTAATCATCTTAGCCAATTGAAACTTTAAATCATTAATCACTTGAATGGCTAACTCTCTTGATGGAACAAAGAAATAATCGAACATTTTTTAAATCTATCAATCCAATAAATTTATACCTAATACTCTTCTCCACTTATTTTAAGTTGATGAAAAAAATTAATCAACTATTAAACATCTTTAACTTTAGTGAATTGATCACCTTAGAATCTGCTCTAAGGAAAAGAATACGATTATGAATAAGGCAAAAAAAGTGCATACGTCTGTTCATTCAATAAATTGGGAATACAATTCTTCGTAAAAGACTCCAATATCTACTTAAAATTAAATTTAAGGTAGTCATTCAAGCCATTTTCATCTACATAAAATAAATAAGCATATTTTCTGATCTTTTGACTCTGAGTCTTATTTGATTTCCCACAATCCACACTTAAACTTACTAAACTATTTCTTAAACTTTTGGCTGGTTTCTCAATCACTGAACTAGTCCTAGTTTAAATTATGGATCTTTCTGTTTGAAACTCTCTCTTGATGTAATTATAATTCAAATAAACTTTCTTCGGTTTTATATGTTGATTATACATGTAATTAATTAAATTAATTAATAATAACAACTTCATGTTACAATTAATTAATTCTATGTCAACACTAGCTTATTGGTGCAACTCTTATTGACCTCACAATTGTAAAGAATTATTTAACAGAATAATTTTAGAAATTAACATCTTTCGATTAAAAATATAACATTACAAGAGATAAATTCGCGAGTTGGGTCCAATTAAATTTAATTTTAAAAATAGTATTCTATCCTTCCTGAAGCCTACTTTCAAGTTTATATTGATAAGATTTAGTTATTACTGTTAATTTAAATTGTGCCTCAATGTCTTATGCTTATATGTATTTAAAACTAAATTAATCTTATCAAATGAATAATTTAAAAAATCTTGATTTATTCGGAGTACCTCTTGTGTATGGGATTGACCAAAGGTAGTCTAAATATAAGAGCGTCTTGGGAGGAACATTATCCTTATTTACATTCTTAGGCAGTTTTGCTTACGCAATTTGGATATTTTATTTGTGGCAAACCAAATAGATGAATCCTAAGATATCTAACTCCAGATTTGTCTCCGATTACTCCTTGCTTGACCTTAAAGCAGGATTAATTAGATTATATTATTGGCAGTATGATCAGAATCTAATCGATCCCTTTTAAACTAAAATTCTCTTGCCTCTTGTTATTTACAACAGAAATAATAAGCTGACAGAGCCATCATTAATAAATGAAACTTCAGTTACAAGTCATGGATTTACTTATATACCTAAAATAGAACTCGGGTTTTCCAAAATAGATGGAGAGATCTACACTTCAGAAGAAATGTATATAGAAATAGTTAAGTGCTCCGAAATTTATTTATAACCTAATGAGAAGTGTGCATCTCCTGAGCTATCTGAAAAATTTTTTAAATAATCTTCGAATATAATTGTGTTGCAAATTTATTCGACAACCTTGGATTCTCGAGATGGATCAGAATAAAATGGATTACAGGAATTATATATTTAGATAGAAGAAAGCTTCTGTTATACTATGAACACATTTCTTTAAACAAATTTGTATGAACTTCAGGATTACTTTCTTTTTGGAACATCAAGATATAAAGAATATATTTCTGGAGCAGTCGTACAGACTTAAACAAGTTCAATTAATTATTGTTATAAGGCATTTAATAATGATGCTCTATCTCTAGTTTACTTAGGAATGAATGGCAATCAAATGAAAACCATTTTTGAGTATCCTCGTGCAGGGGATATCTTAGCAAATATTGGATCAATTGTGTCTTTATTATTTATGATCAAGTACATTATTATTGTTTTGAATCAAAATTCTTTAAACTAAATGATAATAGCAGAGCTGATATCTTTCTATTATCCAGAGTTTAAATCTATTTGTATAACTAGAAATTGGAGATAAAAAATTACAATGGTTAAAATAAATGAGAAGTAGGTAGTGTTAGAAGAATTTCTGAAATTTTATGATAAAGCAAAACACCAGATGCATTAAAAATTGAACTACTTAAATTTATTGTATGAAATTTCGAGATTATACTTTATTATTCGATCGTCTAAATACAGAGGGGAACTATTTAAGTCTCATAGTGTTGGAATAAAAATGAATCTCAATACGAATAAGGACTTTGATGTTATCTACGATTATAATTCAATTAGCTCAGCGAAATAAAAAACGGATAATTTTTTATTAAATGAAGATGATGCCGATATAATATCGTTAACAAGGAGAAAAATATAAATTAATCTTGATTTTATCCCAGATGAAATAATTAATGAGAATGATTTTTATAATGCCAATAAAATAGTGTGATTTTTAACTATTATTCTTTATTTGATTTATAATATATATAAAAATGAAGTATCGAATATTTTCTATGATTTCCAGTATAAAGGTTGAATTCTGTGTTATGGTGGAAATCATAAACAATGTATAGTATGGTAAGTGTAATTATGTTGATTATGACTTATTTTATTTAAGAATTATAACCAGTGTTTAAGTAAATTATAATAATCTCAATTGAAAATATAATTAATTCACTTATTTTTAATATATTAATTATCAAATATGTTATAATATTTATCAACCTTCATTTTTTTATCAAAATGCACTCCTTATTATTTCACTCAATTTTAACAATTTTAATCAAGAATATAATCCATAAATAAAATACATAATGAAAAATAGATTATTTATAATTTTTCAATCTTATAATCCTCTGTAATGCATTTCTATGTTGGGATAGTCGGTTGCTTCGAATTTCATTCTAAGATTATTTGAGAATTAATACTTTTCTTTATTCATTTTCTTTCTAAAATAAGATATCAATGTGTAAATAAGGGCAAATGCGAGGATCAAAATAAAAGTATATTTCATGTATCTTTTCCACCTCAATTATTTAATATATTCGTTATTAACAGTGATGGGTTTGTAGAATTTTTCTAGATTAATCATTTCTTAATTTCTTAGTTAGATAATAGCTAGGAATATAGATAATAATCTTACAATCAGTGTAGATAGTGAATTATATCATTTGTGCATCAGCGAGTTTAGTTTCATCCAATTCTTAACTTAATGAAAAAGTCAGTTGATTTTCTTTAGCTGGATTTTCATATCGCATTTCAAACTAATAAGTTTCAAAGCAATAATTAAATGTTTATGTCGACCCATCCTCAATAAATTGATAAACCAACACATATGCAACCTATAATAAATTGAAGTTGGGATTCGACTTGACTTACAATTTGTAACCAGTGACTGTCAGATAATATTTATCATCCCTCCTTTCTAATTCCCAATTGAGATTTCCATCATTTCCAGGTTGAAGATCATTGAGTGGAATATATGAATCCTGCTTTATAAGTTGAGCAGTGATAGTAAATGGAGTTGATGAATCAGATATATAATTGTTTGTACTGGCAACTAGATAGTAATAACCCGACTTTTTGACTTCAATAACTTCCACCAAATGATCAGTCACTTAATATTGCTTAGAGTATTATCCATTTTTTAAAAGATCGATGTCAGTAGACCCGAATAAGTTCAATGTAGTTCCGCATTGCTGCACCTATAACAACAATTGCCCTTCGGATGGACAAAAGTATTCCCAATATTTGGGTTACTATTTTAGAATGCTGACACTTTTTTGACTGGGAACCAATATGTTGAGATAGCTATTGCTAAAGATCAAATTAAAGTCGATGCTTAACTAATCATTTTTATTAAAGATTTCGATCTCGTAATCTCCTGCGCGATCCTAAAATTCTGCATAATAATATTGAGAAATTTAGGCTTCCTTGTCTGGGAAGAGTTGATGGGATACTTGATTCTCATTGGTATATTTGACAAATATTTTGGGGACTTCTTTCTTGTATTTGTTATACTCATCTTTTTGATAGGTGTTGAAAAGCATGGTGATGAAAATTGAAAAGGTATTTTCATTCCCTTTCTATACACTATTGTAAATGAATTTCTCTGATTGGTGAGGGTGTAATAATATAGTATAGACTTCACCGACATTAATAAACTTAGTTCCTTTTATATCTCTGCATTAGATCTTATAAGTAGCACTTTTATCAAAAGATTTAATAGTGATATTAAATTGATTTGAAAATTCAGCCGAGACTTTCATTAATTCCTCAATGAAGCCTTAAGCAGATGTTTCTTTGCTCACTCTTTTTCTTATTGGATCTTTTGAAGGATCACTGCTATATTGAACTTCAACTTTACCTTCTAACACTTCTACTTTCAGAACAGAGTCATAAGGACTGTAATAACTGTATGATTAAAAATCCTCTGGATCAAGTTAATTTATCATTATGACATCTTTGGCAAGATAAACTTTGGATGATTTAACTTGAATAGCTAATGTGATATCCGAATCTTATTCTGATCTAACAGCAATTAGATACTTGTGTCTATCATTAGGTGTAAACTTCATTTATTTTTTAAATCCCTTCCCCGAATTGTTAAATTGGAATAACTCCAATTATTTAATGAAGGAATCAGATTCCTTAGAGTCATCAGCTATTTCATCTACGAAATATTCAGCAGTTCCACTCTAAAGTATGAATAATATTTAGAAATTCTCCACTATGTATTATTGGTATTTAAAATAGGCTACTTCTCCTGATTTCAGCACTATGTTGTGTGGGATGCCTTATTAAATTTGATAGTAATGGAGTTTTCCAGTTTGATATACTATACTGTAAGAACAAGTGGAATACCCAATAACACCAATTATATAGAGTCCAGCCATCTTAGGATGTTTTGGATTGCCACTTTCGATGACTAATTAGTCTCCCAAATAATCGATGGAGGCCCAATCATAGTTCTCAGCATCTGGATAGTCATCCTTACTGACAACGATATTGACATCGCAAGATGACATAGGAGTGAGGACAATCATAAGGTTGGTATCATTATCATAGACATAGGCTTTATAGTATTTAATGATGGATCTGTCAATGGATCCATAATAGGCTATTTGTTCATACAATCCAACGTATCCAGATGAATATTGAATGGAGTATGTCTAATCTTGAGTTATGTAGTATTCTATATCATCAACTTTCTTTATTGTTATGGCCAAAACACATTAATATTAACAAAATTGCAAGAATCCTTAAGAGAGAGTCACTTAACTATGAGGTATTCCAACAATGGTTTTTGAAACTGAAACTATGTTTTTGGATTCTGAATCTGTGGGATACTCATAGACTCCCTTGTTAGGATACTAGGTGGTATCAAATACGGACACTAAGATTTACAATGGTTATGGTTATCCAAAATTGACAACATTCAAAACGACATCATTTTCCGGCTAATAAAATAAATAATAGTGGTGGTATGAGGCAGGCAAGGTCTAAGTTACAGGTTCATCTAGAGTCAGCTGAATTTAAGAGTTATCTTTGGAAATGAGTAGTGAGTAGAAGGTGTCTACAGTGCTTGTGACTTAGACTTAAACTTAGCAGTAAAAGATTTCGGTGATGGAACTCTTACATTTATCCAGAGGCATTTTGGATGCACTCAATATCATTGATCCTGTTATTAATTAGTGTTAATTGCTGTCAACAAATGCAGTGACAATTAATTCACTATCTTTATGAGAATGAGCTCTTTTGGTAAGCTGAACATCTTCGTTTTTAAAAAAGGTATAGTAGAAATACTGATAGTCACCTGCTTCGATCCAAGTATAAAAGTTCTCATTCAGAACCAGCATGTTGTTCTTCCACCCTATTCTATAGATGATTCTGAATGAAACCTAACTAAAAGGTCCTGTGGGTTCCACTCTCAAATAAATAACTTCTGGGTATTCATCTTCATTGAATTAGATTTGAATCTCCTCAGCACTTTGCCATCTTGATTCATTCAATTTGGTTGATGGATGATCAAAACCATAAAGCGATAATTGACCAGTCTCATGCAAGATTTCCACTTTCACATTGTCATGCAATGATTACTTGCTTTGATCAGTATTCAAGTAGTTAGTGAGATCAATCTTATACAAGCCCACCTCTCCACTAAAAAGAGTAAAATCTTAAGGACTTCCCTCGTACAGTTGAATGTATTGCCAAGCGAACTTACCTTTTGCACGGAAATCATCACCTGTCCTAATCACTACAACTGTGATTGTATACAGTCCTGCTGTTTCTCCAAATACCGAAATGAAATATGTTCCCTCTCGAATTTCTTAGTTCTAGTAACGGATCATATAATTGCTTCCTTGCATCTCGAAGTCTTCCTTATTTGGTCTCTGACTTGTCGTTGATGAATAGATCTAAAAGATTCCTTGGATTGGTGTTAAGATGATTGAGATTCTGCTGATATCCTGAGCATTGCCAATGTAAAATTTGAAATAGTTCAAGCTTTGTCTCTCCACCATCGATTTATGTGGTGTGTTTTCCTTTAATTGAATATGTGAGGATTGAGTAGACACCAAGACTGAATAGGAGCATCGATTGTATAATTGAGTGTGGGTGTTGCTAGGGTATATGGCTAAGACATAGGTGCAACTGTAGAAATCCCCGAAGGACTTACAAACTTCGGGGTCATAATTGAATACCAGTATTTAATTATTTTTTGTTTAGGTAGTGTAAATAAACAAATCCATTGGACTCTGAGACTATCTTTCTTCTAAATGGTTCAGATCATCTTGGATTATTTTGCATTCATCCTCATAACATCTCTTAAGCACCAAAGCACACTCTTAATCATAATTGGTCAACTCCACTGTGACTGCTCTGGTTTTCGATCCTGACAACACAAACCAATAATTGATCATCTCATTATTCTCAATATTCCCCTCATATGGAACATTAATGTTGATGTATTGGTATTCAAAATCTTGGATTCCAGTTTCCAATTCATAAGTGCACATCTCATTTCCAAATACTGCGATATACAAGTACTTCTCATTTCCACTCTAGAATTTGAATTAAGCCTTCTCAATTATTAGAACCTGCTGAGTCGTTCGTTCAAAATGATATTGATATTATTCCAACAGCACTGGCTAATAATCAGGATTCGCATATAGGGTAGCATGTCCAATAAATGGAGTTAATTTAATAAACTAAACATAATCTCACTATGATTTACCCATTTTATTTTCCTGTCAATCTCATTCATATCATTATAGCTGTTGTCTTCGATCTTCACTTTGAAAATCCTAGCAGTGCCAGCTTCCACTATCCCATTGTAAATCTCTTGGAATTTCAATTCTCTTAAGATTCCAGAAGTCTGAGTCTTGATCTAAAAGATAGCCCCAGCCTAACCAGATATCACAAGAGTCAACTTGGATAAGTGTGGCAATTCTTAAAGCGATAGAGACATTAATTTAGATCCACTCCATGAGTCCTTGGCTACATACTAATGCTCACTTGATGTAGGTATTGTGGTTCCTACATTCAAATAAACTTGGAAGGCAGCTTCAAATTCATATATGTTTAATGCCTTCACTTCTATTTCTAGTTCCACTTCCGATTTGCTGTATTCACCAATATCGATCTTTAAAATCTCACTTTGTTGAGTGTCAGACAATTTAAATTATATAAAATCATCTAATTAATATAAATATCCCTTATTTACTTCTTTGGAGCGTGTATTCTTAATCGTAATCAACCCGCAAATCGTATCTACAATTGCCAGTACAAATTACTGAGATATAGAATGGATCGTCGATTATCAATTTAGATTTGTCAATAATACACAAATCTTATTGAATATAGAATTATTTTACCATTCCCTCTTGACGTGCATGAAGCAATTTCCCCTTCCTTTTCATTGCTGGCATATTTATTCTCTCTCGATATAAAAATGTTTGGATCTCCTCCTGGATTTATTGCCTTCACCATTATCACGATGTCAGAATCAATCTTTATTTCCTCCAAAATTAACTCATAAAAGTCTCCATTCTAATTGAGCCACTTTGATTAAGTGCTTATCAATCAATTATTTCTTTACCCTTCTACTCTATGACCAATCGTTAATCTCTTGATTTCTTAGGTGAAAACTACATTTAAGAAAATCAATAATGAGAACATGTTCGTAATTAAAATTATTAAATAAATATTATTCTTTCTATTTAGCTTTGTCATCCACTCCTATTAGGACGAACTTCAACTCTGACATAACTATTTCTCAAAAACGATTTAAACAACAATCCAAACATTTAATATTTTGATTCTTGATTTTATTCCTTAAAAATCTATCTAGTTCATTCATAGGTTGAGAGTGTAATCGTTCATGTCTCTTTACCTATTTTACTAAATTTAAATGATAAGATACAATAGAAGATGTTAGACACATTTGATTAAGTAATCTTTTTTTGTTGAAATTTCAAAAGAATCACAATCATTCTTTATATGATGTATTAAATTAGTATAGAGAAAGTGAATTAATGCAAATCAAATATATAAAAATGACTAGAATTATTATCATTCATGTTTTCTCAAATTTAGTAGTTTCTTTAATTTATTCTGCAATTTCAAGCAACTACTTCCTTATTACAGCTTTACAATTCAAATCATTTTCTTTCTAAGCTTACCTAATTAGATTCTCGTATTTCTCATTAAGTCCTTTGAGTTTGGTTTCGATTTCAAATTGACGAGTAGTTGACAAGGGAGAGAGCAGAGGTTATTTTCTGTTTTCAGATTTTCTATCAGGACTACAAAAATTGAAATTTTAAGTAGTTTTCATGTCTTCCAAACATTCTCTTATTGCTTGTTTCAATTAGCTTTGTCTCAAACTGCTTTCAATTCTTGGACTGGTCAATGGAGGTGACATCTAATCGATATTCAATTTAGTAACAGTTTTCTGTTCCTTGTACCCCTATTTAAGTTCAGTTTCCCCTTAACTAAGCTTCCTGCTAATGTACCTGTGCTATCTCTCCTCATAATCCAATTTAATCTTGACTTGCTGATATTTGAGACTCAAATCCTTATAATCCTGAGTGACTTATTCAACGATTTATTGGTACTCGTTGCATTTGCCAATCAAATCCTAGATTCTTCGACTCATTTGTTCCTCTCTTACACTCTTATTGCTTTCGATGTCATCGATGTTCCTAGAGTATTGCTTGTCTTTCTCATCCAACTAAACTTTTAAGGCATGAATTTGTTTTTCGAAGTCATGCATTTTCATGGGAGGATATTTTGTTTTGTAATTACTAAAATCTTGGAGGACCTACTCTTTCTCAATTTCCAAGAATTCTATTTTCTTTTCTTATTTTTTTATTTGTTAATCTTTCAGATCAAGTTTTATTTTCAGATCTTAAACATTAGTTAAAAGAGCAGCATTCTCTTCAAATTTCTTAAGTTCCACTTTATGGAGGAACCCTTTTTCATTAGATTTATGTGCTTGCAATTATCTTTGTAAACTGTCATGCGCCATTTGAATTTCGTGCTTTTCGTGCTTCAATTCCTCGTTTTTCCTAATTAAATCACTAACTCTATCTTAATAGTCTTTGAGATGCTGTAATCTTTCTGCTTGCAAAACTTCGATTTATTGCGATGCTACAAAATTCATCTAACTCTCCTGATTAGTCTTCATCAACAAGTATTACAATCTTTCATTTTCGTTTTACAGATCATTTACCTGCCTCCTCAGTTGCTCAATTAAATTATCCGAAGGGTTTTCTACGGATTTCCTTAAGCCTTCTACTCCCTTTAATTTCTCTTACAAAGCTTTGAGGGCTGAAGCATAAGCATTCTAAGGAGCTGAAGTAGGATTAGAAGAAAATGCCCGATGAGACGTTCGAGATTCTCTTTCATTCATTTTGTTGGTTAAGGATATGAATAAATTTATTTATTATATGAAAACATATTACTTTCAATTTATTTCCTACTGGCTCTTCCAACGATTTTGTAATGCAGAACTCTCTGTCTTTTCTAGCACAACCTTAGTTTCACTGATTAATCTTTATTTTTTTTAAATTAAAGTCAAATTTCAAATAGGTCTTAGTTCAGAATATCCCATCAATGGATCTTACTACCCATTCTTTATGAGATCATCCTATTTTCTAAGGATGAGAGAGGAACAAGAACTATTTGATTTTAAGCAAAAGAGATTGGCTAATTAGACTGCATTTGTGAAATTGTTAAATGAATATTTTAAGATCCATTATGTAAGTGCTATAATTATTATAAATTCTATCTAATCAATTAGGGTAAATATAATAAGCTATATGATATCATTCAGGATATATGAGATCAATTTGTCATGACTATTTATAGAGTAATTATAATAAAATAACAATTTGGATGGTTTTGTTTTTATTTAATATAGTTTATTAATTTATTATAAATCGTAATTAATGTAAAAATTAACTCTTGAGAAACAAATTAATCTTTTGGAAAGAGACATTTAATAGAAATCAAATAAGATTGAAGAGTTGACAAAGTAGTTATTATTCCATTTCTAGGGTTGTTGATCAATAATCAAACTTCGTTGAATCGGCCAAAGCAAAAATTAAGAATTTATAGGACACTCAACAAACGTTGTATTCCCAATTATTTGATATCAAACAAGAGCGAGACAATTTCAAATGTGTTAATCAAATAAAGGAATAACAAATAATGAGCTTATAAGAATAAGTGTTAGCAAAAAATCACGTAGCAGATGTAATTTATATTATGTAACATAGACCCAATAATTGAAACACGAACTCCAGGATTAATACAATCAAATACTCGAGTTATAGGTTGATCTCAATACAGTAAGGAATCAATTGGGACACTCTGAATTAGAGCGCCAAAACTTATTGAATGAATTGAAACTCAAGGCAGTTAGTTCGGTCGTCTAGATTCAAAATGAATTCAACAGCGCTCCCTTGCAAACTTATACTCAATATCTAGATAAATTTGATGAAGAAAGAAAATAATATTTGAGACAAATTCATTAATACTAGATACGCGAAGATAAGATAAGTATGAAAGAGATTTAATATTAGAAATTGAAAATAAGAAGAGAATAGATAATTTATAATCCATCATTGATAAAGTCGCTGAGGAAAGTAAAAATTAGAAGGAAGAATTAATAACTTTACGAAAGTTGATAGAAATGTATAAACAGCAGTCTTAGGAGGATATCACTAATTAAAGGATATATGAAGAATAGAAATTACAAAATGAACTAGAAATGAGAGCCCTCATTTAAAAAAAGGATAAATTGATATCAGATCAAAAAAAAGAAATATAAAAATTGCATCAGCGCATTGGTCAATCTCCTTAGGTGATTCTTTCAACCATAAATGATATGTTCAATATGTCTGTGGATGAATCAGTGGATTTGAAAATAGAAAATATGGAACTAAAAAATTAAATTAAATCACTTCAAGATTTGATTGATTAAGAGCAAAAGGAAAAGAAGAATATCCAAGAATACACAAAGAAGGAATACTCCATTGCTTTGTAGAAGGAATAGGAATATTTAAAATAAAAAACAATTACAGAAAGCTAGAAATAAACATTAGATGCTGAAATTCAATAAAATCAGTTATTAAAGGATGAGATATTTAAACTCTAGGCAGAATTAGCATAATTAAAGAGAAAAGATTAAATATATAAAACTGAAATAGAAAGATTAAGACAAGATAATCTAAACAATTAAACATAAATTTTTATCGCTTAAAGGGAGGACAAAAAATCATAAGTCAATCAACCTACCTCATAGATCGAGATGGATCAAAATTAAATTAAGAATAATATCTAATAGTTTGAGTAATTAACAAAAGAAATTCGAAACTTAAAACAAATCATAAATAAAAAGGAGGAAGAGATTATCAATTTGAAATACAGAATTGATAACCCTGACACAAATACTGAATAGGAGGAATAGTAGAAGAATTCAGCAATTACTATTGCTAAGAAAATTGAAAGTAAAGAATTATTTATTTAATATAGAAATTGAAACGTATTCTAAAAAACAATCTAAGATATTGGCTGATTATAGAAGACTGAAATTGGAAAGGAATAAATACGAATTCAGCATTAATGAGTTTTAATATGAAATTAAAAATTTGCAAAGTAAGATTCAATTAGAACAAACATAAAAAGAATCACTGAAGTAGAATTTGTAAAAATACAAAGAGGAATTCAAAAATTTGGAAGAATAAGATAAGAAATAAAAGAAGGAGTTCGAAAAAAAAATAAAATAAATCGAATAAGAAACAGAATAAAAATATATTTCTCAAGAATAAATCAATTATTAAAAAATGAATTAAGATTTACTTAAATTGATAGAATAAGATAAACTATTGGTGCAATAATTGAAGGAGAAAGTTAAGACTCTAAGCTAAGATGTTTAAAAATGTCGAGAAGAAATACTTTAGAAAGATCTTGAAATCAAAAGACTCTAACTTGTCGAAACCAAGAGTGAAGAACATCAAAACATTCTTTAAATGAAATTGTAAATAGAAAATGATAAAATCATCATAAAGTCATTGAACGAAAGAATAATTAACTTAAATCAGGAAATAGAGAATAAAGAAAAAGAACTATTGGCTTTTTAACAGGATAAATTGGATTGGGAATCCTTATAATAGTTTTCTAGACAAATTGCCAATGAAAATAGGTCTAATTTGAATAATTAGGAAGATATTAATGATTTGAAGAAGAATCTAAAAGGATTATAAAAAAAAATATCAGAACAAACATAATAATATTAATAAGCCATTGCGGACTTTGGGAAGGAGTTTTAATAGATTATTATGTAGCAAAATAATGAGATCAAACAATTAGAATAAGAAAATCAAGATTTAGCCAAAGCCTTGGAATAATATAAATAACTATATCAATAAGAAAGAATGGATAGACAAAATAAATCAGATTTAACTTTAGCTGAAATTGAGGAAATCAAAATTAGACTAGATTAAGTCACTAAAGAAAGAGACTAACTATTGTTAAAGAAGGAGATAATTGAAAATAAGGAATATCAGATTTTAAGAAAGGAGGAGGAAATTAGATCTTAGGAGTAGGAACTATAAGAGGAGAAGAAGAATTTTGAGAGTTATATTCAGAAGAGGAAAATGGAAATAAGTGATGATATCTTAATTAAAAAAAATAAAGAATTATCAATAATAGGATGCGATTACATTTTAGGAAGGGAGTTGGAAATTTATAAATAGAAATTAATAGAGGAATAAGAGAAAGTAAATGAATTAATGCAAAGATCAATTCAATAAATGGAAGATTATCAAGAGGGAAATTAGGATTTGTATGAGAAAAAATAAATGGAAAATTAACTGAACGATTTAAAAAAGTAGATTGAAGAAATGAGGGCTGAGTAACTAAAACTTAGGATGGATTCGAAAGTATAAGATGAAGAGCAATATAATTTTGAAGAAGAAAGATAATAATATTAATAGTAAATAAGACAGTTGATGCATCTTAAAGAAAATGTAACACTGGAAGATATTAAGTTAGTAAGAGATATAATTTAAAGTGGAAAATTAATCTCTTATTTAGAAAAGGCCAAATAAATTCATGAACTTTAAACTTCAATGTAATCTTGATCTTATTATACACATTTCATATAAAAATTTAATTTAATAGAATGAGTATTTAAATAATTAAAGTATCTGTGAATTTCTTTATTATTAATATTCGAGACAGTTATTCTAGAATTCTTAACCATTTAAGATGTATAACGTAATTTTTACTATTCTGGATTAAATTTTCCATTATTTAATCTGATAACATTCGTTGAAAGAAAATTGATTATTTTATTTCTTATAATATCACTTTCATTTATAACCATATATAAAAGGAATTAATAAAATGTCCATACTCTTTGATTCGAATTTATAAAAGGAAATATGAAATGAAAAATCTAACATTAACAAGATTTTATCTAAATAATTAGAATATATTATTATTATTTATTAATAAGAGATATAGAAAATAGTAATTAATTCAAACTTGATTTTTTATTTGAAATAGTTTATTAATACATTTTATCATCTAGCACTTATATTCATCATTTAAATCACTCTATTCAGTCTCTTTAAAGTAAAACGAATCACTAATTGTTTTGGTAATAATTACTCATAAAAATTTCTGCAGAATTTTAATACAATGTCACATATATAGAAAAATCAATATTATCCTATTAAGACTTCTATATAACCTAATTAAATAAATCTAAAACTTGATTAAATTCTATAATCATAGCCTCTATTAATCCCTATTTTATGTTTAAGTATAACTTAAAAATGCAAATTTCAAAGCAATCAAAGTTTTAAGTCTTAAATCAATTCAAGCAATAATTACAAATTATAGAGATTGGTTTCTATTAAGGTTTTTCTTGAGAGAGAATTTTTTACAAATATCAATAAATATTAGCGTTTTGAAAATAATTTAAGAAAAGCAATAAGTTATCATTTGTAAATCAATTAGATAATTTCAAAATGGTTGAATAAATTATTATTTTTGAAAATTCTATTCTTGGTTCTAAGATTTCGGTATTAAAATTACTAAAAGAAATAATTATTTATAAAATAATGCCTGCTGAATGTGTAAAGGTTATTGTGAGAATGCGTCCATTTAATCAAAGGGAGAAGGAAAACGGAAGTAAGCCCTGTGTAATAGTGAATGAAGATGCAAATAGTGTTGAATTGCGAAATGTAATTAGTTTATATATTTGATAAATCAGAGTCAAGATAATGAGGTGAAGAATTTTACTTACGATTATGTGTTCGGAGCTGAGACTCCATAATTATAGATTTATTAGAAGACAGCTTTTAATTTGGTTGAATCTGTAGCTGATGGCTATAATGGAACAATATTTGCATATGGTTAAACAGGTAAAATTCGAATTTAAGAATGATTAGGTTGTGGCAAGACTTTTACAATGATAGGAGATCCTTCGAATGTAAGATCTTTACTCAATTTTAGGAAATCATGAAAGGCATAATTCCAAGGACCTTTGATTAAATAATAAGCCTAATAAACAATAATTCAGATTCAAATAAAAAGTTCCTCCTCAGGTGTTCATACATCGAAATCTACAATGAAGAAATTCATGATTTGTTGAGCAAAGATGTAAAATAGAAATATGAATTGAAAGAAGGATAGCAGGGGGTATTTATTAAGGATCTCAATATTGCTGTGGTAAGAACGACTCAAGAGATGGATAGATATATGTAATTAGGAACTCAAAACAGATCTGTTGGCGCTACTGCTATGAACAAAGAATCTAGTAGAAGTCATTGCATTTTCACAGTTTATATTGAATGTTCACTTACTGATGCCAAAGGAAATGAGAGAATTACAGCGGGAAAATTGAATTTGGTTGATTTGGCAGGAAGTGAGAGGTAATCTAAAACATAAGCAACTGGGGATCGATTAAAGGAGGCTACAAAAATTAATTTATCTTTATCTGCATTAGGAAATGTAATTTCGGCACTAGTCGATGGAAAGACTTAACATATTCCTTATAGAGATTCAAAGTTGACAAGGTTATTGCAAGATTCCTTAGGAGGAAATACTAAGACAATAATGATAACTGCAATCAGTCCATCTGACTTTAATTATGATGAAACAATGTCCAGTTTGAGGTATGCATCCAGAGCAAAGATGATCAAGAACTAACCAAAAGTAAATGAAGATCCAAAAGATGCCTTATTAAAAGAGTAGGCTGAAGAAATTAAAAAGCTTAAAGAATTATTATCAAAATAGGCAGCTGGATAACCTATAAATTTAGAAGCCTTCCAATCATTTAGTAAGCCAGGAAACAATAACAATGCAGAGATTTCTAGATTAAAGGAAGAGAATGATAGACTAATGAAGGAGAAGTAAGGACTCCCACAGTCAGTAAATTCAGAGGAAAAATTAAAGGAGTTGCATGAATTTAAAGAAAAAAAATAATCTACTTTAATAAGAGAAGGATAAGTTTGAATAAGAGATGAGAGAAAAAGAGTATTAGGCTGAATAAGAGAGATAGGCTAGGCAGAGATTAGAATAATTACTTAAGGAGAAAGAATAGATGATGGTTTAAGGTGGAAAGGGAAGTGAAGATGATAAAAAGAAATACAAGAAAATTAGATAAACTATTGAATAACAAAAAAAAGAGCACGAAGCTTTGATACAACAATAAGAGCAACAATAATAAGAGATGCTAGAGATTGAAACTAAATATCAAAATGTCCAAGAGGAAGTTGAGAAACTTAGGAAACTTATTAAATATTTAAGAAAAAAGCTAGAAGAAGCTACAATTGAATAAAAGGATTTAAAAAAAGAAGTGGAATATGAAAAAGAAGATTTGTTAGAAACAATAAGAAATCAGTAAAAGGAGATCAAACTCTATGCAGGTTTAGTGAAAATGATGTTTAGTTAGAAGGAACTAGAGACTCTGTAAGCTGCAAGTGAATGGGATGAGGATGCTCAAGATTATAAAATTCCACCCTTTAATTTTAAAGCTAAAAAAGTAAACTTTCCATCGCTTCCTTATAAACAAGGTATTTTTATAATTAAGTTAAGCCATGGATTTGATAGAGTTAGAGAAATCAGAGAGAATGCTCGAAGTGAATTCTCGATAACAATAATTTGAATATGAATAGGATAATCGATAAAGGCTCATTTCTCCTAGGGTGCCTCAGAAAGGTAGTTATTTACATTAATATAATTAGAACTTTAACAAAAACAAAATGGAGTTAGTTAACCCTAATTGGAAAAGGGATATTTGGTGGCTGAGAAAATTAAATAGAATTATTAAATGCTCGAATAGCAAGAAGGGAAACTACGCTACCAGAGTGATTTAGTAAACTAACAATTTTTAGAGAAGAAACTAAATCAAAAAATTATTCTTAGTCCTATTGATAATAGGGATAACTCTGTCCCAACTTAACATAGTTAATATAATTATAATGGGTATTCGAATAATAGCAATTTATCCCAAGCCACTCCGAATAAGATTAATAAAAGTACATTGTTTGATTTAAATAGATATTAATTTGTAACCACTTGAATAAAAGGCCTTATTAATGTAGAATGATGATTAGTATAAAAGAAGATAACACTAAAAAGTGTAATAAATTTGAATATTATTGACTTTTTTTAATTTTAATGTTCATATGTTTTACTATACTATTGTTTCTTATTGATACTTTTAAACATACTCAATCTATTAGTTATTACGATTATTGAATCTTTTCTTCTTATCATATTTATATTTCCTATTTTATTACATCTCAAATTTATCCTCTAAATTAACAGCCTGTTAAGTCTCTTTCTTATTGTATTTTTAATCAGTTTAATCTTAATATTTGTTTTGATATTATTAATATGGATATTGTTAGTATTATTCTTATTAATAGAATCCACTATTTGATTACCAATATTAAGGTTATTGATAATACCCTTTAAAATTAGATCAATAATACCATAATTGTAATATCCATATTGTGGTTTACGTTGTTGTCTTCTCTCATATGATGCAGCAGAAAATGAATAGGGGATTGTTTCAAACACTGCTCTTAATTCTTGAAACTTCTTTTCAAAATTTGGATTGGAATCTCTTTATTATCTACTTTGATTCTAAATACTTGTTTAACTTACTTCTAATTTATCTAATTAGGAAAAGTCTTCGAATAAACTTTTCTTGGATTCCTCGTTCTTAAAAATCTCAATCATTTTGATTCCGTTCTCTAAAGTTAACTCAGTGCAATCGATCAAATCATAAACTGATTTAACTGTTTCGTCACTTCCTTCAAATTTTTGGATTTGTTTGATATTCTCAAATAATTTAAAAGGAAGATCCTTTACATATAACTACGTTAAGCAAAGCTGCTTACCCATTTTATTTAGAATAAGCCAAACCATTTGTTTTCAATTAACCAATATTTAAAATGCGATTTAGAATCAAATCCTGTAGTCAATTTGGCCATCCCACTAAAGCAAAGACTGTTTATTTCAGTAAAAAAGAGATAAACATCTCCCTATGAAAATGCTTCATTCAAACGTTCATTCTTTCGAGAAGAGCTGATACATAAAATTGAAAACTACCTGGTCCATATACCATATTTCATGGCTCTATGCACATTATCTTCACCTTAAGTACGAATGATGAAATATTTGCTTTTATCCAAATTCTTAAATTCATGTTCAAAATTTATATGTTCCAATGGTGGAAAGGTCTTCCTTATCATATCCAAATTATCATATGAAGGGAGTGCCTAAAATTAAGGCTGATTCATAAATAAATAAATAAAAGATTTAAAATAAAATAATTTATGAGACATTAAATTTTTATCATTTCTTTCATCAAAAAATTATAAACCATAATATGCATCTACAGATTCTCCCTCAATTAAGATTTCATAAATTATTTTTAATACAATATTCATTCATTGTGAATTTCAATATAAAATTAGCCATTAAATAAATTTTATTCTCTTTTTTTTTATAAATTATCATCTGATCTTCTCTATTAGAATTCAAAATAACCAATAAACTAAATTCTAAAATCAATCCCCCTCCAAAGTTCTCCATTTAAGTAGAAATAAATATTATGCATCTCCTATAAATTTTTGAATACTTTCTAGGATATACAAATTATATATTTTAGTTAACAAAGAAGCCTTTCATTATTGAAATTCTATTATTTCTCTCAAAATAATTTGAAAGACTACCAATTTAAATGAAATTACAATCACAATTCTTTATAAAATAGAATTCTGTATGAATTCACCTGCCAACTGTATAATTGAAATATTTAATAAAAACAATATTATATGAAAAATCAAAGGAAATCATAAGTACCTTAATATCTTTAGTTTATAGAGTCCTTTTAGAACTACTCAATCAATAATGAGAGATAGTCCCAATACTTAACTGGATGAATCAAGCATTTCGACCAACAGAATTCCATAAAATAGAGAATCCACTAGAGCAAGGATGAAAATTAATTAATCTCATAACAATGCCTTAGCTTAAGGTGGATAGATTAGAAAATAGATTGCAAATGAAAGAGCATCAGCAAACGGTGGGAATCCTAACGAATTTAATCCAAAGAAATTTGTGACTAAAGATCTGAAAGTAATTGTTGCAATCTATCACAGGAATCTGATATTATAGATATCAAGCAAGTTTTTGATTATTATGATTCTGAATAGGCTGGCATATTATCACCAAATGATTTAGAGTAATTACTCTCAAGTTGTGGATATCATCCAACTAAAGAGACTCTATATGGTATTAAGATTGTATCATTACCTTTTTAGAGATTTTTTCAGAATTAGATGAAGACGAATTAGGAGGAATTACCTTTGAATATTTTCTTGGTATTTTGAATCAGGATAAATCTAAATCAGAAAGAAAGGATACAATTAGGAGGGTCTATAGGAAATATGATAAAAATAATAAAGGTTTTATAACCCTTCAAGATTTAAGATAGGTCGTCTATAAAGATTTGAAGGAGGAAATTGATGAAGAGGTCTTAGCAGAAGTAATTCTATCTAATAAAAGAAGATCTTTAAAAAAACTGACTCTAATCAGGATGGAAAGATGACATTTGAGGATTTCTATAATGTAATGACCAAAAAGGTGTATTATTGATATTATTATACAGTGCATATTTAATTATAATGTCTTGCTTTATAAAGTTAACGCAAAGGGCCAAAAGAACACTCTCAATTGGTATTTTTATTATAATAAGAAGCAGATTTTCAAAATTAAGGGTATTTACCAAAATTATAACTGGCTAAATCAAGAGCACTCACATGCAACAACAAAAACTATATTGCAAAAAACTCCAAAAGTATTTCTTCCAAAATCAATTCAATAACACCAAGGGTAATCTCAAGACCTGTCATTAACGATTTCCATTTTAGAAAATTGTAAAATTGTAGGAAAGCAACACCATTGAAGGAATTAAAAATGATAGAAAAAAGTACAAATAAGAAAACCGTACAAAAAAAACCCTCACTTGATTTCAGTCTCTCTGGATTTTAAATGATGGATATCGAGAGGGAAGATTGTTTCCTTTAATCATATGTTAGAAAATAATGATTTTTATACTAATAATATAATTTTACATTTAAATTGTTAAACAAAAAAATAATTTATCTTTATCTCTTAAATTAAATATCTTTATTAACCTATTTTATTATTTCTAAATTTCTTAGTTGAGTTAATAATGCTGAGCATAGTTAAACTTACAGTTAAAAGACAATAAATAGACTTAATTACTATTCTTATAAATTCTATATCTTATCAAATATTCAACAACAATTTGATATGAATTATAAGAATTTTAAATTAAACAATTAAAAGTTGATTTTAGAGAGTTAGATTGCTTAATATTTAAAATTCTTATTGATATCTCATTTCATTAAAAAATAATTATTATACAGAATCTATCAATATTATTTTCAATATAAATATTTTTAACCCCAAATATTTCATTAGACTAAGAACTTTTGTTAATTTTAATCATATAATCTAAAGATTTTGAGAATCTTTGTCGAATTAAAAAAAATATATGTTATGAAATATTAAAAAAAACTGGAAATTATTTATTAATAATTGTACTTAAAATTTAATCAAATATTATCAATAAGATCAGCCAACACATATCGTTTTGGTTTAAATTAAAAATTCTCCTCTATCAGTTTAATGTGTACTTAGGTACTAAAAGAGACCCTTTTAGGAGAGAGTTTCTAAATAATATCTGGACTTTCCTAGATATAAGGAGATTTAATAGGTTTTAGGCTTGAAAATTTAATTCTTTTAGTAAAAATTGTTTTCTATTCTTCATTTTCATGAACTTCAATTGGATCATTATTAGAATGGTCTTTACTTTTTGAATTAATCAATTTCAATATTCCTTTAGGCTAGCTTTTATCTAAACTAGTTAATTTTTGTTCTTTAAATCTACAATTAAGATTAGAATCTCGATCAGTGTGACTAACTAAGGAGAATTTTTTTTCATTCAAGATAGAATGATAATTCGATCGTTTAGTTAAGGTTTCAGTATTAATTTCATTCAGACTGTGCTTTATTTAGAACTACTTTTCTTAGATCCTAGTAGTTAATTGAGGTATATTTGTTAGGGACTTGAAATTAGGATTAAGATGTATTTCTGGTTTGACAACTCTTCTGGATGCAGGTCGAAGGGATTTTGATACATTTTAGCCGCTCTACTAGTTTCTGTTTTACTACATAAAATATTTATAATCAGATTTCGAAAATTGAACATTTAATTTAATAAATAAGTTGTAATTGACAAATATAAAAATAAATTGAAGCAAGATTCAACTATCTAACTCTTTTTGGAGTTCCTGAAATAGATAAGATGAATTAATACTTATAATTGCTATTCCAATTATTAAATTTCTTCAAGCATCAATTATTCATTCTTTTGAGCTTATTTCTTTAAATTAATATTCTACATAAAATATAAAAATTACATCCTCTTTCAAATAATCTACATATTCAAAAGCAATCTTGAATTCCTTTTGTGATGTCAAATTTTCTTGAATATCAAAACGTTGTATTTCAATTTATTTTTACTCATTTTTATGAGAAGTATTGAAATTGGATTCTTCTGATAAAAATGTTTTTTTGACTTAATTCATAGTCATAAGCAACTCATTATTAAGAATTTCCAATTATTCAATATCGCTCATGATGGCTTCCTATTATTTACTATTATATTTAATTAACCTTCTCATTTCTTAACACTCTCAATCTAATTTCAAAGTCATGATACATAGCAGTTGGAAAGGTAACGCTGATTTACCATTATCTAAGTTTATTCCTAAGTATTTCTCGTTCATTATGATAATTTCTTCTGAAGATTTGTTCTATGCGATATGTGATCTCAAGTTTTTAGGATTTTGCATTTTTTGCTTTTATCTTTTGACTCAATCTTGCTGCTATGACACTCTTTAATAAAATCACATTTTACTAAATTTTTCACAGTTCCATCCTAAACTTCTGTGTCTTAAGCCTATTTCAATCCTTTTATTTAATAAAATATTGGATAGAGTTGCTTATTGACTAGATATTTCATTATTTCACAAATGCCTCTGTGAGATTTTTTATCTATTTGTTTCAACTATCTTTAAAGCACTTTTTAATGCTCCAATTTAGAGTGCACAGATTATCTTGCTAATTCAATGTCAAATTATTGTAATTACTCTTTAGGTACTGTATGATTAGCTTCTTGATCTATTATCCTAATGGATGATATGAACAAAGTTCTCAAAGCATTTATTTTACTATCTTATGTAATTTAATGATGTTACTGATGGTATTAGTGAAGATTAATATAAAATAATGCTGATTAGAGTTAAAATGTTAATAATGCTTTAACTTTTAAAATGCAATTATTTTTTCTAAGTTTTAAGGTTTCTTTAAATATTAGTAAGTGCCTTACTCAGAATCAAATAAACTCAATCGTAATTGCTATAAACCTAGATTAGTGATTAATTTATGTATAATTTATTTTCGAGGTGCTGTTTTTAATCTATTGAAACTCCACGCTTTTAATGACTCCTACTTTGTTAGTATTTTATTGAGAGTGAATTTATAAAAGCTTATCATATTCGATTTTTGTTGTTTCAATAGCTTATTGAATTTAGATTCAAATGTTAACTGCATCCATTTCCTAAAGATTTAATGGGTGATTGGCTATTAGCCTTACTATATTTAATTTCTTAACTCTTTTTTCAAATGTGATACTACATCCACCTTTGCCAGACGGAAAAAGGCCAAGCACTTCAATCGCTGATTGAATAGCGAGATTGCATGCTGAAACCTTAATAGTCCTTCCTGAATGACTCTTTACTACGCCTTAATTTCCTCCTACTATTTGTTTTGAACATAAATGCTAACTTTACAAATTAAATACACCTTAAATATTTAAACATCGTAGCTGCTTAGTTTTTAATTGCATTATTGACTATGTGAATTAATCTCTTAAAACGATCATTGCAAATCTTGAGATCACGATAATGCTAAATTTAAAAATTTCCACATACTGAATTATAACTTCTGTTATTATAAGTTGAATAAGGAGACTTTTTTATTCGCCCATACGATCGTGTTTCCTGGGGCTCCTACCTTTAAGCAAATCCTAATCCTTTAACAAAGTATTAATTTTACATATATTTTATTTTTTTAAAAGAAAAGTTGTTAATAAATAAAATTATTCATAATCAATATCCACAATTTTATATAGTAATTCAAATCCTTAACCTTGCATTAAAATTATCAATCTTATGCATATAGTTTGTATGGACAATTAGTAAATTAAAGAAAATTAAAAACATTAAATATTTGAATTCAATTATTATGATAATGAGTAAAAAGCTAAGAGGAAAAGGGGAGTATCCATTTAAATAAAAACATATATTTTCATAGAAATCTTAATTAATAAATATTATTACATTCTCTTTTTCTATTAGAAATATTTCTTAATTTTTGGTACAATTATTCTACTTTAAAGAAATAAATAAAATTAATTCCCCTGAATCTTGGTTTAAATTCAATAATATTAGGTGAATATGAGAAATGGTTATAAGATATACTTAATTAGACATTTTAAATATATTTATGAATAACTCAAAGTATGCAATTGGAAAATAATAAAGATCTATAACTATACTTGGTTGCTTTTACATTAAAGTAGTCCGGTAATTTCTATACTTATTTTGCTGCTTCTTGCTCGTCTTTATAATCAATATTCAAATCTCGATCATTGATTATGGTTTTTATGGTTTACCATGAAAATCTGACATATTTTGGATATACAAAAAATGGTATGTTTGTATTTTCCAAATATTTTTTGGTTTTTGGATCACCAGGATACCCAGATCCAATAGAATCATTAGGTAAAATCTCTTATTGTATTAATGTTATTCGATAATCCCTTGTAACTTTAGCGCAGATTGAGGCTGCACTTACATTTGCATATTTTGAGTCAGCCTTCTCTTCAACCACAATATTTGCCTCTTTTCCTATTTCTTGAAGTTTTCCTTATAAGAAGTTTTTGTATGTTTGCTTCGGTCCAACTGTGTCAACGAAAATTTCTTTATTTAACATGATAAATTACCTGTTATTTTATAACCTTTTTAAATTGCGCTTTAAATGAGTTCTGCAGCTGTATTATGAGATATATCATTTAAATTAATTGTTAAGTGGGCTAATTAATTTTTTGATAAATATTCCGCGGTTAATTCTCGCGTTTCAAATGTCAACACCTTACCCTTCAATTAAGTCAACACATCAAATAGCTTATCACGCGCTGCTTCGTTAATTTACTTAGAGTCTACAAATTTACAAGTTTCTGAAATTAATTTGTGATATTTAGTGGGCCAATAGCATGAAGCATATAACATTGGTCCCAAAACCGGTCCTCTGCCAGCTTCATCAATTCCAAGTTACCAATCAAAATTTTGCTTTAATTCTTCAAAAGACTCAGAAACATTAGATAGTACCTATTTCACTATTTCCTCAGTATCAATTTATTTATTTTTCATATATTAATTATTTATCAATCCAAACTCAATGAAAGGAATATATTATATATTGCATATTCAAAGATTTGATATAATAATAAGTTGTTAAATTACATAATTTCACTTAGTTTAAGTTAAACTTGTTAATGTAAAAAAGAAATTTCATATAAATACAAGGATGGTCAAAAGAATTAATTAATTTTGTTAATATAAATAATAGAGAACTCAAATCAGGAAAATTAATTGAGACATTCAATTATTGTGCATAAAGTTTTCCCCTTAATTTAACCATTATATTTCAACTAGAATTAAAATCAAAATCACTTAGAGTATAAAAAAGAAGTAATTCAATCTCAAAACTTGTTCATCTTGTGTCCTAATGTAAATATGATCTTTAAATTCATTATTTTTTAGAAAGATGGAATTTTTATATTAATATTAGTGAAGAATGATAAATAAAAGGAGCTTCTGACCATAGAATTTAATTGATTTTATCATTCATTATGATCATACATATAGGGATTATATTAAGATTATTTTAAAGGTTTTATTTGAAAATTTATTTAAAGGGATGAATTCTGGTTAAATTGAGCAGATCACTATGTAATTTGGGACGTTTTTGATTATCTCAAGAGAATGTTAAAATTAACTTTGGCATGACATTTAAAGACAATCGTTGTGATGTTATCAATAGAATTATCTAAATAGGACATTTTCATATAATTCATATTTAATAAGTATTATTATTATTATAAACCCATATTTGGGCATAATGATTAAATTTTAATATAAATTACTATTGGTATGAATTAAAAGGAGCGTGTTTTTGTAGACAGAAACAATGAATACGCTGAAAATGAATACTTTGTGGGTCAGAAGGAATCGAGATTTCACTCTAATGATTAATAAATAAATATTTAAGTAGAATCGTAATTAAGTACTCTAAGTTATATTTTTGATTGGATAACAAATGTAAGAGTTTCAATTTATTAAATTAGGATCAATTATAGGAGCTAAGATCCCAAATCCTTCATTAGATAAAGTTATTAGATCAGAATGTAAAAACTAAATATATCACTACTGCATTATCGTATATTTTGATAAAGAATACCAGTGGTATCAATGAGACCGAGTGCATACAGCAATTACTTGTAAGAATTTAGATTAATATTTATTAGAATAAGTTTAATGTGAAATCAAGAAAATTATTGAAGTATTTGAGAATGATAAAAGATGATAGTTAAAGAGATATGAATAAATTATTACAACAGGTTTAATACTATCAAGAGAAAGTGAGGAAGTATTTTTTTGGATAAGGACAATCTTTATTGCTTAAATTGAAGAAACCTAAATAAACTTATACTCAATTGATAGAAGAAATTCTTGAGACTAACAAATAAGTGATGATAAGGATCTTCTCGTTACAATTAGTGAAATAGTTTTGTGTAAGTAAGCGACCAAGTCGACTAGTGATTAACTTGGGTTACTTTGCCTTTTAAATCCAATCAATATATATTTTGCCTGGAGAATATGCTAGAATATTTAGAATATCAATTAATTCTTTACGTCATTTTTCAAAAGGATTAATTAACTTACTATATCAATTTGTACTAAGAATAACAGGCTAAGGAATTGAAGCCTAATTCAAGTCTTGCGAGAGAAGTCCATAAATTTCACAAACGATTATGAATGAAGGAGAATTTAAAAAATCACCTGAAGATACAAGTGTGTCTGAACCAAACATAGAAATAGAAGGATTTAAGTTACTCATTATTAGAAAACTAATTAATGAATTCAGCACATATTAATTTTTATTTGCTGACACTGAAGAAGAAGATGAAATATTTAATGAATGTTAAGAAATTTTGAACTTTTCAACAAATGATAATGTGTGATTTTATTATTTTTGTATATAATAATAGCTCCTATATATTGAAATACATAATATAGACTATATATAAATTTGTTATATGAATACATAATTTTGTTAAAGTATATGTAACTTTTGTCAGAGAATACAGAGGATCAAGCTTAAGAATGTCGTTTTATGAGGATTCATTTTACTCAAAAACTCCTTATACCCTTAGTATCTCTATTCTAAATTTAATTTTAGCCAATAAAATTATTGATATATATATTATATTTGAATTAATCTATACAAGATTAATGAGAATCACGAATACTTTAGAAGTGATTTGCAAGATCTATTCCTCAATTTAAGAATGATAAATACAATTATGAGATATTACTTTTTAATTCTTAATCCAAAATATTACAAACCAACATATGTAACTATTTAAAAAGAAGGAGTTGAAATTTTGCGAGACTTATAAATTTTTTCTAAAGTTATTATCTTGGATACTATCTTATTAAATTAATCAACATTCAAATAATCATCCAAACTTTCCTATGCATACTAACCTGTTTTAGCAATGTCAAACACTTTCTAAAATCATTAGTTAAATTTGCCATTTCTTTGTCTACATAATTAAGTGAATGCAATATATTACACTTTTAAAAAGCAATCGACTAGTGCTACAGCATTGTCCTTACAAAACTCTGCTTCTACATACTTTCCTAGTGGAGTCAATCTGCATAAATTGAAACTCTTTCTCTATTCCTTGCAAACATGATTTCCTTTTATTGCATAAATCATTAGCTATAGACTATTTTAGATAGAAATGGACATTTAACCTTTCATCATTTGTATAAGTATACAAATCCTTAGGAATAGCTTGAGAGGCCATCTTTGAAATATATTTAATTATATTAAAAGATTAAAAGTTAAAAATTTATAGCAGACTATATAAAAACTTGAACTATTTTGTTTGATATTCATTCTTGTTAGTTCAAAAAGAACTACAATGCTATCTGGAATATTATTCCCCTATATGAATAGGAAAAAAGGATTAAACTACTTGTAACCCGTTATAGAATTTATTGATAATGACAATTGTTTTCACGAATTAATTTTTATTTAAAGGAATTCAAAATAGTTATTATCACTATGTTATTCTTCATAAGGAATAGAGTTATAAATTTATGATTGATTATTGAATTACATAATTGAGTTGAGTTTATTCTTTAACAATCAATACGTTACCTATGTTGAGACGAATCAAATTTATTATCCTTCTAATATATCCTCCAGAATTAATCAAAATGACAATATAAAAATTTGATTTCTTATAAGGCAATCAGAAGAGAAGAAAAAGTGTAACGATATAATAAAAAGTGTTTTTATCAGGTATAGTAAAATTAAATGTTTTTCTAAAATATGGATAATTTATCAAAATAGAAATTTCTCCATCGAGAATTAGAAATTTACTTATAGCTCTTTTATTCTTTCAAGTATTTTTGGATTAAGCGACAAAATGATATCAAGACTTACAACAACAATTCTGAGGATATAAATAAATTTAATTTATGAATTCTCTATGAATTATTTAATATATGCATAATAAAAAATATAGATTTTTTTATGGAAAGTTATCAAATAATGGTTCAATAAATTTCGAATCAATATACAATTATTTTTGTTATTTGTTTTAGAATATATAATCACAATTTTCATTGAATAATAGATTCATTAATTAAAATAAAGAAATATGTGTTTGCCTTATGGATGTTTGAAATGCTTCGTATAATTGGAGGGCTGGTTAACTTTCGTGATTGGAATTTTAGCAATTGTGGCTGCTATAATAGTGACAGTAATATAAAAGAGCTTCGATGATGCGATAAAAGATCTTGGGATAGTATGATTTATTAACATAAATTAGACGGATATAAACACTAGCGCTATAATTGTGCCTTTTTGGATATTTGCAGCAGTTGTGATATTCTTTGCAATTAGTGGTTTATGTGGAGCAAAACATAGGAGTAAATGCTTGTTGGCAATCTTTAATTTGGGAAACATTTGTTTGTTTTTAGCTTTCTTAAGTCTTTCCATAGTAGCCTATGTGATTGGGTCCTTTTTTGATGTCTCAAATTGTTCCAACAGTTCAAATGAATTATAGATTGAGAATTTATACAAAATGTCAGAATCAACTCTTTGCAAATCATCATGCGAATGCTATTATTCAGAAAAAATGACTAAAGAAGTGGAGTTAGCTGTAAAAAGTTACTCAGCAACTGATAAAACAAAGGTATATATAAAAAAGAATCTCATTTTAGCCAACAAGAGTATAAGATTGTCCTGGATTCGATTCGAAATATAAAACATAAGCAGCAGCTCTATAATTGATGGAAGAGAAATGGTAATGTTCTGGGTGGTGTACACCATACCCTATTTAATAATTCAATGATGTTAATTCAAATGTGAAAAACCATAAGTATGATGTTATTTTACTATTTTATAGCTATCCTTGTTACAAAGGAATGATTGAATATTTTTAAAATATGTTCACCACAACAGGCTCTATACTATTCTCTTTAGCAGCACTTTTTGGAGTAATGGTCATCTTAACTTGTTGTCTTTGCTGTCATCCACATAATAGCAACAAAGGGTCAGATTATTATACAAGATTAGCATACACAGCAGACTCATGAGTTTATTCATTTTTATGGATATTATTATATAAATTCATAAAATCAATTGGTTTTATTTTTGAATCGATTAAATATTATAAATTCACAAGGGAAGATTATAAATATAAAAAATTTATTAACTTTAATTATTCTTAATAAGCCACACATATAAAAATCTATGAAAATTAATATGTAATTTATCTAATTTAACTAAAATTAATACAAATTACTATCTTATCAATAAATTATATAATCTACTTGATAAGAAACTGCAATTATTGTAAATATTGATATGCAAAGTATAACAGATTTTGTTAATATTCTTTTGGGATGATTTTATCATAAGTTGAATTTTCTAAGATTTTAATAAAGTTCAGCATTCAAATCGACAAAATAATTTATTTTGAATGATCAAATAATATGGCAATTAATTAATTATTTTAATAAATAATAAACATATTAATTTCATTATTTTAAGATATTATTACGTAATTAACTAATGTGCTTGCCAATTGGAACTTTGAAATGTGTCGTTTCCTTAGAAGCTTGGATTGTTATGATTTGTGGAATAGCGGCCTTTATATTCACAATGCTCTTGCAAATACACTATAGCTTAATGCTTCAAGCGAACGAAGGAGAATCTGTATATAGATAATTTCATTTTATTATAGTGGATGCTTTTTGGATAGGGAATGCTAACTGCTTTTTGGTTGTTTTCATCGTATATAATAATAAATGGAGTATGTGGAATTGTTGGTGGTTAACAAAAAAAACCATGTTTATTGTTGGTGTTTAATGTTGGGAATGTCATAATTATAATTGCATTCGTTATACTAATGGCTATAGGCTTTGTTTTGGCAGATGAGGCCAATAAACTTATAGACAAAGATTACTAATAAAATGAGAATACTTGTCTTGAACATAGATTTTAATTAAATACCTTAGATTGGGAAAGCAAAGACCTTCTATGCTCTATAGAATGCCCGTGTTATTACACAAAATAGAATGGAGATTTGCCCAAAAATAAAACTAAATGGGGAGATGATAAAGATCCCTCAAAAGTATTGAATATAAATATAAAAATAGCCTACTAAGGTATAAGATTGTGAACTGTATTAAAAAACCCAAAATACCACAGTCAAATATTTTTCAAATTATCTAGGAGAAATCTAAAAAGAAACTGGTTGTACAGGATGGTGTGTGCCATATTAAATGCAAATATTCTATGATATCAATGTAAAGGTTGAAAATGACTAGTAAAGAATATATTTAAATTAGAATGTATTGTCAATATATTGTAATTTCAAAATTAACACAGATGGGAAGAGTGATGGGAGGCATAGCAGCTGGAGTAACTGCAGTAATGGTTGTTTTAATTACTCTCACATGTTGTCTATGTTTCCATCCAGCGAATAAAGGTTAGGATTTCTACACAAAGATGGCACCCTATAAATCATGATGAAATCCTCTATCTGTAATGATTTGAGTGATATAACATTTATCAACTCAAATTTGATATTTTTTAATTCAAAATACTGAATACTACATATGATTTAATAAAATTAATTTCTTTTTTTTGATTTTATATCCCTTTACATATTATTATAGTCTAAATTGATCTTGTATAAATTAGTTAATTTTTAACTTAAAATTAACATGTAAAAATTGAAAATAGCTATTAGTAGAGTCAAGTAAAGCTATTCTTGGGTTTTGTGTTTTACTGAATTTATCTAGATCGTTTGTTTTTAGAAATTTATTAAATGCAATAAAAATAATTATAAGTTACAAAACTATTTTTCTACAAGACATACATATTCTTATTTCAGACTGATATCATGAAGTAATGAACACAGTGCTTACTCAAATTTATAAATAATATACTTGAAAGCTTAGCATTGAGTTTCACTTATAAATTATTAAATGATAGTAAACAATACATAAAGGTACTTGTAAGTTATGATTGTTAATCTCTATTCTTTCTGAAAGGAGAAACTTGATAACAATATATGGAGAATTATAAAAGGCTAATGAATTCATAGAGTCAACAAAGGAATAAATTTATTCGATCAAAAAACTTAATAAAGAACTTTTTTAGATTTCCTTGATATTTCTACCCCCTTATGATTCTAAAGAAATAGTTTTCAATAAAATGTTTTCTAACTTATATACAACTATAAAATTAAGGAAAATTGTATAATAAGATGATGAAGAAATTAATTATGAGAATTAGTTTTAAATATATATGCATTTTAGTTGAATGTATAATTTAAATGAAAAATTAATTATTTTTAATATATTTAATTTGTAGAAATTAGGAAATTAGGAACAAAACATTTTGAAGGGTTTTGATAAAATAGTTAATTATACAAAAATGTTGAATAAACTCAATTAATATTATCTTTTATAAATATATATATTCATAAATGTAATTATTATCATAGAATCAAAATAATTCTGGTTTAAAACCGTCATTTTCATTGATGCTTTGATTGATTTCATCAACAAAGATTGAGCCATTCCCCTAATCTATAAAATCAGCAACAACAAAGTTAGGCATCTTTCTACAATGGTGATAATATTGTAAGAACCGTTTTTTCACGTGCTAATAAAAATTATATTTAGTCCGATATTGGTAATCAGGTCTTAATTATATGATGAAATCAGTACTTAAAAGAATTTTCAGGATTTAAATGAATTTCTAAAAAAGGTGACCATATAGATCCATCATTCTTGTTTGTTACTCCTCGCTATACCTTTCCAGTTTTAACATCCTCTAATGGATCGGTTTCCCAATCTACTTGAGCACTTACTCTATATGAATAATATGTATAATTTATTAAGTCTTCCATCACCTATTCCCTTGGTTCAATTGTAATCAATATATTCTTTTTATTTTCCCTACACCAACCTAATGTTGGTGGATTATTTTCTTAAAATGTTATGGCTCTTTCTTCTCCTTTAAGTTCAACTAACAAACTATGCAGCATTTTAGTAATTAAACTTCTATCCCATCCCTAAGTCCCATTAGTTTGAGTATTGCAGAATAATTTACTCTCAAGTTTCACAATCATGACTTCGTTTGGATATTTGATGGCTAAATCAAATAATTCTTTAAGACGATCTACAGCTTTTTCTGGATTACTCAAAGCTCTCTAAACAAGACTAAGCTTGCAATTAGTACCCCCGTCCCCCTCATGTGCAACAACAATCTAATTAATTAAATAACAAAACTTAAGGTATGCCATCTTAGACATGCCAATGCAATGGAATTTTAAAATGCCTTGCACCATAAGTTTCATATTATTCGGTTAAAGTGACGTTTTGTTAAGCATATATCCATCCGTAACACTTGGACATAGGGGCATTGTGAGCACCAAGATAGACAATCTAATTTAATTTTAAGCTAGGCTTGAGATGTCCATTTCCACCTGGCATACTTGCTTACATTAATATAATAATAAATAATTTTATTTGTATTTATCACTTTTTTTTTTTCTTAGAAATTGGAGCAGGAGATCTACCTGTATTTTAACTTTATGGTCTTAGATTGGTTGTGCTGGAGGAGGTTTGTTTTTTCTTTTTTTTTTTGGAAGGTGGTGCTGTTGATTTAGGTGTTTATGCAATAATTTGGAGTTGTTCATCAAAATGCTTCTTCAGTTTTTCGATGGCCTCATTAGATTAGATAGTGAGCTTTTCTTAGAATTGCTTTTGTTCTTGCAATAATCTATCTTCCACAGATTCTTAGAGTTCTTGTTCCAATTATTCAATTGCTGATTATGTTAGTTATTTTTATTCTTGTAATTCAGATTCAAGTTGTTTTTCTTTTTCCTTCATTTCTTCAATATCTAAGAGCAATTCACTGATAATTTTTTTCTAATTTAATATTTGTAATCAATTACACTTTCTTGATTTTCGATTTTTAATGCTTAGATCACTTCCTATGATTCCAAGAGATTATTTTTATATTTTATAGCCTTGATTCGATATTTCGATTAGGTATTGACCTCTTCTTCATCCGAAGTTTGCTAATAATCTAACAATGCTTTGGCATGTTTTTCTAGATATATTCCGTTATCCTTGAAAGGTTTTTTTCTCATTAATAATTTTATTTAAAAGTGAAATATATGAAATACCCTTGATTTAATACTGACTCTTAATTTATAAATCATGATGAGATATAGTTCTTTGACTCATATATTATGATATATTGTTATTTTATAACATGAAGACATCATTAGTTGGTTTATCCTTTCTCATTCTATAACACAATATGCAACGGAAAAATCAAATCAAATCTCCAACACCAAATAGCACCCAAATCCAGGTCGGAATAGACTGTAATTATATAAATCTCATCATATAATTTGGTATGGATTAAATTAATCAAAAAATTAATGTTTCCAGGAAAATCATGAATGAAATTAATGGAATACTTGAGGGGATTATGAATAAGTGAATGATCAATTGAAAATTATTTTAATCAAAGAAATATACAAGAGCATCCTTATATTATGATAATATTTTGAATTTTTAATAGAGATATATAAATGGTAATTATCAATTAAGTCATACATCATTTTAACCCTAGTTTATAACCCTAATGTTATAATTTAGATCATTGTAAAAAAGTATTAATTATCAATTTTGCTTAGATATGTAACATATCAACTTGTTAAATATACATTCTCAACTAATTTTCTATACAAAACTACATTATATTTATTTGTTAATTTTATGATCAACAACAATAATTTTGAAGTATGTGAAATAATAAATAAATTGCATTAAAGGAATTGTTAGATTACATAGAGTTGAATCAGATAGATTGCATTTTTTTATGAAGATTTATTAAATCTAAACAATTAATATAATTGCTATGTCATTATAAATAAATTATCATTAATTTATTAATCTGATCTTTGTGTTTTCATCATTTTTAGGATCACCTTTAGGGTAAAAGCAATAAATGCATGTGAAACCAAACATCAAAACAAAAAAAAATGCAATCAGGAAAGATGTGTATTAAAGAATCTATCTAAATTTATTCCAATAATCCTCTATAGTTGTTTTGCAAGCATTACTAATTAATATAATATATAATTGTTTACGATGAAGATATCTTGGAATTCACATTATTAAATAATTGAATCGGATATTTTGTACACCAACCAGAGCACTCATAAAATGTTTCACTTTATTTTAATTACGACATAATTAGTTGGTTAGAATCAAAAGATTAAGGGCATTATTAAAAATTTACTGCCTAAGATATAGAAGTTTAAATTTACCATAGTGGTATCTGTTGGCGAAAAATTTATTACATACTTAGATTAATCTTTTGAAACTGTACCTGAAAAATAGCATTCACAATTATCCTGACAAAGACTTAGACTTGCTTTTTTATATAAGGCTTCTCTTTCCAAATCATAGGAGAGTGAACAACCTGAAAGTTTAGTGAAATCAGAAATTTTTGAAAAAAAAGAAACTATCAGATAAACCAATCCAAAAACCCAAAATAAGCAACAATTAAATGTATTAAAACATCCCAATAGACACTTGTTGTTATTTAGAATTCCACCTATCCCAAAAAGTGTGGAAATACCACCAACGATTCCCATATACATTTGCACATTAAAAAAGAAGAGTGTGGAGGATGCGGCCTAAATATAGCAAAAAATGATTCATACGGTCGAAGAATAGTCTCCTGTATCAGCATCATTTACTTTACCTTTGTTAATGTAAACTAGAATTTCAATGATTAGACACATCGTAAGAATCAAACCTGACCCACTAAGAACAATGATCTTAAGAGTTTTGAATGGTATGCATCTTCCACATATCAATCCGTCCGAACCAATCTAAAGTTCCATAATTTTATTTAAAATAAAATAAAAAAATGATAGAAATCAATAATTTATATTCGAAATCAAATCAGTATTAATCAGAATTTCGGGATATAATAATTAGATCTACGACAAACATTTTCTCATTTTGACTTTTATAATTACTCCCATAATTGCTTGTGATTTAAGATATTAGCATTTTTAAACTCGATTTTATATTAATTCTATTCTTTTCCCATTTTAACTTTGCTGTAAGTGGTATAGATATTATAAAATAATTCAAAATTGGATATGATTATCCAAATAAAAAGTGCCAAAATCAATACATATTAATATTAATAGAAATTCATAGTATTAGTAATAAATTTCTATTAAAATTAAAATATATTTTATGAAAAAATAAAAGTAATTTTAAAGAGTGTTAATTTAAACCACAAATTAATTAACAATTTAATACATTCTTGAAAGGAGAGAAAAAGTCTAAATATCAACATAACCAGAGGTTGTACAAATTATCCAGTTGTGAATCGACAGCTTATGATTGTCAAATTCAGAGTTACTTTAAACTCTGTTTAATAAATTTCTTTATTTATTACTTAAATAAATACTACTTATATGACTTATATCTTAATATTTTTGATCCAAATAAATTATTTATTTCAATTCTCATTTTTTTTAATTTGTAGATTGAAGTTGCTAATTTCTTGGTTTATGAGAAGTCTTAATGTAAACCTATAATATAACATTTAGAATTGATGTTCTGAATAATTATTGTCTCATTCCTTTTAATCTAATGATTATGATATTGTAACAGTTATTTTATCTGATAGAATGATTGATTTTCAACCTACTCCTAATTATTTTTACTATTAAAATTGATTTTTTTTGCTCTCATCTTCTTATAAATGTCTAGTTTTTAAACTAAAATTTTAAGTCAATATTAGTATAAATAATAAATATAAATTCTTATTAAATTATGAATAATTTATTAAATTTATTAGAATGTGGGTGATTTATTCTTATTCTTAAAATCTGTTTAATGGAAATGTTGAATTTACATTTCTAAACTCATGATATATTTTGAGAGCTTCAGTTCGATAGACTATTTCTTTTTTAATCTTAACTTATTTTATATGATTAAGATAATTAATTATTATACTTTTGACTTTAGCAAAAATCATAAAAATGAGCTTCTTTTTGGATTTGTTAAGCTATCGATTGGATTTATTGTATGAACCCTTTCTCAAGTTAGAGAATCACAAATTAAGGGAAGATTTTAAAATCTTGTTGAATCAGTCAGTAAATCTTATGTTAATGTCACTTTAAAGATTAGAACGGCCTAATAATTGAATAATTTGTAAATCCAACCATTAGAGAGGTTTATATCTAGTTATGCTTAATAATGAAGTTTGCATAAAGAATTAGAGTTTGTCCAACACCTTATGCAAAGGTTTTGGCTTATATACAATTTTTCATAATGAATTAGGAAAAAGATACTTTGGGAGTGATATCTTAATTAGATTACTTATATTATACATACTAACTTTCAAAGATCTTTTGGGATACCTTTTGAATAGCCAATTGAAAGACTATCGTAATTTATAAACATATGGAGGTCAATATAAAATAAATAATGAATTCAATAATAATAATAGTCATTGAGAAGGGTCTTAATAAAATTGCAGGATTCCAATAAACAAAATAGCAAATATTTTATAATAAATTAATTATGAGAGGGCTTGCTTTTTATTAAAAAATCTGATAGCGTATTGTTTTTGAGAATTAAACATATGAATAACTTGAGTATGAAAAACATGTCAATATTTTAATTTAAAATATTTCGTGAACGGAAGTTATTTCAAATTAGTCTGCCATTCATAAGAAAGTAATTGCATTGGCAATAAAATAAATAGCGAAATAATTATGGAAAGATGAACCAAATCAATTGTAGATTACTTCATAAGTGATAACATATTCTAAATCTTCTTTGTAGATGCCCCCTTATGTTAAGCAATTTGCTATTCCTTACTTGAATATTGAAATAGAAAGCTTTTATCTGAACGATATAGTCTTTTCAAAAATTCTCACTAAGAGTTAGATAATTATTGATATGATTGAGTGCAGTTGAATGAAGAATAGTAATGCAGCAAGGACCGTCTTATTCCATATTGAATAAAATCGGAATCTATTAGTGTTGAGAATGATGTTAAGAGTGACGTTATTAATAATATCATATTAAAAATATTAAATAATAAATTTGATTTTTAAGATTAGATTAATTAATTAGAGCAATTAATAAATTTAAAGACGAATAGAGTTATTCGCATTATAAAAGAAAATTACATAAGGCTTACATGCAAATAAATAAGAATGAGAAGTTGTATCATAATTATTATAATGTTATTTGTTTATGATGTGGAAAAATGTGATACTCAATTTGAATGCGCTTCATTTTTATTGTGACTTCAACTATTCAAATGTTTAAACAGGAATTAGAATAAACTTTTGATTTCCAATTTGAAATTAGTTGTAACCCAATTTAACACTGTTTTTGCAATCATCGCATTTACATAATTCAGAACATTTCACTCCTGCATTATAACATTCACAATATTTTTTTTAGCAATTACTCTTACGACAATTACATTTAATCTAAGCAGGAGTATTCTTCTCAACCATTTGTTCTAGCACTTTGTTTCTTTATTCAGGGTGTTTATCATCATTGTGACAATTTTAACATGAACACTCACTCCCACAATACTCTCCAAAAGCAAGACAATCACAATACATCTTCAGACATTAGCTTTTTTTGCAAGTGCATTATCTCTATTTCTATTGGAATGGTTTTTTAATTGTTGTTTCAGTTATAACTCTTTTTTGCTATCTAGTAGGAGTCTGGAACTAGTCATCGTTAAATATAGTGTCACAATGATTTGGTTTCATTTATTAAATTTATTTATCAAAATGCAAATACACAGAATCCAATAATGATTCAACCCATTACACCCCTTCCTCTAGATGCTTCTCGCAAGAACATATATAACATAATGATTTAACTCTATATAATAAATCAACCCTTGGATACAAAACTATTATTTTTAACATAAAATCTCCAAGGCTTATCTTTCCATTCTTCTGCATAATCTATGTTGATTCTAGCTGAAACCCCAATCTCGTATTATTTAGTATTGTCTATCAGATACATCCCACTTTTCTGATCGCACAAATTTAATCCATTATGAGACTTATCAAGAAGCAAGCACCCTCCACATTTCCCAGGACCATTAGATAGGTCCTATAACTTCGGAGACTTGGTTTTCCGTATCTCTTTGATGATGTCAAAACTCAAAGGTTGAACTGCTCGAATCAACACAGCCTCTGGATCATCCTTGGTTGCTGCTGTGATATTCAAGCAATAATTATTTCCATAAATCGAATAAACATATAAATGACCACCATCCTACCAAAAGTACTTTGTTCTGTCTGTTTTTTTGTTGTTATAAGCATGACAAGCCTTGTCCTCAGGGGCTAATAATTAATGATCAATAAATCATATATACCTTTATAAGCTTCTGTCTCAACTATTATTGCTCTGACTTCTCCTTGTGGCAATTATCTAACAATTATCTTCCCTATTAATTTCTATGCTAATTCAACTACGTCGACTTTATAGAAATCTGCAGTCAGCATTGTGTCAACCATTTAGTACTCTTCAGCTGGATTGGCCTCATTCTTTTTTATTTTTTTTGCAACTGGCTTTTCAACTTATTCCAAATCAGCTTTCTGCTTAGTTTCATTTTATTTAGCCTTTTTCATTTTTATTAATATCATAAAATTTATCTATATATATGCTTCTAATATTAGCGTATCTTTATTTACTTCATACTTTCTTGTAATACAATTTAGAATTTAACTAAATAAGAGTAAAATATCCAATCTTATCATAAAGATTCTTATTAAGAACTCTTTAATCTTGAGTGTATTAAATAATATTATAAAAGAAATTATTGTAAAATTGATGTTATTAATAATATAATAACAGATACTTTACACAACTTTAACTGGATAACTAATTTGTAAATCAAATAAACTTAGATAATAATATTGAAAAAGGATTTCAATTTAACCAAATTGGCATATATCATAGAAAAAAGTACATATCTTCAATTTTTAATTATTAATTATTAATACATTATATTGTAGATATAGTAATAATAAAGATGACATCCAACATAGGAATCAATTTCAAGATTATAAGAACTAATGGAATTATCATTTAATCATAATGATGAAATTTTCTTAAAATCGATCATTTTTTAAGATAGACTATGAAATTAAGAATCTACAAGCTATAAACTCTAAATTTAAGCATACATATCTAGTATTATACATTAGAAAATCATTAAAAACCTTTAGAAAAAGAATTAATTTATAATTATTAAAAGACCAAAATGTAGATATCCCTGCCTCATTAAATTCACATCACTTGTATTTGTTTTTATTATCAAGATCGCAGCTTTGAATCCTTAGAGTGACAGCTAATAAATAATAAGTAATTAAATATGTAATAGTAGCTGGTTATTTGTGTTAATCTGTATTGAAATTAAGAGATAGAAAAAATTTACAATAGGCAATTGAATTGGTTGGAACTAGTAATGCAATCCCAATCTGTGTTTTGATAGCTGAAATTATCACGAAAAATTCTCCAGGATTATCATAGATTACATACTTTCAAAAGTGAATAATTGATACTATTATTAGAGATAATAAAACACAGGATTAAGAGTCTTCTTAGATTGGAATTAGAATCAGACTAACCTATTAGCCTACAGAAGCTGAAATGAGAGAGCCTGGTTATTAATTGAGAGAAGTAGATCCACTCAAATAGCATAATTGGGATGACTTGTATAAATTTATATTGACGTACTCTAAAGATTTGTCAATGATTAAAAATCATGGTAAAGGTATGTCAAATATTTCTAGAGATTTTAAGATTGTAATCAGAAGAGAAATAGTTAGATTAAAGTTCATCTTAATCTTTATGCCATTAATCAGAGAGTCATATTACTATGAATAATTATGATTCTAATTCATTTGTTTATACATCCGACCGTGGAATAGATGATGCAAATAGATCTAAACTTAAAACTAGAGGATAAAAAAGATTATGATTTTATTATATAATTTTATCTATAACAACAAATATACTTAAAAATAAAATCTGGACCAACGTATATCCAGAATTTTATAAGAACAGACAAATGATTTGATCAATTAAATTTTATGATAACTACAATTTTTATCAACAAATTTGAGATTAAATTCCTGGTTAATTCTATGTTAGTAATGAATTTTAAAGGCTTGCATTCTATATCTCACAGATATGGCATTTGAGAGTAATATATCACAAGTTGAGTTATTTATAATATTTGGTTGTTCTTCTTGTCATTAAATATAGATATAAATTGCAGATAAAGAATTATTTCTATACTTTCTATTTAACCATTTATTTAGATTATAAAAATTGATAGAAACATTAAGCAAACAGAGGATAATATTATCCTCATAATTATAGAATTTATGAAGTGATGACTTTAGTAATTTATATTATTTATACTCATCCAAACTAAATTTATGATCTGCCACCTGGAGGATTTCTAACTTTGACTGATGTTTTAACATCCGATTATTATTATTATTAAACAGGAGGTTGATTGACTTGTTTTCTTCCTAAAGGTTTAGGTGCTTGCTATTAAGGAGTATAATCTCCCTTTGGTTGTTAAATATGGTATGTACAAATGAGATCGATGAATTTCCTCCAGGTGCTTAGTGTAATCTAACTGATGGCTTATCTAATCCATATCCTTAAATGTTATTCATTTTTCAAAAATTTAACTGCTATTTATATTATTAATATTTAATGATCAATAATTTTAGTATTAAAATAGATTTTTAATAAATATCTTATTAATTAATTTAGAGAATTGTGAATTTAATTTAAACCGTCAGTTTTGAACATACCAAAAAGCGATTTTCCTAAATTAATTATTTATTTGAAAGATCTAATAATTATTTAATCGAATTAAATTAGTTAGTAAAATCGTAAATATTGTTATAAATCAGAACCAAAACTAAAATTCAATCATCGAACAAAATTGTGAGGAATTGATGTTTTGATACAATATTCAAATATTAAGTCATAAGCATACAATCTTATTCTTATTTTCATGTATATTAAATTAATAGTGAATCAAAAAGTAAGAATTAAAAAATTATTACAATTTCTTCAATAATAATTTAAGTTAAAATCGACATATAGGTATTATCTTTTAAATGAGAATATTTGAGAGCTACAAAAATTGTAAATCCAAAAAAGACTACATTATTTTAGAGGATTTTTAAAAGAAATACATAATCATTTATGGATTAGCAAATTAAATTAAGAATTTAAAATTAACACTTATTAAATAATTTAAATGATCTCTTAAGAGTTTAACAATTCTATTATTTCTACAAAAATATAGATCATTTAACATAATTTGAATTAGATAAATATATTGGAATTATGAATTAGTTTTATCATGGAAATTCTAAAATACTTACGATTAATAGTTTTGAAAAACAACTAAGAAATTCAGCGTGATTCTTGATAGCATAAGATGTAGATTAAAATTAAGTGATAGGTAAGTGGATTGCAATTTACATTTCTTTTTGTAATTAAACAATATTTTGTTCATTTTTGTAGTTTAAAATATAAAATAAATATGTTAATTAAAATGAATTTGAAAATGGACAAGATTTTATAGAGGTGAACTTTAGGGTCAGATGAAGGTAGTGAGTGGTTGTGGGGATATTGAAAGGAGATTGAGTAATTAATTTAAATGATTGTTATACATTTGATTTTATAAAATAAATTATTATGAACCCGGAAGAATCGAATATTTTGGTAGCTATTCGTTGTAGGCCTCTTAATCAGAAGGAAGTTTAAAACGAAGATTTAGACATAGTTAGAGTGGAGGACAATTTGATTGTATTAATGATTGTGGATAACTAATTTAGATCATTTTGGACCCAATACAAATGGAATATGAAGCAGAGAATAAGAAAATGCTGGAAGTGTATCATAGGAGCAAAGAACAGCGATATGCCTTCGATAAAGTGTTTAGGGAGGAGAGCTAAGATGATGTATTTGATGTTGATTGGTATAGTTTAGATCTTTGAATAAACATGCAAATAGCTGATTAAGCCTGTGATGAACGGTTACAATGCGACTGTATTTGCCTATGGTCCCACTGGAACAGGGAAGACTTACACGATGTTGGGAAACCAAGAAACCATGGGAATAAGTGTGCTCACAATAAGGGACATGTTTGAATTCATAAAACGTGATCTGGATAACGAATACATAGTGATGATAAGTTATGTGGAGATCTACAACGAAGCTATTCGTGATCTACTAATTTAGTAATCCTAATATTTGGAGTTACGAGACGATCCAATTAAGGGAGTCACAATAGCAGGAGTTACTGAGTATAAAGCAATAAGTGTTCAGTAGGTTATGAACTTATTGCTCTAAGGAAATAGGAGGAGGACAACCGAAGCCACGAATGCGAATCTTACTTCTTCTAGGTCTCATGCAGTATTTTAAATAAATGTGACTCAAAGGAGCAAAGTGAAAAATACGGAGATGGAGTCAATGAATGGGAAGTTGAGTCTAATAGATTTGGCAGGGAGTGAAAGAGGAACTGTGACAGAGAACAGAGGACTTCGATTAAGAGAAGGAGCAAAAATCAATAGGTCATTGTTGGCACTTGCAAATTGTATCAATGCATTGGGAGATAAGAGCAAGAAAGGATTCTTTGTGCCTTATCGAGATAGTAAATTGACAAGGCTGTTGAAGGATTCCTTGGGTGGCAATTGCAGAACAGTTATGATTGCAAATATATCGCCAGCTTCATCTCAATTTGAAGAGACCATCAACACTTTGAAATATGCCAATAGAGCCAAAAATATAAAGACAAAACAATTACCCAATAAGAAATTGGTTGCTATGCATATAGCTGAATACAAGAACATAATTAGTGATTTGAGATCAGAAATTGAATCATTAAAACTAAGATTGAATGAAAAATAATTTGATGACAATGAAGATGAATCTATTACTATCAACAATTACATTAACAAGAATGGTAAGCCAGAATAAGAAGAGTTGAAATCTATTTAGGAAGAAATCTTTGAGAACTTTTAGGAAAGAATTTAATTAAGAAGAGCCCTTATGGAAATTGAGGAACAGAATGCTATGAATTTCTTGGAAATCAAAAAAAGGTAAAGTGAAATCTTGCAATGGAAGAAGTCAGGTGAGAAGAATATGCCTGAAGATATTAGACAGGGATTGAAGAGCATATAGACCTTAAAAACGAGTACGGAGAAGAATATGATCAAAAAGGAATTGATGGGGTTATAGTTAGTTGAAAATATTAATAATGCTAAGAAGATTAGAGAGTCGATTCCTAAAAGAATTCAGAGTAAGGAGAAGAGAGATTATTTGGAATTGGAAATTAAAAATCATGTTTTGGAATTATAAAATGTTGAATTGGAAATCAATCTGTAAATTCAAGAAAAGACTATTAATGATTTAAAAATGATTGTTGAAAATTAAAAGAAACTAATTAATGATACTCAAGATGAAGAAAAATACTTTGAAGAAACAGACATCGAATATATTGATGATTTATTGGAAGATCCAGAATTTTAACAGGAATAAGATGACGATGATCTGGAGGATTTGGGTGAATTAGATTAGTTTAAAGAATTCATCAAAAAAGAAGAATTGAAATAAAATTCACCCAATCAATTCAAACAAAGAGACAAGAGTGCCCCAAGAAAACAGTTTAACAAATAAGAGTTGTCCATTCAAGAAGACTACGATGAAATTAGTTAATCATAATCCAAACCTAAAGTTCGAGATCAATCTCGTAATAAAAGGGATGGAGGTGGATCTGCTATTTAAAATAAAGTACTGCCCCCAAAAGATAAATAATTGCAATTTCAATAACAAATCAAACCTGCAAACATTAAACCACCAAAAGATATATCAGTTCTAAATTTACAAGGGGTACTCATTATTAATCTAATTCTAGCGAAATCTATCAATAGGCAATTCATAGCAAAGAGGTAATTCTAAGGCCAAAAAATGATTATTAATATTTTATAATATCAATGCTTACAAGATCAAAGTACTTATCAATTGTTCAAAATAATTTAATCAATAAAATATTATTCTAAAAATAAATGAACACCAAAATTTTATTTAAATTTGTTTCCTTATTAAAAACGATAATTGCTAAAGGAAAAACGATAATCGGAATTTAATATTACTGATTAATCAAACGAATCCAAAATTTTAATTTTATGATTCTTGTTTATACTTTATCAATAGTTGCTATGGTGGCAGCCGAATCCACAACTGAAGAACATGTATCAAGAAACTACTGTTAACTTCCAGATCCCATATTTGCTGATGGAATATAGGTTGCTAACTTTGGTACTGATGGTTGGAACTATGCAAATGCAGAAAATTGGGAATGTAATTGTTGAAATATATCATATTTTAGAACTTGTTGTGACTTGTGGTGGAAGCTACCAATCGCCAATTGATATTGTGACTACAGGAGCTAGTCAATAACCAGTTTAGCCGAAAATCTACTATAAAAATAAAGCTTCGGATGTTGGATACGAAGAAGTAAATAGTAATAAAATTAAATTAAATTTAGCACCGTACACCAAAGAATACGAAGGAGAATATTCATCAATATAAGTCTTAGATGCTTCAGGATTGGTGGTCAGATATTACGCCAAGTAATTTCATATTCATACTCCATCAGAACACACTATTGATGGAAAGCATTTTGACTTAGAAATTCATTTTGTTCATTAAGTCAATGTTTTTAAATATATACTTAGGCTATTCAAGATGAGGAGTAAGACTGTAATAAAGTGAAGAATAGTTTGACAGTCTTCGGTCTTATGTTCACAGAATCAGCCTCTGCAACTGATTACGAAGCATTCAAGCCTTGGTTTGATTAAAATATGACTGGAGAAGTGGAATCCTTTGACTTGAAGTAAGATTTTAGTTATGAAGTTTGTTAGTGACTTCTTCTAAAAAATGACTGATTCTACCTATTATCATTATGATGGTAGTTTGACAACTCTTCCATGTTCTTAGATTGTTAATTGGATTGTATTCTATCAACCATTACCAATCTCAACTTTCTAATTGAATCAATTCAGAGCAACATTTGCTGATTCAACTGCCTTTCCACTCAAGTAGAACAACCGTCCAATATAACACTTGAATGGAAGGAAGATTTTAAAAGGAGTAATTGATTATGATCACTATATTTAAGACTGCACTCACAGCTGGAGTGACAGAAATCCCAGATGTGTAATCATCTCAGGCATGTCTATTACTTTTATCAATTGTGATGGGTGCTTTTATATTATGATAACACATTAATAATTTAAATTAAAAATGATTCTAGCTTCAATTCTTCTGACATTACTTTTAGATTCAATTAAGTCATAAAGAACCTACTGCTAATTGCCTGATCCTATTTTCAATGACGGAGTTAAAAATTCGACCTGGGGAGATTCAGATCCTTCGGATTGGAATTACTTAAACACCAATGACTGGAAAAGTAGTTTATTTGTTTTAGGAAACGTAGGCAAAGTCGTGACTTGTGGTGCCAGCTTTTAATCTCCCATAAACATAATAACATCTACAGCAACCAAGGAATCTACATTCCCAGCCATTAATTACATACTGAAGTCTTCAACCAAAAATTACTTCGAAGCTCAGAGTACTTCTCTTAAACTATTTATCCAGGGGATTACACCAAAGAATTGGAAGGAGAGTACGATTTTATCACTGCATTCGATATATCTAATTCTCAATACAAATATTATGCTAGGCAGTTCCATATTCATACTCCATCCGAACATCAAGTCGATGGAAAAAACTTTGACTTAGAAGTTCACTTCGTGCATCAAGTAAGCTTTCAGTTTATCAGGCTGTCGAAGATGGAGAACAGAGTTGCAATGACATCAGAAACAAATTGACTGTCTTTGGATTACTCTTCTAATAGTCTAACACTGCTTCAGATTACGAGGTGTTCAAGCCATGGTTTGATGACACCGTCAATAGAGTTTCATCCTTTGATATGAAGTAATCCTTGTCTCTCCTACATTCAATAGCGACTTCTTCCAAAGAATGACTGACAAAACCTATTATCATTACACCGGCAGTCTCACCACTATGTATGTTCTTAGAAACTAACCATAGACCTTGCTCTTAAACTGTAAATTGGTATGTTTTTACTTCCCCCTTGCCCATCTCTAAATCGCAATTCAAACAATTCAAAGACTTCCTCGACAGTGATGACTACTTCCCCGATTAATCCAACAATCGTCCCGTTCAAAATCTTAATGGACGCACCCTCTACAAAGGAGTAAACATCAATCATCAATTTCTAGACTGCTTCTTTCAATGGAGTGACCTCTCTTCCTGTTATAGAAGCAAGTTGGGGTTCCATTATCTAGATGGCTATGCTATTAATAATCTATTTGATAATATGATATATATCAATATTCATAGATTATCAATGGTTTTAATTTTATCGACTATTTCTAAAATCCCAATTTCTAATGTGTCTATTAAAAAATTTAATCAATAATAAACATGCTCAATTATTATATAATAAAAATTTAAGCTAGCTATTATGCAGTAATAATCTACTTTCAGAGAATCTGACGGCGAAACTACATTATATACCGGAGAATAAATCTTAAAAAAAACAAAAACCTTTCAACAAAGGGCTACTGAAATATTAAGTGTCAATGCTTACAAAATACTATACACGATAAACAAAGAAATTCCTAAATTTTTAAATCCTTATCCTTAGTTTATTCGTGTTTAAGTCTCCAGCTCGTTAAGCAAAGCTCAATAATTTTGTCCACAGTTATCATGTGATATTGAAGAATGGGGAAAAAATAGTTTGAAATATTTTTTTATACAATAGGATTTACAATCGGAAAATTGGAGAGGGAATCAGTTCATTTGTACGATGACGTTTATGCCTGGGTTATGTTCAATTGCGTAGAGTACCCAAATGAGGAGATGATGAGCCCCATACACCTTCTGGTTGACTATTCAAACCTCTTTTAAATACATAGTCTGGAAGAACATTGTACCCAGATTATCCATTAAATGTAATTTAATCCGAAGACCAATATTCTTTCACTTAAAACTAAGGAATTACTTGCCAAGTCAACCTTCTAGAATAAACAAAAGATTAAAATCTAAGATGTCTCTTAAATGAGGGGCTATCCTACTTGCATTCAAATAACTCAAAATTGTGAGAATCAAATACTTGAAGACGGCAACATCTTTAAAGTCGGCTATTAGCCACTGTTAACAGTTAGAAAAATTTATCACAAATTTCAAAATTTCTTTGAGAGATATTCCACTAAAAACAATATTGATGACATGATTTTTGAGGCCCTGCAATCTCTTTAGTCCAAAGTTCAGTTTTCAGGAATTGATGAAAGTGTATCAGAACTATTTATGCTTGTTCAAGACAGAAGAATAAACAAGGCTGAATATTTGTAAAGACTAGAAGATGAAAATCTGATGATGCAATCCGTAAGTTATAAATGTTATATTTTAGAAATTATACACAGCTTTGGAAAAGAATAGTATTTTATTGTAAACATAAAGGGATGAAAATCCCATTGAACATTTCTTGTTGGTAGCAGATCAAAAGAATTCATTCCTTTTTGGAAGAATGGAATTCTCAGATATCACCTTTCAGTCTACTTAAGTATCAAGAAATCATGGAACCATAGAGTTTATACCGACTAATAATAAATGGATTATAATGGATGGCTAGTAAACTTTTGAATAGTCGTGGAAAAACAGTACCTTTGGAGTGTGGTTGCAGATGAACCCAAAGACCTTCTACTATATTGATACAGAACAAATGGTAAAGGTGGGATCAACAAGTATTAAAATGATACCAAACAATGTGAAAACAAATAATCATGATATTGATAATGTAATCCAACTGAATGAATTCAACAATTTAAGAGAGAGGGAGATTGAAGATTTTACGAACACATTACTTGACCTATGAACCATTATGAGTGATTATTATATATTATTGAATTAGGTTTATGAAGAAGTCTTGTACCATATAATAAAAATACAATAATATGGTATTCATAATCATATTTTAAAAATGTCATCAGGATTTATATCTCTGTAATATGTTATATTGAATTTGGTGTCAAGTTCCATTATTGTTTGCAAGCTTTAAGCAATACCAATGCCGGGCTGGTTTTTGCATTTACTTATAAATTCTTTTATTTTGTCTTACTCCTTCAAATATTATATCACTTAATAACATTTTTCAATCGGTATTTTTCTGGTTTGAGATTGTTAAAGCTACTTGAATACAACTTCATATTATTTCCAATTTTTCGATTCTATTTTTTCTTTAAGTAACGTATTTAAGTCTTGTTTGTATGTTATTATGGCTTAATAATAATCTTTGGTTAACCTATTTTACAACCCCACATACTCCTTGTTTTCTTGAGATTTCACCATAAAATAATTTAACAGTTCAATTAGTTATGGCACATCATTGTCAAGTAGAATTGTTGGTTCAAAATCGCTTATAAGGCAGTTCAACATTGCAAATCCATAATTAATTTAGTACAACCCAATTAATGATATAAACTATTAGAAAATCAAATGATCAATTTGCTTGACTATTAATGTATTTTTCATAAAGTCAGCGACGTGCTTACAAAGCAAGAATTTACGATAAAAAATATCAGTTAATAAATTTAATCTTTTAAGTTTTTCTGCCTCATTCTTCACAATTTATTATTTATAATCCTCTTCCTACACACTTCTATCAAGGCGTACAAAGATAGAATCCTTTAGTATTCGATTAGGAGTTTTCATAACGCTATGAGCCCATAGATCTTCAAATTAGATTCGTTTATCCTAATCAAAAATTAGCATCTTTTCAATTAAATCCATAATCATTTAACCACCTTTTAAGTCAGCACATTTATATGGACTTTTACTAATTGATTCATGAAACTCATGTAATTGTTACTAGTTATCATAATGACTTGGAAAACTGAACTTATAAGCTATTTGATGAAAAACAATCCCGTAGGAGTATATATCACACTTGGAAGAAAAATTCTATCCTTTCAAAATTTCAGGTGCACAATATGAACGAGTGCCAACTCTTGTTAGATTAGCTTTAGCGTAGATATCGTCTAAATATTTAGTAAAACCGAAATCAGCTATCTAATTAAATATAATAATAGAGTTCTACTTTATAAATTTTCCTCTCTGTTGGTTACCCTTTGTTAAGTATTTTAACTAGAATATTTTAGGGCTTGATGTCTCTATGTATAATGTGGTTATCAATTAAAACTTAGGCACCTTTAAGTATTTATTTCATCATATCTTCCATTTCGATTATCGAGGGCCAGGTATTCATATAATGAAATTATCTGAGCAACTTGTCCAAATCCAAATCGCATAATTCCATTACAATACACAATCTACTATCTTCATCAATAATATCAATCATTTTCACCAAATTCTCACAATTTGCATCTTTTAAACTTTAGAATGTTTTTATTTCTGCTTCCAGCTATCTCTTCTAACTTAATTCTTTTTTTTGGTCGGTATTTATGGATTTTTTGATTATTTTCATGCAAAATAACTCATCCTTATTACCTATTCTATAACATTTGTGAGCAGTTCCATAGGCGCCTGCACCCAATGCTTCATTTTAATTGACCATAAAGTCTTTAATCTGTCTCATATATTAATAGAAAATAAATATTAAAAATAAATAAATATATAAGTATTTAATCTTGCGTATTTATTACATTGAAAGAAAAATACTATTTTAATATAATTGCGAATACTCTTTTCATATGAATAGATTTTCTAAATTGAAACATATTATTGTAAATATTAGAGGATAATCCTTTCATTTTTTACCATTTCTCAAACATATAAATCATAATAATTTATGAAATTATCAATCAGACTTTCAGTAATTAGATAATCAATAAGTTCTGGATATATCTACCCACTACTCAAACTTAGTCTTACTAATATCTTCAATATTTTAAATTTCTAATTATTCATCTAAAAAGATTTACATAGTTATTTTTAAATATTTGTCTTCTTATTTAGATTACTACAATTCTCTAAAGAATCACATTAATTTTCTTATAATTATGAAAATAGCGTTAAGACATCAAAATAAACGTGGTGTTATAAATGCTACTTACACATATGATGATGAAATTCTATTTTATAGCATTATGTTATTTTCTTTTGGATGTTGAATATTTTGTTCCTTAATGGAATGCACATAATCTATAGTCTATCCAAGTGATATCTATAAGTTGATGTAACTTGCTTATATGTATTGTTTTTCTTTGGTACTCAACTAAAATTAAGATATAGCATGGGTGTTTAGAGCTGATGAGATGGGCAATATTTTATATGTATATCAATTATAATAATAAAAATTCGAATATTTTTAATCATGAGGATTATTTTGAATATGGGGTGAAGGATTGTAACGGAATGAGTTTGTATGTTGTTTACTGGTATGTTAATCTAGGAATTCAATATATTGGTTGTTTTTTTTTAAGTTTTTATACTGTATTATGAAAATACTTTATTCACATTTCAAAAGTATTTGTGAGCTCAATCGAATAGTTCAACTTCTTGGATGAAGGCATCAGAATCAAAAGATGAGATAAGATTTTCAAGTTCCTTAAATTTTTCATCTCTTGTCATTGGATTATTGGGCCTTTCATAATATAAGGATTCAAATGTTTAAAGTCTATTAGTATTGGTGATGATTACATACAAAACTTTCCGCGGACTTTACGAATGAGTTTATGCAAATGATTGCTTTGAAGTGCTATCCCAAAGAATGTTAGAATTTGAACCTTGTTTACTAGAACGAGACGCACTAAACTATAGTCTTAAAGGTATTGGTGTATAAATGATGGAAGAGCCGTGGGATTCAGGTGTTTGCTAATTAGACATATTATATTTAATTTTAATGAATACGAATGAGATTAATATTAGATACCTCTAATACATTTATTAGGCTATCGATTCAAATAATCCACCCTTAGCTCACCTTGAACTGAACTCCCTCTCTGGAGACTGTCAAAATGTTTTATTAAGATTATTTAAATGATTTATATTAAGGGTTTAATTGGAGATATATTTGAAACTTTGATTGACATCAAAAATCTATTTAATTTTACTTAAATGATCCAAATTACACATCGAATTGCCATCCACAAAAAGGCAATTGACTTCTGAATTACCCCCATTTCCCTCTCTAACTAAATTGATAGAGAAACTCGGAATTGCTAATATTGAATCAAGATTTCTAAAAGGAGTGCTCGAACTACTATACTTGATAACCAAAAGTAAAATTAAAAATAAAATCAAATTATTCTAATTTGGGAAACAAAGTTGACCGAATTGATTTTTAAATTAATTAATGGGAGCTTGTCAACATTTATGCAGATAATAACTTGTAATCTAATAGGAAGTCACAATCCAATAGAAACGGTAGAAAAAGAAACAATCTGATAAGGATTCAAAGACTAATCCTAATTGTTCTCAAAAAGGAGTTGTCGAAGAAAACATAGGAGAAGAATTTCGGTCTCCCCAAGAAATTTAGTATTTTCACAAAAGAATCAAGAATCTCAATATAGCAGGTGATCGGAAAAACAGATTTATGCATGATATAGAAGAAGAAATAAAGTATATAATTAGGAAGAAGTATCGTATTAATCGTAACTTAGCATCGAAGAAGAGCGGGAAAATTTGAAACGCGTTCAATAAATATATGAACAAGAACTTGAACTTTAAAGGAAAGAACAACTCAAAAAATAAAAAGAATAATTAGACAACCAATTTTCTTTTTAAAATTCCATCATTCAATCAAGTGATAACCCAAGTGAACATCCAAGTGCCAATCCCTTCTAACCAAAATCAACATCCTAATTTGCCCCGAGGAGAAATGATAATGATACAGTTTCTCAAAAATCTTAAATCTCTAAAACTCCTACTCCTCCTTACAAAGACAAATCAATTTCCTCTTAATCTGATGCCATGAGAAAAAGTGCTTTAATCAAAATCATTCAAGCAAGAGAAGAATTAGCCAGTAATAATGCAAGTAAAGGCTCTTCCAAAAAGAAATTGATGCTTGATGCCTATGAAAAAATGTTTAGCGAATTCTTTTCCCAAGACGAACGAGGATCAAGCAGCTAAAGCAAAAGCCATAAAAGCATTTTAAAGAATAGATCTTTAACTCATCGCAGTTTCTCAGGTAGTAAATCCATTAAATCCACTCATACTGCTGTTAAAAAATCAAAACGAGTTAGATTTTCAAAGGAGACCAATTTCAGTTATGAAAGAAAATCAACAGAAAAGAAAAAGAAAAGCTTTTGGGATTGGTGAATATTTTCGATATTAACAACCACAACCTACATCTACATGATTAAAGATCTATATTATACTTACATTTGCAAACCGTTATAATATTCACAATATAAATGCTCTCCAAATGATGTCACTTTGGCATCTAGTATTCCAAGAAGTGATTATTTAAATAACAAATAATTATCATTTAATTCTTTTGAAAAAGTGTTGATGATATTAGGAGCCGTAACAAAAATTTAGAAAGTAAATTCAACTGTTTTGGGATAAGATAGGCTGATTAGGTAACAACAATTAATTATAAAGAACTTACACATTTTTGTTACGGGTCTTCAAGTTGCATTTACTCAAGAAAATCAAAAGTGGAGAATGTCTCAGAATGTGGCAAAACAAATTAGATGCACTCTGTTCTCACTTCTCCATGACCAGAAGAGTATTTAATTTCATTAAATGTAGATTTTGAGATGGTCAAGAACAGCATTCTATCTTCAGATCCTATTTAATAAATTGAGTCAATAAAAGAGCAATCATCACTTCAAACATTATAGGAATCTCTATGACATCCTGTTCTACACCTATCTTATAATTACAGACATAAGTGACATTATTTATTGGATGTGCTTAATAGGGCTATGTAATAACACGAATTTGCAAAAATTTACTAAGGAATACGCACCTAGGTTTTATTTAATAGAATGCATTGGGTGGTTTATATCCTTATGTTTTGAATATCGAGTTAATCAAATAGATATTGCTAAGGCTAATTTACAAAAGGACCCAAAGAATAAAATTAAAATAAGATAAATTCAAATTCTCCAAAACTTAGTCAAATATGCCTTGGACATCCCAGTTTCCTATTCTTATGTAAATACTTAGGCTATCACACAAGAAAAGGCTGTGATTTTAGGGACATTTTCAAGCATTATCAGTCTATATCAAACATTTAAGTTGCATTCTGGAGGTTTCTAATGACTTTTGCAGGGTTTTAATGATTAAAATATGTATATGTTGTTTATTTTAGAAGCATGATAATTGTATTGAATAATATTTAATAATTAATGAATTAAATTGAAACCAACAATTTAACTTTGAATTCAGAGTGTCTTTAACAGGTTTTGAGTTACATTCCAATCAATCAAAGACTAAAAATGAGAGAATTAAATTCCTTTTTTGATTAAGCTGTTTGCTCAACATCATTCCCTTTGCTTATGGATTTAATATAGGATGAAAATTTTAAGCCAAAAGAAGTGAACAACCTGTTATCCAAGTTCGTCAAACCATAATAAATTATATTTCCAAACCTTAATGCACGAGAGTTGTAGGAGCTTGTGATTCCAAAGGATCTGTCAGATTTAATAAAATTTGATTCCTATTTAATCACTGATGTTCCATTGGAATACATTGAAAAAGTAGTGTCTGCTTCTCCAAAATTAAGATCATTTGGATTCAAAAACAGAAATACTGATGATTTGAGCAATGTCACAAAGTCTTTATCAAAGTTATCTATTTGCGAACTCAAGGTTGGAGAATGGAATTAATAAGTCAAGGAAATCGTTATTTAATAAGCAGATCACTTAAAAAGCATTACAATAGAAAAAGGAAATAATGAAGTACTCAGAGATTTGATTGCGTTGTATAACTCAATGAAACATTCGAGCGTTAGTAATAAAGAAGAATAATTAAAATCGGAGTAAAGTGAGTTTTCGAATAAATTAAATCTTTAAGAGATAAGGTTTACATAATTTGAAAGTTCATCCAATTAACATGAGAGTCTAGAGGTATTTGAAGAATTACTTAATTAATACCACTTGAAGTCTTTCCATTTTGGGATAATCCAAGGAGAATATCAAGAATAATGTATATTGTTATAAGAGAACTTTTTCCAACATCTCAAAGGTATTATTTCATTGTTAAAGAATAGAAATTCAAGAATTGCAATTTGGGTTTAAGGATTAAAGTTTATTGATGAAGGTGAAGCTAAAGAAAATAGAAAGCTTAAGATTATCAGGGTTTAAATTCGTAAAGGAGAATTTCTAATGGTTAATGAAACAGGCTAAACTATTTAATAGGATTGATTTGAGGGAATGTACCTTTGATTTTGCATTTACAGATAGCATAGAGAAGGTGGAATAACATGATACTATGGTGGATGTTTATGTAAGGAAGATTATCATATTGTAAGGTTAATACGAAAATTAATGAATAGTGGTCTTGCCAATTAGCGTAGTTTTAATATAATAATATTTGGATTAACTTCATCTTTCCATTTTTGTACGATTTAGAAGAAGAATTAGAACTTTAGACACAAAATAAATGATGATTGTTAATTTATATTAGAAAAATAAGGATAAATTTATAAAGCTAAATAGCTATCAAATTTAAATAACTTATTAAATTATTTAATAAAATATATGGATCTAAAAATGGCTTATTATTGTTTATAAATGAAAATTATAACCATAATATAGATAAGGTATATAAATAATTGACGAAATTATGGTTAACTTTAAATGTATATAATATATTAAATTGTAATAGTTCTCATTAAGAATGAATGCTGAATAAAAGGAGGATGACAAGGATGACAGAAAATATGGTAAAATTTAATTTAATGTACATCGCATTAATTTACTGATGATAATATGTGTAATGACGGATTAATTTTTGAATGAGTCATAGTTGAGTTTATATCACAAATATTTCTTGAAATCTAATAATTCTTTTAAAATAACTAACATAAATCAATGAGAAGAAGATTTGGGGCAATCCATTCAGATACTACTGAAGAATATATTCAACAAGCCCAATCAGCTTGGAACAAGGATCTATTTTATTATGAGGGCACTTCTAAGAAATCGGCATAAAACTATGGGAACTTTGATTTTGATGAGCGGGAAACTAATGTATGAATGCAATCTTATATTGTAGAATACTGAAATAGAGGAGGAAGTATAGATGGAAGCATAGAATGTTAAAATAATTTTGATGGATGCTGAGAATGATTCTTAAACTGTTTTTGATTATTGTGGTCAAGAATATCATCAGCAGAAGAAGGATTTCGATTATGTTTCAAAGATCGAAGTCAACAAAAATAAATAGATCACCTACCATTTTTGGATCAATAATATTCATTCAACCAAATTTACTGATATCGTTGATGGTAAAATTTATAATTTAATATTTAGTTTATGTAAAAAATTGTGATGTCGTGATTTACATGTACAATAAATCAGTCGAAGAACATTACCAAGAATTTGTGGAGAAGATATCCAGAATAAATAATAAGAGTTTTGTTATTTACAAAGTTAACAATGCTATGAATAGAACTCAGGTATTTTTAATTTTTTAATTTTAGAGTTTTAAATCTTTAAATGAGAAGAATTAAGAAAATGTCATTGCAGTTAAAAGCCTGTAAGAAGCTATCACAAAAACGATTAACTAATATATTTGATTATAAACCAATATTTATTTTGCGTACTACCATTGCTAAATAAATTTACTTTGCGAGTCATCTTTGAGTGTGCATCGTTGGAATGTGATATTTTAATTTTATATCATTTTAATGTTATTATGTAAAACGGATTTATTTTCATTTATTTTTATATGAAATTATTATTGTTTGTGTTGTTCGTATACACTTATGCGACAAGTGCACAATACAGATAAGCGATGGAGGATGTATGCATTAAACTATTCTCTAGCTCAATGATGATAACTTTGGTCAAACCCTTCTTGAAACCATTCAAATGCACATCTAATCTGATGAACCTGTAGGTAATTTGATCAACATGTTATAAAATCTTCAATCATAAGTCGAGAAAGTGTAATACAAGGCTGATGAATAACATAAGAGAATCACTACAAATTGCAATATCAACCTAGATTAATTGAATGACCAAATCAATAATTATAAAATTAAATCTGTTACTCTAAAATCATACATTGACAATCTAAACCCAAATGTCAAATAGAGTGTGGCTACAGTTGAAAGAAAACAAAAGGAATTAGTATTTTTACAAATAATACAGATAGGATGATTATAAGCAAGAATTGAAATAAGCAGCAGAAAAAAGAGAGAAAGAGCATAACACCTACACAAACATCCTTGATAACCTTGAGTAAGCCCTATTTGGTTTCCATCAAATTAAATTAGCATTCAATCAATTTATCGATTCTGTACAAAAAGGATAACGTAAATTTGAGTCATTTGTTGAAATGAAATAAGTCTTAAAATAAGTTAAACACACTTACAAACTCGAAGGCTATAAACATATTGTGTAGATGCTCTAGGCTCTATCCAAATAGACAAGCGAAGAAGTATTACATTTCATAGATATTAGGAAGCATTAAAATTAGCAATTCAATTAAGTGCCATTCTCAAATAAATTGAGTCATACATCCAGACTGAACGAACCAGAGAAGACCAAGCAGAATTGGCAAGAGAAACAGCCTATAATGATTACAAAGCTCAAATAGCTGATTTGTTCAATGAAGCTTCTAAATCTCTTACTGAAATGACAGGTATGATTTGCGAATAAATGAGGGATATTGGATAGTCAGTCTAATGAATTGAAGTTGAGTGAGAATGAAAAGAAAGAGGCAGATGTTAGATTGCAAAATAAAATGAAAGAGTTTGATAACATTCAAGCAGAATGCTCAATATTAGATTAAGAATATTAATAACAAAATAGATAGAGAAATCAACAAAGTAAATTACTTGATTAAGCAATTCTATTAACCACAACTTCATTAGGATAATTGAAGAGTGACTTATTAAAACATGCTGAAGTTTATTGACATATACAAACCCACAAAATTTAAGAATTATTATTCTGCATTTATCATTCTCTTTTTATATTAATATAATTATAAAGAATATAATGTCTAAAATCGATGAACAATAGATCATCAAAAATACTAAAAGTATGCAGAAGATGCAGGAAATTGCAGATCGCATCTATGCTACTACTGGTGATTTAACCAAAAGTACGAACATAGCAATATATAGCAATTAGTTCTGATAGCATCTTGAAACCGTCTAAATTGACATAAGAGTAATTATTAATACAGGCTAAGAAGATGGATAGTATTTAAGATAGTAAGTAGAAGAAGGGCAAAGGATAATAATCTACTTCAGCCAATAAAACAGAGTTGAACACAACTGAATGGTTGAATAAATTATAGGAAATATAGTAATAACATAATGAAGAGAAGAAGAAACTTAGAGAGGAGCTTATAGCAAGATATGTGCAAAGGGAAATGGAATTCAAAAAAACTATCGATGAATTACAATAAGAATTGAGATCTAGAACTGCCCTGGATCAGACTGATAAGAAAGTTATGGAGATGATTTACAAAGATCATAGTAAAATTATTGAAGGAATAAATAATATTTAATTGAGGACTTCTAAAATTCTAGTAGACTAAGAAAGAGATATTATAAGATTCTTTAATAATAAAATTAATGAGATAAAGAAATAGTTTTAAGAGGAAAGAGAGAAGAAGGGCTAGAATGATAAAGAGTATATTTAGAAGGAGAATCAATTGATTAGCGAATTAGAGTGGATTAAGAGGATTGCTTAGAAAATTGATGATGAAAATCATTAGCTGATGTAGAAGTATAAAGAATTGAAAGTTGAGTATTAAACTTAGGAAAGAGATAGAGAAATGTTGATGAAAGAGTTGATAATCAAGAAGAAGGAAAATGCCATACTCAAATCATAAATTTAATAGTATGAAAAATTATTGAATGATGTTCAAAAAGAGGATGAATAAGAATCCTATTAGGACTTAATCTTGGATAAATCGGGGGTTAAAAATCAAAAAACTGATAAATCTAAATAGTCATCCTAGCAATAAGTAAGACTTCCCTAAATAGCAAATCCATAAGCTTCATAAAATGTTGATGATGCTTCTAAAAACAAGTATGACATTTAATTTTAAGAGAGTAGATATTAGAATATTATTAAGACATATCAAGACACTTTGAAGAAGGAATAGAAAAGGCTGAGGGATATCAAATAACTTTATACAAAAGAATTGTCAGCAAAAACAGAATTATATAATATTTTGAGGCAGTGTATTGAAGATATTAAAGAAGAGATAATTTAAGTGAGGAGTGATGAGAGGACTTTGAAGAAAAATAAAAGTATTAAATGAGTTTATTTAGACCTAAGTAATGAAGAGGTGAAAATGGAGAAGGAAGATAGAGAGAAGCTGATTGAGAATTTATTGAAACATGAAAGAGTCATAGAAGTTATCAGCGATAAGATATTTTATAACAAGAAAAACTATGATGAGACTCTTTTGCAATAGCAATAGGAAGAGACGAATTACAATGATGAATAATATTGAATATTTTAATTTTAACTTAGTTAATCACAACGTAGAACTTTTTGTAAATGCCTCAATAAGAAAATTGCTAATAGGGGTATTTTATCTTACACACCTATATTTTATAATCTAGTCTTATCACTAAACAATTATAAAATTGTAAGGCCTTTCTTAAAATTTCTAATAAATATTGACACATTATGTCAAATGCTTATCACAAGTATCGTCTACTATACAAGTCCTCTATTCATCAGGACATTTGTAAAAAACATAGTTTTAATCAGGGTCAATTGGTTGTTGGAATGTTACTAGGGCTATCAGAAATGTGAAAAATAGTTTGATATAAGTGTAAATCGTTATAAATTATATACACACAACTTAATTAAAAAACAAAGAGTAAATTCAAATTGAAATTGTGATTTATGAGACTTGCAAATGCTCCTCTCTAGCATATTTTCTCTTCACAGCTGGATACAAAGTATTGTTTTAATTGTTGTAGTAAAGCTACAATAAATAAGTGGCACAATATTTTGATTCGTCTGTGATTTCCATTTCGGATTATATTCCTAAAATTTTGTTTGACAAGAGCAATGCCGAGTGAGCCAGTTATGAAGGCATATATTGTAGACTTTCATAACTATGCAAGGCAATCTCAAGTATGTAGGATGATAATTGAAATTGTTGGGTTTGAAATACTTTATTGTCTTCAATTTAAGTGTTTTCAATAACAGTAAATTCTAAGAATCTTAGAGGACTGATGTAGTTTAGTGAAAAGTTAACAGTATTCAAAATGGAGCCTTCCATTTAGAGTATTTCTTCCTTGGTGTAGGCTCTGTCACAGACGTAGACAAAGTCTTTGATATTTGGAGGGTAGATTTCTTCAAATTTGGATGCAATGAAGAGGGATGCAACGCCCACCAATTGGAGTCGGTTCCTCTTGACGATGTTGACACTAAGGTATCTGTCTATGAGGTTGATGGCTAGATAGAGACTGTTTGGAGACTAGAGGATATTAGATGTGACAAAATACAAGTTTGAATTTCATGTGAACTTCTTCAATCCAGTCGATAAGGATGGACCTCATTTTTTAATTGATATCTTTTTGGGTTTGTTCCATAAAGCAGGAGTTAGGTAAGTAGTTACTCTAATTGAATAGAATAATTGATTTACTTATTCTTCTAAAATGTATCGAAATATGTCCTTTCTATAATTGCTAATGAATTGGGGGTTGCTTAATTCTTCGTCCATTCTACTACTGCTCAGACATGATTCATTATATTCTTCATCCATAGTGCTTCCCGATCCGCATGTTGAGGTTCGTTAATGTTTTGGGACTTTTTCGAATGTTACTGATTTCGAGTTTCTTCTTAAGGAATTATATAAAGTGTTGTTGTTTTAATCTTCTATTTAGGTAAGAGAGGCAATCATTGCAATTAATTTAAATTCGAATTATTGTTTTTATTTATTAATTTTGTTATTTCTTCAAATATTGGGGAAATGCCCAATTTGAATTTGAATTTCAAATTATGTTTTAATAACAGTTATTAAATGCTTTCCTATTTCTCGCGCATATTCACTTTACTTCCCCATTCACCACGAGACTAATCTAAACTATATATACATTCATTAAATTGTTTCCTTCAATTTTTCGGCATTTTGTCAATAAGTGAAGGCTACAACACCCAAAATGGGCTATCAAATGGAGAATCCCTAATAAATCATCCTTAAAATAGACTCTAAGTAAACATCTATTAATTCAAAATACAATATACTATAGTTTGGAAATAAGAATATTAGACTAAATATGCAGTTTGAACTTGATGGCGTGAACTTATATATATAATTAGACATCTTAGTTGATTTAATGAGGAATTTAAATTCAATATACAACTTTAAGAAGGAAGAGCAATTTTGCAATAAATTATTCAAAAAATTTTATAATAATTTTTATTTGCCATTCCTTTCCTAATTAATCCTTGCATCTTAATGAACATGATTTTGATAAATTTTATTCCTAAATCCATTTCTGTTATTTTGATCCTCATTTCAACTCAAATTAGAGTATGCTGACTTATTGTAATGAGAACTACCTTACTTTAAGAATAAAATTGGAAGATTCTTATGAGAAAGCGTTGATGCATTCTGGAGAACACGAAAATGGTTGTCTTGAAGACTGATTTAGAAAATAATTTTATAATAATCACATTAATATAAGGGGGGTATTAAGATAAATCATAAAATTTCTTCATAAAATTTTAACTAAGTGAAAACAATTCGTATGACATCATATTTAGTTAATTACACATTATTAGATAGCTCATTATTTGAGAGTTAAATCCAGACTTAATGATGTTGCCTTATTTAAAAAAAATATCATTTATTTTTTTGCAATGTCCATTTCAGAAGTCCAACACTAACTTAATTTGACAAGCTACTTGAATTAATAAGCAACGGTGTCTGTGTTTCTCGGTGTAAAAGAGATCCAAATTGATCAGGTCTAACAATTAGCAACACATACCTACAAACTAACATTCAAGTAATGAGAATAATTAATGTTTTTAGGAACTCGAATAAAAAGATAATTTTGCACACGAAATCAAGCAATGCTCAAGTCACTGTAAGAATTTATAATAAAATCCCATAGGGTAACCAATTGGAAAAGGATTATATGATTGCGTAAAAATTATCAGCTGCAAACATGCCAGTCCCCAAGGCATTATTCTATTGTGGAGATCAATCCATAGTGGGCGTGCCTTTTTATGCAACTGAATATGTGGAAGGAAGACTATTCAACGATAAGAAGTTATTGAGTGTTTCTCAGACAGAAAAGAAATTGTTGTTTTAGGAGGTATCAAAAGCCTTGGCTCATTTACATTCTATCAGTTTAAATTATTTGGGACTTGGAGAATTGGAATCTCAAACTAGTCAATACCAAACACTCAATAAAAAATTATATAACCTATACAAATTACATGAGACCAAAATTTCAACAAATGTGGAAGATTTATTGTATTGGTTGTCATTAAACTCACCAGTGAAATCAGAATTGGATAATCTTTGTTTGGTGCATGGTGACTTTTCATTATCCAAAGTTGTCTTCCATCCAACTGAACCAAAGGTCTTGGCCATCCTAGATTGGTAATAAGCCTAATTAGGAAATGCATTCATCGACTTGGCTAGTTTTGTCTCACCCTACTACATCCCCTATTCAAATGGATAACACCAAATTGATGGATGGTTTGGAATTGAAGAAATTATTGCTCAACCCAATCTCCAAGAGGTCTTATCAGCCTATTTCACAACAAGATCAAGCGAAACTACTCAAGACATCAATTACCAACTGGTAATTTCATTGTTGAAACAATCAATCGATCAACAAATCCTCTATAAACAAACCAAAGAAGAGAAATATCAAGATAACTCTCATTTCATATCCAAGGCAGGTTATGAATTGCTATTGAGAACCACTGAAGGAGATCCTTTCGGAATAAAATTGAGAGCCAATAATGATGGTTAATTGTGGTCCAACTGGCCAGTTTCATAAAGATGCAAGAGTTACTACTATAGAATCAAGGATTTCATGAAGGATGAAATTTTCCCAGTTGAAAAAGCCATCTTGGATAAGGCCAGAGCAGTTCCAAGAACAGTGAAAAACAAACCAATTGTAGAAATAGAAGAACTCTAAAGAAAAGCCAAAGCTGTTGGATTGTGGAACTTATTCATCTCAGATCCCATGTATGGCAAAGGATTAACTAATTTGGAGTATGTGTACCTTTCAGAACTCATGGGATTAAGTTATCTTGCTCATGAAGTGTTTAATTGTTTCGCACCAGAAACAGGAAATATCAAATTGCTGATCGCCTATGGAACACCACACCAGAAGGAGAAATACTTGAAACCATTATTGGAAGGATAATGCAAATCGTTTTTCGCAATGACTGAGAAGGATGTGCCATCTTCAGATCCAAATAATTTCTAATGCACCATCACACCTACTGAAGGGGGATTCATTCTCAATGGGGGCAAATGGTTTGTCTCCAGTGCTCCAGATGAAAGAGCCATCTTTGGAATCGTAATGGGTAAATCCTCCAAAGACATGAGCAACCCCATTGAATCATAATCGATGATTCTTGTTGACATGAACAATCCCAAAATAAAAATTGTCAGACAATACTCTGTGTTGGGTTTCTTCGATGTGCCTCATGGTTATTCAGAAGTTGAATTTGATAATGCCTTCATTCCACAAGAAAACCTCTTGGGACAACTTGGAGGAGCATTCAAAATGGCTTAAGGGAGATTATTGGGAGGAAGATTGCACCATTGTGTTAGACAAATTGGGTTAACTAGGAGATGTCTAGATTTGATGATGGCGAGATCAGAGAAGAGAATCATTTTCAAGTAATCATTAAAGGATAATGCTGCCTTCTAAGAGAGATTAGGAGATTTGGAAATTGCGTTCTAATCATGCAGATTATTAAGTTTAAATGCTGGATTGCTATTGGATTCTGCAGGATCCAGACATTTACATACATTCATGGCTGTCAGTGAATGCAAGGCTCACATTCCCAAGGCTTGTCAATACATCATTGACCAATGCATTCAAGCATTCGGTGCCGAGGGAGTAACTGAAGAGCAACCATTGACTCTTGCATACCGTTTTGCCAGAGCTATTAGATTCATGGATGGACCATGTGAAATCCACCTTAGACAAATCTCAAGATTTGCTTATGGAAATCACTTATTCAATGATCTAAACAATGCTCAAGGATATGGATTAGCAAAGCTATGATTTATTTAGTAAATAACAAATATATAATTTAAAATATAAATTATGCACATATATAAACTCTACACTAAATTATATTACACATCAAACCACCTCCTTGCCTATTAATTTTACTTAATATAAACTGAGCATTTTATATTAAGTTATTTCCCTTAAATAATTTATTTAAATCATTATATCAATGAGCACAGGACTTGCTAAACCCAAAAAACTCAAACTTACAGATTATGAAGTCTTTCAAACCTTGGGCACTGGTAATCCATAATTGAAATCCTGAATTTTAGGTTCATTCGGAAGAGTGAAACTGGCAAGGAATAAACAAACCAACAAATATGTCGCCTTGAAAAGTCTAAAAAAGGCAGAGATTATAAGACTCAAGCAAGTTGATCACGTGATTAATGAAAACACTATTTTAGGCAATCTACAACATCCATTCATTGTAAAAATCCATCATCATTCTTAGGTAACCTTTGAAGGCTTCTGCCAAGATCCAAGATATCTCTATCTAGTCTTAGAATTCGTTTCTGGAGGAGAGTTGTTCACTTACTTAAGAAGCATCGGAAGACTCGATACTTAACATGCAGCGTATGATTGTGAGCTAATCTTAGCTTTTACGGTGCACAAGTTGCCTCAATCTTTGAGTATCTGCATTCCAAGAATATCGTCTATAGAGATCTTAAACCAGAGAACTTATTGATTGCAGATGATGGATATCTCAAATTAACAGATTTCGGCTTTGCCAAAGTAGTCGAAGGAAGAACCTACACTTTATGCGGAACTCCAGAGTACTTGGCTCCAGAAATCTTGTTGAACAAAGGACATGGCAAGGCTGTCGATTGGTGGACTTTGGGAATTCTTAATTTATGAAATGAATGCAGGAATTGATCCATTCTCAGACGAAGATCCCATGGCTATTTATCAAAAGATATTGAAGGGCAAAGTCAAATTCCCAAAAAGCTTTGATAAGTAATCCTTATTCATTAAACCCTAAGGAATGCCAAATCTTTAGTCAAACATTTACTTGTGGCTGATCTTTCTAAAAGATATGGAAACTTAAAAAATGGTAATACTCTCATTTCTAACCTAAGGCGCTGCCGATATCAAAAATCACAGATGGTTTGGAAGTCTAGATTGGAATCTCCTTACTTAAAAGAAATTGCCTGTCCCCTACAAACCTGTTGTGAAGTAACCACTCTATTCTCATTTCCCTTTATTAGAGCTCCCAATGATACATCCAATTTTTCATCCTATCCAGAGTCCGATACCCAAAGTCCTGCTCTCAAACCAGCAGACGATCCCTTCTTAGAATGGTGATTAATAGAGCATTATTCATTATAATAAATTCAACTATGTATTCTCATACATAAAATAACTATAATAAACTTTATAATCGAATAAATTATAATAAAATTAATGGGAACTTAACTTATATAACATTTATAAGGAATATTTTAATTTAGTCAAAAATTCTTATACTTACTATATATTTTAGAACACACTTTCTATCTAAGACCCAATTTTTTGGTTTTAGTTTATCTTACATTCAAATCCATTACCAACAAGAATCTGTTTAAATATTAAAATATTTAAAAGCTTGAAATTTTACTGTTAATTATACAAGCATCTCAAAAAGATCTCTCTATAAACTATCCAAAGCATTTTAATTTGTTAATATAACTATTAGCATGATAAATTTATAATGTCATTTATTTAATAATTTTTATTATAAATCAACATTATTTCTTTAATAGGAACAGTTATGCAACTTTCTTATTCTCCAAAAATAGTAACTATTATAAATTTACTATCTATTAAAGATTCTTTTTATCTTAATCAAAAGAATTAAATGTAATCAACTAAAATAAGAAATTGAACTAATTCATTCTTTAACATCGAGTATATGATATTAATTATAAATTGAGATTCCTCTGATAAAATAATCTCACTTCTTGTTAGTATTAATTTAATATTTTATCAATTGTAAGATCCTTTCAATTATTTTGATAACCCATATGATAAATCTCTGCTTATTTTTATTGATAATACTGTTAAAGTATTGATCGAAATTTTTAATACTTAAAAATTAGCCAATCTTCATTCCATATTTATAAAGATATTGAATGTATTTTGCTTTAAATTATTTCTTTAAGTCTAGGATTACAAACTTTACCCAGAGTATTAGAATTATAATACTTATCTTTCGACTAATTCAAGAAAATAAATGAGGGCAGTAATCATAAATAATAAGAATCATTTAATTCTATTGATATTATTTGTTGAGACAATGTTATTTTCAGATAAAAATCAAGATCCTTACTGAGAACCAAAACTATTAATCTAATTAAATTTAATTCCCAAATTCATTTGATCTTTATCTAAATCGTTTGTAAATATATTAATATATATTAAATAATCAGATCATAATATAATTTCTCTTCAGTTATTTAAAACATCTTTCGAAAATAATCAATAAAATATGTTCTCTCTTTCAAGAATCCGCTCTAATAAGTATTAAACAAATGATGAAGATCTAAATGTAATATTTATTTAATTTATATATGATCACCAATTTTATTGATGTTTAAAAAGGATTTTTGAAAAAATAAATGGATAAGTTAACGAGGTTTTAATAAATCTTTAAGTTAAAATAATGTATGTTAGATATTTGATAAAATTATTATATACTAATGATTATCTATACATTTGCAGTGCTTATTAATTAATTTATTTTAGTAAAAGATCTTTTTAAATATAACGTCAGCTAGTTTGCAAATATCTCAAAAATGATCATTAAAAACATAATATATTACCATTTTTGTTGAGTCATTCCAATTGATTATTTCACACCCAATTCTTCATCTCTAATAGATGTGTGAATATAGAATTTATAAAATTGACAATGATAGGTATTTTAACAAAACTTTCATTTCAATATAAAATTAATAAATACTAGTTGCTTGCAACCTACATAAATCTGTTTAAGCTAGCATCAATGATAGGCTATACAAGAAAAAAGTCGTTGTTCATTAAAATCCAGCAAAAATTGCAAAATTTAATGATCAAATTTTTACCTAGAAATCCGAGAATATGCTCTGGGTTAAGGATTATGGTATTTATGTTGTTCATTAGATTGGTTTCAAATTTATTTATTGGATTAGGTATGAAGGAGTATTACCACTAAATATAGATGTAAATAATAATTATTAAATGCAATACTACGAGTAAGACATTGAAGATGAAAGTATGAATAATCAAATAACTTCCAGTATCGGATACTTCATAAGACGATTCTCCATTAAAGCGATGCATGACAGCTCCTGCTGGGCCTTTGACAGAGTTTGAAGAATTTAAAAGGTATTACCTATTGTATTAAGTTTGTCTAGATCACCAGAATACGATCTCTTGGAAAAGGCATACAGACTATCGAGTTAACTTGTTTAGAGAGATTTTCATAAATATGATCTAGACAATCCTGAAGGATAGAAATAATGCAAAAAGTTTTTATAAAATCTCGAAAAAATGTGTGAAGTAATTAAATGTAATAACACAGGTTTATTAGGTTAAGGTTGAATCTCGTGAATATAGGAATCATTTTTCAAAAGCCTATAAAATCTTATATACATAGAATAAATTGTGTTACTTGACTGAAATTCTCGATAGTGCTCAAGAAGGTTCTTTTAAGTAATTAGAATAGGGTTTCCTTATTTGTGGGTAAACTCTGAGAAATATTCGTTCACTCTTGAAGTTTTGGAAGCCGGAATAAAGTTAGTCGATGCCTTTTATAAAGTGTAGCATGCCATCAGACATCTCTACACAAACACCCTTTAAGAGAGTCCAGATTTCTAAAGGTCTAATTTGATACTAGAGATTTAATATTTGTTAGAAAATTTTGATGATATATGGGTGCAATTCGAGAAGGTACTTATGATGAGATTGAGTTATAGTTATATGTGAAGGAATTGATGGAGATAGAGGGGAAGGCGCGAAGATTTATATTATAGGCCATTTAGATAGATAAGGAGATGCAATCAATAGAAATAAGAGAAAAACTAAGAGGAAAGATTTTGGTGACGAGTGAAAGCTACTTACAATTAAAAACAGCAGTATGAGAATGTGTATATTGTTAGTTTTGCAAAGTGTTAGCTTAGATTAATTCAGTGGCAAATGTGGAAGGCAAGGGAAGAGATGATTTAGGAGTGAATATTTTATTGGAAGCGGAGGGCATAACAAGAAGAGTGACTTAAGAATAATCCAAGGCTGTAAGGAGATTAGCTGATAGTATAAAAATGAAGTATAAAATTATGAAATAATAGTTTTAAAAAGTTTAGAGAGTAGATGCGGAAATATGAGGAGAATATTGAGATGGTGGATCCGTAGTTGAAGAATAATAGTGAATTAGTAGAGTTATTGGTTGAATATGAGACGCAATGGGAGAAGGGTTTGCATTACTTATTGGAGCCAAGAAAATATATTCAATTGATGCTATTTTCTCATATCATTGAGACCACAGCTGAGAAGCACATTCAATTTGCAGAATAGTTGGAATGCAGAGATAGTGATATCTTTGTTACCATTCCATGTTTGATCGTATTGAAACATTTGGAAAATGAAGACAAGAATATTTGCAAGTATTTTCTGCCTATGTTGGATGATGAGAATTCAAAATTGTATTCATAATTTGAACAGTTAAGATAAGACTTTATGAATTTTCGAGACTAGCATGCAAAATAATACGAATACTATAACTTGATTGAGAAGAAATTGCTAGGCATTGGACAAAATGATATTTGTGAATAAGTAAACGTATAGATAGATAGAATAATGCAAAAGATAAGATTATTATCAATAGAAATCTAAAGATATAATGCCATCGAATGGAATCTATTTATTGATGCTGCGATTAATACTTGATGCTATTACATTAATTGTATTTTGTTTGATTTCCTATTCACTTTCTCAAATTAACTTAAATGGTTGTCATATTGTCGCAAACTATTCCTTTCCTTGCATCTGGAGCTGACAATTAATCCAATGTATCTTGAACTGCTGTTTTATTGAATCTTCAGACAGTTGCATTTCTCAAAATTACATTGAAGTAATGAAGTAACTTTTATCAAAGAATTAAAATTATAAAACTAGAGTTAAGTTGATATTGATTAAAGAAGATTAACAATAACATAAATTATGTTTAACTTCATGCTCACATAAAATAAGTTCTGTTCTTTCGATTCTATTGTTCTCAACATAATTTTCTAGGTTATTATTTATAATTAATATCGAAGTTCGTATTAGTTATATATGATACTGATCTTTGAATCTCCTACATTTGCAAAGTATAAGATGTTCTTATAAATAAAAGCAGGATTGACAGTGATATCCAACACAATAATCAATTATTTATTTTATAATTATCATAAAACCATAAGCTTTGAAATTATTTCATTCTATAACCCCCTTTGGATTCATCAAAAATTCAGGCTTAATATAAAATAAACTTTATAGAGGAATTGAAGAAAAAATGAAAAGTATCCCTATATTCTTCCATATCGATCAAGCAAAACAAAAATAGATATATCATGATGTTGGTTTTGCAATTATTTTTCTTCAGTCCTATGCTTAATTCTTTATGATATATTGCATTTTAGATTTAGAAAAAATGACAGATATTTCTGATTAATAACTTTATCCTTTTTTGACTAACTCAAATATGGACAATTCTATTTTCTATTATTTAATATCGTATAAAATTGTTATAAATTATCAGTATTTTCCTCTTTGAATCCAATCTGGTTCAATTTTAGTCCTCACTATGGCGCTATTTGATTGAACATTCCCAGGCTAAACATTATTGCTAGTTCTGACCATGATGTCACAATCCTTTGAAAATCGTTCTTAATGAGTTATGTTGGCATATGAATTGAATTAGTCATACATTTTGGTTTGCGAATAATCAATCACACTTGATGACCCCTCCAAATATCTTCTTATCTTATTTTTTACTATTAATTACTTTAGCATAATTCTTATCAATCTTCCCACTAATCTCACCCTATATCCTACCTATTTGAGCATTGTTCCATTGCATATCTGCAGGGTACAATTCTCGATCTTTTGATTTGATTGCAATAATATTATCACCCTTTAACTTGAAAATCGGTTTATGAGCACTTTAATTTTAACTGCACGAAACGATATAATAAATCAATACCTTTTATTTGTCTTTCCTTTTAATCTCAATTGATCATAAAAGTCTCTCTCTAATGATAATAGTATTTTCAAATGTACATTCAACTCCATATGTATTCACCGATTTAGATTTCTGATCATTCTTACTAACTTATGCTTTTAGATAATGATTCGTAATGGCATACAGTGACTAAGCTCTTTGCTACTTGCCATCTGTGAATATTTGAGTAGGTCCATAATTTTTTAATAATCCAGGTCTCATTACAAATTATAAATTAATTCTGATATAAATATAATAGATCAATTTGGATACCCTTGAGGTTAAACTACCGGTATACCTTGTTGTGGGTACACTGGATTGGCAGGATAAGCCTGTACATTCTATGGATGTTGAATTTGCATTTGTTATGGATAGTAGTTTTGGTTCATTTATGGAGGATATTAAGGAGGGAGTTGTTGTTATTGTTAGGGCATTGCTAGATTCTGTTGTTTAACCCACTCTTAATATTATAGGTTTTAAGCGGGTGGGGCTACAAACTAGGGAGGATACTGGTTTGGATTTGTTGGAACTTGATGAACAACCACAACATTCTGAGGTGGAATATCTTCTACCAGTCCCACTAATACTACTGGTCGTCTTCTCATAACTATGGCTCGAATAATCGAAATCACTACGAGTACAAAAACGACAATGAATACGCAATCAAATACTAGGATAAGAACTATGGTTACTTATATTTTCAGTAGAGTGCTGAGTTGTGTCTTGGCAGTTGACGAATCCTAAAAGTAGCAATAGGGTTAGATTGAATAATTTCTGCATTGTTTATTTTTTTAATTATGAATGCAAATATAACTTAAAAAGAAATCTCCCCTGGAATCATACTCTTAAAGCATATTCAGCCAGGACCAGAAATGATATACATTTTTAAAGTTCAATTGAATAGGTTGAATTGCATGGAATTCATAGCTGATTTTACAGGAAGTGAGAACATTTTGGTTGATGGTTAGAATAAAATGAAGACGATCACAATCATCAACCCATTTGAAACTAAACAAGTAGCTTAATTGACTATGAAATAAGACTGGAAGTTGAAAACAAAATTCAAATTTAGTTTAAAAACAGCGGATAAATCAGTTCAAGCTGAATATTTGAAGGAAGATCAACTGCAATTGAAATTGGAAATCCAGGATTAGATGAAGTAACTATATCGTTACCCATTTCAATTAAAGGAAGTTCCTGAAATACTTAGGCATTTGAAATCTCCCTTTGTTGACCCTGAATTTTTGCCTGTGGATGTATTTAAACAAAACTATATAGTCAAGTATATTTGGAGATGAAGAGGCCGAATTGGACACCTTAATCCAATGGAGAAGACCAAGTGCCTTCTTTCAACTTAAAGATGCCAATAAAAGACCAGAGATATTTTTCGATAAGATAGAGCCCAATGATATCAAATAAGGGGCATTGGGAAATTGCTGGTTTCTGTCAGCACTGTCATCACTTGCTGAAAGACCTGCCTTAGTGAAGAGACTCTTCGTAACTATGATAACAAATTCACTCGGAGTCTACAGAATCAAGATTTGCAAGAATGGAGAATGGGTTTACATCACTATTGATGATCTATTCCCTTGCTATCCCTTGGGTGCTCCCATATTCTCAGCTGCACATGGCAACGAATTGTGGGTGCTGTTGTTAGAAAAGGCATATGCTAAATTACATGGAAGTTACTTTGCGCTCAGAGAAGGTCTGTCTGGAGAAGCCATGGTGGATTTGACTGGTTGTCCTACAGTAGTTTATGGATATTCTGAGTTATAATAGATGTGGCAGCAATTGTTGTAATATGATCAAGAGGGTTATTTGATCAATGCATTCACAGAGGGAAATGACACTCAGAGTGAAGGATAGAGAAAGGAATCTTCAACAGATAATATTGGTTTGATTCCTGGTCATGCTTACTCAATATTGCAGGTGAAGGAAGCAAAAGGAAACAAGTTGCTTAACATTCGTAATCCTTGGGGTAATTTTGAATGGAAGGGAGCTTGGAGTGACACATCTCCTTTGTGGACTTAGGAGATATAGAATATAGTTAATTTCGTTAATGATAGCAATGATGGGCAATTTTGGATGTGTTGGAAAGATTTCTTAACTTATTTCAAAGGTGTGAACATTTGTAAGGTCAGAAATTGGGAAGAAGTCAGAATCAAGGGAAAGTTCATTAAAGTGACTGACATAAATGATAACAATATTGATGTTGTACTAAGCAAATGGTATTATTCCTTTGTCATCCCAAAGTCAACCAAAGTCATCATGGGAATCCATCAAGAGGATGAGAGAATCAGAGGAGTCAAATTGTTAAGACCTTATTTAGATATCGGTTTGACTCTTTTCAAGTAAACAGAGAAGGGATTAGAATTACTTGCATAAACCATCACCAAATAAGATAGACAAGTACAATTGGAATGCGATTTGAATCCTGGTGTCTATATTGTAGTACCAAGAACAAGTGGATTATATTTATATGGAGAAAACAATAGTATAATCAATCTGTTGAATAATGATGGGTCTATTCATCCCTTGCTTTATTCGACATTGAGTGACATCTTCAGAAAATTTGATATGTTGTTGCTCAGAGAATTGAGTTTCATAGAGTTCAAAGGAATTTATGATTGTTTGGAGAAACAACTAGATCCAGAGTATTTCAAGTAGATGCTTACTAAATACACTTCTACAGAAAAAGGAATTACTTTCACCGGATTTGTTGAGTTCTTCATTGATCAAATTAAATAACTAGGGGTTGAGACTATCTACAGATGGCTAGAGAAATTAGGATATGATAAGAATCTCAATTCTATTAAAAGCAGATGTTTTATCTTTACTGCTCATTCATCTATTGAAATATCTGTAACAGTCAGAGATGCCATTACTACTGATTTGAATAATAGAGTGCATGTCTTTGCTACCACATTTCCAGATCAATATCATTAGATTGAAAACATCAAAACTGAAAGAGAAGGCATCAGAGTCATCCAATGTTATAATCGTCATTCTGATACTTTTTGTATCATTGCTATCAATGATCAAACTTACCCTATTGAATGCTTTCTTGATCTCACTCTATGTAAAGGCTTGATTGTTTCTACTAAGACTTCGAAAGTTCTAAAACGATTAGACTCAGGCTAAATGGAAACCATGATCCATTTTAAATAGAACAGAATTCAAAAATTAAAATTAGCCATTCAAGTTAAGTGGCAACCTGTTTAATGATAATAATAATCATAAATCATGGAAAAAACAAATTACTTATCATCATCGCTATTTTCCAATAACAAAACTAGTGTTGCAGTAATTATTGTTAAGACAAATTCTGGACAGTCCCTTGAATAAAGGACTGGAAGTATGAGTGGAAGCATAAGTGCTACGTTAAGCACTTTTAGAATTCTTTGTCCTTTCAGTTTCCTTAAAAACCTTATTGCAATTATCTTGTAACTTTATAACACTTTCTTCCTTCTCGATCATCTATATTTTTAATCTCTCCATGTCTATCTTGCCCTATTGTATTATTTTTAATTGATCCTGTATCTACAATCTCAACATTAGCAAATCCTCAGAATGCTATTAATTCTCAGATTCCAACATTTTGATATTCTGAATCAGATCGTAAATGTGTCCTTGCAATTTCTTGTTGCATTCTTATAACACATAAATCTAAGCTAAAATTTCATAACAATCATTTTTACATTTATAGGAATTCGTCTAATTTATCAGCTATTTGTGAGCCTTCAATTAACCATTCTGTTTCATCAGATCCTAGTAGTTTTAAGCATCTCTCCTCAAACTCTCATATTCAGCCTTCGATACTGAACTAAATAAACATTGTCACATACTTCTAACTGTATCATCTTTCAACTCAATTATAGAATCCTAACTCAAGTGGCGGTTTGTGTTGTTGGTTGGATTCGTGGTGTAGTTTTCATCCTTTTTGCAACTAGAGAAGAAATAGTATGCCTTAAATAATAATTAAATTCACTTACTTCCTACTGAAACTCTGGCGACTATTCGCTTGAATTAACATCGCCGAATGAAGGTATTTCAAGAGTTTTTAGTTCAGTTTTTTTTGTTTCACATGGCTAAAACAAATCATGAATTTAAGTCTATGTTAAATATATGTTAGAAGACATTCTTTTAGCAAATAATTATTATATTAAAATTTTATAAATTCATAACATCTATTCCAACTTCACTACTTTGAACTCCTTTCATAGCCTATAGATGCTATCTAAAATATTGTTTTACTTATACGTCATATCTCCTTTCAAATTTGTATAATATGGAATCTGACTTAAAGAAATTAAGTCATTCAAGGTTTCTAGTTCTAGATATCGAAAGGGTATTTTTTACCAATATAAATAATTTTATTTATCAAAATTTGCTGCCATTCAACATCCCTTAAATGAAAAGCAAGGGAGCTATAAAATTAGAAATAGAAAATTTTAATTAATACAACAAAATTTTTTTTTTTGGATTATATTAGACCCACTGTTCATTTACTGTTGCAAACATAATTAAAATAAATAAAATTAATTCTGTTAATGTCATATTATAAACAATAAGCGAGAATTCTCAATAGTTTCTTGATTTTAATAATAATGTTTAGAATTTGATTTGATAACAGTTAAATTAATGTAAATTGGAGAAAATGCTTAAGAGATTAATAGATATTAGAAAATAAAGATATTGAAACTCATCATATATTAACATAGTTATAATTATATTATTTTTCTTAATATTTTAATTTTATCATTCTATTGATAATTTATAGTTGTATAGGTCACAACTTTGTAGTTTATTCTAATCAATAGTATGAACTATTCGATTCCCAGTGTTAAAATATAATACTGAATGAATTTATGGCAAAGATGTTAAATTATCAACTGGTGTTATGTTTCTAAATGAAATACTTTATCCCCAAGTAGAAAAATTCTAATATCCTACATATTAATAGCGTTGTTCTAGAGTTGTTGAAACAACAGAATTAACAGTCATTTTGTAACTTGTAGATTAAAATGAAGTATTATAAAAGTGTACTGAAATAATTGATAAATTTTGAGTAGTTGAATAAATAACTGTAGATTATTTCGATATGTAATAATAAGGCGAGGGATCAACTAATGCATTACCACTGCGATACGGAGTTAAAAGATTATTTTCACAAATGCATCTAACCAAAATATTCCATGATTGAATTCGGTTAGTATAATTTGATAGAATTATAAGTTATCTTCTGTGTATTCTGCAAAAGTGACATCAGTAATATTCATTTATTTTGAATAACTAAAATAATTTTTATCTAAAATGCTTTACTAGGTTTACTTTATAGTCCAACTTGATACTGTTATTACTAACGTAAACAGTGTTATTTAGTTAGTCTCCACCGCAAATACTTTAAGTCTTCCTGTTTTTTGTAATTGTGAATTCACATTAGGAAAATACACAATATCACTAAATTATGAAATAATCTATTCATAAGAAATTAAATATGGACTAAACCTTTTTAACATCCAACAAAAACATAACCTTGATTATTAGAAATTATCCATTAACAGGGTGAATTAGATGTTTATGGGAAAGGATTTGAGCTTAATATATTTAGTTCATCATCGATAATAACCCCTAAAAAATATTTAGCTTGTCATCATAAGAAACCAACAAATTTTAATTTTCAATATTAGAAATTTATATTTATATATATAATGATGATAAAATTAATAAAAATATAAAATCACTTTTTTAAAGCTTAAGCTGGCTTAACACTACTCTGATAAGCTGGCTTTAGGAATTTAGAAGCTGGAGTTAACTAATTTCTTCTCACCGTTGATTTCTTTTCAGATATTGGAACTGAGTGAGGTTGTATTGTTAAATTTGATAATTATTGCTATTACACAATTGGTTTTATTGCTTATTGCTATTATTAAGATATTGATTATTATTAAGTATTTTCAGTGTCAGGCTTCCCATTTCCACCCTATAATTCTCGTTCAAACTGTTTGAGTTGTCTTTGGAATCCAAAGTTAGGGCAAACTACACTTCTCTTTAATCTTACAAATTAAAAGGCTTCCGAAAATGACATTGCTTATTTTCTCATAAGATAGGCGATAACTGTTGCAGCTGATCTGGAAACACCAGCAGCACAATGCACAAGCACACTTCCCTTTTGCAGTCCCTCGTCTATCTATTAATAGGTGTCTCCCCATATTCTCTTGATATTACATGATTCAATATCTAGAATATTGTAAACCTATGATTAATTATTGAATTTGTACTTTATGGACAATATCGGCATTAGATGGGTATTTAACATTCAATCCAGATGCTACTGTTAATACAGTTTTGATATTCTTTTATTTCAAGAGCTATTAATTGAATGCTGCAGTGTAGTCTCCTAACCACAAAGCTCCTGAACTGTCAGTTTAATCTAAGATAATATTCATGCTTTTGTAGTTATTGATGCCTCTGAATAGCATATTGATGCTGCCTTATATTCTAGAAATAAAAATAATTAATCAATTTAATTACCAATTTATTTCATATTTATATGAACTAAATCCTTCGAACTTGATAGATTTCGATAATTCTGGTTCTTTATGTTTCTTCATTTCATTTTGAATGTATAATTGCATCCTTCATTCTTTATTACATCTTTAACTTAGGAATTCCTAACTTAATTTAGATGTAAAATAAATTTATGATATAAAGCAGATTTTTGGGAGAATAAATTTAAATATAGTGAAATGAAAAATTTTAGATGTTCAAATACACATTCTATTTTTAATTTATTCTTAATCTACCCTATATTTTAACTAAAATTTAATTTTTAATTGCCATAAAGCAAAACTAATTATTTAAGAATTAGTTATGATAAAATTCTAGAACTGAATTTAGTGCATTTTATTGGCTTACCCTATCGATCTTATACCGTCTGATGAAATCGGTTTTCGTTTTACTTTTGTTTTGACTCAAGTCAAAGAATTCAATGAGAAAATCATTTAAATATCTTCTTTTTAAAAAAATGGTCTATTTTTTTTTTTGTATTTATCTCTGTTATTCCCTTTATTATATCATTAATATTCTACAAACCCATTTAGCAACATGTAACACTCTAATGAAGCTGATTTTATGAAAGATGAGTTCAATTATCAATTCACTTAATAATATACCGAATAAGAAATGCTAGAAATTATTATCCAACAACAGGGTATCCTTGATATTTTTGATGAACTTGTTGTAATCAATGTTGAAGCACATGCTGAAAAAAAGCAGCCAAAATTATGCGAAAGAAGAATGAAGAAGATTAAAAAAACTAGTAAATTTACAGCACAATTATAAGGCATAAGGAATATAAATAGTGGATGTGCTAAATTGTTTAAGATGAAATTAAATAATGACAGAACCATTTATTAATTGAAATAAATTTCAAAATATTGACGCACACCTTTAATAAAAAAGCAATTTGAATGACCACTCCTTTTTGGAAATGAATTTAGAAAGAAGGGGTTGAAGATTTTATGCGAAAATATATTAACAATCATTTTATTAACAACTATTAGAAATTATTTTTTGTTATAACTTCTTCGTGAATCTGGGTCATGATATTCCAAATGATTCACCCTTCTGCTTTTAACAACACTAATATTTCCCATCAAGTTAATGCACTATAAACTATATAATAATTTTATGAATTCAATTATTGGTAAAGACTGAAATAAAATACTGATTCTAATTCTGGCAACACAATAGAATATATACTTATTTGCAACCAAGGAATCGATAGAATATTTAAACAATAATTAAAAATCAATTAAGAATAAATTAATCATTGATCCACTTTATGAATCCTATTTAAATATTCTCTGATGGCTTTTATGCGTTGGATGAGATTCAATGGTATCATTGATAATAGCAAGGTTGTTCTTCTGATCTAAAAGATTGCATACATATATTTACTTCATTATTAATTTTGTTAGCAATGGGCCACCAGAATAATAAATAAACAAGGACTAAGACAACTAAGAAAACTATGAAAATGGTGACGGTGGTAGTTGTATTGGTATCAATATCTTTTTGCAGACTCTGATTAAATGTAACTAACAATTATTGGAAGATAGACCTAATATAAATGTCCTGCATTTAATCTAGTTTATGAAGAATAATGTACTTATTTCAACAGCAGCAATATCTGTATACATTAGAGATAATATTTTATTAGTTTATAGGTTATCCGTGAAATTGTAGGTAGTTCCTGAAATAGTGGTGGATGAAGAATCATTAAGGAGAGAATCGTAAACAGTAAGTAAATACCTGAGATTTTCAAAATGTCTGGATAAAGCCAAGGCTAGAGATTCATCTACAATTCCTTTGACGAATGCTTAGCAAGATAGCCAAATCCACAGGAGCAACTTGGATGACTTAAGCACAGGCTCCCGCTTTCATGATTGAATCAAAGTAATCGTTGTAAAGAGTATTGTGATAACCCAAATTTAATGAATGATCCTTTTGCATGTTAGTATTAAGGTTGTATAAATCTTTTACAAAGTCTGCAGAAATAGTCTTTGAAACATTATTTTTAACAGGGAAGGCAGAATCCCACAACATTTGTCTAAACACATTATTAGCAAAAGTGATTGAAGGTACTGCAAGTGAAGTGGCATTCATTTCCTGAATTAGTTATTACATAGAACTTTGTAAATTAGCACCAATAAGATAATGAGCAATAAAATAAGCAATCAACAATCCCATGGAAATGATGAATTTAATGTAAAAGTTACGTTTATCTTTGGAATCATACTTGTACTTCTTTCTTTTCTTTCTTCTTCCAAATTCTTCCACCACTCCTTCTCCTTCCTCGTTTTCCTCAAATGATACATCATTCTCTTGATTTGCGTCTTCATCTTCACCTATTTATAGAGTATTCGAAAAGGCTTCACACTTAGCGAACAATTGCTTAACTTTAGCTAAAGGTATCTCTAAGAACAACTTAATGACCTCTTCTTGATTCTGAGACACCAAACTAAAAAGCACAAGCAATCCACGGTATAGATATGACAGTAAATACACATGCAACAATAAGAAGCACAAGTAATACATTGGAATCATATGCTAGGTTTATAAGTTGATTTGTATAAAGATCAGCACTCTCTAATGTTGCTTGATAATAATCATTGAGCAAATTATATCTAATGAAAAAGATAGAATCAGCTTCAGGAGTAAAATCTTGTATATTAAAATTCATAACTTCAAATGCTTTTGAAATGATCTATGAAGTTCCTTGATTGATATCCACTAATTAATTGCTTTCAGTTCCACTGGTATCCTTACTAATCATCTTAATAGTATTAGTAGTCATTAATTCATCTTGTCTACCTGATACTTCAGTAGAGGATTGAATTTTAGATTGGATATCCTTCAAATCACTTATTGTAGTGTTCATATTTGTCAATTATGTTTTTACTTTATCATCAGTGGCTAAAACATTGATTTTATTCAATCTGCACAATTCCATAATTTACCATTGTATTCTTTGGCCTAAAGCTACTCTAATGTTAGAATCTTGCATCATAATGTATCCTTCTTAGATATCAGAAAATAACTATTAAGTCAATACATAATCAAGTAATCCCAAAACACCCAGACATATAATTAATACAGCTGCACTCCATTTAAAACAAATCATGCTGGTTTAATTGACATTTCTACTCTCTTATAGGAATTGAACGAAAGTTCTTCTAGATTTATAAATGTTAGCATGACCTCCTTCTACTTCATCTTCATCGTCTTCCTTTTATATTTATTGCATTCCTGCATTTCCTGCTCCTTTTTTTTGTTCATTTTCCTCTTCTTCATCTGAATCTTGATTCTTAAACTCTTCAATATCAAAAAGCTATCCATTGATATATTTCATAGTTCTGATTCCCAAAGCTAAATCAATCTTGTCATCTTTTTCTCCTATATTAGAAGAAGGAGTCTTTTCTTCTTCCTTCATAGGTTCTCTTTGTGAATAATCAAAGGTCTCATCTTGTTTCACACTTGAAATAGCAGACATCTAGAAATTCTAATCTCCTGAATACTCTCCAACATACTATTGTTGAGCCTAATCAAATTAGAAATAGAATTTGGTTTATGATTATTATTTCTTTTATTAAGATTAATCATTAGGATTGAGAAATGATTTCTCCTATTTGTTATTTTCAATCTTGATTATGTATCCTTGTAATTTAGAATCTCTAAACATAATCTCTCCAGCAGTAATATTAAATTTGCCTTAAACTGATTAATCTCTATTCTTAAAATTGATATCTGCTTCTGCTCCTGTTTTATTCAAATACTCAGTGATGTTTTCTTAGAAATTAGGTATTATACTACAGTGACCTTAGTCTTCTTTTTTGTGATGTAATTAAGATCTATATGAAACATTGTAATAAAAGTAGCTGAAATATTTTCAATCTCTTGAGTCTGTCCATTCACAATCATAAAGGCTACATTTTTAAATACTTTCTCTTGTCTCATGGCTCCAAAGAACTGGGCACCGTGTATAAATGATGGCACATATCTCACATAGATGAAGAATGGAAATATATATCCATTCTTCGATTTTCCAATGATCATTCTTTCTCTATTCATTATTCTGCTTTCGTAAGTTTATAAATATGTTTCCATGAATTAATCATGTGATTAAGCAAATACATTTGGCATCAAGATATTAACTTTTCTATTAATCAATTCACTCTTAGAATAACCGAACATTTTGGATGCTGACATATTCAATCCTATGATTCGACCAAAAGTCACATCTTCAGCTGAAATACTAATTAGCGCAGTGGATTCATTAGGAAAATCATTGATATTGTTAGTGATTTTGCCTCTGTCCATATTGACTGAATAAAAATTCTTCAATCTTTCCAATACTTCCTCAGCTGATTCTTTATCATACAGAATATCAACTAGATATCTCGAATAAATCATCATCAAATTTGGAGGGACATCCAGATTCATTTTAATAATTCGTTTCCATGAGTCTTCCAACATTTTATCTATAAACATCATTCGAGTTCCAACATCATACAATTTTCCGAGATCTGGGGTATCCTCACTCAATTGTGACCAAAACTCTATGTGTTGTGATGCTGACTTTTCAATTTATGCTCGAATTTCTCTAAGATTATTTTCAGTGGTCAATTCATTTACTGCATCAATGCCAGCAGCTGGATTTTTGGAAGATTTTGAATTTTCAAACATTTGTTCTTCTATAAGCTTCTTCAATCTGTAGATAATAAATTATTCGTCGACATATGGCTTCTCTTATTCTGCTGCTACCAATTCCTATAATGCTTGTTGATTCGATTACATTTTCTCCATTAAAAATAAAGAATGAGAAATTCGTAACTCTGTGCAATTGGGAAATCTGGTTAAGGATAATGTAAATATTCTTTCAATAATGTAGACTAAAACCACATACTACTCTTTAATTTCATCATCTTAATTTTACAATTTAAAGTTCTTCTGAAATTTAGTAATTTTCTTATTCCCCATATTTTTGGCTTAGCAAGGACAGTCTTCTCTTTTACAAATTGTTCTATGATATTCAACAAATCCATCCAATAAAGTGGCTATGTTCCTATCTGTATGATAATAATTCAAAAATTTGGTTAAATATTGCAACTGTTGAATTGCTTAATTTAGAGAATCAAATTTATTCGAGTCAATCATCATTATATCGTATCTATACTCTTTCCTAAGCATAACGATCAATAGCAATAAAGGACTTCCAAAGACCCATAAATAAGGGGCACCTTCATAATAGGTCTCTTCAACGATGATACCAAAAATGATCATACAAATTGTCCACATGATTATGGCATGTTGTGAGTTCAATACTTTTGAATAGTAGTAATTTAGATAGACACTCGATTTGTTGAATGAAAAAAATTAAATGACTGCAAATAATGTTAGTATGATGACAACTAGGATTCTTAATTCACTTACATTCAGTAATGTGAAGCATAAGACTAAAATGATTTTAAAAATTAGGAACTTCATATCATCTCTGCCTGAGATCTTGCAGAGTGGATTATTGGGTTGGAATCGAGATTCATAAAATGTCATGGTAACCAATCCACTGATACAAATCAAAATGAATGCTGCGATGGCTGATAAAAAGGCATGAAGTAAGTAATTTCCAGTGTAGCACTCTTAATCCGAATAGTATTTGTGATAGCCAGTCCCTGAGTCGCAATAGAATATAGTCAAAAAGAGATGCAGGGCGGGCATAAAGAAAATGTAATTGAGCACTTCAAAAAATATTTTGAGGACAACCAATGGTCCACTCAACTTACCTACTGATGTGGTTTATGCTTTGATTGCAATAAAAATGATTAAAATTATCAGTAACAGGAAGAACCCCATGATGATGTAGAGCACTAAAATGAAGCTTTGAAATTCCAAGTTCTTCAAGTACGGGGAAATCATAAAGTACCCAAAAAATGATTGAAATGACTCTGCCCATGATTTCACCTTCCATAATGATAAAAACTATCATAATCACCAATATATGTATACTTCATCACTAAAAGCAAAGTAAAACACTTGGAAGCTCTCAATCAGCACAAAAAAGATGTAAAGAAAAAGCGGGAAGTTCTCACCAGAAATTAAATAGTAGATGATTTCAAAAAGCAGATTCTTAAAAGAGTTTTGCATCTTATCCAAAGCTGATTTATCATCATCAAATATAGAAACACCTTGCATGTTTTTATATTATTTGATATATAATAATAAAAAGAATGGTTATCTCTAAATAATTTTATATATCAAATCCCCATATATATTAATGAATATCACACTTTTTTCCTCCATATGATTATATTCACCTACTGTTGTTGCTATGTACTAATTGTCAGTTTGATCTCGAAGATTCGTTTGTCGTACTATCTCAAAATGCAATTGCTACATGAATATCCGTAATCGTAAGGCAGAAACAAAAGTGTGGAGCAGTTACTTTTGAATTTGAATTGCAATTTGAATACTTGATTGATTGAATCGTATTGATGATGGAAAACTTATTCAGCACAAATGGATTAAGCATACGGTCTTTTTAATGCATCCAACTTCAGTGCTTGTTATATGCTTCCCTTGTATGTCCTTGAATATAACACAATATCTTACCAAGAGGATTGGAAATAATCTGCATAATTGAGTAATCGGGTTAAAAGATATTCATCAGTGCCACTGAATTCAGACAAGAATGTTGGAACTTAGGCATGTTTGCCGACATGAATTTCAAACCACATTGAATAATAATTCAAATTGGTTGCTAGTTCCTTGAAGTAATTCGATTTGTAGGTGATTCTATAACTGTAGGCTTCCCTCTTGCGATATTCATTTCCATTTACATTGTCATCGAATCCTGATCCTATAAAATCTGTGTCTTGTGTCTAATAGAATACAATTTTCGACTTCTCCACTTCCCTTATGTATGAACTCACCTTCTAATAGAATGGCATTATCAATTGTCTATTGTTCCATCCTGGCCAAATGCATTAATAGTAAGTCTTATAATAATTACCGCATTGTGGGTTGTTCAGAAGGTCATACCCAAGGACATTCTCTTCATTCTTCATCTTTTCAGCTATCTTTTACCAAAATAATCCGAAGTATTCAGTTAAGTTGTTCGTGTTCTTGTAGAGATTTTCAAAATTGCTGCCGACATCGTCAGTTTTAAGGAAGGAATCAAAATTCGTTGAGCATTGATCTTTGTTGGGATACAGATCAAATTTTATTTTCCCATTATTATCATAAGGAACTGGAAAGTTTGTCCTTTGAATTGCCCAATCTGGAAACCCATATCCACAGAATTGCTTGCTCAGCAATACTTGATCTGCAACCAAAATAACAGAAAAATTATTTTTCTTCGCTTATTAAACAATGTGTTCCAAATCAGTTAAATATGTAGAATTGTAGGTTACGTTGTTTTGAGATGTAGGCTTAAAAGGGATTAGTTGATCAAAGAAAACAGAAATTCTTAGAAGATTGAATCCAATTTTTGAAAGTGCAATTAAATCATCGTCGCTTATTTTTGTTAAAGGATAATCATTAAGATTGAGTCCGTGAAATATTTTTATTGTCTCATTCTACTCTATATAATACCCATTTTGAAATTCACATAGCACGATTGAGATTAGGTAATTAAAAATAATTATCATTTATTAATATTCAATGCTGATATGACCAATTTAACCCTACCTGAAGCGTTTTCCACTCTTCATCCATTCTTGTCTCATTAAGCCAACGAGCAATATCCTATCCTTGATTTGCAAGTGCAATTCAACCCACTTCTCAAAGCATCCCTATATTGAAAGCATATTCCAGTATCACAATTTAATTTGAATCATATTTCAACTATATTGAATTGACCTTTGAATTAAGTACTTCAAATCGATTAATTTATTAACCCTACTGCATAAGTACAGCTTCCATTTTATAATTCTAAAGAGACTCATCTTGTCTGTATCTTCCTTCAGCAAATATACTTGAAACCGTTGAAAAATAATTGTATCCTTTGTATTGTCAATAAACCCAAGATTGCAAATGCAGTATATTTTGTGGTATGTCAATATCCATATTTATAAACAAAAATTAAAGTATATTATATACTTTATACAATAACCTTTGGAGAGAATTTTTGAAAAAAAGATCATTAGTAATGATCCAAATTCAGTTAGTTTAGCTAAAGTTTTGAGTTGGTTGGTGTTCATTTAATTTAAAGGATACATTAAAATCATATAATAGTTTGCAAATGATCGTTCATCCACTTTCTTTAAGTATGAACAATATAAATTGAATCCAAATCAGGAAATAGGGTTCAATGATTACTAGTTTCTCAATATTAAGTTCTCTCTCTAATGTCTGATGTATGTATTATATAATAGAATGGCATATTGAGATATTTATTAACTCATCCTGACAAAATAAATTAATTTTGCTTCTTTAAAATTACTTGATAAATAAGATCAATCAAACAAACTTCATATTCCAGCACATTCTGTTATCTTTGTGCACTCTATTCTAAACATATCAGCAATATCATTTTCATTTTTCAATATTAATTCTAAATTCCTTTTATCATCTGAATCAAATAGAATTTGTCAAAGTTGTCCTATTTAAAGCAGTCATCGATTTAGGATTATCCTTTCACCTTTACTCTTAACTCTATTATTTGAAGAGTTGGGTGAGATTTCCGTTTAGTGACAACCCACAATTATGATGAAATGTGGAGCTGCCATGTAGACCACATTAAAGTCATGGAATATTCTAATTACTGTATTCTGATAAAATGAATGCAGTTCTTGGTCCATCAACAAAATTACCATGATATTTAATGTGAATCGATAGGGCTATGCCCATAATACATAATAAAAACAGCGTATTTAATTTAATATCCTTTGAATTCCAAATATAATTAAAAAAATCGTTAAAAAATAAATGGGCAACGAACCATCAGCTCCAAATGATAAGATTGATTTCTTGAGACCAGTTCAAAAGAAGGCACCCGAACCTACTTAAATCAACAAAGTATAGCAGAATGAATGGAGAATTGGATTGCAGCATCCTCATCTCTTGTAAACTTTGGGAGGTCAACCTGAAGGTGATTAGTATCGATACTTTTTTGAATTCTGTCAAATCACATTAACATCACTACTTTAGGAACGCTACGGAACAAAAAAGTACTTCCCTGAAGAAGACTTGTAGGCATTGCTTTTAGGTATAAGTAGTGCATTGAGTTTCTTGTAAGAGAAGGGGTTGTCACATGGAGGTAAATTATTATTATCATATTTCGATTAGATATATGCACAGCAGAAATCTTCTTTGATTCTAACAGTTCAAGTTTCAAAGTTTTGGATTCAAATTTAATTAATGGAAGAGGAGCTTCCATTCAGTAATTGCTGTCGGGAAAGTTGAAATATCTTGCACCTGAAATATTACAAAACCCAACACAACCATTATCTGAATTGCAATTGAGTAAAGGTGATGTTTGGTGTTTGGGCATGGTCATGTTAGAGGCCAGTACTCTTAAACAAAATGACAACCTCTATCAGAATGGTTTATAATTTAGATTGATCCAGGATAGAATTAATGAAGTAGCTTAAATCTACAATTTACAATTTGCTGAGAATATTGCTCTTATGCTCAATTTCAACCCAAATGAAAGACTAGACCCAGTTAATCTATTTAATTATCTACTGGAACAATAAAGAACTGCAAATGAATAGGATTAGTAGGTAGTTTAACAATAGTAATATTAACAATTACTTCAGTAATAATAATTGTATTAACAATAATTATGTTAACAACAACAATAGTAGTAATAGTAATAGTTATTATATCAATAATCCTCGTAGTAGTAGTAACTGACTTATCAATAGGCTTAGTAATCTCAATTATAATATTAACAATAACCTATATAATATTTACCTTAATAAGTTGAACAATAGAACTTCTAATAATAACAGGTATAATAGGCATAACCATCACAATTACAGCAACAACCCCAAGTCCCTCCCTAATATCTTCAATAATAGTAATAATAATAATTATAGACAATCCAATAATAATAATAATACAATACTCAATAAACACAATATTCATAGTAATAGCAATAGCAATAACAATTTACTTAAACTCAACAATAAAGATAAAACTACCATCAATCAAGACCATCCTAAGATTTTATGATGACTCAACCTGATATGAATCAAACTATGTAAGGTGGTGTTTCAAGAGAAAGAGTTCCCACCAAAGTAATTAAGAAATTAGTTTATCCTGATGGAAGAGTTGAATACTAAGAGAAATCACAGTCTGCTTCAAGAATGGGTAATTTATTGTCCTACTATTGTTTTAGTCTAATAGCCCTAATAGTAGAAACCACAACAACCAGTTCCTTAACAATAATAACAACCCTAAGCAATGCCACAGCAATAATAAATTATGGCTCAATAATAATAGATAATGGCCCAATAATAGTAGATGATTTCTCAATAATAAATGACTTCCTAATAATAATAGTTTACTTAATAACCTCAATATAACCCATAATATTAATAGCAATAATATTACTAGTAGCCATAACCTTAATATCAACAGAGGTAGAATGTTCTTGGCAACATTGAGAATTAAATGCATGGAGTTTCTAATGAATAAAACATCACCAGATTGAAATAAGAAATTGAACACTCAAAAACTTTAATTTAATAATACAACCAACAAAAACCTTCAGTTTAGGCTGAATCTATTGAGGAGAGAATTAGAAAGGTTATCGCCCAATCATAAGCATTAAGAGAAAACTTCGCCTGAATTATATATATATATTATAAATTATTAGAAAATGCTACCTAAATTAAATCCAAGTTTCTCAACACAATAAGGGAAATCTCAAGAAGATCTGAGCTTGAATGAAGCCAAGAGACGTTAAAAGCTACTTGAGTTGGAATAGCATAATGTTGAAAACAGAATCAGATAAATTACTAAAGAGAATGAGAAACTGTCCAAAAAAGTTTAAATGGCAGAGTAATTGGCTTTGGATGTGTATGCTTCCCGTCTGGCTTAGAAGATCAAGGTAATTGTTTATTTCTTATAAAATTGTCTAGAAAGAGCAGAAATTGCAATAATAATCCACTGTTGATCCATTAAGATATTAATAAACATAGTATGAGAGAATGAATCTTAAGAAAATGAAATAAGATGTTAAGGAAATGAAACACAACGATGCTTAATTGATGAAAAAATCACTTAAATACGAATTGATGAGAACTAGTGAAGATTAGAATAAAAAAGCTTAGAATCTGAAATTAAGAGCCGCCTTGATCAAGGAAGACGAGAAGTTTTCTTAAGTTAAGATTCTCGAGAAAATGTTTGAGAAATAATAAAAAGTTAGATCCCTATAAGAACTTGAAAAATAAAAGATCCTTTTGGAAAATGAAAAATACGAATACTAGATTAAATAATTAGAGGCTCAGGAAATTAAATTAGTCGAAAAATTACAAGCTACATAACAAAGAGAATAAGATGTTAAATAGAAGTTAATGGCAGCAACTAGACTAGCCCCTGAAGAATTTGATAAAACTTACTTAGGTGGCTAATCAATAATTTGCGAATAGGGGAATCATGTATGATTACACTTATAAAAATATAGGAAAAGACCTAAGAGGAATAAAAGGAACAGTAGGAGGATCCATAAAAAAATGAATAAGAAGGAGGGAATGAAGGATAGTAAGGCACTTAAACTGAATGAACTGATATATAATACGGATCGTCAGTATATATTGTAAGAAAATTTACTTTCGAATTAAATTCATTTTTCAATATCCTTATAAATTTTTATAATTATATTATATTACAATGAATTAAATGTTCTATAATATTTATGTATAAAAAATTGAATATATTTGCTTAATTAAATAAAGGTATATGATATGATCTAAGAGTAATTCTATAGGTGTCATACAATTTTTCATAAAATGTAAACTCCTTTCAACTACTGATATAATCTTTAGATATTACTTAAGATAGATTTTGAGCATTTTTAAAGAAACTTTAAGTATTGATCTTTGCGATTATAATTCAATTTATAGAGGTAGAAACCTTATATTAAAACTATTATCAGATGATTTTAATTAAAAACATAATAAATTAATTAATGGAATTTAATTAAGCTGATCTCTTTTTAAGAGCTATCTCTATTTGTGAATTGTAGATGAAATCAAATAAAGACTTAGAATATTACAATTAGTGCGCGAATTAATACTTAAAATACAAGACTGAATAAAATAGTTTGACAAAGGAATTTAAAATTTGTGATAAACAGTGCAATGAAAAAAATGAATGCAAAAGATAATGTTTAAGACTGTTGACTGATTAGCAGCAATCATTAATACAATATTTTGCAAAAACTATTTGAAAAAGTTTGACTATTTTTGTTTATTGTATAATAGCATAATTTCTAAAAATTAATTTAAGCTGATATTAATTTATTAATTTCTTGGTCTTTTTTTGCAAATTTGCAAATGTTTTGTTAAAAATGCATTTCACCCATTTTTTAAATTGTATATGTTTGTTGTATTAATCGATGAATCTACACTGTTTTGTAACTTATGAAACTTAATGTAAGACACTAATAATAGTTGTATTTGAAAATTAATTTGTTAATATTGCATAAATATAATTAGTATTTAGCATTTATTCAAAATTGAACCATATTTTTTCAATTCCAATTTTATTTTTCAAAATTAATAAACATTAACTTTATCATTGACATTTAATGACATAAATAATAACTAGATAAAATATTTAATAAATGAATAAATTCTAAGAGCAAATAATAAAACAAAATTAGATAATTCGTAATCCTCTCTATTAAAACCTTATTATTTTGGGATAATTTTTTTATACTCTTATATGGATTTTTATAGCTATTTTAGTTTTGGGACATTAAAGGGAAAACCTGCATTTTAAAATATTTTATTATTTCAGTTTACCCACTAGTTCAATACTATTCAATATTGAGTAAGTCATCATATAAAGCATTACGATAATTTTTTCATTAACCCTTCTTTTGGCCCTGTTGTTCGGAGCCAACTAGAAATATTCAAAGAAGATCCTTGGGGTCCTTTGGGATGCCTACCCAAATATATGGCAAATCATAATTATTTAAAATAGTGGGCATTGCTTACTAACCGATAATCTTAACTTCATACTGGGGATAATTAATATCATTATGGCAATTATAATTTCTCAATTAACCAGCCTGTACTCATTTTCACAAAACACAAGCCAAAGATTAATTAAATCCTATTTCGAAAGGACCCTGCTTCCGTTTTGCTATTCTGTATTAGCATTGTTCGCAGGTTTTCAAATAAATAACTCATACATATCGTATCTCTATTTAGGCGTACAATTGATTTTTGATCTCTACTTTGGGATATTATACTATGTCAAACCCCATATGCAGTATTTAAATATGAAAACACAGAAATTGGCTGTTCTGTGTTCCTTCATCAGATTTCCACTGGTGTTGTTTCTATTTTATTACCAAGGCGACGAAGTTATATATTTATCGTTATTTTCACTTCCACTCATGATACACATCCACTTAATCCTTTGGGAAAACAGATTCATGAGTTTAATATACCGAACCAACATGTTTTTCTAGTACATCTGTCTTGATAAGTTTAGAGAGAAGGACAACCTAATCGAATGCTACATCGAGTACTATTTTGAAATCATCAATTACAAGAAACCATTGAACAGGGTTTTAATGCTTAGTATATATTGCAATCACATGAACATGTGCTAAAACCTCAAGTGTTTTTGTTAAAACAGGAACTTCCACGATGGTGTTAAAATTACCACTCAGTTATCAATAGATCTAAAGGATATTTAGCAGTAAGTCAATTTTGCAGTGACAGAATAGGATATTTAAAAGAGTTTTAAGGAATTGATGTTATTATTTCTTGACAATTATATCAAGAATGTAAGATATACTGCTATGGGAGAAACGTTAATCTTAAAGCTAAGTCTTTACGAAAGTGAAAACTTTAAGCAGAGACTGTTTTAAGCCAAGCTCAGATTTCAATATCTTAAGTTATACTATAATAAGTACCACCCCCAATTTTTGGAGAGATGGGCAACGTGTACATTGGTTACTGAAAAACTGCAACTTTATATAGGTGGTGTTAATAATTTGAATTTCGATCTTTCGTTGTCTTTGTAATATTTTAAATTACTAGAAAACATTCAACATGACATATGCAAAGTGATTGAAGATAAAATACTTATTTTAGAATTGTTGAAAAGAAATTATTAAAATCCAGTGCCTTATCTATTACACAGCTCCACTCAACAATACTTGAATGAATGCAACCAATTAGAATCACAAATAAAATAGCTTATTCAACTTAATGGAATATCGTCTGAAGTGAGAGATTTGTAGGATGAGTTCTATTCTTAAATTAAAATAGACTACGGATTCAAGAACATTCGCAAAAAATCAACCATTCCTTTCATAAACCAAAACCAAACAGCCTTTGTAATCTGTGATTATGAAGGAGAACTTATAATAAAAGATTATTCTAGCAACTTCATTTCCATGATTGATGTAAGTTCATAAGTAAAGGGAAGTGCTATCGAATAAATTGTTCCCGTCATATTGTAACAATATCATAGAGTTGCTATTTCTCAAATGATCAATACTGGTCAAACCAAACTTGTCAATAAGGATTAATACACTCTAATGGTCAAATCAGAAAAGTACATCTTGGAAGTAGATGCACTCTTGAGATTTGATTATAGACAACTGGATTTTTTAAGGTTCATAGGTTTCATCCAATTGAGAGACAAGGACAGCATTTTATTACTCGCGAACGACAAAGGAAAGCTTGACTCTTATTCTAGATCTGCTGGAGTGCTGCTAAAACTGGATGAAATTGACCTTAACTTTTTGAATTACGCTTATTTATCCCCTTGTTTATTAGATGATAAAGTGGAGTAGGAGTTTGATGGATTCATATTGATTCCTAAAAGATTGTATAGATCTGATATTTTGGGATACATGAGGTACTTTATAGGATCTCCTGATGAGTGCTATATTTTCTTAGTCAACGCTGAGCATTAAAAAAAGACGTATACTTCAGTTACAATATAATGTTTGAAGGTGAATTCATTCTATTAACTGAAAGAACTGGATTTCAAGATAATAGCGTTGGATATTATGATTAGATAAATTATGATCTTAAAGTAAGTGTACAAGTCTCAATATTTGGTTTCTCCTGAATGTATTCGCAAAATATAAACTTTCAAAAAGACTTTTAAAATTCAACCAACAATAGAATTTAATGAAGGGGAATATAATTTAATTTATGAAGATGATTCAGAAAGAGAAATATAGATCCAAGGCAGAAACCAAAATATTCTCCCAGAATTCATTCCATCCCTGGATTCAATCAGAACATAAAATGAAAAGTTGCTTCTCACTTTTGACTAATATAGAGACTATCCCCACACTTTAAGCAAGGATAAATCCTTCGAATAACAATAGAAATTGGACACTTTTGAGGGTTCAAAGTCTGAGTTGGATGTATACAGTAAATAAAAAAAGAATACTAATTAACTTATAGAAATTGAATTGAATGCTGCAGAAGATCAAAACATTGAAGAGTAATTACAAATTATTTTAACTACTGTGAAAGCCAGGTAAACACGAAAAGAAATGCTAGAAATGAAAAATCAATTGAAAAATAAACATAAAGCAAGTACTTGGCATGGAAATGGGAATGCGTATACTTAAAAATAACTCGTTAGAAGTATTGTACATTAATTTTAAATATCTTCATTGAGTTCATTATTATCTATCAAAATAGTGTCATGCTTTTTGGTAATAATAAATATTGGATTTATCCTTGGATTTGTTATTAACAGTCTTATCAATATAGCTGGTATATAGTTGGATTCTAATAATCAAACCTATCCATTAATATTGTTTCAAGATCTCAATTTGGTATTAATGGGGATACAACTTGAGGATTGGAGCAACGAAAATCAAGAACTAGCATAGATCTATAAGGTTTTGGGAGCTGAACAATACTAAAATTTGAGTATTCATGTCAATGATATTGAAAATGACTATCATGTATTTCTATAGGAACTTGATCAAGAAACAATAGAGGTTGAAGAAAATGGGATACCAATTACTTATTTTAAGAAATATTTCCTCAAAAATTATATGGTGGAAAAGTTGAGAACCATATAAGAAGCTGAATCTGTTCCATTATTTGGAGATGACAGTGAGTTCTTATTTGATAATTTTCCAGAAATTGCAACCTAATTATGGAACTTAAAAAGTAAAACAACCAGAGATGTAATTGATAGAATTGATGAATTGGATCAAATGTCAAAGTTATTACTGACCCTTTCTATTATTTGTAATCTTATAGCAATAATAATATATTTGACAATTCTGGTGGGTATTATTTAGTGGAGAAATAAGATTTATTCAACCTTGTTTCTATTCAACAACATTTAAATGTTGATTACTTAATTATCGGACTCAATCAGTCGTTCGGTTATCTAAGCATCAAATAACAAAGGGTATGACGAGGAGAAAAACAAGAAAATTAAGTTTCTTTGGTAAGTTTATGGAGCTGCAGCCTTTTTTATACTTTCTATCATCTCCTTAGGATTTTATATACCATTATTCCTGTATATAGATTCCGTTAACTTATAATCAATCGATGTTAATTAACTACAGACTGAACTCACCTTGATGCAACTGAAATAGTCATTGATTCTCACTTGGTGGTCTGCAAATCAAACAGAACTTGTGTATAATACTAGCTTAATCCACAATACCTCTATTATTCAATAGGCGATTGATGAGTGCACTCCTTCAGAGTATTTTGTTTTGTACGATCTCCCTTTTGATAGTAAGTATGATTACTTTCCAGAAATTCAGCAGTATACTACAACTTCTATTTGCAATTGCTCTTTGCTGTAAAATTAATTATAGAATGGATTTCAGGGATTTTAATCTTATGTCTCTCAACACTTATATGATTCAGATTCATAAATTGAAATTTTGCAAGCCTATAGATTTGTATTTGAATTTCAAATCCAAAAAAAAAAAGAGTTTGATGATTATATGGAAAATCGATTATAAAATACTTTATTAACATTATAAATCATTCTAGAGATTAGCGTGATACTTATAATTACAATATAATCGTCACTTCTATTTATGATTCATAATTAAATTAAGAAATTAGTTAAATCTACTAAAAGCATCATGTACTTATTTCCTCCTCAAATTCTGGCAAACAATAAATATGCTCTATAAGTATTAATCTAAGGTAGCAATTAATGAGAATATTTTTGTTATTTATTATTTTAAATCTAATAATCTATTCATTAAAATCAACAGAGTTCAATTAATTTCAATTAAATTCTTGCTTTTCCTCTAGACATCATTATCTAGAATAACAAAAGAAATTAATTGTAACCTTATTTTACATAAAATAACTTAAAAAAAAAATGAAGTTATTTAATGTTTCCTCTTATTCAAATACTGATGGTTAATTAATTAATTTTTAATAAAGAACAGTTTTAATTTATGATAAAAATATATACTAATAATTATTTGAATAGATATAGATCTATTGTTTATATATAAAAAGGTAGTAAAAATTACTATGGAAAATCGTTAAGATTAAAACCACTTAATTATTATAATTTCTGTTTTTAATTAATAATTAAATCTCATGAGTAGAAATGGCCTTGAATAGATTTGTAATTAAGCAACTAATTTTTGGAAATCGTAACTTTTGCCATAAAAAAAATAAGTTGAAGAAGTTTCTACTGATTTTGGTTCAAATATCCTCGTTGAATGCTCCTTTATTGAAGTTTCAGCTAAAAAAACTGAAGAGTTTCTCTTTCCATAAGCTCTAAACCTCAGCCAGATTAACGAAAAAGGTGAGTAAGAACCTCTTTATACTTAAAAACACAACTCATCTTAAATCGAAATTGATGAAAATTTTGAAGAAGAGGGAGATGAATTATCCTGTTCTCAATAACAGAGTAAAAGGAAGGAAAAGAAGAAATCTAGAACTCGATCAAATAAATCAAGTAAGAATTTTCATTAAAAGATTAGCTAAATAAAGAATTACAATAAGCCAAGAAGCTTTCATCATGGAACAAACTAGAATGGGAACCAACCTCAAAGACATAGCTCAACAAATCCCTGGGATGACTATCAACCAAATTAAGAGTGTATTGATGAAAAAACTAAAAACATGTAGTAAAAATAACGATTTTCAAGGTGAAGATATTTCAGATCTAATAGAAAGGATATCTAATTTACAACAGTAATTAAAATAATTAAACATAGGGAAGAAAACATAGACAACGCTACGAAAATAGAAGAGTTAAGACAGCATATCCACACAATGGAGAATCACTTGGATTAGGCGAAGAAGTTGATCTTATAAAAATATATGATTTTATTTCAACAATAGCAGTGAGGAGTTTAGATTTCACTTACTTGATTTTTATTAACAAGTTGAATTTGAGCATCATCAATTTCAAACTATAATTATGTTGATCAAATTCTAATCGTAAAGATAATTCAAAATAATTAGTAAATAACATAATATAAAATTATTGTTAGTGTAATCAAAAAAATTCTAAATACACTCTTTTATTGAAATCGTTTCTCTTCAACTATTAAAAGAAAGTCTCAATATCCCTTTCATTAGTAAAGAACTTGCTCTCTTCAGAGACATTAGCTAATTATTTTAAATACAACATATTCATATTTTGATTGGCGATGTTAAAGATTAATAGATGTATATTCTTTTTCTTAATTAAACTTTGAAGCCGATTGATGGACATCTAATTGTAATTTCTCACTCCTTCACTAAACACACAAACATATCTAAGCACCTAATCATCTTTTTCCTCATTAATCATATCAATGTCGATTTTATACTAATTCTATACATAAATCTCAATATATATTACCATGTTTTCGTGCAGACTATTATTTTCCGATAATTCATCACCATCCTTAATTATTTAACTAAACCCCTATGAAAAGGTTTTGCCATTTTTCGAAGAATTGGAAAACCCCCTGAATTCGACATCCGAAAATTTAAACTCTTCCTGCTCTATCTGCTATTTAATCTTATTTGATTTTAGATGTAACGCTAATTGCTTTCTCTATTCAAGTTTATCTTTTTCAAATAGAATTGCTATCACTATTTCTAACACCAAAAATATATTCGCCTGTCCTCCAGGTTTAATTAAGGTCTTATCAATTATTGATTCAAGCAATTTCTTATAAGTTCCTTTAACCTGTAATGAGAATATCTCATGTAGCGATTCATTAAAAGCATATAATGCAACCTCAGCATCTTCGTCCAATTTTTGAATAACATATTTGCACATTGAATGGGACAACGTAATTTACTCATTGGTCATTTCTGATGAATAATCTATCAAAAAGATAAATTCAAGCTTTTTTGGCTAATTCTATTAAGAAAACTTTATTAAACAGTCAATATCGATTTAACATTTCTTAAAAATCTTGATTAAGGATTTTAAAACCAATTTTTATAGTCCTGGATCATAAAACCCATCAGCTTTTAAAATAGACACAAATTTTTATGATGCCTAAAAGTAATCCTCATTGATCATCAAGATTAAAGCCTATTGCATACATAAAATGAACTTACTTCTAACCCATAGATCTTCTCTTGGAGTATTTCAAGAGGTATATTTCTAAAGATATCCACAAACTCTTTAGAATCCAATTGCTTAATGTCATCTTTAATTGATTTGAGGATAGCGAACTTATTTTGAGCCTCCTTTAATTCTTAATACGCCTTTTCCATAATCTTTGCCTTAACAAAACAGAAAGCTTTTTTTATGTAAATATTGATTTTCATATATTGAATTGAGAAGGAATCAGGGAGATTTTAAATGTCATCCATCACATCATTGAATTATTTAACACTTTCATTCAAAAATGTTGATTATGTTTTAGACATACTATAATTAAATAGAATGCAAGCTAATTGGTACTTTCGAAAAGCAATCTTATATTCTAAGATTTATTTCTTTTGTAGGAATTCCTCATCCAAATAAGCTTTTGATATTGGAGAAGACCTTCTTGGAGAGGATCTCCTTGGACTATCTATAGGTTCTAAGAGTTCAGAGTTTTATTATTTAATCTATTGGTCTTCTTATGTGATATTCTTGACTTAATTTATTGTTTATCTCAGACCTCGATTTTCAAATTCTGGCTAGCTTTTCATCTGTGAGGTTTCTATATAATTTCTAGATTTTTGAATAGTTTGTCCTCTAGATAAATTAGTTTGTGCATTTTGTATTACCTTAGTTTTTTTTTCAATATCCTTTATGACACTTCTCATCACCTAATCATCTTGTCTCTAAAACTTCTATAGAACGTTGTTTTTCAATCGAAGATATAATTTCATAAGTTGTTGGTCATCATGAGTTTGGGCTGCTTAATTCGCATACTTCTGCATTTCAATGAGACTTTATAAATCTTGGTTTGCAATTAAGACAGATTCTTCTTACTCGTTCATAGCCTCAAGATATCTTTGGTTTTTCATATGTATTCTTGCGATATTGTTAGCACAGATGCCAACAGCAGGATTGTTGTTATATTTCTTGTAGAAACTCTTAGACATGCTTAGAATGATAAGTGCCTCAGCTTCATTAATTTCTTATGATTCTTATAAGAGTTTGTTGTTTGAATACTTGATGCTATTAAGTAGATTAATTATGACTTCGTATGATTGCCTAATCTCCTGGTTGTAGAATAAATTAGAATAGCTTTGTAAATTGAAATCCTGAATCTCTAGATACTTCATATCCACGTCAGTTAATTTGATTAATTGGTTTATTGGCATTTCGAGGGATAAAGCTAATATAACTCCTTTTCTCCAAAAGTAAAGTAACAAGGCAATATGAATGGCACAACCTATGACTATCTCATTGATCAGTGTAGATTAAGCAAGATTATTTTCTCCAGCTAGTTTTTAATAATCTACCAGTGACATCGAATATAGAAAAACAACTGAACAGTTTTTCAATAATTGTTGGGTTAAATCTATTGAGGGATAATTTGGGTGTGTAAAGTAATAGGATTGGAAAAATACTATTCGCTATTCACCCATCCCATCGTAGATCATATTCCATTCTCTCTATTGGATTGGGACACTTATTAATGAATATAGTTGGCTTTAAAAATCTTCAGTTTAATTAGGCCATAGGGATAAGGCACTTTCCAAACTTCCATTTATGAGTTTACCATTTGATATCTCATTTAGTTAACCGTTTGTTAGAAAAGAATAGATAATTGGTGAATTGGAGTTTACTATTAAGGGAATACTTAATTTTGTTTGAATTTAAAAATTACAATAATGAGCTTGATTGCCAACATTCAAACTCCAGATTTCGCTATTATTTTCTATTTTAGGAAAAACAATTTAAGAAGAAAATTGGGATAAAAAAGATTCGCAATTGTCTGGTGTTTAGCAATTTTTAATTGATTTATTATACCATTCGTTTGCTATTGATTCATTTTTACTGAGAAAGGTGATTCCCAAGCCATTTTGGCAGAGCAAATGGATTTCTTCAAATATTGCATTCTCAATATAGATTTTTATAACTCTAGTAAGTGATGAATATAATTATAAGGTTGAAAATTAGTTTGAGTATTAATCTTTCAATTGTTGTAGACTTGTAGCTGGTTAAAAGTGCCAAAATACTTGATCGAGTTCTTTTTCATTCAATTATTAAAAATTATTGATGGAATTGACAAGATTAGATATGCCATAGAGGGAATTGATATCTGGCCTAATAGATCGGCCATAATAGTATCTCGTGAATCGGATTGAGTTCTAAATCAAAATTTCAATATTACTAATGAAGTTTCAGTATAAAGCAAGGAAGAAAGTATTTCGCTCTAGGAAATGTTTGTACCTTTAAAATATAATCCTAATAGCACTATCAAACTACAAAGGAAATAAAGTAGTGCGAGAAATACTGTCATTAGTATTAGCCTATATCTCAATTCCATTAATATATTTATAAATGGATTTTCAAATTATAGACAAATTATTTATTGGATTTTGGTTTATTAATATATTGATTACTCATACTTCTTAATTTAAGATTTAATTTGGACTCCAAGGTAAATAAGTAAATGTTGATGAAAAATTGGGAGTTTGAATTTTGATGACAGTTTATAATTAATCAACAATTTCCCCCATTAATTAACAAATCAACTAAGTCCTTTTCTAGACAGTTCCTTCATAAGCATAATATTAAATATTAACTATCCTATATATTAATGTTCATTCAGAATATATCACAACCCCAATCTACTGAAAATTGAATTTATGAATTGACTAGTAGAAAATACTCCTCCTATCACAGCGAAGATGGCTACCACTAATTGAGTCCAAGATGATATTTTGCTCTAATAAATTGTAGTTATTGGATCGAATTCATATTTAAATATGATTTAAGGTAGCCTTTCACTTGTTAGCAATCTGACTATAGATAACTTTTAAAATCTTACTTCTGTTCATATGCTGTAAATGTGTATAAGTCTGCCTCTGTGAACAAAGTCTCATAATGACTTTCAACCAACTTCAAATAATATTAAGTGTCCTCTTTTTATTTCAGCTGGTGAGTTGTACCATCCAGAGTGTTAGTAGTCTTGAAATACCTTCCGAAAGTAGGTCCTTGCTTTTAGGGTGTAAACTCTAACCAGTTGATAGTATGTGAAAGTTAAATGTCTTGGGAAATCAACTATTATTAATATTTACAAGTTCATACACTAACTGCCTATCCCTTCCCATGGAAACTGATGTGAAAATTACCGGGAATTCTTTTGATGTAGAAATGCCCAAAGATTTGACATGATTCTCCGTAAGTGAATGCCATTGCAGTTAGATCATTCATATCTATATATTGTTATCCTCTTCTTTCCTCTCCAAAATCTTCAGTAAACAACACTCTTCTTCCATTTTATTATATGTAAGAATATTTGCATTGTTGAATACTCTCCTTTCTAGGCAAAGGCCAATCTCGACTTGCATATGCCAATAAAACATCTTAACATGTTATACATTTTTGCCCCTCAAACAATTATGCTCCATAACAATCATTTACTTCATTCGCATTATGCCAATTCCAGTGATACAATGATTGTTCAAACAATTTCACATTCTCTGCATACTCTTTATTAATGAATCTACCATCTCTAATTCTTAACTTATGTATTGTGTATTCCATATCTTCCAAATGAGTGCCTGTAACATCTTGCTAATCCAATGATAAGGCAAAACATGTCATATCATGAACTGTGATATTCAAATTAACTCTTATTCTTTCATCAACATTGGTGGTATCAATCGTGGACAATACTTCCAATTAAAATGATCTTATTATTTCTCCAATAATTAGAAATCCAACTGAAAATATAGTAACAAGGGCTAATATTCCACCACAAGTAGTCTTCTTTGTTTCTACTTTTGACTTTGTGAATAAATTGATATACTACATAAATTAATTTATATTAAAGTAAGCAATTATGAGAATATATTCAAATATTGAACTTGAATTTACATTCCTTCTACTCTTCTAACCGTTGATTATTCTGAACGCTTTTATGATTTTTTATTAAATAAATTAAGTATTCAGGATTCTCACAACTTATTACTTAAATTTTTTTATTATCAAATCAATTTTATATATCCCAAACTAATGTAATTTACAAGATCTCTTTGCTTTCATATTCACCTCAAGCAAAATCATGATATTTAAGGAGGACTGAAAACAGGGAGGAAAAATTTGTTTGTGTCACAAATTAATGTCTTTTTTGCAGAGAAATAAATTAGTTAATAAATACAAAATAAATGATGAGTTATTCTCATTTAAGTACCATGTGGACAAATTTAGAGGATTCTGAACAAAATTTGACGTGCTTCTATGAGATTTTTTCACTGGAACTTGAACTTTGAAAGGATTCTCGTTTTTTCAAAATGCCTTTTTTCTCTATAGATTCTCTTGAGAGATTGAGTTAGCTTGGAGTTTTTGAGATGGAAGCCACCCTTTGACAACTATAATGAGATTCTTTTTAGACTTTTTTAATCCGACTCTATTTGCGCCGTAAAGCTGAACCAATTTCACATTGTAACTCTTCATCTTATTCAATCGTTTATATATGGAGATTCTGAAGCGACTTGCAGATGTCTGCTTTCGTTTTTACATTCAATTCCCTTAATCTTTGATAATTTTGATATAATGGAGAATCATTTTATTAGATTTCTCTATCCCAATCGCTTGACATAATTTAAAGATAAAATATAATAATAAATTCAATCGATTAAATTTGAGCAAAGTATAATTCTTGTGAGTTTATTATAATTGACTCGAATGTATATAAAAAGTATTAATTTAATATTTCATTATTCATTATTTTATAATAACTAAAATAGTTATACAAATAGTGAAAACCTCAAATAGAATAATTAATAATTATTTAATAAAAATGTATATTTCTACTCAAATTGGAAGGTGCATAGTTGAGGAACCTGATCTCAAAAATCGAATGCTCTACAAAACTCTAGAGTTAGAATTATAAGGTACACAATTTTGGCAATTCCTTAGCTTAGGGAGGCTTGAAAGTAGTTAAAAACACATTTTAAAATGATCCTAAATACGAGCTAAAGAACTTCGACATAAGAAAGAGGTTCGATTTGAGACCCCAGAATATTCATTCATTCAATATTTAATAAAACCTTTAAACACAAAAGATCTAAAATCAGGAGGCCTCAAGAAATCTTCGATCTGTGAACTTGACTTAAAGGATGGTAGACCAAGAAAATATAACAAATCATACTCATAATGGTTTATTGAGTGCTTTGATCCATGAAGCTGGATAGAAGGTACTAAGGTAGGTATAATAGGAGCCTTCTAGCTAATAGGAATAAAGATTATGTATTCTTGATAACCTAGATGGAAATGACATGAGATTATTAGTATGTATAACCATGTTCAGAGAGCCTCTCACTTAATTACAAAAATCAATTGATGGTGTGGTGCAGTCTTTGGATGCTTTTATGAAGTATGGGATAGCTCCTCATCAAATTGGAGTTTGTGTATTTTTTGATGGAATCGAGAATATCCACAATGTGATCGATGAGAATGGGGCAGCATATCATGAAAATATTATTCGTAATTAAAAATAATAAATTTCTTAGCCTACTTTAAAAGCAATCTAGATGAGCAATACGGGATCAAGGATAAAAAGACACTTGACTACCAATATTGGGAGTATAAGAAACACAAGAAATTCTTGAACGATTACAATCCTCAAAACATTATCAATTTGAGAAAAAACAAGGAACTCCTATTAAAGAAATATAAAAAGTACAAGGATTCTCTTCTGCCAATAATGAAAGCATAGAAGGGCTATCAATGGATGCCATAAGATGAATGGGTGGAAACCAACATTATATAGGCAATGATCAGATAATACTAATTGTCAAAATAATATATTCAAGATAGAGAGAACACTGCCTGGGTATATCAAGGTAGGCATGTATATCAGGAATGCACAATGCCAATATTTTATGTTTTCAAATTCAAAAATGGGTCTAAACTGTCTTCTCATCTATGGTTTTTTAAGGGATTCTGCTAAGAATTGAAACCAGACTACTGTTTATTGATGGACTGCGGAGCCGTTCCTGCTAAAGACAGTATTTTTAAATTAATAAGTTCAATGGAAGCAGATCCTAAGGTAGGTGGAGTGTGTGGTAATATGAGAATAGAAGAGGAGGTAGAAAGCAATGAAGCCCAAAATGATTAATAGATGGATATTCTAAGCAAAATCCTCAATAAACATTTCTTTTCAATTAAAAAATGCTAATAATGTGAATATGATATTGGACATACTTTGGATAAAAATTACGAATCAGCCTTGAATTACATCCATGTCTTGCCTGGAGCTTTCTCTGCTTATCGATACAAAGCCTTCAGCCAACATTATATAAAGTACTCGAAGTAGTCAAAGTAAATTCAATTGCTACTATAAAATTAACATAAGAATACATCAGATAATCAACCAGACGTTAATGTTGATATTGACAATTAACAAAGTTCCCAATAAGTTATTCCAGAAGAAAACTATAATATTCTCAATTTCTATTTGAGGTAAGTGATGGAATCCGATTATTAATATAGTAGCATTACTGAAGCTAATATGTTTTTGGCTGAGGATAGAGTATTGTGTTTATTGTTGTTTTGTTAAGATTTTTATCTAAAATACATTCCAGATGCCATAGTTTATGTAGATGCCTGTTAAAGTTTAATTGATTTGTTATTTCAAAGAAGGAGATGGATAAATGGAAGTTGGTTTGCTCTTAATTATGTTTAAGAAACTTATCATGATAAATTAGAGGGCAGTTCTCATACTTGGGAAGCAAAGCAAATGCTTAAATTTAGCATTATAACTGCAAACTTAAATCAACTCTAATAATACTTTTTCTAATCATTCTAGATAGTTTGGTTGTTCATGGTATTGTAAACTGTTGTGGATTCTAATGGTACAATAAATGATCGAAACTATAATCATATCTAGGAATCTACTGATAATATTGTAGTTTCTGCAATTATAGGATTGTACATTTTATTGGTTTTAATGCTTGTATATTTATCTTTGACTTATGACTAATAGATATTGAATAATGTTAATGGAACTATTGGTCAATCAAAAAAGCAGGTTTAAGAACAGATTAAGAACTACTACTATTCAAGATACTATTTTGTTTCTACTATATTGGGTTTAATGAGTTTAGCAACTGTAGGCTACACAGTTTATCTACTAATTTAATAAATTATATTGGAACTCAAATTTAGTGAATTTTTAGAAGTACCAAATGCACCTCAATCTTATTATAGTTTGCTTATAGTTCTAAACTTTGGAATGTTGGGACTTCCATTTCTCTTCACTTTAATGACTTAACCGTCGATAATATTGAGTGTGATTGTTAATTCGATTCATTATTTCTATTTTCAGCCTACTTATACTCATTTATTCATCACTTATGCCTTTTGTAGGATCGATGACTTATCTTGGGGAACCAAGGGTCTTACTGAAGACAACAGCAAAAATAAGGTGTTCACTGATAAAATCTACAAAAAATACTTGTTTGTTATTAAGTGGATAGTACTTAATTGCTTGCTTTCAGGAATTCTAATACTGTTATTAAGAATGAACATTTCAATGTTACCTTCATTCTTAATTTTATTTGTGTCCGTAATTCTAACTGTCATCAGTATAATCAAAGGGTTTTTAGCTATCATTCACTTAATCCAATTTTACATGCCTTCAGGGACAAAGGCTAGAAGAGACAAGTAAATTTATCTAATCAATATTTAGATTAATTAACAGAGTAGATAAAAGGAGAGAAACCTTAGAAAGAGGTAAAACTTATAACACTAATTTATAATAATTCTTCATGCCACAAAATTCTAGATGAAATGTTATTTTTTCAAGCATTATATTTTATTTTAAACATCGCAGTCTTCTTAGTTATTTGAACTTCTTGATCGTACTGATTCATCTCTAATGCTCACTTCTATTTGGCTTTCTCTAATTTGTTAATTGTCTAGAGGAGTATCATCCATTGGATCAGGCAAGTGAATTTCATGAATCCGCATATGCTCACTCTTTAATTCACTGTTTGCATCAAATCGAATTTCTCTTGCAGATTTGAAAAGACTGGAACTCTTCAAATGTTTTATTTGACTAACTCTACTACTTCTTTTAGTATTTCCAACACTTTATAATCTTGATTATACACTATTAACACTCTCTATTCTAGATTCGTCCATCATAGGAGACAACGCTATCTTTCTTTGATTTTCCCTGTAAGAATGTATTAATTAATTAAGCTCTATTGATTTTTTCTATTCTATATTCTTTTCAATCTTCATAATCTATAATAAATCATGCATATCTTTACTCTTTGTTTCATCTTGAGTCTCTTCATTCTGTGTTCCAAATGCAAATCAATTTCCTCCGATAATGCTTTGTATAAGCTCATCAAATCTGCTGTCAACTCATCAAACAATTATTATGATTACTCCAAATAGTCCAAGACCTTCTCATTATTCTCGTACAATTGCTCTAAACGGTTCTCCATAAATTACAGTTCTCTCAAATTCAATTAATCATTTGAGGCAGCCTCATGTGAGATTGAGTACTTCTATTTCAATTTATCAATCTCCGCATTTTCATCATTTTCCTTGAGTGTTCTATAGAAGTTGATACCCATGATGGCCACAGGCAATGATATTGTTGTAGTTCCTAATAATGCAGTTATACAAGCAATGAATTTGCCCTATATTGTCTGAGGTATCAAATCCCCATAACCAACTGTTGTCATCGTAACTACACACCACCAAATGGCATCTGGGATAGATTTAATTTGATTCTCTCCTTAATCGCTTTCGTCTTCATTATACTCCAAATAGTAGATGATTGTAGAAAAAAAGATCACCATTAGCAATAACATCACAATCAGCATTAGTATATCCTTTAATGAGTTTTTAACTGTATCTGCCTTAATTATCAGTATAAATTACTAACATTGAAATTTCTTTCATGAATCTAGACAATTTGAACAAACGAAATATCCGAATAAATCTGATCAGTCTCAGCACCCTCAATTATGAGAATGAACCACTTGTTAGTGTTAGACTCAGCAAAAAGGGCAGGATCGATACAAAGTCGATCAAGTTCATTGGAGATATGATAAATTACAAGAGTGATCTATCAAAAGCACTGGTTGAAAATAAACGCAAAACTAAGTATAATGATTTAATCTTACGATACTCAGTACCAAAAAACACGAACAAATACAGTTCAATAGTGGAACTAACAGAATCATAAGTTTCATTGCCTGATTCATAGATAGAATCAACTATTATTGTTATACATGATAATAAGATGCTTAGCAGAAGTATAATTTATATCACTTTAGCTAATATTGAGCTTTGCGGATCTTCTAACAATATGTATACATGCTATTAACATTCTTTAATCAAGACTTTGAATTTCCCAATTACATTTTGATTCATCAATTTCCTCCTTAAAGAAAAATCTTCAGTCTTTAATTTTCTTAAGAATGTGGCTTTGGTTTGAAGATTGTGTAACTACTTATTTTGGCTTTATTTCGAAACAGATGAAGAGTTAGATGAATTAGATTTCTTCATTTCTTACTAAAATTAATAAATATATATAAATATCAAAGTAGAAAACTATTTAAATGATTGAGATTTTAACAACCAAAATTAAACCTAAAACTTAGCTTGTCGAAAATAGAGTGTAAAGAAGCCTAAAATAGAGTTTGATGATGCCTATAACGGAGTGTGATGAAGTCTTGGAAATACAAAAAATATTTTTATTAAGACAAAATAAAAAAGATTGTCTTATTTCATTTTTCTGTTAATTCTCTAAATCCTTTCCAATCCTTTGGTGCCTTTCCACCGCATGAATGTATTACTTCCAAGAGTGTATTTGAGGGTCCGTCCTTGTGTTCAGGAATCATAGTCTACACATAATAAATAGTAAAAATTACTAAAGTTTTTTGGAATGTTTATTAGGCATCACCCCAAGATCCCTTAATGTACTAGTCAAATCCTATTTTCCAAGTTTCATAAAACACCTAACATCAATGATCTAAATTACTTATGTGTAAGGTTCTCTTGCTGCAGCCAATTCATCATCAGTTGCAAATAGATCAGTCACAGATACTTAATTATTTTGGACCTTCTTCATTAAGTCTTCCCTCTTAAACCTATTTAAAACTCTAAACTTCTTAGACTCCTTCTGGGTCATTTAGGAAACATCAAATTTGTCTCTTAACCCTTTGATTTTTGATTATAGATTTTTTATTGACATGTCAATGGTGTGTAATTCTATGATTATGTAATAGAGGGATACCTAAAGGAACAATACTTCCCTTCACAGTAACAACATCGATCATTCTCATTTACTTCTAGCATTCTTCAGTGAGATATTGTTTCAAAATGCCACTAACGAGAATGAGCGCTCCGAACTACTTTGTAGCTGCCTCCAACCTAGATGCCATGTTAACATTCGGACTAAGATAGGAAGCATCGATTTTAAAGCCAGAACCTATGGCTCCTTCAATTCCCCATCCCATATGTAGACCAAACCCCATTTTAACCGAGTAATCTTTCATTCTTGCATTGAGACCTTCGTGCTTCTTATACTTTTCTAATTTCTTGGAAATTGAGATTCCAGTAATTATTTTTAGAAATGCCAATACAGCCATATCTCCTTTCTATTTGATGTATCTGTCGTTTTTGAGCTTCAAGCTTTTAGGATTATCAGGGTCTGGATGGTAATCATTAGGAGAATATTTCCAAACTAACAAGAATGCATCTCCTATATTTTTATTAGCTGATCCACTCATGGAATCAACAGTAGAATGGACAATCTCAGCGATTTCATTTACAAATAACATTACTCCTTGTTACAAGACTTCTGTGGCCTAGAATAATCATTAAATAGTATTACATCTGTGAAATTTCTTATATCGCAAAAACCAAAGATGGCCAGAATCTTCTTCCCAGGAATCATTGGATCAACACTACCACCCTTTTTGATATTCTCAGCTATAATTTCAGAGCCAGCCTCTCCGAAACCAACTGCCAATAGTGCCCCTACTTTCATTATTAGTCTCTACAACACATAAGTTTCCATATGTTTCTCAATTTCTTTTTGTTTCAACTTTTCTACATCTTATTGTTTTTCCAATTCCTCCATTATTAAGTCCTCCTATTCCTCAATGTTGACTGCTTCCAAAGGATTGGCTGCAATCATTTCAATTTTTTGCATCATAGCCTCAATGGGATCAATTACCAAATCTGAAACATCCTTACTAAACATTAATGCTGAAACTGCTAAAACAATGCAGACAAAGACAGTTTAAAAGATTGATAAAATTGCATTCGTCTAATTGTAACTCACTAAATCAGCAGCTGCATAAGTTTATAAATCAGATCCTTCAGATTTAACGTAATATTAAAGATCAGAGAATCTATATTGGTTTTTTGTTTCATAAGCAGGTTATTCAAAGATCTCAGGATTTGTACTGTAGCTCCATTCGTGTAATTTTTAATTGGAATCACCTTCCAATTTGACATCCACACTATAGATTGGAAATATCTCAGACACATGGAATTAGGCATATTATTAGAGAAGTGACTTCATCACTGAATCATTGTTTCTGAATTAATAGATTCTATAAATTCCTGAGTCATAACTACTAATCATTTCTTAATAGGTATCCAATGAAAGAACTGGAATACTTATCAGAATTGCCAAAATGATAGTGATAACTCTTCTCATAACGAGATCTGAGAGTTATGCACCGACTAAAGACTCTTTAATTTGATCTTCAGCTTGAGAAGTGGTCGATGAAGTTTTAAGATTAGAAGTAGTTGAATTCTTATCAGGAGTTCTGGACTATTCAATGTCATTTTGAGATCCCCTTTATTCTTCATTATTAGAAACAATCGGCACTACTTGTAGATTAGATTAGGCCTGTATTTACGGTTATTGAGGAGCCTGTTAATCTGAGCTTTTATTTTATTGAGCTTATCGAAGCAACTCCTATAATAGCTTTTTCTATTATTCCTTCTCCATCTATTATCGAGCATGTTTATACAACTTGACCAATCTCACCAATCGAATCACTCTAATAACTCTAGCTGCCTTTCGAGCTGCTCTAGATGCAGTTCCAATTGATTTAATTTAAGCAGCACTTGAAAGGTCTCCCGAATACCATGTGTCAGTAATCCATCCCAAATCCAATATCATTGTTATTGTGGAGATCACGTCCAATACAAAGTAAAACTAAATCTTACGAAAATATTTACATTAAACACATATTCTGGTTTACAAATGCTTGTAAGTATTATTTCCGCTAAGAAAGCAACCATACAAATCACGGTTAGAATGAAGAATACATCATCTCCTTGTTTATCAACTGACAGTATGCGAATGTCATCTCCGAAGAGTGCATAAATGGTAACTATGGCCATGATTATTGAGAATGGAGTGCTCTCAGTAAGTTTCAAAATCTTTTTTGCAAACTCAGATTATTGCTTTTGAACATGGTGTCTGCTCTTCAGTTTACTATTCATTCTTTTAATACGCTTCTGTGATGTTTCTGGGATATTAATTTATCAATATTTACATTAAGCTGGAGACTTTGCGCCTCCTGAACTTTTTATGGATATGTCATCCTGGCTGTGATGATTTGATCCAATCATTTACTTGTTTAATTTCTTCAATTCATCTGGCGGTGGCTCCTTCTTTCGGATTAATGGTTGAGCTGTCTGTTTATCAGTTAACTAATATTTATCATCAAATACTAAAGGGGCTTGGTTTTGTCCCTGATTCTCAGAAGAACGCTTAGCCGATCGATCTGATGGTAACTGAAGCTATTAATTTATGAATAAACTACAACATTAGGGTCGGATACCATTTCATTGAAATTCTTTACGACTTGGGAGGGAACAAATACTTCACCTAATCCTTGTTCCTCATGTACAAGTTTATCTTGCTCATTTTGGGTGTTCATATTTTAATAAATTAAATATAGACAAATGATTAATAATTTACAACCCTTATTTGGTATGTATAAGGAACTTTGGATCGAAAACGCAACTTAATTAAAAGAGGCCTTGGAGAAATGGGATCAGCATTAATTAAAATCCTGGCTCCAAAAAATGGAAAGTTATCTATTTCGATTACTTATTAGGAACCATATTTACATTCCAATATGATGAGAGTATTGGACTGCTAGATGAGTTTTAACCGAATTATATCTAGAATTTGCCCAATGACATGGGCATATAATGTAACAAACTAAGGACTATGTTTTAGAATAACTCAACTTAATATCTAATAGTGAACACTTATCTAAAATTGTTACGCTGTTTGAAAAAATCCCTTGAACCTATTTATAACTCCACTCATTTACTTAACTCAATAAGAAATCTGGAATTATACCTTTCCTCTCCATTGAATTAAAATACTATCAAGCCTTAAGAATGCAATTGCACAGCATTTTGATATTAGTTTATAAAATATACAAATTTACTATATGAATCAGAATTTAATTTGTTAATCATCCAACACCTCCCCTAAATTATAATCACTCATTGTGAAATACAAATCCTCCCTGTTACACTGTATTTATTGCTTATTTAGTTCCGAAATTCTTATTAATCTAAGAAATGTTATAATATAATAATTATAGATATGAATTTTATCTGTTACACTTAAAAAGCCATTAGGAAAAGCAAAATCTTAGCATTTTTGAGGAATCACAATTTATCATTCAGTTATCGATGAAGGTAAAAGTGTGGGTTATTGTGAAATAATTACAATACTAGCGAGAATTCACATTTTAATAAGAATCATAGCCACAGGTTTTAATGATACCATATATTTAATATTTACTAATTATATCTCACTATTGGGTTTATATTTATTGTAAATTCAAGGTCTCTTGGAGATGTTAATCTTGTTCGATATCTTCCAAGAATTCCTCTATTTGTTATTCTTCCAACCCTTCCTTTTTCTTATTTTTCTTCTCTTAATTTTCTTCTATATCTAATCTTTTCAATTGAGTCTTTCTCTTTTTGTTTTTCTCTGGTTTTCTCCTTATAATAATTATCTCTGGCTTGTCATAAATTTCATCTAATTCATTATTATACTTATTTAAATCGAATCCTTAAACAGTCATTCCTGCTGACAAAAAATTACCTAAATGCGATTTGACTTAGTATTGATTATAATCAGAATCATTATCTTTCATGAGTTCGACTGTGCAAAGACTATTTAAAAAGGGATGGTTTTGATCATTTTTTGAAGGTTTGATTTTTTCTACGTCTAAAATTGTAAATTCATCACAATTATCCCTCAAAGGCATAGTTCTAATATCTAAATCATGTTTGAAATATTATTCAGCTGAGATTTCACAAACTTTTAATTTAGTTGGATCAATTAATTGTATTGAACTAGCAACTCTATAACATATCTAAATTCTGTTAATTCCTCCTAATTGATGACATAGTTTATGTGGTAAAATCACTAAATCATCTTTGCATATTCTTGGCACATCCACCACAAATGTATATTTAATAAACGAATACACTTCTTTTGATTCCTTTACCTATATTGGTAGATATGATCTAATAAATTCTAACATGTGAAGTGCTTGATTTTTTTGCTTAAAGTAAAAATTCATTCCATCATCTGCTGATTCCACCTTTAACATTTACTAATTCATATGATGTTGCAAAATTAGTTGCTCCAAATAATAGAATGACTTCTTATGATTTACTCGTTATCTTAATTGAATGCAAGCTCCCCAAATATGAGGGGTAAATTCTCTCTTGCAATCTTCGCATTAATGGTAAACCTCCTCAAAATTTAAAATTTTTGAATCCTAAATGCACGTTCCATTCATAGCTTCTTTTTATACTGTGATCTATAATTTGATTTATTTAGTGCTTGGCTCTGTAAAAATAAATTTCGTGTCTATTATTGTCTTTTCCTGCAATCTAACATTATAAATAGGAATATTTTACCCTATTACCTTCTTTAAGCAGATAGCAAGCAATTCTTTCGAATCTCTTTCGCAAAGAACCCAAGGAGGTCTTTGATATCTTCTACAATTTCTGCATAACAGTATTTCTTTATCATTATCGATATCTAATTCAATTTTTAAAAAGTACCCTAGGTGATATTCATTTATGCAATCAAACAATTTGGACAAATATTTGTTTTTGTTAGTTTTGGTTCAAACTCCAATTCACATAATGGGCAAAATATTAATACAGCTCTTTGCAACATTGTAAATATTTTTAAAATGATTATTATATTTTTTTTCCTTTATTCAGTACTATCATATACATTTGTGATTCATGGAGAAAATACAACCACAATCGAATAAGACTCAATTTTATCTTCCAAATTTTCTCTAACAAACCCCATTTAAACTCAATGTTCGCCTATTCGACTTTACATTGTTGGCTCAACTTAAAATCAAAGCGAATTTATTGTAAAAAACAATAATGAAACCGATTTACACTTTTAATTTAACATCACATCAGTTGATAGCGATATCATAAGCGTTCATCATAATAAATAATTAGAAAAGATTACTATAAAACCTAATAATTCATTTGAATTTCATGTAAATTATATCTGCTTGAAGCAAATCGGAGAATAAACTTGGACAACAATTCAAATTATGTATTAATTTAACGAAAACCAACACATTGCATATTATTACAAATTCTGTGGAGCTTCAGAGACATTTTTTCATCCATTAGCAGTTTTGTTGTTTTTTTCTTTATGTATTATAGTGAGCGGGTCTATTTATGGAATTAAAGAATGGAAATTGTTTGGGGGATCCTAGACAGAAGCTTATGGACCTAAAGCTGCAATTATTTTTATAATTGTTTCAAGCTTTCTTTTGATATCACTATATAAGTTTTAAACTTTTGCTTCTAGTTTCACTTACATTATCATGATGTTTACAGCTTTTATTTCAATAGAAACAATATTGTTGGACATGTAAAACGAGTACTCCTATTCTAACAATATTAAAATATTGTTCTCAACAATAATGAGTGGTACCCTTATCATTCTATATCATCATACAAAAACCTGGATTCTAAATAATATCTTAGCAGTTTCTATAATATTTTTTAGTTTTCGAGTAAATTTCATAATAAATTAGATTTTAGAGTTTGATTCTTTAAAAACAGGGACTATCTTTATGCTTTTAGCTTTGCTCTATGACATGTTTTGGATATTTGTTAGCCCAACCATTTTTGGTTAGTCTGTTATATAGAACATCACAACCACAATTGAATTACCTATAAAACTCTTAAGTCCATCATTAATAAAAAATTGTAATTCCCCTTATTAACAATGTTCAATTTTAGGAATTGGCGATATTCTTATTGTAGGATTGATCATAAAATACATTCTAAAATTTGAAAAGCTGTCTGGAGAAAATAGTTTAATATTTTTTTCATCAATTTTAGGATATGGGATTGGATTAACATCCTATTTCATTTTAATCTATTTTTATCATATTTAATATCCAGCATTATTTTATATTATACCTACTACCTTCTTATCAATAGTTGTCCCAAGCACATTGAAATCATTGTTCCTTCAGATTTGGAATGGTACATTTGTAATTCAATTAATTGAGGAATAAGAGTTAGAAATGATTTGATTACTATGTTAATATTTAAAATTTTTATTTTTTCATCACAATTATGGGAAGTAAGAATCAATTTGAATTTATTAGATCTTTGTGGACAAGAAAGGTAAGAGCCGACGCAAATAATGCAATCCAAAGTCAAATTGGATAAAACGTTTGGAAATCTGAGAATTCAAGTAATTCAGGGAGAAGTTTTATCAGAAAAGGCAAATGCTTTTTGTAAAATATCATATTAATATTTAAGTAAATGCTGCAAATGAACCCTATAATACTTAACTCATTAAGAAGATAAAAGAAATCAAAAAATCCCCAAGTATTATGTTTTCTATATCATAGTAAAAAATGGAGTTCCCTAATTAGTGAAGTTTGAACCAAACCATATTGATTATATCATAATGATTAAATTGTGTGAAGAACAGGTAAGATCTATTATTTAATATTTAGGAGGAAGATTATGAAAATTAAAGAACATAAGCATTTCTAGCTTCTTTTGAGTTGGCAAATAAGAATAACCTAAAAATCCTTTCCTTTACAGATCCTCCTTAATAACTTACTTAAAAAACTGAAGATCATTATTATATTAATTTATTTTTATCGGCATTATTGAAGCACAAAAGAACAAAATAGGATTGTAAAATTCAATAAATAAAATTGATAAATTTGGAAATGAAGCTTTAAAATGTATATATTTAAGCCATTCAACAATAAGCTGAGAAGCTAAATAATAATAAATAAGAAGAGGATGTTTAACATTAAATTTAATAATAAGAAATATAAACTCAATAATCTGAGAAATCAGACTTATTAGAATAGCAAAGCGATGCATAAATTGTACAATAGAATGAAAATAAAACAAATGATAAAGTGGTATCTGCTGATGGAGAAAAATTATAGCAGAATATCCATAATTAAGAAATTGCTAAAGTTGAATAAGTGAGCCAAGAATAAGTTGTACAAGTTTAAGTTGAATCTAGCCATCATGAGAAAGTTGTAGAAGTTGTACACGAAATTAAATAGGTTGTTAATGAGGTTCATTAAACTCAAGATTAACATGAAGTCAAAGAAAATTAAGAAATTGTTAAAGTAGAATAAGTGAGCTAATAATAAGTTTTACAAGTTGAAGCGGAATCTAACCATCAAGAAAAAGTAGTTGAAATCGTACAAGAAATCAAATAAGTAGCTCGTGATACTAATAATTAATAAGTGACAAAATAAGATGAAGAATCTGCTAAAGTTGTGTAAGTTGAAGCTGAACCAAGCCATCATGAGAAAGTAGAAGAAGTTATACACGAATTCAAATAGGAAGTTCATGAAACTCATGATTAACATGAGAAGAAAGAGAATGAAGATGCTGATAAAGTTGAATAATTTGTATAAGCCGAAGTTGAATCAAGCCATCATGAAAAAGTAGAAGAAGTTATACACGAAATCAAATAAGAAGTTCATGAAAATCATGATTAACATGAGAAGAAAGAGGTTGAAGAATCAGCAAAAGTGTAATAAGTTGTTTAAGTTGAGGTTGAATCTGCCCATCATGAGCAAGCTGAAGAAATTGCACAAGAAGTTAAATAAGAAGTTCATGAAATTCATGATTAACATGAAAAGATAAAAAATGAAGAAAACGTTAAAGTAGAATAAGTAAGTGAAGAACAGGTTGAAAAAGTTGAGCCTGAATCTGGTCATCATGAGAAGGCATAAGAAATTATACACGAAATCAAATAAAAGGTTCATGAAGCTCACTAAGCTGAAAATCAACAAGAGAAGAAAGAAGAGGAAGAATCTACTAAAGTTGTATAAGTTGAAGTTGAATCCAGCCATGATGAGAAGGTAGAAGAAATTGTACAAGAAGTTCAATAACCTGATGATTAACAAGAGAAGAAAGAAGATGTAGAATCTTCTAAAGTGGAATAAGTTGAAGTTGAATCTATTTAACATGAGAAGGTAGAAGAAATTGTACATGAAATCAAAAAAGAGGATCATGAAGTCCATTAAGCTAATGATTAACATGAGAAGAAAGAGAATGAAGATGCTGATAAAGTTGAATAAGTTTTATAAGCCGAAGTTGAACCAAGGCATCATGAGAAAGTAGAAGAAGTTTTACACGAAATTAAATAAGAAGTTCATGAAAATCATGATTAACATGAGAAGAAAGAGGGTGAAGAAACCAATAAAGTTGAATAAGTTGTATAAGTTGAACCCAGCCATCTTGAAAAGGTAGAAGATATAGTACAAGAAATAAAATAAGAAGGTCATGAAACTCATGAAGCTAAAACTGAACAAGAGAAAGCAGAAGAAATTGTACAAGAAGACAAAAAGGAAGCTCATTAAGCTGATGAATAACATGAGAAATAAGAAGATGTAGAATCTGCTAAAGTTGAATAAGTTGAGGTTGAATCTACCCAACATGAGAAAGCTGAAGAAATTGTACAAGAAATCAAGTAAGAAGCTCATGAAACTAATGATGAACATGAGAAGAAAGATGATGAAGAAATTGATAAAGTAGAATAAGTAAGTTAAGAATAGGTTGAGTAAGTGGAAGTTGAATCTAATCATCTTGAGAAAGTCGAAGAGATTGTACACGAAATAAAATAAGATGAAGCTCATTAAGCTGATGATTAACATGAGAAGAAAGAAAATGAAGATGCTGATAAAGTTCAATAAGTTGTATAAGCCGAAGTTGAACCAAACCATCATGAGAAAGTAGAAGAAGTTATACACGAAATCAAATAAGAAGTTCATGAAAATCATGAGAAAATAGAGAATGAAGATGCTGATAAAGTTGAATAAGTTGTATAAGCTGAAGTTTAATCCAGTCATCATGAGAAAGTAGAAGAAGTTATACACGAAGTCAAATAAGAAGTTCATGAAAATCATGAGAAAATAGAGAATGAAGATGCTGATAAAGTTGAATAAGTTGTATAAGCTGAAGTTTAATCCAGTCATCATGAGAAAGTAGAAGAAGTTATACACGAATTCAAATAGGAAGTTCATGAAACTCATGATTAACATGAGAAGAAAGAGAATGAAGATGCTGATAAAGTTGAATAAGTTGTATAAACCGAAGTTGAATCCAGCCATCATGAAAAAGTAGAAGAAATTATACACGAAATCAAATAGGAAGCCCATGAAGCTCATCAGGCTGATGAATAACACGAGAAGAAAGAACATGAAGAAATTGATAAAGTTGAAGATGTTGTATAAGTTGAAGCTAAACTCAGCCATCATGATAAGGTAGAAGAAATAGTTTAAGAAGTTAAATAAGAACTCCATGAAAATAATGATTAACCTAAAGATAATGAAAATTAGCAACAGGATTCTAATTCAGATGTCCACAGTTGAATATTTATGTTCATCAATTATTAATACAAATAATCTTATTCTTTTGAAGCTTATTTTCGTACACCAATATTATTTTTAATTTCTACCTCTTTTTCTTTACTACACACTTTCCCTTTTGGTTATTGAAATGTTTTCCCTTATTATATTTTTGCATCTTTAATATCCAAATTTTGAATTATATTTTTATAAAGAAAAAAACACTATTTTCAGAATAGAAAGAACAAATTGAATCTATTATTATTAAGGATAATTTAATTTAAACAGACTAATTTTTTAATTAGATAAAAGAGTGATTAATAGCCTAAGACTATAAGAAGAATTAAACATATAATATTTAAATATCCATACTTCAAAACACCTATAAAAGACTCCAATAAATTAAGCAACTCTGTGTTATAGCAGATGTCAGCGTATTTGCTAATAGAAATGATAGCATTCATTTTGACAATAGCTGGTTGACTTAAATTCCAAGACACTCAAAAACCTTTTAGATTAAAAAGTACCATATTAGCTTAATAAAAATGATAATTAAATAACAAATAAGATTGGATTTGGTAGACTCTTTAATTGATAATGCAAGAAATAAGTAAGAAGAAGAAAGGATATTAAACTTTAAGTAATTTTTATAAAATAGAAACAAAATAAGTCTCTCCTTAATTAGTTTAAAAACAATTCAAGCAATAAACTCAAGCCCAAAATTATTGGTACTTCTCTAAGTAAATTGGTTCCTATTATTACAAAATTAGAAGGCTCAATAATAAGTTGGAAATTTAATTTTTTTATCATAAGAGATAAAATCTTATCGAATTGCAAGCAGACAAACCTTAACGTATTAACAATTTGAAATTGTTCCCTTTTTAAGGGGTTTAAAGAAAAAATAAAGTTTTAATATTATTATTCTTTTCTAATAATTTAAAAATCATTCTTTATATTATCTTATCTAAATTTATGAAGATTTGTTATCCCACGTCATCAAATATTTTCCATCATCAGTCATTGTACCGAAAATTCTACTTGTTTCATAATCAAGAACAAGTTATGTGACATAAGATTCATTTTCTTATTTTTTTATAAAATTAACTTTGCTTCCATTCCTGTCAATTATCATTTACTTTTATTATATAAACTGTAAGGGAAAGTGGAAATAACATTCATTCCCTGCTTCTACTTGAACATCTTATATCTTAATAAATTAATCATTAGAATCATTTATTGAAAAGATTTACATTTTTTTATTATTGAATGGTTAAAATGCAAAAGTTAAATCCTCGAGGAAGCACACCTTAACTCCCCATTCATCAATGTCTAATTTTTAAAATAAACTCCAATTATCTTAGAACTTAAAAATTTAAATTGAATTGTCTTTTCTTGAGCATGAAACCAAGTATTCATTAGATTAACTTAGACTAATACTAGAAATTTCAAATTTATGAGATAATGTTTAAATGCATTACCATTCCTTATCTTTATCCCACACTTTTATTGAATAATCGCCGCTACCACTACCACCACTACTAGACATAATTTAATTCTCATTATTATTTATTGCTAAACAAAATATTCCTTATTCATGGCCTTTTAGCTTAAATTTAAGACCCCATAAATTATTGTTCGTTATTTCCCATATGATAATAGTTTTATCATAACTACCTGACACTAATGAATTTGATTTTTTGAAAAACTTTAAACAAATTATATATTCTTCATGATCTCTTAATTCTTCAATTTTTACTATTTATCCTTAATTGAATTCATAAATATTAATTTTATTTGAATTAAAGAATCCAGCAGCAACACGAGTATAATCTACATTAAAAGCAAATGTCTCAACTCTTTCTTCTGTAACAGAATTAATTATTTCATATTTAAACGGTGGCTAAAGAGTATTTTAATTTATCGATTACAAATTTTAAGGCTATAATTGAAGTGAATTTTCTCCTATTGAATTATTAGTTTATTCATTGTTTTCTGCAATATATTTTTCCCCTGATATTTCTCCATAAATTTAGTAAAACGCTGCAATGAGCTTTTCTTAGAATGACTTGAAATAATTTGAAAAATTTTTCTTTAATTATACTTATTAGATTTCGAATTCATTTTTGATCGCCTCATTAATTAATTCAAATTTATTTTTTTAACTTAAGATATTAGAAATTTCAATAATTTCTAATTTATTTAATTAGTACCAATTTTTTGTCTTCAAATTAATTAAACTTTATGTTGCCTTACATTAAAAAGCATCTCTTAATAGCATTTCTTCAGTTAATTACTACGATAGATCAGTTATGACTTCTCTATAAGATGAAAATTTTGATATAGCCTTCTAAGCTTATTCTTTAAGATGTTTTTGTTGTTATTCTTATTATTATAATGTATGATCTACATAACTCAACCATAATTATTTTAATTGTTCCAACTTCGTATATTTTATTGGGTATTCAGTAACGCAATCTATACATGCAATTCTATTTGGAACTGTTGCCTATTCATTTAAATCAACTAGAGCCACCTAAAGTTTGTGATTTTCACATTGCAAGTTTTAATTTGACAGTCTACTTTATTAAAAGATTTCTGATGAAAAAGTTTGAATTACATCTTTGATTGAATTTTATTGATTATATTGAATTTTATCTAGATTCTACTCAAATTAAATAAATTATTAATCCATTTTTAATCTATTTATTTATTGTCTATAACAGTTTTATAGATCTCTATAATCAATAAATAGGTGTTATTAATTAGTATTTTGAGAATCCAGCTAATTCAGTTGAGACATTGAGAGCTCACTTATTGATTTATTTTCCTTTTCTATGCCGTTTTTAATAAATTAAATTTATTGATCCATGTTCTACAAAGTCTTCTCTAGATAATTATTTTAAGTCGTTTTAAACTCTTTAAGGTGACCATATAATCCTTATATGATTTCTAAATTTTTCTGATGAAAGGCCTGTTTCTCGCTCAAAACTGTCCTTTTGACATTTTCAAATTGTTTTTCGGCTACTTGAACATCAACCCATAATTACTCGTTTTCAACACATTTTAAGCATCTATTTTGTAAGCGTTAGTCCTTCATTGAAAAATCAATATAAATTGCAGATTCATTGTGTTCCAAACACCTTGGTTCTTTTTCTCTTGATGTTTAAATCATTTGAAGATTAAAAAATTATTAAATTTTTATAATAGTTCTAATATCTAAAATAAAATACTTCTTATATAAAAAATCATCTAATTGTAAAAAGAAATTAATGATATTAAATATTATGGTGCAGCAAAATAAGTGTTTAGAGTGAATAACTTTGTAAAATACTAATTCAGACTATTCTATTTTAAACAAAAGTTACTGTAAATGATATTTATGAAATAATTTTTTTAGAATCATAATGTTGTTTTTCAGGTTTTAGGGGATGAATATTTTCTTCCCCTTTAATTATTCTCTCTTTTAAATGCACTAAATATCGACTTTTATTAATTTTCAAAGCTTTTTGGATTTTGGTTTATTCTTTCTGAGATTAACTAACTTGTGTTCAAGACAACCTCACTTTAGATGCTTTTTGCTTATGGAGATATAATTTAATTTTATTCTTACTCAAAACCCTTTAAACTTACTTGATTTGAGAGAAGGTTTTCATTAAGCCTAACATTATATATTAATAATATTACATTTTGAATTGCAAGATTCTCCTGGCTTAAGCCAAAAGATAAACTTTCAGTTTCTTATATTTTATTTTAACTCTTAATTGCTTTTATTTTTTCCCTTCCAAAATGTTATAAATTTTAGGGTGCTATTAAATGAAATGCGGAAAATTTTTCAAAATAATTTCTTTAAATTTATCGATTAATAGGTCTAATCTTTTGAAATAGGATAAGACAATTTGTATAATCATCTAAATTATATACAAAGAATTTATGAAACCCATAACAAAATAAGAAGGCAAAATAATTTCTTTTAATCCTTATTATTAAGCAGTATAAATACAACTTGCCATGATAATTGAAATTGCACAAATAATTGTAGATTGAGTATCCAAGCGATTTAATTGTCCTGTAGCATATGGTTTATATGAAGTTGTTAAAAAGCTGTAATAAAATAATATTAGGAAAACAATCGAAGCTTTAATTTAAATATGATCATTGTAATAAATTAATACTATTATAATTGCTTCCTTTTCAATTACTTTGAGCATTTCCCAATAAAATGCATGTTTTTTATACTCATTATATAAATATCCCCAAACTTTCCTTATGTTTATGCTATTCAATTAATTTTTATTCTTAAATAACCTAAACATTAAAAAAAATGGAATAACACAGCCAATTAAGATTAAAAGTGGAATACATAAAGAATAAATCCATTTTTAATGAGAGATTGTGTCATACCTATACGAAACATTACCTTAAATCCAATTCTCATTTGAAATCCTTCTGTAAGACAATAGTGAGATGATTTACCCTATCAGATTTGGCTATAAATAAATGAATAAATAGATAAACGGAGTCGAAATATATGAAACATCGAGCCTAATTAATTTTATCGAAACAGCAATTCCAAGTAATAGAAAAAAAAATATTAAATACATAGCTGCCATAATCAAACTCCATATTAATTTAAAGTAAATTATTGCAATATTTGTAAAAGAAACTATAAAGCAATCTAATGAATATGCCATAGATCCTATGGGATTTGCAAAACTTTGCATGATTATAAGTAAATTAAAGGGAACTTCTAGTTTGAATGTTGAAATCGCTTGGATAATCTATAAATAATTTGTAAATATTTTAATTAGAATAGCAGGAGATGCTTCTTTGATAGAATGAGATATTCCATAAGACCTTAATCTTATTTCTCTAATAAAGTCTTTCATTACCGCAACAGTACTACTAACTGATAATAAAACTGAAAGGAGAGTCCATAGACTTATTAAAATAGTTATGAAGATATTATAAGAAATTTAATCGCAATTTCCACATTGGAAATCTTAGCTCACTGAAAACTAGCCATTGCCTCTTATATCATATAGATCACACTATTCACATAGAGCTCCAATGTGCCCTAATAAACACGAAGAATCCCCAGGCAGCCAGCCACCCATACAATTTTAAGGAAGATGGTAACAATATTCCACATTGTCGCTGTAGTAATAGGTTCTCCAATAAGAAGGCCTTAATTCAATCATTGAAGACTTTATTGAGTTTATTTTTGAATCATCCTTATAACTACAGCTTTTTGCCTCTAATTAAACAGAATATTAATTTTTATATGGATCACAATTTACACATCCCCCAGAAGTATAATTCAAAAATTCTCCTATTTGACAAGGAAATGTTTGAATGTCCACAAATATTTTATAAGACATCATAGTTTTATCTATTAAATATGGCGGTTTATCTTTATATTATGGGACTGAAACAGCATCACATTTAATAAAAAGCCTTAAAACAAGATCTTCGCTATAATTTGGATTGAAATAGATTACTAAATTATCTAAATTATAATCGCCAGTAGATTAATTAAAACTAACATTATAAAAGGAAAGGCTAAATGTAACATTAAATTCCTCAGCATTAGCAGAAATGTTATAAACTAAAGGCGAAAGAGTACAATATGAATTATCTAAGCCTTTAATTTACTTTTTAAATTTGTCAAGAGCAATAACTCTCAATCGATAATTATAAGGAATAGGTTTTAAAGTAAAGTGATCAAAATATTTGTAATCTTAAATAATCAACCCAGATGGCAACTTCAGATATATTTATGAAACTGATAAACCATATGTTTTATAAGGATGGATAATAATTTGTTCAACTATCTCATTTTCAGAACTAACAAAGAGTTATTTTTCTAAAAGAGTCGACCCTCCATTTAATGATAACGTTAAAGAGCTTGGTTTTTCTACAAAATTATTGCCATATAGAGTTGAATTATTATTGACTATAATAACATCCAATCCCTTTGTTAATTAAAGATACAAGGAATTAATGAACAATCCGCCAGCAATATCAGCAAAATTCATAGTGATATCAGTTTCAATCATTAATAATTATTTCTAAAAGGAAGTATAATAGATAGCTCCACCTATTCGAGCAGAATTATTAAAAAATATACATTATCTAATCAACGTCTCAATGTCAATTTAAATATAATGAACCTCCTAATTATGCTGAATTATTTATAAAGGTACTTTTCAAAATGGATAGTTATTAATTCATTTTGCTTTCTAAAAAATCATAATCAAGCTATCTTAGTAATCGAAGATTATCAGATAAACTACTTAAAGTTGAAGATACATCAGTTGATTTAATAATTGATAAACAACCAGAATTACCACATTTACAATTTCTGATCTCAATATAAGAGAATTTCATGTTTTATCCTTCTATCTATTGAAAACCAAGGATCCTCATTAAACCAAATTAACATGTTTCACATATTGTATTTGAAAATTTGACATGTTAAACAAATATGTATTGGTTTGAATTTAATTAATCTATTTCAAATAGACTAAAATTAGATTCAATATTTGAAAAAACTAAAATTTGATTACAAATAAGTTAATGCTATCTTTTCAAAGTAAAATCTGTCTCATCTATAGTTAAGGTATCTTTTTGGTTTTCTTTAGGACATAATATTTCACTTTCTAATTCTTCATCTACAAGCATGCAAGCAGCATCTTAGGCTATTTATTTTTATTCTACATTAATAAATTCTAGATTATAAATCCTTAATTATCCAGCAAATTCTATTTAAAAATATAAAATAAAATTACCTGATCTAAGATTCATTTTAAATAAAGGAGAATGAAATGTTGAACAATTAATGACTTTAATATCTGTCAAAATAATGTTATCAACTTAGTCTAATTAAAGCAAAAATTAAATATAGGTTGAGTGAAAATTACAATTATTTAATGTGAAGTTGCTAAACCTAGCAAAAATTAATGGATTAGAATTTATAAATTATGAAGCCTAAGAATTAGTTAGTTATTCCAATAAGGAAAGATAACTATTTAATCCGTTTTGTGTTTAATAAAAATTGATATTTTAAAATTTTAAATTTGAAATTAAATTTTCAACTTTATTAGGAGAATATGCAAGGAAGGAGTATTTTATTGAAAAGCAATCTTTAATTGTTAAATTTATCAACTCAATCCTATTATATATTTCAGATGGATTGATAACAATTCCTCCTCCTTCTTACTTAGCAAATGATGTATCAATTGATGAATTAATTAGAGAAAATATGAGTTAAGACAGAGATGCATCAATATATAAGCAACCTCCACTTGAAAAAACCGAACTCTGCAATTACGTTTAAGTATTTGCAAAAAAAGAGTTCTAGATTAATATTTTACTCATTCCTTAAGTGGCAATATAGAATCCTCCACCCTATAATGAAATAGAACTATTAATTGAAATATTATTTATAATTAATTCTTTTACAATAAAGTATCCATTTCCACCTTAGATTTTATTGGGAAAGCTGTCTCAAAATCAATTTAACCTAAATTTTGAATTGTTGGAAATATCAGACTTTAACTCATATTTGAAATAAATTTAATGTTGCTGCTTGTAAATTATAAATTTTATAGTTGTAAGGTAGATGATTTTATGTAAATGATGGAATCACTTGAGTTTGTAACAAGATTATTGAAAAATTTGCAGTTTATTATGGAGGTTAAACCTTCTTACAGAGACATATATAGTACAGTTGCTGATGGGCTGGTTGAGTCTTAAAAATATTCATTTAGATGATTGTTGGAAAAATCGCTATTTGATATATTTATAACGCATGATTATGATGATGTAATGGAAATTATAGCTGCATTTTTGTTAGAGTCAGTAATTATTAATTTATTATCCAAAAATTTTGAGTTCTAAATTATAATTGATTCATCTATTGATGCTTCCATAATATCATATCCTTAAAATATTATGTAAGCATTATTGAAGCTTAAGCAGCTTAAAATAGAAAATGATTCTATTTTCACACTTTTATATTAACCAATATAAAGAATGAAGTATTAATCCATTATTGTAAATTTTTTAACACAATCCATAGATGTATGTAAAACTTTTGACATCTATCTTTAATCCTAAGAGACTGTGAAATTCTTTATATTCAAAATTTCAGAATTAGGAATGCTAATTTCTGGAAATCCATATCCTCTTGAAATAATAATATTTTGTAACAAACAGATTTAACATTCAAAATAAATTATAGATTAATAATAAGATATTGAACTCTGTTATATTTTTGCTGTCAGCCTATTGTTGGACAGGAAAAAATCTTCTATTAGAAGATAAACATCAGATATTTCTTTATACCTTTTGATTAGTATTATTTATTAATGATTATTATAGTAATTATTTATAATGTTGCAGGACTTTATAAAAATTCTAGATGATTCAAATAAAGCCTATTCTGACCTTGAGTAATCTACATCATTTATTATCAAGTTGCTATCAACAATTTAAGTATTATTGATAATACAATTTTCAATATTAATTTTATTGGATGAATAAAATCTAGAGTTATTAAAATATCTGCTATTTTCTAATTAGACTGTTTCAAATTTAGCAAATATAACACAAGGAAGTTAAGCAAAATTTGAGTAAAATAACATTTCAATATTCTTTATCCTCAAATTATCAAAAACTACTGTTCCTGTTGTATAATTTAAAAGACTGTTGCTTAAAATAAACGAAGATTACAGAAAAATAGTGTCTATTATTTCAACATCAGAAAAATTTGAATCAAAGTTTAAGTTATTTTTTAGAGCAATGAATTTAAATAAAGTTGAGTTGAAAAAAATAGAATTTCTGATAGTTAGCTTTTTCAAAAAAACTTAATTTTACTGAAAATTGTTTTAACCTTCAAATTAGAACAAATTTGATGAGAAAATGCGAAACTTTTCCAAAATTAGATTATTAATTATCAAAGAATAAGGAATATTTGAATTAAATTATAATGTGTAATTTCTTGCTAAACCATTTTCAGTAATAAAAATGCAATTGATTATTTTGAGTGTTAAGGTTTATTTTAAATTATATAAATTAATGATAGTGGAATCCAATGAGGTATATATATTTTCTCCAAAATTAAATTGAATATTTGTGAATGTTACAGATGTAAAATTACTTAAATTTATCTAAGATTAGATTTTTAATTTTGTTTGATACTCCTTCCCCAAAAATTCTATGTAAATTTTATTACAAAGTAAAAATATTTTAAAATAAAGTAGAGTAAATATTCTTGTTGTTTTTTCTAAGGCACTCTTCAGCATTGCCTTATCTTAATGTAAACTAATAGAAAACTTGGCTTCAAGAAATTTTCTTTTAAATAGGCATAAAAGTTATTGTGATTTCAAAGAAAATTTG